AATATGTAGGAATGATTTACCTCATGATTAAATCCTCAGCAGCCAAAGATTCAAGTGAGTGCACATAATGTGCAGGCATATGGAGGCTTGTGAGATCGTTGGCATGCTGCATCTTGGTTGAATACTCTAGTATCAGAGCACAAATTATCAAGATGACATCAAGGTAACAGGAGGGGTCACGCTCACCAAGTTACAATTGTTTCAGGAGGTGGGAGGTTCATGTTTGTCCAATGTTGGACTTTATAGCTGTTCTGGTATCACCTTGTGACAGTGTCCTGTACGGCTCTCAAAAAAATCTGAAAAATTACATGACATGCATTGAATTGAACTAAATTGATTTACTGAATATTTCAAGGGAGTTTATGCCAATTGTGTTGCTACAATACAATGGAACTTGAGGATGATGCAGGTTTGCACCGGAACTTCTAATTGAGTCTTGCACACCAGTTTTTACCTTACCTCAAATAATCTAAGTAAAAATGTACCACAAAGGTTGGAGGCTCCTATGTCGCTTTCTGTTTGCGAAAAAAATTGAGGCAAATGGAGGGAAAGTGAATGAGTTATGAGGTGCAAAGGACGAGATGTTATGACATCACATGTTGATTCGGAACTTTGGACGGAGTAAGGTGCTTGTCCACCCATTCATTCATTTTGTAGGTGTCCTCTCGCCCCATAACTCTGTACACTAAATCTTAATATGCTGGACATTCACTATGTCAAATTATGAGGCATGTGGTGAAGCAGTTGTGGTACAAAATGAGTATTGACCTGGTACTACAAATGACCTGTTAGGGGTCACACGACAGTATAAAAGGAGATAAAGGTTTATGATATCTTTCCCATATCTCTGCCATCAACATTTATAATAACCCTGATCTATAAATTGGAAAAGATATCGAAGAAGATATTTTAAATTTCTTTCCTGATATATCTGGCCAAGGAAAGGTGTAAATTTTATTAATTTCTACACAATGTTTTCACACTTTATCCGCCATTTACATAAGCCAATGCCTGCAGTGCTAGCTGGTTTTTGCAGTCAAGCATCTCCTGGAGGCTGCTAAACCCATGGTATGCAAACCTGGCATTTTCTTGAGTGCCATCCTTCATCCGTCTGAGTATATTTCTAATGTTTCATTCTTGCCAATCTCTTGACATGGCTGACAGGCTGCACCTGATCCATCAGATGACCCATGGCAGCTGTGTGTGAAGAGTTTCATCATGCCATCTTTGGGGACAAGGTCCCATGGAAGGATGATGGTATCATGTAGAGGGAAGGGATATGCGGTATATGGTGATTTTCCATCTGGAAAAATTATTGTGTACCCCTCACATCATTCCGCTGACATTTTTGATTGCTTCAGAATGTCCTCATTACTCGAAGAAAAAAGCATCAACATTGATTCTTGCATCTTCATCTGGTCTGTTGGGGTATCCTGCAAGCTTCAGAGAATCAAGACCAGCAGGAACATTGTTTATATTTGATATGCACAGTAAGTACCCCCCACCACCTGCACCATCACCCACCAAATTGACGTGACAACACCATCGACCACCCACTAGCAGTTGACAGTTAGCAGCCTCACCTCACAACCCACACTCACCCTCAGCAGCCACTTCACTGGGCCAGACAACACTGATGGGGAACAACAAACCACAGATGACAATGAATGACAATGATAACGAACAACAATGCCAGACAACAAATGACAACCACGATGAATGATGGCAATAACAACAATGCCACACCAGCACCCACCATCCTCCTCTCACACCTCACCATTACGCCCCTCCCTCACTGCAAGCCACTCCCTCCCCCCTCCCCCACTGTTCACCACTCCCTCTCCCCACGATTACTACCCACCACACTCCATCACTACCCACCACTCCCTCCCCCTCCTCTCCCCTCCCTCACTGCTCACCCCTCCCTCCCCCTCCCTCACTGCTCACCCCTCCCTCACTGTTCACCACTCCCTCCCCTCTCCTTCACTGTTCATCACTCCCTCTCCCCTCCCTCCCCTCCCTCTCCCCTCTCCCTACTGCTCACCACTCCCACCCCCATATCTGTAATATAGAATGTAGTAAAATAAATTTATGTAATCAAATATAGTTGAATCTTCTTTGTCTCTTGTTTTCTGAGAGTTGGTTCTGAGGAGACCTTGAAATCTAAGTGGCTTAAGGAATTCTGAGGCTTACTTTATCAAACATACTCTAGTTTGGCTGAAATGCTGCCAAACTTTTCTGTGGTATGATTCCATGCCCATGTTGTGGTATAATTCCATGCCCATGGTATGGTATAATTTCACACCCATGGTATGGCATGATTTCACCTCTGTGGTATGATGTTAGCTAAACAAGCTGTGTATTATTTTTTATATCTGCTCACATGTACATCATGGTCTTTGGTCTTTGTCTGTGATTGAGTTGGTTTATATAATCTTTCTCCTAGCTGGTGTAGAACGTGGTCTTTTAGAAAATGTGACCTTTCTGCCATCTTTCCTGAAGAGTGTGAGTACATGTGATGGGAAAATTTGGCATGTGATTTTTGAAACAAACAAGGCTGCTATGGAAGACCCACTACTAATGTAGTGGGAATCTAATACACAGAAATGTGTAGATACCGAAATTGGCTACTGCTGTCTGAAGTCAGCCTTGTATGAAGTACTCTGAGTGCAGTGCAAGCCTTACCCATGGGACTCACAGACAGTTATAGACTTCTTCACCATCCCTGATTGATTGTATGAAAGACAGAATCTCAATTAAAATTACAATAGCTACATTTATTAATTATGATCCCTTGAAGCTTGTGTTTAGAAGTCTTGGCCTGCTTGTGTTCAAATGTTCAAAGCAAAAATCCCCACAATGCCAGCCAACAAACCCCATGTGTTGAGTGGTAGACATGTGAAATTCAAAAATCAAGTCTTTTTTTTTTATGATTCCATGCNTATGGAATGACCCCATACTTCATGAATGGCATATTTTAAACATCTTCTATTCAAAGAATGCTTTCTTGTCTTGGGTAGTAATTTGGCTATAGTCTATGCCTTTGCAATGGATAAAGTTTTGCAAGATTCTTGTTTTCTTCCAGAGGCAATGCCATCATAATCGATACAATATTGATTTATTCAAGATTTATTTGTGATGAATATTGTATTAATCAAATGGCCTAGCAAGACATACACTTTCAAGTGGCTTGTGATGGATTATCCATAATGTAAATGGCCAGAACCTGGGATAAAGCCCAACCAAGCTAGTTTTCAAGCTAATTTCCAAAGGATCAAGCTCACTCTATAGCCTCCAATTGTAGCTTGAAATTTCAGAAGAAATGTGAAGAGCCAGTCCACAAAAAATGGAGCCCAATGGACCAGAATTGCAGCCAGCAGAAATATTTTTCATATTTTGTAAAAAGGACCCCAGAGACCCTGTGACACCTTTGGAATGATGGTATGGTGTATGGTATGGTATGAGGTGGAATGGTATGGTATGGTATGATGGAATTGGTATGAGGGTCACACCACTCTGGAATGGGGTACCATCAAGGTTCCCTAATTCAAAGAATTGGATAACCTCGTAGGTACCCAAAAATGGGTGACTGAAGTGCTGTTTTTGGCAATATGAGGCACTTTCCAAAGCCTCTACAGATCTAAGCACTCAGTATTTTCAACTGATTCTTTGATAGGCTCATTCAGGTTAACCAGAGGTATGTTTTGGCTACCTTTCTAGTTAGCACATATTTTTTTTTTCAGATGCTGAAAACGGCCTCCAGAATAAAAACCTTCTCAAGGCCCCAACTTTCACTGAAATTAGTTCATACCAAGGGAAGTGTAATACAACTACATAATGTAAAAGAATACACAAATACATTTAAGTTACAATAGACTCTCAGAAAGAACAATAAAATGACCCAACCTTCATTCTTTTTGCACTCCTCTGTATATTAGTAAGGTGTAACTTGTATGTTAAAATATGCTTAGTTTAAGTTAAGTATTATCTATTTCACTGGGCTCATCAGTCAAGTGTGTGCCAGGGCATCCCAGTGCACCTCAGGATGCCCTAAGGTTACCTGTGATGCCCTGTCATGTGCTGCAACGGTCTGAGAAAAAGCTAACATGTGAGCTTTTTCCCAGGACAAAAGTGGTTTTTGTGATGATCAACCGCTATTCAGATCTGTAAAATTAAAAGATTCTTACAATTCTGCATTCATTTTCTTGTCATGAAAACCTGAAAATACCTCTACTAAACTGGTATTGATTCTAACTTTTCACAATTTTTCATTTCCAGGGTATCAAAACAGAGTAACCAGTCAAATTCAAGAATGTGGTAGAGAAGGACATACTAATAATGTTTGTTATATGCCATATCATGAATTAAAAAAGGCATACAAGGGAGTGGTAAATGCAAGGGGGTGCCAGGATCTAAAATAAGGACCGGACATCAAAATTATTTTTAGTGGAACTTGGGCTGATCCAAACACCCAACGTAATCAGGCACACATCCATTTTAGGAAATATGATGTCATCCACATGCCATTTTTCCCCCTTTTCCATCAACCAATGCTCAGCAGGCTGTGAAAACCCATTTTTTGAGCTCCCTGTCAAGCTTGAAATGATACTATGACAAAGTTGACCATAAAATTCACTATTGAAATTGAATTATTGAGCTGCCCGCTACATTGAATTAAAGTAAGTCACTGTAGGGGCCTGCTGTTTTCAGGCAGCAATGTTGTAGAGAAAGGTATTTCACAACACTGGCACAGTGTGATCTCAATTCCTAGTTTTTAGCTTCTTTATATGCAGATAGACCCAATATATTCAATCTCATGCATTTCTGGCAGTTATCTGAGCACTGTTCAATCACCCTCTCATCATTTTGCACTGAAATTTTGGTATGCCAAAAAAAAAATTAGTGGCCTAATGGCCAAACCAACCAACTGGCCCCTGGTCTGGGATTTAAATCCCAGTACCCCCTTGGGTAAATGAAGGCAGGGTGATGAAACACAATCATTATGAAAAACACTGGCTCCAGTTTGTACCATGGACAAAGTTCTTGAGCTGAAGTAAAGTTGAAGGGCAACCAATTACAGCAGTTGTTCTTGGCCAGAACAAACCAGATTTATTTTGGTCTGGCACCCATAGGAGATATGTATTGTCTTGCAGCATGACCCAATTACCATCAAGATGACAAAGTTCTAACAAAGACATGTCATAAGAAGAACAAAAAGAGGTATCATGAGAGTCAGGCATATCAATAGTGTTTCCATCCTCAGAATGTGTCAGACGAATTGTTAATGGAACAGGAATGTTTGAAGTAACCCAATCATCATGGATGGCCTTTGAGAGGATCCATGACACTCTGACCTGTCTGAGCATCCCACACTCTGACTGTCTTGTCACCAGATCCAGAGACAATGTGCCTGCCATCAGGAGAAAATGCAACTGAAGTAACCCAATCATCATGGCCTTTGAGAGGATCCATGACACTCTGACCTGTCTGAGCATCCCACACTCTGACTGTCTTGTCACCAGATCCAGAGACAATGTGCCTGCCATCAGGAGAAAATGCAACTGAAGTAACCCAATCATCATGGCCTTTGAGAGGATCCATGACACTCTGACCTGTCTGAGCATCCCACACTCTGACTGTCTTGTCATCAGATCCAGAGACAATGTGCCTGCCATCAGGAGAAAATGCAACTGAACTAACCCAATCATCATGGCCTTTGAGAGGATCCATGACACTCTGACCTGTCTGAGCATCCCACACTCTGACTGTCTTGTCACCAGATCCAGAGACAATGTGCCTGCCATCAGGAGAAAATGCAACTGAACTAACCCAATCATCATGGCCTTTGAGAGGATCCATGACACTCTGACCTGTCTGAGCATCCCACACTCTGACTGTCTTGTCACCAGATCCAGAGACAATGTGCCTGCCATCAGGAGAAAATGCAACTGAAGTAACCCAACCATCATGGCCTTTGAGAGGATCCATGACACTCTGACCTGTCTGAGCATCCCACACTCTGACTGTCTTGTCATCAGATCCAGAGACAATGTGCCTGCCATCAGGAGAAAATGCAACTGAAGTAACCCAACCATCATGGCCTTTGAGAGGATCCATGACACTCTGACCTGTCTGAGCATCCCACACTCTGACTGTCTTGTCATCAGATCCAGAGACAATGTGCCTGCCATCAGGAGAAAATGCAACTGAAGTAACTGAACCATCATGGCCTTTGAGAGGATCCATGACACTCTGACCTGTCTGAGCATCCCACACTCTGACTGTCTTGTCACGAGATCCAGAGACAATGTGCCTGCCATCAGGAGAAAATGCAACTGAAGCAACTGCACTACTGTGACCTGTGAGTATAAGAAAACACCTCCCTGACCAATGTTCCATTTGACCCATCTTCACAGTCAATGTCCTTTGAAATTGCTTCATAAAATGCATAGAGACTTTTGAAATTTGTGGAGCCAATGGTAGTGCTGACAAATATATATGTGGTGCTGCAAGAGATATTGGTTCCAGAAATTCCATTACAAATCTATTTGCATCAATTGCAAAGTCTGATAAGCTTGGCTTCAGAACCTGTATTTGTATTAGGATAATGGTAAATTTTATATATGCATGACTCACTCTAATCCAACTTGCAGCTACCAACAGTAGTTGAGCAGCATGGTTCATAGTTCCCATCAGACTCATAACCTCAAGCCAGTGTAAAAGATGGACCATCAGAAATTCCTCCACTGCAGCTTGTATTTGCAGTTGTAACATTTTATCACCATTCTTCTGCAAATAGCTAGCCCAAAAGTAGCTTGTGTGATTTAAAGCTGTAGATTTCACACTGTCAAGATGGTCATCCAGCTCTGGAATGTCTTTGTTTAAAATGTAGGATGTTTTCAGATCAAAGAAGTTAAATTTTAGCTTTCTGTTCATAAACTTCAAGCAATAACCAGAAAAACGAAGACTGTGCAGCTGACTGTCAATCCAAAAATCTTTGGATCTCTTTGGGTCTAGCAAAAAATCTGTAACTGACTGGTGGCAAACATGCACATAGTTTGCATCACTGATGGATAGAATTGGACTAAGTTGGTTGATTATTGAATTCAGAAATGTATCTTTCACTCCCAGAAGCTCTCTTATATCTCGGATGCGAAGTGGATTCTTTGCAATGACAATCGAACCCAGAACCAATCTTAAACTGTCTTTTTCTGATTCTCTGAGCCCTTGCATAGCAACAGAAATGACTTGATGATACAAGCTGTCAACAGCATCAATTCCTTCCCCAGAGCCAGCAAAAATTATATTTAGCCTTTCTTCAGGATCACCACCCTTATGCAGAACAAAATCTGTTGCAGATTTAGCCCAAATAAACAGCCCAGCAGCTTTTCTGACAAGACATGATACTTGGGCTGGACCTGGCCACTTTGGAGGCAACCCAGGTACCTTAGAAAATCTTGCAACAAAATATTTTTCAAGGTCATCAGAAGTTTGAGCAGAGATCTCATCTCCAGTATGTATATCACAATAAACACTGACAGGGCTTAGTGAATTCTGAATATCACCATAACGACGACTTGTGATGAGGAGCTTCAAAGATTTAGGGAGGCAAGACCAGGCTGTCAATGAAGGCAAGAGTTCCTCATATGAATCACACTCATCAAGGGCATCAACAACAATGAGAAGAGGCTCCACAGAAGTTGTAAAAACCTCCCATAGTGGCTTAGAAATAAGCTGCTCAAATTGCATAGAAACATCAAGATCTCTAACATTAGCTTTCTGAGTTTCCAGTGCCTGAGCTATAGACTTTCTGAGTTTATTGGACCCCAGAGCAAGGTCCAAAGCAATACGTCTCCATAAGTTGTCTGGATCCCGAAGCTCAGCCTCATCACGATGGAAAAAAAATTGCCCAGAGAAATAGTGAGAGTCAGCTACCACAGTTGAAGCAATTGTTGTCTTTCCAGAGCCAGGACTGCCAGAAAGCCAGAAAATATTAGGCTTTTCCAGATCATCAAGCCATGTTTTGATAAATGTGAGCACATCCTTCCGGGTTCCTGGCATGCATCTCTCTCTTACTTTACCATGTGATGGAGCTTTGAGCACAAGGACTTGCAGCCATTTTTCTACCTGGATTGTTTATTAATCATATAGACTAGTCACAGATTTACCCAGTTGATATAACTTACATTTCTTTCATCTGCTTTCTTGGCTTCAAGTTCCCCATTGTCATTGATATTGATCTATAGTATGCCAATAGTTAATTATAGAACTTAAAGGAGCAAATTACTTACAATATTTGCAGCATTAATAACTGTATCACTCATGTGAACATGACGTGCCTGAGGAAGTACATTTACTTGAGGTACTGGATGAAAACAATCAAAAGTCATGAAAAAATAGCATCAGAAAGCAAATTTATACATACCACCTCCCAGAGTCATCAGCCTTTTACCAACATTCCTTCCCCCTGTATCTTTGTTGGGCTCAGTCAATATAGGATCTTTCCAAGCATCCATCCTAGGATCTGCACAAGTTAAGAAATAATATATCAAGTGATATATTCAACTTGACTTACTTGCTTTTTGAGAATTTCCCCCAATGTCAACCCTGAGACTGTCCTGAAAATTGGACTGGATAATCAAATAAATGACATGATAAAGAATGGTGAATGTATGTGAAACATGCTCACAAGTGCATTTAGTTTAACCTGCAAACCTGCAATATGTTCTTGATCTTCTTTGAAATTGGGAACTGTCTTCCTTGTGTTTTGTTGTTGGATCTTCATCACATCTTCTTTCAAGCAGTCCAAAATGCTAGAGCATGACTTTAATCCAAGCAGTATCCACAACAACACCATTAAAACCACACACCCTTTCACATCCTCAAAATTGGGTTGCAAAGTCAACAGAACCTGACTCTCATTGTATTGATAGGCAGCCTGAACAATCTCCCCAACCTTCTCAATGAGACTCTCAGAAAAAGCAGCCCAATTTTTCTTGTTGGTCTTGAATTTCTAATGCGGTCACATAAATAGACATGATGGAATCATTGAAGTAAGTACAGACACCTTAGTGATTTCAATGATGGCTAATGCCTGAACGACAGCCGCCTTCAGATGTGGAAAGGTGTTGTCAGATGCGGCGACGACCTCAAGTGCAGAAAGGCCGCCTGTGCTGATTGCTTGCAGAGGGTCGTTTCCCACGGGATTCAACAACCCAGTAATGCTCATTTTGTTGGTTTTGTTGGTACCGATAGTCGCGTTTGCGTTCATGATGATGGTGGTTGATAACAGAGAATGTGAGAGCGTCAATTGCCACGCCGCCAACACGCCGCTGCGCTGTGTTGTGGTCATGTGACTACGACTCAAAATGTTAGCATTCTAGCTCTATCTCACTATCGAAGGCCAGTTTCTCCCCCAAAGCACGGATCTGCACAATGCAATCCTCCGTGTACCCGAATTACGCCTAGCAGACCCTTTTCGCTATCGAGGTGGTGGCTCTTGTTCTATTACCCCTACCTGTAGGAGCTTGGAGCCACTGAGCTGGGTCGGCGATTAACCTTCCACTGCACAATAAGTAAGGCCTATGGTGGCGGAAAGGCAAGACAATCCACGCAAGCCTGCTGTAGTGTACGTTCCCACCCCACCCTCTTCCTTGGTCGTTACTGAGAAGCCGCTCCGCTCCACAACGCAAACGAGCCCCAGCTGCGGCTGTCTCCTTTGACCCAACCCTCACGCCGCAGTCCCTGCCCTATAACGACGAACACCCTCCGGGAGTTGCACTTCGATCGTATGCTCCTTTTCTTCCGATAGCGCATGTTCGACAATTCACCGTTCCACCACCAGCCCTGGTTTCGTCAAGCTGAGGAGTTGCACATCGCTTCGAGCGCCACCTGTTTACCGATGGGGAACTGCACGTTGAAGTTGCATGTTCCTGGAGGTCGTTGGGCAGAAATGGGAAAGTGGGATCTCGTTGGCCAGTGGTCACGCCTGTCCACGATCATCCGCTGCATCAGTACACAGGGGTGTGAGGCGGGCTGGGTGACATGGTTTGGAGGTCGCATAGTTGGTCAACATGACCATTGTTAACGAAGAGCATAGGAGGCTGATTTCCATAGCTGATACCCCGAAATGTCTGTACATCAGAAAAAGCATCAGATAAGAGCAACGAAAATTGGGGATGATCCGTACCTGTATTGATCTCTAGAAGGTATGGACGCTGGGTAGCGGCTAGATAAAGTGTGGATGAGTGTAGGAACGGACTTGGAATAGCAAAACACGCCTTACATCGTTCATCGATTCATGAAGACTATCAGGAAAACTAACAAATGTGCGTTTGGCTTGGTGAAAATTGCATTGTTGGCGGAAGAAGAGAAGGATGCAGCAAAAAAAGGGGGGAAGGTAGTTGGCAACCCAAAGGAGAGTCGTATGCTAGCCATCCCCGCATTAATTTTCAGGTCAAATCGACTCTGTGGACTGTGGAGTGACGATGAGAATAATGGCAGATGAGGAAAGAGTACGTACCCATAGCAAACCGTTCTAAGAAGGTGGCTCATCGACGCCTTATCCTAGGAACGGCTCGAAGGACCAAGCGATTTAGAGGTAGAGGTAGTAGCTGGTAGTAGAGGTAGTATATTCCGGAGCGGTCCCAATGAGGAACAACCGGTTCCCGATACACGGTCGAGATGATGGTTACAACCAACGAAGTCGTCCGTAATGTTTGGTCTTGACCATGCCGATCACGCCCATTGATTTCAACTACAGTCCACCACCACATGCCTTCACATCTCCGATGGTTCAAACAAATACTGCCCTCTCTCCTTCCTGGTTACGGGGATTCCGCGAAACCGTTACTGGGGTTTCTCCAAATGGACGATGAGGGTTTGCCGGTAAGTCTGTTCAAAGTTTCTAGTAGCCGTGCAGCTGATGATATGTTTAGGATGAGCTTGCACAGATATATGGAAAAGTCTGTTGAAAACGACAGTGGAAGTGCTCCAAGGTAAATCTCCGATCTTTTGGATCAGGGATTATCATCTTTCCTATAATCGTAGAATAATGAGGGCATAGCTGCCTTTGGGCGTCGCACCTGACCGAAATCCTTAGAAACCCTGGGCTTGACTTTACGGTGAAGCCCGCGCCATCTGGTATTGAGAAACCAATATCCTCTTTGAGTTCCGGTACACCCATCCACGACAACTTCAAACCAGGCAAATGTACCTACCAATGGCAAACACAAATCAAGCACCATTCAAAAATCGTGGAGAACAATGCGCATTTTGTTCCCTATTGCACAACTTGGCGATGCTGGAGAACACCTTATTAAGTTGCTGGTGGATAATCAGAGGGAGCTTGTGGATCCTTTGAGCGAGGGTAGTGCTCGTCCTGTTTGGGCTCACTGTCTGTGGCGTAGACTCGATGCGGGACTTCAGGGGTTGTGGAGAGGTTGGGAGAAAGTGGGACTGGGCGAATGAGGAAAAGGAAACCATTTGGAAGACTTGCGTTGAAAATTGGAAGAGGGCCCGAGGTCATTAGGAAGGAGGTGTCGTCTTGCTTGCCGTTCACGTATGTCTCGTCCGTTCTGAGAAAGAGAAAGAATACTGACTTTCGCCTACAGGGATGCCAATCAATGGGGCCTCAGAACCGAAGACGATGCTCAATGGGGAGAACTCCTCGAACAGGTGATCAGCAAGGCATACGACTACGGCCTGGATTCCCAGACTGTCCTCGATAATATCACAACTTTCATCTCAGCCAATCAAACGCCTACCAGTGGAACCTCCTCGACGCGCGGCAGAATTACTCACTTCCCCATCTGGACATTGTGGAAGCGCGCGAGATCCCAGAGCTTTTCGTCGAGTTCGTCAACGACACTATGCGGTCGAGCTACCTTCCTGAACCGAGGAACAAGCCCTTGCCGTTGTGGCTTGTTTACATGGACTGCCAGTTTGAAGGTACTTTACACCTATAACCTCTCGAAGAAACGATCGACTAACAACTCCTCGACCAGTCTGTGTCAGCTTGACTCTCGGCATGCATGCGTCAAGTCGAACAGAATTGCCAGAGGAAACACATCAACGACGCTTCCCCGCCGAGCGACCGCCGTGTTGCATGCGTAGGGTTCTGTCATATCTTTCAACCGAAACGCCGAGATTTCATCATCATGGTTATGACCGATGACGATGGGCAAATGGGCGCGCACACACAGCCCAAAGTCGTCTTCCTGCCTATGATCTCCTTACTCAATTTCGATTCTCTCCTTCTTTTGGTGGCCTACGAAGGCTTTGTGTAGGCGAAGTCAATCTCAGTAGGAAGCCCGCGTGGAGAAAGGAAGCCCCATCCCATTACGACGTGTGGGTCTTCTCTCTTCCTTGTTCACTCCGAATCTTCACTGAAACTCAACGTATGTACAGGTATCTCCAAGCACGGCGATTTCGGGCCACCACGAACGCCTTTCGCAAATCGTGCCTCCCGTCCCTTCACGAAAAGCTCGCTCGCGGGATTGGAAATGACAAATATGGCGACGAACCCTGCAGTCGATTCTAGGGATGCCAATTTTGAATCAACATTCCAAGTGCCTGCCCAATTTTGTAACGCGAATGACGGAAACGTCCACGTGATGAGAACAAAAATTCGAACAGTAATTGTGGCCACTCAAGCCACCATGTCAGCGACTCAGGACAGCGCAGTTCTTTATGCTATATACTCTGTACTCAGCTTTTGCTTGGTACGTACTCAACATGTCTAAATCGATAGTAGCTAACCATGCCGTGTTTACCAGAGCAACCGTGTGAGGTTCACCCGTCCTAGGCTGCCTACCAATCAATCTCGCGAAAGCAAAGAAGACATGAGGAGACAGTTGGAGCGGGAGCTGAGAGGCCTATGGGTTGGGCCAATGCCTGTTCAAGAATTCATGGATGATTTTTTACCCTCAAGTGACATAAACCCAATGCCTGAAGTGCCAACAGACCTCATTCGAAGCTTGCCATTGACGGGAGACAGGACGATGCCGACCAAAATGGTGAGCAACATTTCTTTGAGTTGCAAGACACAATCTTATTGAATGGATCAGGCGGCGATCATCCAACACGCAGGACTGTTCCCCGGTCTGAAGGTCGTTGACACATCGGATCACCACGACAACAACGCGGACGACCACGAGAAACTTAGGCCTGACATGTCTGTGTATCTCAGCAAGGTCACCACTTCCAAAAACGTTGCTCAATTTGAGGCCGAAGAGTTAATGTTTGAACTCAAGCCTCCTTCAACACCGGCGCATCCATTCGAAGATCCCAAACCTACCGCGAATGCAGAACAGTTGGCAGAACACCCTTTCGAAACGAATACGGACGCCGGAATCTTTTGTCGAGGGCAGATCGTGTCATATTTTACAGAGTGGTTCAGTCGCCAGCATCGCACGCATGGGTTTTTGGTCTACGTTGCGAACGACGGGATGCGATTTATCAGGGCCGACCGTTCCGGGGCGATTGTTTCCCGGTCATTTGACTGGCGACAGGAACCTGAAATTTTCGCAGAATTTCTCTGGCGATTCGCTCACCTCACACCTGAGCAACGTGGACGCGACACAACCGTGCGTCCTGCCACAACACGCGAAAAAGGTCTCGCCCATCTTAATCTACGGCCTTGGGAGTCCAAGAAGGAACGGCCCATCATCGTTCTCCGGGTACCTGAAGACGACCAAGGTGGATACCGTGAGGTCATTGCTTGGGGCGCGATGGCCGACGCGGATTCGCTGATTGGTAGAGCAACGCGTGCTTGGCCGGTATACGACCTCAAGCTCAAGAAGGTCGTCTTTCTGAATGATTCTTGGCGCTCCCTTGTGGTGGGAATGGAGAAAGAATCAGAGATCCTATCGGATCTCAATAACGCAGGCGTGCGCAACGTTCCGAAGCTCATCTGCGGCGACGACATTGACACTCACCTCACACTGACCCAAGAATACATATCCAAGCCTTGGAACGCTGGAGGCACGGGGATCACCTCTCGTGTTCAACATCGCTTTCTCGAGGATTTTGTTGGCAAACATCTATGCCACTTTACCTCATCAAAACAACCGATGCAAGCTGTTTATGACGCATTTATCGGTACGCACTATGCTGAACATTTTAAGTTGTGATGGCAGCTAACGTTGCTTTAGCTCATCAAGACGCATATGAAAAGTGCGGAGTGCTTCATCGTGACGTGAGCGGAAACAACGTTATGATGAAGGATGACGGGGGAGGAATCCTCAATGACTGGGATCAAGCCAGAAGAGTTGCCGATATGGCCAGTGGTCCTCGACAACTGTTCCGTTCAGTGAGTTAAGTTTATCCATTTTGTGAATTCGCGCTAATGGGTATATAGGGAACTTGGCATTTCATGTCAGTTTTGCTTCTCGAAAATCCGGATAAACTCCAAGACCTACAAGACGATATTGAATCCTTCGTCTACGTCGTTCTATTCAATGTCCTTCGATATGTGAATCATACCAAAGTGCATAAGATACATTCCATCATGGAGGAGATATTCGACTACTGCAAATTAGATCATGATGGCAACCTTACAGGGGCGCGGAAAGAGGTCTTTACTCTTCGACTTGGGGGAACTTGGTCTCGATTTTGCTGTCGTCGACAACACGCCCTTGCAACATTGGCTTCTGTTCGCATTCGGAGCCGCAGGAGAATGGCTGTCGTACGCGTCACTTCGGACACGCAAGTACCTTCAGGCTCGAGGCATGCGGCGGGCCATTAGGCAGAAGTACATTGGCAGTTCGAAGTTGAGTGTTGATCAACCTCAGCCCGATACTGCTGATCCCCTTGACACTACCGAGCATCTTCTTTTTCATGACCATCGCATCCTAGAGGCTGCATGGCGGTCCATCCTTGACGAAGGGGACTGGCCTCAAGACGATGGGCCTGTTGATAACCTCTCGATCTCGTCGCTCATGAAACGTACACGCGACGACGACCTCTTTGAACTTGAATTCGGATCTCCTCTCAAGAAACACCGGGCATTGTCCACCCCCTACGCGACTTCGGCACCAACTCCCGCACTGCAAAATTTCGTAGGTGGCGCGACTCTTCCAATACAACCCGTCCCTCCACGGTCCTCGATTCGGCTAAGTCGAAAAGCACGTAGAAGATCTGGGCTATCTCTTGGAGGTCGTTCTTGAAAAGCATTTGAAACTACTCATCTACTCATATTGCATTTGTCATTATGTCATTATCCATGTAATATAAGCACGTACACTATATCCCGACCAATTATGTCTGACTACGAGTAAGTACAGCTCGAATGGTTGTCCATACTACACCGTGAGATAAGAACGCCAGCGTCTCTATGTCTCTACCTCTACCTCTGTCCTCTGTCAAGCGAGGTCAAGTGCTCAAGGGGAAACGTCGCTTAACCTGACTGCAACACATCCGTAGTCATAGAAGAGCTTCGCAAATCCAGGGTACAATGCGACTTTTTGGGTCAAAACGTGTCTCCGCCCAACCTGCCTTCGCAAGATGTCAACAATTCTCGACGACATCGCCGCTGTACGCGAGGCTATCTCAAACAAGAAACCATTTTGCACAGGCAGGTACCCGCTATCTGAAAACGCGGGTCTCCTATTCTTTCGTAGTGACAAAGACGACGCCGCAGGGTACGCCTTTCTTTCTTCTCTTTCCTCCTTTCATTTCATTTATCCTTGGTGATGCTGTCAGATGGATCGATCTATCCAACCCCACCTCACCAAAATTGCAAGCCCTCCTCGAGGCATGCGACCCAGTCCTGAAAGATAATGATACCCATCCAAAAGCATGGAAACTTGACAACCCGAACTTTTCAACCCGCTTCGACGTGCTCGACGCGGGGATAGTGGAACATGTACGCTCCAAGCTCGCGAAAGGTGGTTTTGTTCCTTTGGAGAGAGTTAGGGCAGAGTTGCGTGAGTTGAATGTTCATGGTGAGTAATTTCGGTTTGGGAGCAACTCTGATTTATGGGCTTACTTCCGATGTTGAGGCCCCGGATCGTTCAGCGGGCCACACGAATACAACCCCACACCAAACACATTTGGCGTACTCATCGTCGTGTTCCCTACCACGCACGAAGGTGGCACCCTCCACCTTCGGCGGAAAGCCAACAAATGGACGTTCGACTTATTTACTCATTCCGACACCGCCTTAATCAAATACATCGCGTTCTACAATGCCGTCGAACACGACCTATCCCCCATCACCTCTGGGTATCGCGTTTCTTTAATATACAACTTATACCACGACAATCCACCTCTGCCCACTGGGCCTTTGCGCGGTGATGGTGTCACTGAGGAGGAAGCGAAGCTCCGACAAAAACTTTCTGCTCTCATAGAGAATCTCGACTTCCTTCCAGACGGCGGATACCTGGGCTTCGGCCTGCGGTACCAATACCCTATCAAATCGGAGTCGAGCGACCTTGGGAGCTTGGTGGGCGCACTGAAAGGGAGCGACGCGATAATTAAGAGGGTGGCGGATGAGTTGAATATGAATGCACAACTCAAGCTGGTTTATGAGGATGATGATGATGAGGATACTTCTGATTCCGAGGATTATGAGGATGAGGATGAGGATGAGGATAGAGAAGAGTTTTCTAGAACGAGGTGGCTACTCTTGGACGACGCGAACCAGTACCCCGAGTCTATGCTTGAAGACGACGGACCGGCGAGAGTATCCGTGGCATCGTCCGGGGGCGTCATTCTCTGCAATCCAGACGAAAAGGTACGTTTCAACCCAGTTTCCCCTTTCTTACCACCTTCCTCAACTCATTGACAACTTGTAGCTAAAACCAATCAAGGACTCGCAAGGCCGCCCCGTCAAGCCTCGACAAGTTTACTGGGTTACCCCACTCACGAAGTTCTCGAGAGTGAAGAATGCGTTTGCGACATATGGGAACCAAGCGAGTGTCGGGTATACTTATGGGGATTTGTGTTTGATGGTTGAGGTGTGTAGGGTTGGGAGGAGGGTTAAGGCCAAGAAGAATTGAAAAGCTGGATCGGGAGTCGGTGTCGCTTAGTCTCTCACAGATTTGTTGTCTACACATCCCATCTAATAATAGGATTTTCTCAACAACAGCAAAAGGGCGAGCCCCAGGGCACGTTTACATAAGTATGAAAGCTGAACAAATATCAAGGAGGCTGCAACGTCCTGACTCCTGACTCGATACGTCGTGGGCGCTGGGGGCTTTGGGGTCAGTTCAGAGCTGCTACTGTGCATTGTACTGGATAAGCAATCCATAATAATAATAAAACGACATCCATGGGTACCCGAAGTGACCAGGAGCAAGCAAGAGATCTGTTACATAAAAGCTCTCTTGAACATCATAGCAATCTAAGTCTCAGGAGACCGTATTCGATAAGTTCTCAACTGTCCCAAGTAGAGGAGTCACCAACTGTCGAACTACGTAACACCATTGGCTCATGGCGCCTTGGACTGCCTAGCAGCGAATAATCTGCCCCTGAATATGTTGAAGGCGAGAATGAGGACGTGTACACGCCAACACCCTCAAGACCTGTCGCATCGCCCTTGACCGCTTTACAGGACAAGGGAGACGATATGTGGGGAGCCATCAGCGTCGCTAAGTCAAAAGTTTTACTTTGAACTTGGACGGAAGGATAAGGGCCGTATTCCCGTTGGGCTCAGGATATGAAGCCATCGGCGCAGAGGGCTGGTCAAATCGAGGGCCGAGGTAAGGTAGGTCGAAAAAGAATTATTCGTCATGAGTGACCTGGCACTATACATGGATACTGTGTTGGTGGTCAGACTAGGCATACTCCATAAAATAAGATACCTGAACGTACGCGCAGTTCAGAGAATTGTATCATAACAAGCCCTTGAGCGCGAGCATGAAGAAAAGTGCTAGAAAAAAACAGCCCCTTCATTGACGACGCAGGCTTGGTTCTGGTTTGCACGAGATTATCGCCCTTCCAAGACCCCTAGATGACGGCGTGATCAGCTATAAGGCCAGCACGTTCCATAAAGAGCACGCACTCAGTGACCGAATATAGGTCCTGGAAGGTACGTTCCCTTTAGCGCAAGTCCGTACAGTCAATCTGAGCATCAACTGTTCTGAAGGTCAAGCGTTTCCTATGCAAATATTATTCTGTCCGCACACGGCTTGCTAACGAAAGAGGTGATCTTTCCCTGCGAGGCGCAACACCTATCGAACGAAGCGAAAAAAACCACGAAACTCTCGTCCCAAATCGAAAGTGTTCCGAGGGCACGCCTTAGGAAATGGCAGCCTATGAATCCATGGTTTGAAGGAAGGGTGAAGGATATGATCCACTGAATTATAGAGTCTCCTTGAGTTTCGACAAATGAGGTAAGGCCTTAGTCAATCGAGCGTGGCTGTAAAACCAGAAACGTTCACGAAAATCAATCAAAAAGTTGAAGGGACAACGGACGAACTTGAAAGTGCTCCCTAGGCTCCCTCTGTATTGACCTTTTCGAACTGGACGGAAGGAAACACATCATCAAAAGTGCACAAGACCATCATATAGAAAGGTAAAGGCACCTTCACAAATAGTGATGCCATTCCTGAGCGCTGAGCTGCAGCCAAGCTGCAGCGACGATGAGGATGAGGGGTACTGAGAATGTAAGAATTCAAACTCCGTCCGATCTTTGACACCGACATTCATCAGGCCACCTTGCTTAGTACCCTCCCTTAACCTTCTTCTAAGCTCAAACGACGTGGCCAATACTACCACCTTTTTCACCGACTAAATTAACGCGTCTCAAGCAAAAAAAATGTCGGACCTCGCCTCTGTATTTACCGCAACATCCGCGTACTCTCTAGGGGGTGTCGTCCTCGTAGGCCTCATCGCCTACCTCGGAGCCAAAGCGCTCCTACCTAAGAACGCGAGCTGGCAAGATAGGTATACTTTTATCTGGCTCGTACGTCGCGTTTTATGTTCCAGAATACCGATACTAGCAAGCACTTACAACCATGGCAGGCATTTGACGCTCTCATTCACTTCACATTCGAGGGTTCTTTCCTGTGGCTATCGGTTTTTGGGCGGCAAGTGAACACGAGTACAGGGCCTCTTGCGCAAATGTGTTCGTAGCCCTTTGCTTTACCTGCAGACTTATGTACACTGACAATGACGTAGGGAAGGAATACGCAGCCGCAGATTACCGCTGGGGTGTTTCGGACCCTACCGTTGTCGCGCTGGAAATACTCACCGTCCTGGGCGCGGGCCCTCTGTGCTGCTATATCCTAAAGCAGCTAGTAAATGGGGATCCTGCGCGTCATTATTGGATTATTGTTCTTAGTACTGCGGAGATTTATGGGGGGTATGTTCGGCTTGTTCCACATTAGTCGCGAAATGTTGACTTATGAGGACCATAGCTGGATGACCTTCTGCCCCGAGTGGCTTGTTGGCAGCCCGAACTTGAATACCTCGAACCCGCTTTACCTCTGGGTATACCTCGCGGTCAGTCATGTTCCCGTTGATATAACTTCTGGCACTGACATATGACTCCGCCCCTTTTGCAGTTGATGAACGGCATGTAAGTCCATCTCCCTTTACTCAGAACTCCCTTAGTGAACCTTATTCTTTCAGCTGGGTCGTCATCCCGCTCTGGCTCATGATCGACTCATATACCCACATTGCTGGCTCACTCCGCGCCCAACAGTGCTCAAATCTAAAAGCCAAGGAGGCATGAATATACCCGTCAATTTAATAGACTCTGCCTGAAAGTTAGAGGAGTCTTGTTTACTTCTTTTGCATCTACTTCCGCTCCCATCGGTCGGGAAGATAATGGGGCGTTCTGCTTGCGCTTTCAATATCCACGTGTACGATATACTTCTTGCGAAGGAACAAGGACAACGACATCTTAATGACCATGGATGATTGGAGTCCAAAGATATCAACTATTGATTGGGTGGTATCCAGTAAGGTAAGGGGAAAAACAAGCGACGACAAAGTGAGGGGATAGGTGTGAGGATTGTTCATCCAAACCAAGCTAACAAATATGAGATGCAGATCGTAGATCGTGGTTCCGTATTTTCCGGCGCGAAGCCAATACAGTGGCGGTCAAGCAAGAAGGCGAGCGGTTTAGTTATCGCCGTACGTGCTGTTGACGGCGGTGATCTTGAAGTTGGCGGACGTGTTACCCTACAGGGAACAAAGGTCAGTATGGTACGTCTCCCACTCTTTGTCGATCAACTCACTGAGTCACCAAAGACTAGGAAAAACAGCATCAATAAATGTTTTTACACTCTCAGAAGTGAATTTCAAAACTCACGAACGACAAAATAGTCATCACGGGCAGGAACATTGGTTGGCATTTTGACCGTGGCCTGGCCAGCGCTTATGCGGAAACCCTTAGCGAGAGGGTGCTCTGTTATTAAAGCCACATCGTCAGCATCCTGGGCTAGGAGCACAAAAAAGAAGAAAGGATACGAACTGATGTCCAAATGCTCGCTCTCGCCGTCCCCAGCGTATCCGAGCAAGATCATGCCCTTGTCGTTACGCTGAGCTTCGGGGATCGAGTCGGTTTCTAGCGGGCGCATCAACATCTACTCCTGACACATAATTCACGTGCGTACCCCACTTGACGACCTGGGTGGACCCCATAGGCCAGGACACGGCCTCTTCGGGCGCGGTAATGTGTGGGCTCACGACGAGGTCTGAGATGAGGTCGACAGGGGCAGCGATGGACGCGGTGGCGAGGAGGAGAGCGGAAAGGAAGGTGGTGAATTTCATGATGACGAGAGGAATTAAGAGTGGGTATGGGAGCTAGAGACGTTTCTGAGCTGCGAGTGAAGGAGAAGGAAAGACTACGAGTGCGTTGGATCTACAACCGTGCCAGCGCAGGGGTTTTATACTGTTGATTATTCGATTTCGAGTGGCCATGGAGAGTATTGAACCCTGAGTGGCTCCATATGGCCGTTGCGTTCTTTGATTTGATCGCGTCGAGAAGCGTTTTGGAGAGAAGGAAAAACACGAGGCCCGCTTGCGCATACATATTTATTTTATTTTATTCCCTGGCGTATCTACGATCTGGGGGGACATCTGTTGACAAGGTTTTGCTCGACGCAGAGTAGATAATCGTGCAAGCAAATTTTCTTGCCTCGTTGCTCGATATTCTATCCTTCTTGTCGTGTCAGATATGTAGCTATTTTTGTGAGGCAGACGATGCGAGAAGGGAAAGCGGAGAAAAATGCGCCCGAAGGAAGGGAAGGGAGGGTAACAACTAGGAATTTCAGATGCCGAGATCGATCCGAGTATCTCGAATGTTTTCCAATTTTGCAGGTAGGCAAGGAAATAAATGCGTTGAATACTAGTGGGCCCCAAACAGGAGGATATTCGTTTTGTACTGATTTAAACGTACATGTGGAGCGCTGAGTATATGGAGGCTCGCAAGAGTACCTCCTTGATAGGCGTTTGCGCCGAAGCGCCTCAATGATAAAATTCCGTTGGATCGAGGTTGTTTGTCCCGGCGAGACTCCACAAGTGCATTCGAGTGTGGCTGAATAAGGCAACTAGTCGATACACCAACGGATCTTTAGCCGACGAAGTCGTGACTGAGAGTTATACTCGAGACGTTATAATTGAGCCGCCGGCTCATGATTGAGAAAAAGAAGATCGGAAAGCAGTGGGCATGCTATTCGAGACGTGCATCCATCCGTATCAACAAGTCCCGGTGGCTGACTACTTTCCGGAAAGAAGTAAGGCATAATCGTGAACATAAACATAGGGGGCATAGACCATAAGAGCATAATGAGAGGACAGAGGAGCATAGATCAAGCCAAGACTACGAGTCGGGAGACGCAAGCGTACAGATCCAGACTGAAAAGTAAAAAAGTCCGTGTCAAACAGGCGCAGATTCAACTGGGGTTACTCTTGATGGTGAAGGCGGGGCTACGATTTCCAGAATCGCCAAATACTAAAAAAAAGTATTTATGTGTCAATGTGTCGAAGCCAGATTGAGATTAGAGAACTCACAAACAACGATATAGTCATTGCGATCCTCGACTTGAGGTACCTTGAAGTCGACGAATCCATTCCGAATGTCAAATCCGGCAGCCAGCGGGGGATCTGAAGTGGGGAAAGCCGTGAGTGGCAGGAAAGACAGGCCTACAAAGCGACTTACCCAACTGAAGGTGCTCGTTGTCGCTGCCATCCTCGACATAGCCTAGGACTAGCTTCCCATTGGGGTTGGTAATATCGCTCGGCGGACTGGTGGCATTCCTTCAGGAGAAAATCGTAAAATGATCAGCCACCATAGCTCAAACACCCGACTGGCAGCGGAACAAGAGAACGTACCACGTAACACGAACGTTTTCGTTCCCTGTCCAAACCGTGCCAAGGGTGGGACTTGTGATCTTCGGGCTCCAAACGCCGCGGCGGGATATGGGGATGGAAGCGCCTCGAGCAATGTTCACTCGTTTGGAGGGAGGCTGACAGGGTAGGCAGGAAGCTTTGGTGTCGCGAGTACTAAGAACAAGAAGGGTGATGACAAGCGCAGAAGACGTAAAGGCAAATAACATCATGTCCAGCAAGAGTTCTGAGTATCGGTGAAAAGTTAAACAGGTTTTGTGGAGGGAGGTAAAAGAAAGAGAAGAAGAGCGATAATGAACTTCTTTTTGAACACGAGGATACTTATAGGCCGCCAATAGGAGGCATTGAGAAGTAGCCTGGATCACGAGCGAGGGGATCGTGCGCCGGATGTTTGAGATTCAACCCGAGAATATGCAAGGCTTTTCGTTGGTTTACCAGATTGCTCGATGATTTCAAGAGCCCTAAAGGTTGAGTTTGCAACTCAGAGTGCGATTTGCCGCGCAAATTCAAAGTTGACCGAGGAGTTGCAAGAGGTGGACAGCGACTTTTACTCTTCATCGTGGAGCCATATGCTTTGGCGTTCAGCGAAGCGCTCACTGACATCAAGTAGTGCATGCATAAGTATTAAGCAGTGGCTGAAGTGACTTCCCTCTGGATAAAGACGCTCCCTCCGCGCGGCGGCGTTTGCCGCTTTGTTTGGCTCACGTTCCTGGAGGGTCTTTTCGACCCTTTTTGGACCCTTGTTTGTTCCTGCCCTGCCAAGGCCACCTTGCCAAACAGTATCTGTGCTGCATTTCTCCCTCCTCCCCCTGAGCAATCTCCTGTTACTTGGATGTTAGCAATATGGGGGTACATCACACAGTATTAACATGTATTACAAAAAAATATGACAACATTAACATGTTTTACAATGATATGACATACTGACTGTGTTTTTTGGTGATGACCCCCAGAAAAAACTTGAGACTAGCTGGAATGTCGACACGCAGCTTCTGCAAAATTGGGCCTGTGTTTCTCACTAGCTAGATGGTTCCTATGAGCCCCAGAATATAAAAATCGAGCAAGAACCTACAATAATATCCCATTATCTGTGTTTTTTGCTGAAGTCTCCCCGAAAAAGCTTGCGACGAGCTCGAATGTCGATGCGCCGCTTCTCGCAAATACGACCCGTGTTTCCCACTAGCTAGACGGTTCTTATGAGCCCAAGAACGTGGAAATTGAGTAAGAACTTACAATATTATTGTGTGACCTGTATTCTTTGGTGATGTCTCCCCGAAAAAGCTTGTGACGAGCTCAAATATCGACGCGCCACCTCTCGAAAATGGGGACCGTGTTTCCCACTAGCTAGGCGATTCGTTTGAGCCCAAGAACATAGAAACTGAAGAAGAACTTACGATAATACTGCATGGCCTGTACTTTTTGGTGATGCCCCCCCGAAAAACTTGCGACAAGCTCAAACGGCGAGGTGCAGCTTCTCGCAAACAGGGACCACGTTTCCCACTGGCTAGACGGTTCTTATGAGTCCCAAACCGTAAAAATCGAGTAAGAACGTACCATAATAGTGCATTATCTGCCTTTTTTGGTGATGTCTCCCAAAAAACTCTTGCGATGAGCTCGAACGTCGACGCGCAGTGTTTCGCAAACAAGGCCCGTGTTTCCCACTAACTAGACGGTTCTTATGAGCCCCAAAACGTAAGAATCGAATCAGAACTCACCATAATATTGCATTATTAGTGTTTGTTGGTGATATCTGCAAAAATTAATTCTGACGAGTTCGAACGTCAAGGCGCAGCTTCTCGCAAACTGGGCCCATATTTCCAACTAGCTAAACGGTTCCAATGAGCCCCAGAGCGTAAAAACCGAGTAAGAACTTACAAAGATATGACATGCTCTGTGTTTTTTGGTGATGTCGCCCTCAAAAGCATCGCGACGAGTTGGAACGTCAATGCACAGCTTCTCGCAAACTGCGCCCGTGTTTTCCACTAGCTAAACGATTATAATGAGCCCCAGAACATAAAAATTGAGTAAGAACTTACGATAATATGACATGCTCTTTGATTTTTGATGATGTCGCCCCCAAAAGCATTTCGACGAGTTGGATCGTCAATGCAAAACTTCTCACGAAGAAGGCCCGTGTTTTCCACTAACTAAACGATTTTTATAAGCCCCAGAACATAAAAATCGAATAAGAACTTACAATAATATTGCATTATCCGTGTTTTTTGGTGATGTCTCCCCCTAAAAAAATTTCGACGAGTTGGATCGTCAACGCGCAGCTTCTCGCAAACGGGGCTCGTGTTTCGCACTAGCTAGACGGTTTTTATGAGCCCTAGAACGTAAAAATCGAATGGGAACTTACAATAATATTGCATTATCCGTGTTTTTTTGGTGATGTCTCCCCCAAAAAAATTCCGACGAGTTGGATCGTCAACGCGCAGCTTCTCGAAAATGGGGCTCGTATTTTCTGATAACTAGATAGTTTTTTTAAGTGCCAGAACATAAAAATTGAGTGAGAACTTACCACAATATCATATGTTCTTTGTTTTTTAATTGTGTCTCCTCCCCCAAGCTACACCTCTTTGTGTATTCCTGGGCTCGAGTATTCACAGGAGGTGCAGCTTGTTGAGAACTGCAGTGATTGAGCAACACAGGTGTGGGGGGGAGCACAGGGGGGCACAGGTGATGTTGAAAAAGAGGCCGAGGGAGGGGGCCAGATTGCCGTGGGGGATCTGATGGGGGATCGTCTGTAGATTTAGGTCGGAGCGTCTTTTTTTTCGGGCACGAAGTGTTTCTTAGAAATTTTGGCTGGGGGCAAAAGGTAAATGATGTACGAAAAGATGGGCCTAAAAGCGTAAAAAAGACGCTCCCGCATAGGCAGGGTCCTAGAGACCAAACAAAGGCCTTGGTGGTGCAAGGGTCGGGTGGAGGAAGGGTTGGGATCCTGGATCCTGAATAGGATCAGAAAAACCTACCACTTTCTCCACTCTTTCGGTTCCTGGTTGGGTGCTGCCGCAGTTGTCAGATCCTCGTTCGAGCTCCACAGCCTGTCCAGCGCTGTGAACGCAGTGCTCACCTGTGCCAGACCATTGTGGTCCATCCTTTGGGTTGTTCACATCCCGCGAGGGCGGGGGAGAGTGAGGACTGGCGGCTCGCGTGCGCTGTGCAGTGCTCTCTTCGCGCACGCGTGGGGCGGGATCTTCTCGGCAAGAGTGGGTGCTCGCTTCGCGTATGGTTGTGGGCGCGCGTTCTGCAGATAGATCGTTATGGCAACAGGGATCAGCCAGCTTCAATATCACGGCTAAGACCGATATTTGTACGCTGCCGATCAATATGCCGAAATTAATTATTGTATTTGTAACATAATATTGTTTATTGCTGTTTTCGAAATAAGTGGGTGACTTTCCGTAACTCAAATCTATAAAAATGAATAAATTTGACCCTTATCGGAGTTTGAAACGAGAACTTCACAGGAGAGTTTATTGGAGTGAATAAACCGTAACGCCAACTGATTAGATTCTATTTGATGTATTTGCTTGCCTTGTACAAACTCACTTCCCTCCCATCTGAGCTGCTCTGAGGTCGTGTAGGCCCGTGGATGGGTTTATTATACTGATTGTTCATCCACCCCGCTGTAAAATTAGACCACTCTGGGTGAAGCCCAAAAAATCCCAAGTTGAGCTGAACATGGCTGTGGATCAGTGAGTTAGGTGTCAAGAAGGGTGTTTGTAAAGGGAGCAACAGTTTCCGGGAGGGGATTTTGTAGCCATAAGACATTGACACTTCTAATAGACTCTGTAGTAGCTTTGAACTGCAACGAGAGGGAGCAGAATGCCCCAGCCGTAGGAGAGTAGTAGGGGATGAGGCAGAGCTGACTAAGCCATGTGGGAAAGAATCGTACCTAGGAAGGAAAGGTGTCCCCTTGGCAGGGTTGATTCCAGCGTTTGAAATCTGTTCGAGGGGTCTGTACCCTCTGAATAGATTAAGGTTTGTAACTGGGTTCCAACCAGGGACTCCATCAAAGTCGAACCCTTACAAGACTCGGCATCCCGGCAAAGGACCCTAGATTTCGTCGATTTATTCAAATCTAGAGAATTTGTGTTACGGAAAGTCACCCAGTAGTTGACGTCAAAATAAGGTCTCAAATGCCCGCGAATCCTCGAACACGATTTTCTCTGTAGATACTTATCATAGAGACATAATTTATAGTGTTTTGGAACCGTCTCGGCGAGCTCTAGGTCGCCCCATAGTTTATTTTATGAGAAAACGAAAACTACATCATACTGCTGCTGGAGGGTAGGTAATAGGTATGGACAGTGCCGAGACTGCTGCAAGAATTTCTCTGCCAATACCAAACGTAAAGCTACAATTTTGGGCGAGATAGAATTGCATAATGTGCACCTAGGTCGCCTCATAATTTATTTTGTGTAAGAGTATGTACTGGTCTTGTAACTGCGCTATAGGTGACAACACCCCATCACTTCCCTTCCAAATTCGGTCGTCACACGTCTTTATGCAAAATAAACATTTTCTACTCTATGATGCCAACGCAGTAAGAATTGTATTTTTTTATTGAGTAGGCAAAGAGAAATCGATGCAGCAATTAGGTGACTAACTGCTGCATCAATTTCTCTTTGTGTACTTAACAAAAAAGTATAATTTTTACTGCATTGGAATCATAGAGTAAGTATGTAGCTAGGTCGTCCCAATGTTTATTTTGCATAAAGACGTGTGACGACCGGATTTGGAAGGGAAGTGATGGGGTGTCATCACTTATAGCGGCGCAGTTACAAGACCAGTACATACTCTTACACAAAATAAATTATGGGGCGACCTAGGTGCACATTATGCAATTCTAACACACCCAAAATTGTAGCTTTACGTTCGGTATTGGCGGAGAAATCCTTGCAGTAGTTTCCGCACCGTCCTTGCCTGCCCTCCAGCAAAAATATGACATAGTTGTCATTTACTTTTGAAATGAACCATAGGGCGACCTAGAGCTCGACGAGACGATTTCAAAACACTATAAATTATGTCTCTATGATAAGTATTTACAGAGAAATCGTGTTCGAGGATTCACGGAGATATGAGACTTTGTTTTGACGTGATTGCGGCCGCGCCAACTATTTCGAAAACGGCAATAACAATATTATATTCAATAATTAATTTCGGCATATTGATCGGCAGTGTGGTCTTAGCCGTGATTTTTGAAGCTGGCTCCCTGTTGCCATATATTTCAATGAAGATACCAGATGTACATTGTATGGGAAACAACACGAATCAGCACTTTCACTTTGGCGATAACACGATAGGAAATTGTGAATTGATTGTGACAGTACGAAATATTTGATGGACAATATCAATATTAAATTGTAAATAGTTATAATTAGCTTCGGCATATCAGTCGGCAGCGTACAAATATCGGTCTTAGCCGTGATATTGAAGCTGGCTGATCCCTGTTGCCATAGATCGTGAAGTGGGCACGCGTTCTGCAGATGGATCGTTCACGATCTCTCACCATACCCCGATTCGGGTTTGTTTGGCTGCACCCTGTGCTCGTCACGCCTTCGTCAGCCGTGACGGGACCGTCTTTCCTTTCGGCCTAAGGCCCACTTCGGTAAAAGGAGTGTGTTGACACGTGACGCGTGACCGTTACGTGTTGCGCTTATCTAAGATCTTTTTCTGCCACTGACTCGTCCGACAGCCATTTGCGAGCCATTGACGCTTACCACCATCATCAACCACCACAATTGTATATATCGCTACCGAAGCAGGGGCTGACTGACTGGGATACAGCTCTCGAACGTAAAGTGTTGCTTGCACTTACCTTCAAGGCACAAGAGGTCTAACAAAACGCTTGCACCTTGTAAACAACAGAAACACTACATTGCGCTGCTTGAGAAAACCGCAGGACTTTCCTCCCTTCTTAAATGATCTTTTTTTGCAGCATTACACGCGTTCCTCGGTATCGTTAGCGCGTAGTCGCCGTGTTGTGAGACGCGAATTGTTATAAACGAAGCTTACGTTCCCAGTAATAGCCAGAAACCCAACGCTCCTTTTTCTGCCGGGTTTTTCGAGGCAGGGCCTTCCAAAGAATTTAGGATGACAGGCTTGACGCGAAATCTGCCCGAAACCGTTGTACATATGTCACGTCAATCGACGCCCACAAAGTCGACGCAAGACCGCCGACCCATGTGGGACCCCTCATATCTTTTATCACCTCTTGAAACGCTCTCGGAATCTGTCCAAGATCCTGGCTATGAGCACATTACTCTTCACGATATCACGGAATCGTACAGCATCCTTTCTATCAGAATACGCGCTGAAATGAAGGACATTCTGTCGGCCAACGAACTTCCGCCTGCACTGGCTGTGATGAAGACCCATGCATCGGATCTCGCACAATGTCTGGATCGGGATATCCGACTTGCATTATCGAGTCCTTTCTCACGTGAACCATCCCCGCCTGCTGTGTCGTTTTATACGGACGATCTGGTGAGGGAAGACGAACTCCAAACCGCTATTGATCTCGCGACAGCGTGCCACCACGCGCTTCGTCTTCTATCTATGATTTTTGCATTCGACCTATTGTCTTCAATCTTTCAAGGTTAGAGAACCAGGATGATTGTCGTGCTTTGTGCTTACTTAAATCCAGACAACGCGCTTGCGTCCTTACTGCGCCAAATCCTCGAAGTGTGCCAAGCGTACCAGCTGCCGACGCACAATGCGCGCAAAACATGCGCTTTGATAATCTGGATTCTTCAAGTTCAACAGCTGCCACCTGCAATCGTCATTCCCGAAATTCCTCAGATTATCTCTGTCTTAAGAGACGCCATTGATAAAGACACAGGAAGCGATACAGCCAAATTGGATGCGATCAAGGTGTTACCTTTTATGCTGGATTGTATTTTGCACTAATCAATTTTAGGCAACCCATCGTCTCTTGATGCGATTTCCCACTGAGTCTTTTGGGCCCTTATCCATACTGCTACCATCCATTTTGGGACACCTTACAGAAGGAACCCTGGAGGGGAGGTTCCAAGCAGCTTCCGCACTCACTGGTTTTGCCTTTGCAAAGATCTCTACACTGGATCGTTTTATCGACATTCAGGAAAAAATATCTCGAGATATTCACTCATACCTGGCTTCCCAGGTGCCCCGAAAGAAATCTTTCCGGACGGGAAATCTCTTGCCTGACCTCCTGAAGACCGCTTTGGATGGGAAAGATCCCTTCTGGGAAGGAAGAGGTGCCTCCTGGGCGTTTTCGGTCCACATATCACTACTTGTTCTCTCCGATTTTTCTCTCTTCTGTCACTCGAAAAGTCTGAAGGTAGTTGTTACGACCGTCGAACGGTATCACCACCGTCGTATCTCCGTTTCGCCCATATGGCGGACTCTCATCTGGGCATTCTCTCGCACTCCGGTCGGCCATGGCGATGGTCAAAAACGCGACGCGGACACTAGACTTGGTGCTTTTCTTCTCGTAAAACAAGAACTTAGAGGTGGGGCGGGGCTGTCTCTCGTTGCTGCATTGCTTCAAAGTCCTTGCTCTGATACCAGCGAGGATTCTGAAGACTCTGACATCTCGAAAGCTATCGCTATCACCCGGGAATTGGCTGTACAACCACTCAGCTCGACAAATGAAGGATTGAGACTTTTAAAGAGATTTGTTGGCTCCATAGGCATCCCCCATTCTTCATTGGGCCCTGTCGACGCTTCGAAAGAATTGCCACTTTTTCCGCACGAGCTCATCGATGGATCCCTACTAAAAGTAGGCTGTGACCTGGAAGCCTTTTTGAGTTCTATACCACATGCAAGCGTTGCGCTTGTGCGACCCCTTTCGGAGACGGAAATCAACGATCACTGGGGCAAGATTATGGATGTATGGATTTATCTAGCCGAGCGATCTATTTCTGAGAGTACCACGGGGGTTACGGTGGGTAGATCAGCTAGCCACATTCTATTTAAATATGCTAACATACATGTGTAAGGACGACCTTGTGTTTATCTGGCAAGCTCTTCTACTGGTTCAAGCACAATTAACGCAGGGCCACCGTCATCTGACAACGTCATCGGCATTCGCTGTCAAAATTTCTTCCCTGGTTTCGCGTTTCGTTATACCCACAGAAGAATGCGATGCCCAAATTCGGGAACTATTCCTGGTGAAGAAACTGTGGACGGTCATGAAAAACGTATTTGAGAAATCCTGGCTTGCTTCCCCTGCAGAAATCATTCTGGCGGCAATTTTGGAACAAACTTTTGGCTTTGAGAACAATAGCGTCAAAGCCTTGTGGAACCAGCTATGCGACGATTTGATTTCCATCGGGATTCCCACCATCATTCACATACTTTTCGTGAGGAGCGAAAGTCGAAAGGAGGAGAAAGAGCTTCAAGTAACGAAGCAACTCTGGCTATTAATGGCGGAACGACAACTTGCTAGCGATGAATGTAGCTGGGAGGAGTTGGTATTGCTCCTTGTCGTCCCTTTGGGGTAGGCCAAATTCTTCCCCTATTTTATTGACGGGAATGCTAACCTGAGTCAGCGCGTGGGCGATAGCTGAATTAGATGTTAGCGTTTGGGAAGATATCCTGAGAAAAGCGGTTACCCAAGCCAACGCTGCTGGTGGCACAGGAAGCAAAGTCATCGCTCATTTCCTGCAGAATCTTGGAGCTGGCAAAGTAGAAACGTTCGTTTTTTCATTTCATAACCCTACTGAGTCCAAACGTGGTTGACGATTTGAGTTGTAGGCTGAAGCAACAACCAAGCTTGATTGCATTACTCTTGTCCAGCGTTACAAAATCTTTAAGCCATGACGGACAAGCAGAATTGCTTTTCTTGGTGAACGGTGTCCTTTCGGACCTCTACACATCGGAATCCGTCACGGTCGCGTTAAAAATTTTGTATGCCCTGGGCAGCATAATTTCATATACTCCAAGTTCTGCCGTCGTTCAACTATTGTCTATGACTCAAGTTGGCTTGAGTCTTTGGTTAAAGGACGAGAGAAAACGACTGTCAGAGGAGGACCATCACGATCTTGTGAGTTTCCCAACAGTGTAAACCTTGGATTCTATTTATCGGTCAACAACCCAGATCACGAAGCTTTACTGTAGTTCCCTCTCTCTTCTTTCTGAACTAGAGCCATCCATTGACACGCTCCAAACTCTCGAACCTTTTCTCATTTCTGCATTTACCCGCATTCCTGACCCAGCGGTAGGCCCACTAGCGTTCGAAGACTTTTGGCGGGAAACATACCACAGTCAACCTCATATCAAAAAACAAATACCCGATAATATTCGAGTTTGTTTGAAGGCCTTCAGCGATTGGCGTAATAACAGCCTCGCTGAAGGGATTTCACTTGATTCGCAATCACAAAGCACAGTAAGTAAGCTTTCATGCGTCGCAGGAACAATTGTGACACACGTACAGTCTTCCGTCATTCCTGACTCTCAACCTCTCACATCCGCGAGACCTGAATATGAAGCGTACAATGTAGAACAATTGCGATCCATTCCAGAAACTCCGTCGGCTGCCATCAACGCGTCCGTTGTACCACATTACGATGAGGAGAATCCAACAACGCCGGTCCAACAAATGCCACCGTCCCCTGCTCAAATCCGATTCCGAGGCTCGGTATCTCCACGGCGCTCACTCACACCAAAGGCGTCTCATGCGCCGCCGGCCCTTATTGCTCTGCAAGGATATACCAGTTCCACAAGCACCGTCAATGATCCAACCATCTCTCGCCATTCTCTCGACCGCGACGTCATCTCCCGAAGCCTTGCAGGTGTCCCAAGAACGACAAGCCCCCGAAGATCGCGTGGCTGCTCTGAGGCTCCAACCTTTTCCGGAACGAACCGTTTGGCTGACACCACAAGCGAGTTGATTATCATAAAATATGCGTAAAGCTAATGTATTCTCTAGCAAACCTCAGTTCAAAGCGGCGAAGAACCGAACCGAACATTGCAGAACTTCATTCGGGCGAGGAAACTACGCATGCTCCCGAGAACACGCCGTCACCTTCTCGAAGGAAGAGGAAATTTGCTTCCGAACCCGTCACTCGAGCCCCTTCTATTTCTCTGATATCCGAGCATTCACTGTCTCAGCCATCGCGTCAACTAAAGAGACAGCGTCGCATCGAGCTTCCTGAGAGCCCTGCTCGTTCTCCGGCCTTTCCACCATCCGATGAGTACAGTAGTTGGGAAGCTGGGGTCTCCGCGGAGGACTTGAAAAGGATAAAGTACGAATTACAAGGTGGTTCCGGTATGTGGATTTTACTTTTCAATACTTTGACTTAGTTGAAGAAACTTGCCTTTTTTACAGACCCGGATGCACCAGAGACCTCCTTTGAACGAAGTAGTGATTTCATCAAAGATGACGCGGATCACACTGAAGAAGGTACGTGAGCTGGAAAATGTCATTCAACTAGCTTTTACCATTTTTTTTTGCTTTCGCAGGCAACATCCTTCCAATACCTTTGCGTAGTTCGTACCCAGAAGAATCGAGACGAAGAGATCGATCCCAAACAGCTCCTGAACCAGAAACAGGGTCTGCGTCACTCCATCGAACCGCGCTGAAACGAAACGCAGTGAGTGAAGCCCAGCTGGACGCGTTACAACACGCGTATGCCGTTGTTGCAGACACAGACGGTGTGTCGCAGATCGCGGTCCAAGATCTCATGCAGGCGAGGAGGCTTGCGAATCGAATAAATCAGGTCTTAGACGAACAGATGTGTAAAAAACTCGTGCGGGACGGTGAGCCTTCTCGGTCCGGCAATTCCTAAGTCAGCTCCAGCTTGACTGACGATGTCTACTTACGTCCCAACACCTTTTATTTTCTATCTCTCTATCTTTATTTCCATTCGTTTCCAGTGTATCTTATTATATTTCTCTTCTGTTTCTGATGGACGACTTATGGATCAGAGTGTATCATTCAGGGAGAAAATGAGATAATAATAAAAAAGATCTGCGCTCCGTCTCCGGTTGTATGATAGTCGGTAAACGCATCGGAAATCTCCATACACGCACAATGGAGAAGCGCCGCAACGCGCTAGAAAAAAAATTATTTGGTATGCTCTAAGTTTGATCATTGAGGCGTTGCGTGAATTGTCAGTTCCATCCGGACAGAAGAAGGGTAGACTTACGCATAGGAAAGGACAGCCTAATCGTAGACGTCACACCCATAATCTTGGTATCCCTCCCGCACAAACGTAATGATATGATCTGTCACGAAATAATTAGGAAGGCTCGTACGAAGAAACAATAGGTGGCTTGCCTCCCAAGGTTCGTGTCGTGAACCCTATTTCACAATAGCAGTAATAATCTAGAGGACAGGGTCTCGGCTTCAAGTTGTAGAGTAGAAAGAAAAAGACACGGCGCTTACAGATCCATTTCCGTCTAAATACCTCAACCTCTTCTCGCGCTTTAATTGGGTCGCACTTGACACCCATCACGTCAGGATATTCGCGTCTGAGGGCGGGAACAATAACGCTCTCAAATTTGGCCTCAAAGCGTCGCCTCCATTCTCGCAGTGTGCGCGCATAGTGCGGCCCAATATTGGAAATGGAGTCAACAACGAGGCGTCCTTTGGAGCCAGATTGGAGAGTTTGAAGGAGGAAAGTAAGGGATGGCAGGAGACCCCCTGGAAAGACTGGTTCAAGTTAGCCTTCAGAATTGGATAAATTCTCCGACGGTACTCACTCTATATTTTACCGATTTTAATAACAATGCAAGTTAGATTTGTGTTCGGCTAGAAATTGAAGGACGCACCCATTTCCGAATAAAGTCTATTTCGTGCATGTATTTTTCGAATCCTGTTGAGTGGGGTGTCAGCTTCCTCTCGAGGAAAACGACGGTATATACTCACGAGCCTCAGGTATAGTAATCACCTGAACAACACCAACACCTCCCTTCTTCTTCATCGCCCAATCTACAACGCTCCAATATCGTTCTAAAAATTCATGCCCGACATTTTCTATCATCTCTACGCTAATCACTCTATCAAAAACGCCTTCCCACTCTGCAGGCATTGCGCGATAGTCCACAAGGTGTACTGTAATCCGGTTGGCAATGTCTGGGCCAAGAGCTCGTATACGGTCCTGCGCTAGCGACTGTTGTTGCACAGAGAGTGTCAGGGTGTCCACTGTTACATTTGGGTATTGCTGGGCGATAGTCATGGCCATAGAACCCCATCCAGATCCGATTTCTAAAACGCGGTTTCCGTCGCGTATCCCGGCTTTTTTGATGATGTGCTGTAATTTACGAGTCTGAGAAGTTTTCAGTTCGTCTTCGGGTCCTTCGTTCTGTTGAAATAAAGTGATCCCATTGAGAGGTATCTGGCCCGATTCTGCTGGCGTTTCGGGTTGAGAGAGCGGTGGCGATAAAGGAAGAGTTTTTCGGGGTTCCAGTAGGCTTTCTAAGCTTTGCCCGCTAGTCCACTCGTGGGCGCTGGTGCTTTTTCGTCTAAGATCGCTATCCAGGTCTTTGAAGATACCGCATGAGTATGTCATATCTTCGGATAGGAAGCCTGAAAGAGTCTGGCCTTTAGACTGGCCCTACGTATGAAGCTATTCAAGACGCACCGGCAAACATATCATTGGAGATGTCATAATGGGCCGAGATATTCGATCGCGAATTTCCAATGGTATTGAGAAAACGGTAAGAGGTAAGTTTTTGGGGAAGCGACATCAGGTATGAGAATCGGGAGTTCAAATTAGAGAGGTTATCCTTATTTATGAGAAATATCTGCCGGGCATGTTAGCCCTTGTGAACGATATGACTTCGCCTGTCAACGCTGACCTGGAATAGTGATATCAAATCGTCGCACTGCACATCTCCATACATAAAAGCTTCGGCAAAGCCGAGGTCGCTCATTGTACACAACCGAACCCAGAAGCTGTCGTTGACAACCCTAATTTCAGCCTTGACGCCCGCCTCATCATGCTCAGCGTCTTCTGCAGGTAAGGTGTAGGTTTGTCGATTTGTCACTATTCGCAGTTGTCCAACGCGAATGTTCTGCAAGAGCCTAACTCCCTCGTTAATTGGAGGTCAAAAAGTGAAAAGGAAGAACGTACTTCACGACGGCAGCCTCAGCCACTTTGGTGACGGGTGACCATCCTGTTCTTACAGCTGCCTCAAGGACACCGCTGCAGACCCTGTCAGCCAACGCGATGACGGAGAATGGGTGCTTTGCTGGCGTGTCTAGAAGCTGACTGGACATGAATATGGGAGTGAAAGGAGGAGTGATGGGCGCTCAAAGTGCTGACGCTTACCTTTATAATAATCTTTTACCCAGCAGGGAACTTGGTCGCTGGATTCAGTCCGATATGACGACCTGATTCCGATCACGATGGCTCCATCGAGAAACGTCACGTAAAGATGCTGGCTTATCCGAGCGGCGAGAACCGAGGAAACCGGTCCGCGTGCGGGCAACGTTAAGACTTGCCTTCGAGCCTCGCGTACTCGCGTGTCCAAGTAAGTAGTCTTTGTCGGGTCTTTGTCGCTGTACATCCTCTGATCTCAATACATCACCTGCCTAGTCCGTTCGACATCTTCCACGTTGAATACTGACCTCGGTGCTCGCTCAGATCTTCAACGGCAGCCTTCCCTAAGCCTTTGTTCCTAACCGATTCTTTTTGTAGTGGTAAACGTTCGCTCATCGTTGTAGTCATAGTGTTGTAGTTTTGGTTTTTTGGTTGTGTGACATTGCTTGAGTTGAAAACTCGCACTTCCGTGTGAATCATGATGAGAGGGCCAGATTTAATTTTTACATAGCAAATGGTGCTACGTACAAGACGGTACAACCAATAGAACTTACTCGTGGTTCACTGAAGTTAGATATAAGTGGTCAGGATATAGTGTAGGATGTGGTTATATTACATGGATAATGACAAATGCAATGCGAGTACTGGGTACTTAGTTTCAGATGCTTTTTCAACAACCACCTCCAAGAGATAACCCAGATTTTCTAGCTGCTTTTCGACTTAGCCGAATTGAGGACCGTGGAGGTATGGGTGGCGCTGGAACAGTCGCCCCACCTACGAAATTTCGCAGTGGTGCGTGGGCTGGTGCCGAAGTCGCGTAGGGGGTGGACAAAGTTGTCCGGTGTTTCTTGAGAGGAGATCCAACGTCAAGGTTGAAGGGGTCGTCGTTGCGTGTACGTTTCAGAAGCGACGACTTTGAGAGGTTATCAACAGGTCCATCGTCTTGAGGCCAGTTGCCTTTGTCAAGGATGGATTGCCATATAGCCCCTAGCCTGCGATGGTCATGAAAAATGAGATGTACGGTAGCGTCGGAGGGATCAGCAGTATCGGGCTGAGGTTGATCCACCCCCGAATCCGAACTGCCTTCGTACAGTTGCCTCATAATGGTCCGCCGCAACCCTCGAGCCCGAAGGTACTTACGTGTCCGAAGAGTCGCGTACGACAGCCAATCTGCTGCGGCTTCGAATGCGAACAGGAGCCATTGTTGCAAGGGCGTGTTGTCGACGACAGCAAAATCGGGACCAAGTTCCCCTGAATCGAAGAGTAAAGACCTCTTTCCGCGCCCCCCTGTAAAGTTGCCATGATCATCTAATTTGCAGTCGTCGAATATCTCCTCCATGATGGAATGGATCTTATGCACTTGGGTATGATTCACATATCGAAGGACGTGAAACAAAACAACGTAGACGAAGGATTCAATATCGTCTTGAAGGTCTTGTAGTTTATCCGGATTTTCGAGAAGCAAAACTGACATAAAATGCCAAGTTCCCTATTTACCCATTAGCGCGATCTCACAGAATGGATAAATTTAACTTGCCGAACGGAACAGCTGTCGAGGACCACTGGCCATATCGGCAACTCTTCTGGCTTGATCCCAGTCATTAAGGATTCCTCTTCCGTCATCCTTCATCATAACATTGTTTCCGCTCACGTCGCGATGAAGTATTCCGCACTTTTCATATGCGTCTTGATGAGCTAAAGGCAACGTTGGCTGCCATCGCAACTTAAATGTTTAACATAGTGCGTACCGATAAACGCATCATAAACAGCTTGCATCAGTTGTTTCGATGAGGTAAAGTGGCATAGATGTTTGCCAACAAAATCTTCGAGAAAGCGATGTTGAGCGCGAGAGGTGATCCCCGTCCCGCCAGCGTTCCAAGGCTTGGAAATGAATTTTTGGGTGAGTGTGAGGTGACCGTCAATGTCGTCGCCGCAGATGAGCTTCGGAACGTTGCGCACGCCTGCCTTATTGAGATCCGATAGAATCTCTGATTCTTTCTCCATTCCCACCACAAGGGAGCGCCAAGAATCCTTCAGAAAGACGACCTTCTCGAGCTTGAGGTCGTATACCGGCCAAGCACGCGTTGCTCTACCAGTCAGCGAATCCGCGTCGGCCATCGCTCCCCAAGCAATGACCTCACGGAATCCACCTTGGTCTTCAGGTACTTGAAGAACGATGATGGGCCGTTCCTTCTTGGGCTCCCAAGGTCGTAGGTTGAGATGAGCGAGACCTTTTTCGCGTGGTGTGGCAGGACGCACGGTTGTGTCACGTCCACGTTGCTCAGGTGTGAGGTGAGCGAATCGCCAGAGAAATTCTGCGAAAGTTTGTGGTTCCTGTCGCCAGTCAAATGACCGAGAAACGATCGCCCCAGAGCGGTCGGCTCTGATAAACCGCATCCCGTCGTTCGCAACGTAGACCAAAAACCCGTGCGTGCGATGCTGGCGACTGAACCACTCTGTGAAATATGACGCGATCTGCCCTCGACACAAGATTCCGGCGTCCGTATTCGTCTCGAACGAGTGTTCTGTCAACTGCTCTGTAGTCGCGGTAGGTTTGGGGTCTTTGAATGGATGCGCCGGTGCTGAAGGAGGCTTGAGCTCAAACATTAATTCTTCCGCCTCGAATCGAATAACGTTCTTGGCGGTGGCGACCTTGCTGAGATACGCAGACATGTCAGGCCTGATTTTCTTGTGGTCGTCTGCGTTGTTGTCGTGGTGATTCGATGTGTCAACGAGCTTCAGACCAGGGAACAGTCCTGCGCGTTGTACGATCTCCACTTGATCCATATAAAATTGTGCGTTACAACTCAAAGAAATATGGCTCACCAGTTTGGTCGGCATCGTCTTGTCTCCCGTCGATGGCAAGCTTTGAATGAGGTCTTCTGGCACTTTAGGCATTGGGTTGATGTCGCTCAAGGGTAAAAAATCATCCATAAATTCTTGAACAGGCATCGGCCCAACCCATAGGCCTCTCATTTCTCGCTCCAACTGTCTCCTCATGTCTTCGAACTTCCTTTTCGCGAGATTGATTGGTAGGCAGCCTTGAAGGTTCTTTTTGATCGGTGAGCCTGATACGGTTGCTCTGGTAAACGCGGTATGGTTAGCCGCTATCGGTTCAGACATGTCGGGATACGTACCAAGCAAAAGCTGAATACAGACTATATAGCTATGAAGGACGCGTTGTCCTGAGTCACTGACTTGGTGGCTTCTGGTGGCTTGGTGGCCAGTGGCCACAACAAGGCCACGATTACTGTTAAGTTTGCAACCATTGTTCTCTTCACGTGAACGTTTCTGCTTCGTTTAGGGCTAGCTCATTCGCCAGATTCAAAGCTTCAAAAGCTTCAACGTTCAACCTTTCAAGCTTCAATGGTCATGCAACTAGCTCAATGTTTGCTCGTCGTTGTCATTATGATGTTATTATTTTGATTTTTTCGTCGTTATTGCTTGATTAAATAAATTTGTTGTTGAAAATTCGCACTTCCGTGTCCCAGCCTCATGATAAGTAATTAAACAACCACTGGCAAGTTCACGGCACAAGATTAAGAGGGCCAGATTTTACATAGAATTTAATATTGGGCAGCCGGTTCAGGTATCTGAATGTTTACGAAACAGTGGGGGATGGCCTGGGCTCCACGGTGTGCCCATATCTTCGTATGTATGTGCTTTGATTGTTGAACACCACCACAAACGAGATAATCGATTCATCCTCGCAAACCCATATCGTCGTTTGATCAAATTCAGTTCCTTCATAACTAAGAGACATTAATCGCAGCCCTCGAGGAACGTAGCCCAGCAATCTTTCGCCACACCACGGAAAGCATCGTAGTATTGTAGGGCGACGCGCCGATAATCCGGGACTTCCATGCCTTCGAAGGTCCTTTGTCTGGCAGGCGGACCACAACGTTTAACGACCGTTGGCTGAGAGGGGAATTGACCAGTCGCGACACAGTCACTAAGCTGCCGTGTAACCGGGACTTGGTAAAAGAATGGCCGTGTTCCCACCATGGTAATACACGGAATGGTCATCAAGTCGAGTACGGGAAGATTGAGATCCACGCGCTTCTGATTGTTGTGTTGAAAGGCAGCAATCGCCTCTGCGATGATTTGAGGCTCGGGGTTACTCGCCTTATCAGCCTGAACGGCGAGAAGAATCATGGAGTTGAGGGGAACAAGACACACGTCCGATCTGGCGACTTGATGACTATCCCCACAGATGGTGAAAAGAATATTGTATCGCGCGCGAAGGACCGTGCCTCTCTGGTCGAAACCCGTAACTTGAAGAACACTTCTCGCAAACTCAATGATGTCATTCTCCAGCCCAGCATCTGCACGCGTTGCCAGATCAAGGTGCGCAAGAAAGCGATAGGTTTCCTGGGAGAAATCAACAGCAAGGGTGGGATCAGCGGAGGAGAAGAGGTTGGAATCAAGGTGGTCGATTGAGCCAAGGTCATGTCCAAAGAAGTTAACGACGTCTTCACGTTGAACATCGATGTTGTATGCAAGCAATTCATTCGTTGACCAATCATTCCCAGATTTCGCAGAGCGGAGTAAATTTGCCATAGGAGCGAGGTTGTGAGTGAGTTTCCTGTCAATTTGACTGGATAAAGTTGCGAGGTAAGTCACAAACGCCGATCGCCTCGGAAAGGGGTTTCTCAATTGAGCTTCAAGCTTCAAGTCCTAAAAACTACACTGGTCGACGTCCACGACAGACTAGATATATTGACTATAATACAATCCACAAATCAATAATGATACAAAATAAAATCTAACTAACAGCACGAGGGAAACAACAGGAACATTCTACCATTGAAGGCCAACTCTCTGCCTCCTCACCACAACATCCTTGGTTGGAGACTCAAGGCTCGCAACGGAATCATCACTTCCAGGCATTTCAGAAGCGAAAACATCCTCCATCGTCGAGCCATGTTCAAGCTTGCGCTTGCGTAGGGCCATAGTGGAAGAAGACATAAGATAGCTCGGTGTGACTTGTCCAATGTGGGGGTCATCATCACTAGAAGCCATTTTCTGAGAACGCAAGGAATACGTCCTCATAATCGGACGTACACTCTGCGTCACACGTAACGCAGGGAGAGGAGCCGACGTCGACGAGATTACAAGGAAAGGATCCGAATCACTGCTCTTTCTCCTCTTCCCCAAAGCGGCGGGGATGATATCGCTGACAGCCCTCTTCATGATCCGCGGTGTCTTGCGAGTAGGGAAGGGCAGTCGGTCCGATGATGACGCAATCATCAATGATTCAAAACTCTGCGAGTGCTCCAACTTCCTCTTCCGCAGAACTTGTTGGAGAGTGGGTACAACCACAGCATCCATAAAAATCCTTTTGCGGGTGACAGGCGTGGGCGTTGGGGGGCAGGAGTCATCTTCACTCGTATCCTGATCGCTGGTTGCCTGCATGGGAAACGGTAACAACAAGCTAGGCAAGGGCAGAAGAGCGTTCTCCACATATCGCTCGTCCTCGCTCTCTTTGCTGCTACAAGTACTTGGTGGCGAAACAAGGCTGACTGGAAGTCCCTTGGATTTCGGGGTTACACTTTTAGCACACATCCTTTCCCTAAGCTTCAGCTTCTTCGTCGGTGATGGGCGAGCAATGCTCGCATCCGAGTCGGAACAAGCAACCTCCTCATCAGCGAAAAGCCTTTTCTTTGAGCTGAGGGGTTGTAAGCTGAGCCCCAAAGCGGCAATTTTCTCAGCCACTGTAATGGGAGTGGCAGGCAATTGTGAGCGAGGAGACGCGTTTTCCTTGTTAGCGCTCTCCTCTTCGTCTGCATCGCCAATCCTCCTACGTTTCGCAGGAGAACCGCCTGATTGATTGGAGATGGAGCATAACGGGGTTCGTTTTGGAGTGGTTGGGTGGTAAGAAGACGACGAAGCAGTTCGTCGACGGACAGGGGATTCGGGAGATCGCATAGGCAAAGGGAAGGTCTCGAAAGACGTGGTGAGAGGCCTGTGAGGTCGTCGAGGTGATTGTAGGTTGAAGGATGCAGAAAGTAGAGGGGTGCTTGGGGGGATGATGGGGGCTGCTGGAGACAATGTAGGTGAACGCTCCGATTCAGAAGGCGCGCGTTTTGAGGCATCCTCCAATCCGAGACAGTGGAGAACCTTTTGTGGCCAGCCTGCTTCTGGGACTGGCATGTTGGCATATGTAAATTGCCAATATTCGTTGAAAGCCTCAGCAGCAGCTGGCGGCATCGTACGACCAGAAAACACTGAATCAAGGATAGGTGCCAAAATTTCAAGAGACGCAATATCCTGCGGGAGCCCCCGAATCTTGTTCAAGAGGAACTGGTACAGGGGGATGATCTAAAACGAGACAACCAATTAGACGCGCGAACTGACTATTTTTAGATCAAACTTACGTTGTAGTCCAGCTCATCCATTGACCAGCACTCGTACTCATCCGACAGCCACAAGCATAAGCCTTCCTGGAGAATCCCCAGCATTTGCAGGCACAACTCCAAAGGACAATCAGTAATCATCTGGGTAATGCTTCTAACAAGCCACAATGACAAGGGCTTGTTCCTCGGTTCAGGAGGATAGGTCGAGCGCATAGTGTCGTTGACGAACTCGACGAGGACCTCTGGGATCTCGCGCGCTTCCACGATGTCCAGATGGGAAATGAGTAGTTCTGCCGCGCGCGTCGAGGAGATTCCACTGGTGGGCGCTTGGTTGGTTGAGATGAAAGTCGTGATATTGTCGAGGACAGTCTGGGAATCCAAGCCGTAGTCGTATGCCTTGCTGATCACCTGTTCGAGGAGCTCTCCCCATTGGGCATCTTCCTCGGTTCTGAGGCCCCATTGATTGGCATCCCTGTAGGCGACAATCAGCATTCTTTCTCTTTTTCAGCAGGGACAAGACATACGTGAACGGCACACCAAGCAAAACGACACCTGCTTCCCAATGACCTTGAACCTTCTTCCACTTTTCGGCGCAAGTCTTCCAAATAGTTTCCTTGTCTTCACTTGTCCAGTCCCACTTCCTCCCGCCCTCTCCGCATCCCCAGAAGTCCCGCATCGAGTCTACGTCACAGACACTGAGCACATCCGTGCATAAAGAGGCCCAAACAGCCCGAGCACTACCCTCGCTCAAAGGATCCACGAGCTCCCTCTCATTGTCCAACAATGACTTGAGCAGGTGTTCTCCAGCATCGCCAAGTTGCGCACTAGGGAACAGAATACGCATTGTTTTCCACAATTTTTGAACGGTTCTTGCTTTGTGTTCGCCATTGGTGCAGTTGCCTGGTCTGACGTCGTCACGGACGGAGGTGCCGAATTTAATAGGGGATATTGACTTCTCAACACCAGGTGACGCAGGCTTCACTGTAAAGTTAAGCCTAGGGTTGCTAAGGATTTCGGTCAGGATCTTTGCGGCGCGACGCCCAAAGGCAGCTATGCCCTCATTATCCTCGGATTCTAGAAAAGATGATAATCTTAAGATTGATCCTGATGCAAAATAATCGAAAATTTACCTTGAAGCACATTCACTGTCGTTTTCAACAGAATTTTCCATATGTATGCAAGTTCATTCTAAACATAACATCAGCTGAACGGTTACAAGAAACCGTGAACAGACTTACCGGCAAACCCTCGTCGTCCATTTCGAGCATATTCAGTGCAGTCCACCAGACCGAAACAATACCATCAAATACCCATCCTATCGCAACTTCCTCCTTCGTTAGACACCTGATATCATCAATAGTCGGCACTTGTTGGAGGAGAGGCTGGACGGCAGCGGACAGGTTTTTGAAGTCAGCTGTGAGGAGCCCAGGATTTGAAGAAAAGAGAGATTCCGGAATCAGATGGTTGATATTCCATTCGCGGGGTCGAGATTCAAAGCTGAGTAGATGCTGGAGAACGGCAACAGCGTCGCCGCATGTTTTCCCAGCTTTATTGATCATTGCGACGAGGACGTGAAAAGTCTTCTGAAGGCCTTCTTCAGACTCGTCTGCCATGAGGGCAGCAATTGTTGCTACGCCTGCTTGGCAGTCAACAACAGTCACTAGGATCCTCCACAGTGATTCTTTGGACAAAGTTTCTGGTCGAACGACCTCGTTGCCTTCCTCAACTTCAGATTCTTCCCCCATCACTAGGGGCAAAGGCGGTGCAGCATACGCCCAGGTTACGACACGCCATGCAACACACAAGAGGCCACGGACCGTGCTCTTCTTGTGTGCGCTGGCAAGGGTGAGCAGCGAGCAAACCAACCTGCCGAGTTTCTGGTTTGTGTATAATTTGGAGCCAAGAAGAACGACAAAGCAAGACAAAACGCTGATAGCCCATACTGGACCTTGGGCGACATTGGTAGGATCTACAGCAACCATGGTCGTTCGAAGGGTTCGCACGATAGGTGCCTCTGAAAGCTTGCTCGGTGATTTCTTGGTTGGCGTCACAGGGATAGTGGTAAGATGATCAGCAATTATGTTGGCTATACGCGTGTGGTGATGGGATTGTGGGATGGAAATGGTGCCTAGAACGAATCCTCCGAGAGCGTGGCATGCTTGTATCCGCAAGGCGAGGGTGGGTGCGAGGAGGTTGGAAAGGATTGATGGTAGAATTTCTATAAAGGATGGAACAAATGTGGCAGGCAGAAAGATAGACAGGTCGTGGACAGCCTAAAAGAAAAAGATATTAGTGGGTTATAGGAGGCAAGAGCCGGATATATGCACCTTGAGGCCATCATTAGCGGAGCCTTTCTTTCCTTCCTTGCCAAGTTCGCCATCCATGCCACGTCGAAGCGCATACGCTATACGATCTCCAGCCGGATGGAGAACGTCAGATGGGAGTCGTTGGACTTGAAGAAGCCAAATGGCCAGTGCGCGTGTCTTTCGTGCGTTTGGTGTGGGCAGTTCCTCGGCAAGGGGGATTGCTAATATTGAGGTCAACATCGTCCGCAAATCCTCCGCTATAACGACATCGTTAATCAACTGGCAGAAAGTGAAGGTTTACAACGTACTTTCGAAAACACTGTAAATCGCAGGCGTGGAGAGCACCACGGAAAGAAGTCTGATAACAGAGAGGCACGTCGTGGCAAGGTCGCGCGCGTACTTAGCTTGCTCTGCCGACATACCGCGTTTCTTCACTGGACTGCTCCGTGGTGACGGGAGGCTAAACTTGGGGAGGTGTTCTTCGTCTTTTAACCATTCATCCACTACCTCCTCGGTGCAGGGCATCACGCTTGCAGGGTTAACTAAAGCCTTCCCAAGATCCCTCACTACCGCATCCACAAACGCCTCCCTATTTTTTCTCAGAGGTTGGAAGAGTGGCCACGATGCGTCAGCGTCGGTGGAATCTGTGACTGAGGTGCGAAGTCGGACTGCCAGCACACTATACCCTTCAATAAGGTCGCGTAACGACGCGTCGGCGCCTTTGAGTATTATCGAAACAGGATGTTCCAGGTAGCTTAGGTTCACCAGGGGATCCGCAGGCTCCGGGGTCACCTCTCGCTCCTTGGTGTTGTCATCTGGCACTGCCAGCAAAGTGGTAGTTTCCTGCCGTCTCTTAAGAATTGACTTTACGGGGCGTTCCCTGGACGCGACGCAGGGCTTGGGTGGCGTTGTGAGAGAGTGGTATGAGTTGTGAGACGACCAAACGACGCGACCTGGCAACGGCGCGGTGACAGTGAATTTGAAGTTCTCCTTGTCCAGTCGGTGAGAAGTGCTGGGTGGTGTGAGGAGAGCCATCCTGAACGTCGACAACGGCGAGCTGGAGGGTGAGCTAGTTGTGGAGGGTGTCTGTCTCAGGTGGCCGTGTCCAAGGGTCAGGACGAAAGACAGCGAAATTTCGAGTGTGACATGGTCTGTTAAATGTCACGAATTGTCACTACTTAAACGCGTTTGTGTACGCGTTGTTTGCTCCCGCTTGATTCACTCCCGCGCATGACTGACATTGACTAGGAGTCTAGGACTGTCCATGGCGCTGGCGTTGACCGAAGGGAGCACCTATGGATGAGTATTTTGAGGTCAATTATTCTCTTAGGGTTTCTGACGCAAGCCGTGACCGGAGTCTAGAATGGGCTTCGATAAAAGCCACTGTAAAAATTGCAATGTTAGCCCGTTCCATCGTATTCATGCATGGATGTAACCAAGGAATTGCAACTGTCACTTTGCCGGAGTGGTTAACGGGATCGCCTGCTAACAACAAAGCGGTTGGTCTTTGACCGCGAGTGTTCGAATCGCTCAGGTGACGCTTTTTTAATGTCGAGAATGTCGAGAATGATGAACTCAACAAAAGCTACACATACCCTTGGGAACTCTTCACTTTTTTTCCTTCCCTTGAATACGTAGGTCAAGGAGGCGTAGAGGAAAGCCCAAACAGAAAGTGGTCCGCCATCGCTCCCATAGTCGGTAGCGCTAGGGACCTCTGACGTCGCCGCGTGTCTTGACATTTTTGACAAGACCAAAGTTCCAAATTAAAGTAGATAAAATCCAACAATACTGGTGTCGTAAAAAGCGGCTTGTGTCCCGATTGTGCCGTTGGGAAGCATGTAGACGATTCATACTTGCTCCGTAAAAGCTACTGCTTACCTCAAAGCTCGAGTAAAAAAAAATGCAAAGTCAAGACGAAACCCAAGCCGCAAAGGATGCGTTTATCGAACATATTCAGTCCTACCAGATCGAAAAGTATCATCCTTCACCAGCAACAATGTCGATCTTCAGGTCGACGGCAAGCTGAAGATCGAGGAGTTTAGGTCTACAGATCGACAAGGGCGGTCACATGAACGCACAGGTCAGATCGACTTCCGAGAACAAAAAAATCGCAGAAGTCGTATGGACAAGACTGGCTCAGGTCGAGAGCATAAAAATAAAATAAATCTTCGCCAGCTTCATCATCACCGGATCAAGCCGATCCTCCACACAAAGGTCGGGATGCCCAAATGCCGACGGGCCAGAGACGTAAGCGCGACTCAAGGCGGAATCAATGTCGGGTCCACTGGAAAGCTCTGTGCGTCTCGGGTCTTTGCACTCCGAGATTGACAGAAATTTGAACACAGGCCTGTCAAGTGAATCCTGTTCAGATCCACCAGTCACCAGTAAAACGGCGAAAATAATCCCGAACGTACCACGACGATGAACGATTAGACTCATACCATATATCGTGAAACCATTCGACAAGCGTTACACTTCACAGGACCGGACGTCCGCGCCACAAGCTTGTAATACGACATTATCGCTATTGATCGTCCATAAGATAGACAGACACAAAGAGCCACCCGACGGGGATGAACGACCGAGCAGATAGTCAAAGTCGAGTAAGTATGCACATATCGTAGATCTGCATGATCCACCCCTTTTACTAGTAAACCTGCTCTTGATGAAATCATGGAATTCAGCCACAGTAGACGTACTCAATAAATGATTTTATTAAGCCAATACCCCGGCCCGGACGTTCTAGTGGGCCATGCTCGCAGAAAGAGAGCACCTGCTTGCGGGTATGGGTGATTCTGGCTAGGCGAGCCGCGATATGTTGGCTAGCGTCGGTGAATGACGACCCGTGTTGTGCTAGTCGAAGGATGTGCACTAGAAGATGGATCCGCAAGACTAGAAGTCGACGAGGAAATCACAGACGGCAGGTCATGTCCCAGCAGCCCAACGAATGATGAACAGATAATTTTTGACGTTATTGGCCTCCATACGGAGTGCGCCGTGTGGTACCCGTACCATTGCAGTCACCGTCATTCCTCATACACGTGTTACGGGTGCTTCTCGTCTTCGAGTATGACCAACAAGTTACGACGTCGACGACAAAAACAATCTACGAAAGAAACCATAATGAGTCAATAAGATCGATGGCCACCTCCTGAGTTTGCGTCAAAGCTGGATCTTCCAAATGCCAGCATTCGGGTCAGGCGCTGAGGTCGAAGTCGCTCTCTCGGGGAAGACTAAGCCAATCCCATGATTGAGAACGGGACATAAGGTGTGTTTGAAGGTACCGTGGCGCAGTTCATGTTGTGCGTCTTCCGTGTTCCGCTGCTTTCGCCAAACCTTGAGCACGCAGAAGACGTCGACATCCCGCTTATCTCCTCCATAGAACGACACGTTGTGTACCACGCGTGCTATCGACGTCACAGAGAACTGCGGGCAGAGCAAGCGAAGCCCGAAGGCATCTGTTTTACAAGCAAGTTTACGAGGATTCTGGGCCGATAGGATTTACAATGGCAGAGAAGAGAAGGTTCTAGGTGCGTCCTTAGGCTAGCCTGGTAGAAACCTTACCGCCTCCAGCTTACGATCATTATCACAGCTTTTCACGATCACTCATGATCATTCTTGCCTACAACCGTCATCACGCACTGCTTTCGAGGATGCACGGACAACATTGCTCCGTCACCATCCGTAGCCATGGATTTATAAAAGCCACAGGCAAGTTACTCCACTCTCATCACCCAACAACTCATTTTCTCAACGACTCAACCAATAGCAACCTCACGACCTCTCTGACCATCATGAAATTCTTCCTCACGACAATCATCTTCACGCTCTGCGCCCTTCTTTCCTTCTCCACCGCTGCGCCAATCAGCGCCGAGCTGCTCAAACGCGATGTATTCGTTCCACCCGTGATCTCCCCGGGCAAAGGCACCGTCTGGAAAGTCGGTACCGAGCAAACAGTCAAGTGGTAAGCCCAAATGCAAACCGCAAATCACTACCGCCGCTAATCTGATCTGCACCTGCAGGAACGTTACCAACCCTCCCAAGCAGATCACCAACAACAAGGGCGAGATTATCCTTTCCAACAATGGTGTCCTTGACTTTGGTACGTTCCTTCTTCCACTCACACTGGTCAAGTTCTCATTCCATTGTAGCCAACCCTTTGGCTGAGGGTTTTAACATCCTGCTTGGTGAAATAAAGGTGACGGTGCCAAACGTCGCCTCAGGTCACAAATATCAGATCATTGGTATGTTGAACCTTATCGTTGCGACGTTTCGTGGGACTAAGTCTTTGTTCTCTAGTTTTCGGTGATTCCGGAAACAACGGCTCCTACTTTACCATTACCCAATGAATTACGATGGACACACAAAACAACGACTCTCATGGACTTGTATAAAAAGTTGACATTCACGTTACGGACCCTTGCATTCTAATTGCTCTCATCCCAATCACCTGCTTCTCTGTGTATTACGCATGTATCACTAGCTAGTATATACTCCTCATAATCTCGCATCTGAATTTGAAAAAAAACTATATGGGAGAATTCTCCTCCATATGCACCCATGTCACCCGACGGGCGCTTCATACGGTCACATGACATCCAGGAGTACTTAAACCAAAGTGACAGAATGTTTAGGACTTTGCTGGCAGGCTTCACTTTGTCTCCCACCACCTAATACGCCCAGACACGCCTATCCAAAACTGTGAGAGAGCCTACTACCCACTGATGTCGGCAGCGATAAAAGCTAATCTCCCCACAGAGTTCCATCACATCATGTTCGGTCTTCTCAAGCTCACTACCACCATATGCTTCGCCTATACGTTTTTCACTCAAGTACATGCATCCCCACTATCTCGCCGCGATGTCGTCGCGCCCCACATAACGAGTCCTGATGCGAACAGCGTTTGGCCCATTGGAACTACGCAGCTCGTCACCTGGTGCGTTGAATTGTCTTCTTCCACACAAGTTCCGGCTCAGCTGACGCGTCCAATAAATGATAGGGATACTTCGGACCTTCCTCCGGATTCGCAGATCACAAATCCTATAGGCCAGATTATCCTGGGCTACAACGAAAGTAACAGCCTGAACCTCGATTTTAGTGAGTTGAGTTCTACGTTGGCAGGGTCGGAAAGCTCGGTGGATGTGCAGGGTGCAAGGCACTGCCAAGCGTACTTGCGCGCATCATTCAACGCCGACCTATCTATCATCATTTCTCCGTTATCTATCATCGCTGACTACAATCATTTCGTTCAGCCAACCCCCTCGCAAAGGGGTTCAAACTACGCGATGGAAAGGTTCAAATCACCGTTCCCAACGTTCCCCCTAGGACGGACTACTTAATCGTCTGTGCGTACCACATGACCTTTGATGCGAACTGCTCTGACCTGCTTTGCTTCGATCAGTATTTGGCGATTCCGGTAATACGAGTCCTTCGTTTGCTATCACCGCGATTACTGGTAGTGGCTCACTCGCGGCCACACCGCAACCGTCGACCTCAACGTCGACGGATTGGACGAGCCCCCCTTTCACTGGGTCTGTCATAACCGGTGGGATAAGCGAGTCAACGACGACGACCACCCTCGATTCGTCGACGACGGTTACGGTACCCACATCGACAACCTCCGGCTCGTCGGCGTCATCTTCGTCAGTCTCGGGGAGCGCAGCCTCTGCTTCTGCGAGCACCACAAGTCAGTCCAGCGCCGCGTGGTCTGTACACCGTTCAAGCTGCCTATTCAAGATCTCCTCTTGGGGCATGGCCTCCTTGGTTCTTCTTGCACTCTTTTTCTGAGCATAACGCGATGACGAAGAGAACATGTCTCATTCTTGAAGAGGAAACAAAGGAAGAAGAAAGGCAGTCGATTGGGCTGCCTGCCGAACGAGTGAACTTTGATGTTTTTATTTGATTTGACGAAATTTCTTTCAAGGGATTCCATTTCATGTGGATTTCGTTTCATGTATATGAACTTTTGGCTCTTGATCATGACCCTCCTCCCCATTACCCCATGCAATATCCCCCCTCTGACTGACCCCTTTGCAATATCCCCCCTCCCCTCCCCTTCCCGCATCGCACAGTCACGTATATCTTTTCCCTCGACGAACTACGATCCATCCCCCTCGCAAGCTACATCTACCTACCTATCTATCCGCAAGCATCAACATGTACTACCACATTTTTTACGCACATGCACAGAGTTTTGGTTTGATCGCTTTTTGTTTTGCTGCTCTCATGTTATGCACTTGGTCTTGAATCCGTGATTTTCTTTTCGTTCTGGTTGCTATGTAAGTAAAACTTGAAATTTTGGCCTTCGGTTTTTTTTGTGACTGTTGTTCGTCATTGGGACCGCTCTGGAGTGCCTCATACAGATAAGATAACTGTCGCGTTTGGCTTGTGTGTGCCTAGGGCTTGCTGGGCTCCTCCAATTTGAGTCTTGGAAAGCGGGCGATCTAAGACTTCAAACAAAGAGTCCGAGCAAAACCTGAGCGTCTGGGCAAAACCTGAGCGTCTGGCAAAACCTGAGCGTCTGGCAAAACCTGAGCGTCTTGGTACCATTGCACTTTGATTGCGCTTGGCAAAGTCCTAAGTTGAGCGAGTCTAATTATAGTCTCAATGACCATCCCCCCTGGGCTCTGGGCCCCTGAAAGGCATCCCCCTGATATATTTCCGACTCCAATCACCTCGGTTGCTTCTACTTCCTCCCCTCTATCCAGCGAAATGGAGCTCACTTACATCGCTCATGGGAGCAACTGAAGGGGAGCATACTTACGACGTTGAATGACACGGCCATTCAAACAACGATGCGATGATGAAGGGGAAGCAAGTACTGATTCTGCTACTTAGTACCGCCCACTTAGGGGGGACGCGGAATTGATATAAAAGTTAAAATTTAAAGAACATGAAGCGTCAAAGCGTGGAATCAGTAAACGGCGTCTCGAGGCTTTTAAAAAAAATTGTCGTAGAAGAAATCGTCTCATAATATCGTGCGCGGTAAGGGAAATCCAAATAATAATACAACATCCATCAAAACCGGATGGAGGAGAAGAAGAACTTGCTTTCTTCCTTTCTATGTATGAATGATCCAGGGGATTGAAAAATTTCAGGCGCATCAAGCGCGTTCTGTCTGTCTATGCTGCATGACGAAGATGGAAGAGTGTCATAAGATAATGATGCTGATAAAAATGGCGTCATGTGGGCGGTCGGGGGTAGAACGTTCAACGTCAATGTATCGCAGGGCAGGGTCGTATTCTGAAATCGTGGCAGGGAAGATGACGCAAGAGACGAAAGCGGGGAAGATGGATGACGCAGCCGAGGATGGTGGGGGATCTATTTCGGTTGGAAGTGCCAGGTGACGACGAGCTGGCCTTGAGAAAGTGGTGCGAGTTGTTGGAATACGGCTGGGGACATATCTTGTTACGAAGAGGTGAGTATCGAACGATTCAAGAGACAAAAAGAGATAAGATACGGACCAATGTCGTTGTCGCCGCATGATTCACAGCTATCGACTGTCTTTGCATAAGCAGTATTTCCGTTCGCTGTGTTTACAATTTGCATCCACTGTTTGTGATGGGGTGGTTAGAGGTGGTGATCTTGGTGTGCGTTGCGAATGGAAACAGATACCTGGTTACAATTGCTGCCTTGGTTGCGGTCGTAGAAAGCCTTGCCCATGGCGACGATGGGATCGTTGTCATTGTTCCATTCGCCGCAGTTACCCAGGCCTGTATTGAGTGCAACTTCAATAACGGAGACAAGGTGGAAGATGGTACAAAGACTGACCAGGATGAAACCAGGTACCCTGAGAAGAGATGTCATGAGCGCTCGGTGCAAAGAAACAAAAAAGTAACACTCACTCTTCCGGTGTGTTGAACGCGCTTCTCGAGCACTTGGACGTCATGTATCGGAACAGGCGATGCAAGTACCACAACGAGAGACGCGAGAAGTGCAAAGAGGAACAGTACGATGCGGGCCATTATCGCAGTATAGCTTCACTTAGATCGAGTGGCGTTCAAGAGGAGGGATGCAAGGCGAGGGTAGGGTGGGGGACTCGGGGTGAGGGCTAACGACATTGGAAAAGCAAATCGCCCGAGCTTTTTATACTACCTCGGCATGCTTAGAGGGGTAGAAGTTACGACGCGCACATGCCCATTCGGCGAGCCATATACGGAGGTATGTGCAGGTCGGATCTGGTTGTCAAAAGAAATTTTTCGGAGGAGTGACGTTCGAATCCAATTGGAGGGAGGGTGCCCGCATTTCCGATGTGAAAATGAGTCGCGTCGCTCCGGAGGTACTTACTTGGGACATATTTTTGGGGTTGCTTTGTTGTATATTTGCCGCGAGGACAACCACGCGTAGCAATGTAAGGGTCAAGTACGCGGACGCGAATTTCCGAGCTTTCTTTTTTGGAGGAAGGGTACGGCACTAGTGGCTGCGACTGGGCATGGAAGACGTCGGGCCGTGTCATTGCGGAGGGTGGATGAATGAAGAGAATGCTGTAATGAACTACCTTGAAATAGACTTAGTCCTACACGTTCTTAGTCGCGGACCTGGATGTGCAACTTTACCTTCTTCTTTGACGTTGGGGAAGGGAAGATTAAAAGGGTTACGTAACCTTGTGTTATCTAATCACGGCAATTGCCAGTGCGCCTCATTGTCCACTCCACTCCTCTTGATCCTCAAACACTCTCATCGTTTCTAGTATGTTCTCTACGACTTGATCTGGGTCGTTTTCTGCTTTTTAGATCCTATCATGTCATCCCTTTTGGCAGGGAGCGCCTGAAAAGGCTTAAACTTCTGTCGAAAACATGCCACACTGGCAAAAAGAAAAGCCAAGGTACACTCGGGCTTACACCCCAGCACGAGGAACGATGACGAAAATTCATCAGTGTGCAGGTTTAAATCAACATGCACCCCGAATAAATGACAGAACCCAATTGCAAAAGGCCAATTTGATTGGCTACCCCCACGCTCAGTGGCCCAGACACCGCCGTCTCCTTCCCTTTCGAGCGAACATACTATAAATGTGTTCACCTTCGTCGGTTCCCTGAAAACGTGTACTCCTGAGTGGTGTCTTACTATTTCTGAAGGAGGAGATCACTCCAAAATAAAATAACACGTTGTTCGGCCGATACGTATTCTAGGACGCCCCAACCCGACAGTTGTTCTTTTCTTCCCAACTTGAACAAGTTCCTCAAATTCTAGTGGCATCACAGGCGCTCATGTTCCTGTCACGAGGTGGTTTTCGCGGCTTTGAGTCCTTGCGAGGCAGGAGGTGTGGTTCCAGACAATGGTTCGCTGCCGCCAAGACCTTCTGTTGGTCAGATGCTGTTGCGCACACTTAACGGATAAATTCGAGAGCTCCCGGTGAGCATATCGCCGCACTTTTTTTTACCTGCAGTGCCTGCACAAACATCAAATTCCTAAAAATTGAGCTGACGTTGAGCGAGACGCCCTCTTTTTTAAATAACTGCTTCCATTGTGATCATGCAATTTCTCGGAGATAATGTAAACGCGCGGTAAGCGCCAGGCCCGGGAAGTCACAATGGCAACATTTTAATGTTATGGTCGTTCGCGAGCCTCCTTAATGCCGCTCATTTGCTTGTACTTCGTATCTGGAAGAGGGGTATGGTCAGCTTGTACAACTAAATGGGCATGTATATCGGTCTAGGATTGAAGTCTAGAGAAGTCGACGGTTTTATCCGGCGGCCTGGTCCAACCCTTGAACCATGCGCTTTGAAATATTCTGGAAAGCTACAAGTCGATCCTGGGCTACTACCAGTTACACTAATAGATTTTTGGCAACTGGTCATGCTACAAATATCTCGCCGTGTCATTCCCAAGGAATGAAATCACGGGTGGCTGCTAGTCAGTTACCGACTGCACTTGATATAATTGCTATGCATGCTTCGGTATCCGAAATAGCGACCCTACAAAAAAAACGCATTTTTTAGTGCAATTTTTTATTTTGTTCAGTATTACGCGAGAGTGGTTGCGACGTTACTACAGTCATGGTACATGCAAGAGGCGACAAGTTGGCGACAAGGTTGTTTGCCAGCCTTTGTGCATGTGTTGGCAATCAGGGTAGCCCCGTGACCTCCGCATCAGAGACTTCCTCTCTGCTCCCATCTCACTGATTCCATCTTGCATACACCTAGAGGACTTCACTAGTAACGGGACGTGTCTACGATTCTGATCTTTCGTTCCGACTACAAGACTAAAGATGGCGGAACCCTCGGGTCGAACTTACGGCCAAGCCCTTCCGGTATGCACGCTCTCATCCGTAGTACCTTTCTCGAAATGCTCATCGATATAGGATCAAGTCGAAAAAATTGCGGCGCTGTTTGACGCTCATCTTGAAGTTATTAGCGATGTAAGCGTGGGATTGCAGTGTTTCCTATGCATTGCTATGAACCATCCAGGTCCGAGAACTGTACAACGCGCGTGCAGCTCTCGAGCGCGACTACGCTGCGAAGCTGCAACTCCTGGCGAAGAAAGCAGGGGAGAAGAAATCTAAAATGGGATCTTTATTCATACTTGGCAACGACCCAACGAAATCCTGGGACGCCAACACGCTTAAGCAAAGGTCAACTTGCGATTCAATCCATTCCGCGTGTCTGGCCTTAGAACACATAGACTGACGCATTTGTTTTAGCACACTAAACGCGGCATACGATGAAATCATAGGCTCCACCACAAGCACTTCGCAGGATCACGTAACCATTGCGGATGCATTGACTTCTCAGGTCGTGGAAGTCCTTGGTGCAGTGGAGCGCAAAAATGAGGAAGCAAAGAAGAAGGTGACTAGTTACCTTGCATTGTACCAGGATGTTTCTCTGTGGTAATTCTGCGTGCCCTAGGAAATGCAGTATTTCCAGAAGCTACTCGCGGACAGGGATCGTGTATATGCTGACCGCCTCAAGGTGAGACATTCTGATTGGTAGCGTGGTATTAATACTAACAAATACGTTTTGTAATGAAAAGAGCAAGCAAAAGGTCGGCCCAAAGAGTTGTTAATTTTTTTTTCAGCGCTCACTACATTCATGACAGTATGATGAAGACTGTGTAGAAGTCGAATCATTTCGGCTCAAGCAGGTAAGTCATAGGTCACTTCATGTGGCAGGAGATGCGAGATCTCACCGCAGGGCCGCGCAAGCGATGATAAACATGCCGATCGAGTTGCGAAACAAGCGGAGCAGCAACGAAACGATATGTTGAACAGCAAGAAGTGCGACTTCGGTAGTAGATTATCCCCGCTCTTAAATAGGCCAGTGTCTATCTGATCTCTACGGCAATCGCGAATCAGGCCAAGGACAAATTTTATAACGAAGATATACCTATGCTCGAGAATGTAAGGGCCATTTCAACAATATGGCGGGATCACTGATATTTTCCTCAGGAATTTCGTACGTAAATTTCCTAGTAAAAGCTTCTCAACACCAAAACGCTCTTTCAAGAAACTGTTCAAAGCCGTTTAGTGGCCAGATTTGCAAAGATCCTCCTCTACGCGCAGAGTCTGCAACTGAGCCACCTCGACGTCCTCCGATCTCGAATCACCAACATCCAGTCCAAACTCAATCAAGTGGATCCGCTAAAAGACCAGTCTTTGTTCATGGATTGTAACGTCAAACCATTTACGGCACCTGGGGATTGGAAATTCGAACCTTGTTCGACGCACTACGACACGGCACGTCGTTGGATCTGAGACTCTACATTTTTCTCACAATATTTTAGAATGCAATGAGCATCGAACCAACTCCCAAGGTCTTCATTCAAAATAAATTGAGGCGGTGTCGGGAGAAAATGGAGGAACTTCGGCCCTTGATTGAAACGAAGCGTAGGTCCATCGCTTGTTGAACATCCACGGAATCTTCTGAGGGGGCGCAAGGATAGGCAATGAGCTCAACCGCTTGTCCAGCCAAGTGCAAGCGTATACCGCAGATCACTCTTTGGGCACCATTGATGAACTCACTGACGTAAGTCGGCAACAAAGCGGAGGCTCCCTCGGCTGATCATGGCCAGGATTATCTGGAAGCCGAGCATCAACTCGCGTTGTATACAAGCTCTGAGCGTATTCTAACCGCTGAGATTGAAACGATACTCGCCGCTGTTGGAGGCGAGTCGTCTTTTTATTACTTTTTCAAACGACTCACTGTGAGAAAAGATGACGAAGGCGCCCATAAACCTCATACATTCAAAAGCTCGGTATTCTCCATCCCGACGCAGTGCGGGTACTGCAAGGTTCGTCAAGGCGCCTTATTGGGCCTATGGTGATTGACCAACAAAAATCTGTTAGTCGTCAATATGGGGACTGACTAAGCAGGGGAAGACTTGCAAGCTGTGCGGGCTGTCAGTCCACTCTAAGTGCGAGCTCAAGGTATGTGGAGAAGACATATTCAGGTCTCCATAATAATTCGGCCACATCTTTGCAGATTCCCGCAGACTGCCAACAATCTGAAGCGCAGCGGCCCTCGACCTTGACATCAAGGGCAGGTACAATATCTTCTCGTACTAGTGTACTAGGTAAGGCTATTGGTATTTTAACGGCTGGGGTAATTCATATAGACTCATTAAGGGACGTTGACCATGGCTCCTTCGCCGTCCTCCTTCGTGCAATCGGCGGCAGCAGAGGAACCAGGAAAGGAGGAATCCTTTCCAGCCGCTCGTGTTCTTTTCGACTTCAGTCCTACCTCAGAATTTGAACTGGAGGTTTCCGGTGAGCGGCAAATTTATTGTGTGGGGTACATACGCTGAGATGGAAAGTCAGAGGGGGCGATGGTTCATATTGTTGAGCCTGATGATGGATCGGGATGGGTCAAGGTTGCCGATGAGGACGGCGACAGAGGCCTTGTTCCTGCATCATATCTGGAATCTGTTCAAGAGGTTCCAGGAAGTAAGGCGAAGACGGCTCAGCGCGGGTCTGGGAAATGTGGTATGTGTTGAGTATGTTCGGAAGCGGATAGATGTTGATTAACCTACATCACACTTAATAGTGAGGGCCATATATCCATACGAATCACAGGGGTCGGATGAGCTGGGGCTGCAAGAGGGCGATATTCTTGAGCTTTCTAGCGGTCCGAAAGGCGGTCAGAATTATGCAGGCGGTTGGTGGGAAGGTAAAGATTTGTGACGCCTTGAATAATGCGAATTATAATTTTTATGGGTAACAGGATTCAATGGGAAGGGTCAGAAAGGGATTTTTCCGAGTAATTATGTGAGTGGCATCGTGATACTTTTGATCTGCGTTCTTGACCACCTCTATCGAACAGGTCGAAACGGTCTGAGCTTCTGATCAGTATGTAAGGAGCGCGACGGGTGGATCTGATGGCCTCAGACACTTCAAGTCGAAGTGTTTATCTTCCGTCTGCAAGTACCACGCTAATGCCTACCAGGGAAGTATTTATTGGACAATTGAGCTCGGCTTTGAAAAAATCGGGATGTGTTTAATTAGATATACTCCCCGGGTAATCAAAGTGTCTTGCGGAACCGCCCCAGGCTCTGCCTGAGGGAAAGTTATTGTATATTAGGGCATATTAGTTGGGCGGCAACCTCCATAAAGGGATGAATGCTTCCATTTTACATTTGCTCTGCACTGCCGATGCCATACTAGATACCTGCAAATGATTTTTTTTTTCTCCATCCGTGCATGACTCGGAGATCATCAATCCCTTTTGAATGAGTATGTGCACCACGATGGAGAGTTGTCGCCGTATCAGCGATACGGGGTCGAGGGCACACCCTTGCTCAATCCGTGTGAATGGGGAGATTGAAAGGGTATTCTTGGCGTCCGTTCGCCTCTAGCACAAGATCTATCAACTCTACGAGTTTAGCAATACCTGGTCAGAGATTGTAAAATTATCGGCCCCCTTTCGGCAAGGCCTGACCTCCGGTGTCAACCAAGTTGAAGAAACTACTAGTATTGGTAAATGGAGTCAATTTGACAGGCCACAAAGAGGGACACAGACTGACCTGAAATTTGAAAGGTCCGTGTTACGACCCAACCGTTATCCGTGATCATAGTGGCCCAAATTGACTTTGAAAAGCTGAGGGCCTGGGGCCGAAGACATGTCACTGAGTGATAACGCTGGTGGGCGTGACGCGTTGACTGGGTATAGCAAGGCGATTGAGATCGTCAAGCACTATTTTCCGCCTAAATATAATAATCGTCGGAAATCGCCCTCTCCGTGTATGCAATTACTAGCCAGGATCAATTTGAAGATGTCTACCGTTTATTTCGTTGTGTCTGGCCGATGCCAAGGCCAACGTGGAATGTGGGCAAGAAGTGTGTCACCTACGCTAGAAGGTGGCGGCCCTGGTGCGTGGTTTAGACAAAAAACTGACCATCGCCCAGTTCGTAAGGACCCAGTTTTCGCTTCCTTTTGTTCTTGAATCCTCACTAGAACCTGCCTGACCGTTCTGCCACTATCAATTGGTATGGCTTATTTTGCGGCGCATACTGGGCTCCTTGTGTTGTCAACATGGTCCCTCCCCAAGTTATACGCGTTCGCCATGGCGTGATTTTATATTCCTGCGGTGGACGACTGCGAAGACGCCTTTGTGGATGGCAGTGTCGCACGGCAATTCATGCCTTGATAGTTCGGCCTGTGAGGACTCCGTGGAAACCTGAAATCCCCCTGACCCCTCATTTCGAGCCAAGCCCCATAGATTCCGAACGCGCCGCAGACCTAGCGGAGAGGCGAAATGCGGCATCCACCCTTTCATAATGAATCCAGATGGAGGTTGAGCTTGAATATCGTTGAATTCCTCTATTCGCAGTCTATCTCAATTTTTGCAGACCAGAATAGCGCCAGAACAATTGCCAGTGCCCAGCCTGGTCCAGACAACAACACACAGTGACAGCGTGAGCCGGAACAGAACCTTCAAGGGTGCCTTAGGTTTGAACATTTGGTTCAAGATTCAATGTTGCGAGCTGGAACAGCCGAAGGCTGGGTCAAGTACAAAAGATATCTTGAAGTTAACGGGAAGAACCTCCTCCGAGTCAACAGGATTTGATAGGTCATGTGACAAGATGGTAAGATATAGACCAAATCGACCCTACGCAAGAGATACTACAATAATTATTGGCACTGTGAGGACCACGCGTAATGAAATCGAAATGTGATGATACACCAACGATGAAGTACAGAGCTGACAGAGCCGTGGTCCCAGTAAAGAACATTGAACAGTGAGAAGGAAGAGCGAAAGATACACTGTACAGACACTACCTCCCTCCGCCCACCAAAGACGTTCGCATATACGGTCCGTTGGCACCCATAGGACCATATGTTCCAGGCGTCATGGTATTCTGGAGTGCACCAGATTGAATCTGCCCCATTGTCAGGCTCACCCCCTGACTTTGCTGCTGCGACCCCGATGCACCTGGGCCGGGAGTCTGGTTGTGCACATCTCTGGCAGAACCTCGATCATCCCTCTCAGCAATCGTCGCACCGCCTCGACCTGGATCTGACAGGCCATTTGAGACAGAGAACGTCTGACCAAGTCCATACAGCTTCCCGGAGTATTCTGCGTCGTCAATGTGATCGTTGAAGTAGAGCTCCCTCATCTTAAAAAAGGTGGAGGATGTGAGAAGAGAATCTGATCCTGCTTGGTGGCTGGATCCGATTCGCATGACCTGTTGGTCAATAGATGGAGTCGAAGGTATTGATCTTCAGAATCAACAACGCACCCCCAGGTCATCTGCCACGTCTTGCAAACCTCCCTTCAGCACTTTTGACGCCCGCATGAGGAACTTGATGTCATAGACCGTTGGAAACCATGTTGTGAGAAGCGAGAAAAACGCGTCCTCTGTTGTCGGCAGAGATTCGCCAGTAAGGAGTTTGACAAAGTATCCGAAATCGTAGCCACTAGAAAGAGATCCTGGCCGTCAGTTATTTCTTTGGAGTCATAAGTCACAATGAGCCACTCTGTAAAGCACTGCTGCAGCAAATCACTTCGACACATTCTTTGGTGTGATGGTACAGTCTGCCTCTGGTCTCCAATTGAAAACGTACCTATGAAACGATATCCACTTCGTCTCGGGGGCCAACACCATCCCCGACGTAATCATAAGCTCCGCAAAATCATTTGGTAGAATCCCTATCTCCTCGTGCCGTTGAAAATCAATACCAGACTTCTGCAACAGCTCTATTGATTCGGGCGAGTACATGTCGTCGCTAGACCATTTGATCAACCTCCCTCATTCAAAGTACCCGATTCACAAAGTAGCACGCACCCAAGGCTAAATTTGAAATTGAACTGCCACGTAGAGCAGTCCTGCGGGAACAACCCCTCCTCGTCTGCCAACGTGATTCCAACTTGGATTATTTTGAGAAGGTCGACGTTACAGCGCATTGTCTGGTAGTGGTAGTCCGATGAGGTTTTGAAGTTACCTATCGGGCGCGCCACCACTCCAGGAAACTCGGTGTCCTGACGAGGCTGAGGGTAAGCTTGGGCATCGTTACAAAGTGAAAGGACACGACCATTGAAACATACGAGTATTTATCAATGGCTTCGCGGATGTTCCGCATCTCTATCTCAAGGTTCGGGGCCCACACGTCCCGTATTCGAGCCATATTATGGTTATCGAATAGGTCCTCCAGATTGGCAACGGGTATGAGGGTTATTGAGGTGAGGAAAGTCGTGCGTGTTACGTAATTATGAACAAGATCGTATAAAGACGTTGGGTATACATGAAGGAACAGTAAATGAAGCAAGGTGAATGGGTCTCAAGATAAGCAAACAAGGAACACTAGAACCAGGCCATGTAACTCGTCTCATCCACCAAACTCGGTGTCAGCGCGCCGTGGTCAAAGTTGTAATCTTTGTTCTCCGCTATCCGTGGCGATGAAGGGGTGAAGGGTGTCGGCTGTGATGTAGCGATGGCGTATCTATCATCTAATCCGAAGCCCAGTGACGAGTAGTCGTAGATGTCAGGCATCCACGATTCTCCAGGGGTGATGTTCAACGCTGGCTGTTGCTCCCATGAATCTTGCTGGGGAGCGGAGGGGTACAGTGAAGCAGAAGTTTTGGCACATTCAATGAGTTTTTCAGCATATTCAGAAAGGCCGGGATGTGCGTTGGTAAATGAGGGCGGTATACGCGCTTGTGGTTGACTATATCGCATATTGCTGTTCTTCTTAGTCAAGGATTGATTGCCAAGGGGCTGGAGAAGTGTCCTGCGCGACTTGTCAGCGAGCTTCTGCATCACAGGCTGTCAGGCGTAACTATGTCAGCTCGCGCACACGATACGAAAAGTGGGACATACAAGTGCTTTCCCGCTAAATGGTAATATTGTAGCAGCCTTCCTGAACAACTGACACGCTCTCTCCATATCTTTCAGTGCATAACTTGCCAGTGGAATCGAAGGCGCCCGTGAAATCAGCAAAGAAAGCGTAACAGTAGCAGAAAACGTGTTGAACCAGAAGTGCAGGAACCTGGAGGTGAGCTGCTGTTCCCGTTTGTAAAGGGTTTCGACAGCGGTGATCAAGTTTGATGCGCTGAGATACGTGGCGAGGACTGAAGGCCCATAATCGTGATCAAGATCAAATCCATCTGGTCCACTCATAGCATCTGTGAAATATTTTCGATGGAGTTGAAGCAGAGCTGGCAACAAGATCGCACTGTCAGCTTCGACCTGGCTACATACGAGAGGGCGAAATGTACCAAGTTCACGACCAATGGCAACAAGTCCGCCTTGCATAACGAGAAAACGCGGAGTGAGGTCTTGCATGATGTTGTCGTCCAACATTGTAGGAACATCAAAATCCCGAACTGATCCGTCCAGCTCTAAGATACGGGAGTATGGGGGTGCTTTGACTGCGACCATCGCCTCCAATATCGGGGAGAGGCATTTTATGAAGAAGCCGCTTTTCCATTCGTGGTCTACAAGATCATCAAACCGTGGTTAAACCGACAGTGGATGACTCTTACAAACTATTTCCTGGCGAGGGACGTAGATCCCTGGTCCTACATATGTTGGAGTTTTCGCATCGACGTGAGCCAGGCAAATAGACGGAGGGCGACCAAGTGAAAGGCTCTGCCCATCCCACATGAGTAAAATGCCTCGGAAAGAACTACGTGTTGACGTACCATCCGACAATCCATATTGAGAAGTTCCCAGAAAACGGCACGACGCTTCTCATGTTCCTCTGGGATGCCCTTGAGTCTGGGCGCATCGCGGTCTGTTTGTGGCAATCAATGTAACCATGCGGAGATCCACTATGAGAAGGACCGGCGAAACGGGACTTACGTAGACCGAGCTAGGGTAAGAGGCGGATGACTCGTCAGCGTGCGCTCCAAGGCGGCATATGATGATGACTCGACTCACCCCTTGAGCAAGTTTTGCGACAAAGCCCATGAGGTTCCAAGCATACCCCACGGCTTTCTTATTATCTGAAAATATTAAATGATACCAAATCATAAAGAACTAGGCAACGATCAGAACAAATTCGTTTAGAGAGCAAGTGACAAACCAAGGCATGAAGAACATCAAAATCAGGCTCCTCCATGAGAGGAATCTCACAAACAGCAGCGCGGGCTAGGTGGTGATACGCTTCGCCATGCAAGGAGCCAAGAGGTTGATTGAGATCAACCAAAGAGCCAATAGACAAAACCATGAGCAAAAGAGCCAGCCTGCGCGGGCTCAGATCTTCAATGGCCGTCGAATAACAATAATGCAAAAGATTAGGAAGGAACGTCTCAGACGCATCGAGGTTGTACCTAGACCCAACAAAAGTCAAACTCAGACGGCAGCAGGTGTCGTGACTACTCACTGCCAAAGAGCATTTCGCATTGCTTCTTCGCATATGCGTTGTGCTTGATCCTTGGGCGGGAGGGAATCGCGGATGCGCTTTCTAATGCTGAGGTCGACACACCAAGGGAAGGGGAAGGTGGCACTGAGTTGAAGGATATCAGGTGGGACTTCAGGTGTGGCTGATCCCCTTCCATGACGACCCAGCTCTGTACCTCGGGAGTTGGGTCTGGGGGCGGGGGACTGGTATCTTATGGGTATAGAGCCCACAGATAGTCGGAGGTTTTCATCTTTACCAGCAGGTGCAGCTGATGACGGTTGTAGAGGAAGAGGTTGTGGTAAAGGTGGTTGTTGTTGCTGCTGTGGCGTTGGTGGTTGGGCATTTTGCGCGGTTCCATAGAGCTCTTGTGAAGTTTTAATTTTTAGCAGTTCAGGAGCAAGGAGGGGGTGAGGATGGCTTGAGCAAGTTGCTTGTAGAGCTTCAAGTGCATCTTCAAGCTGTCGCACCCGATCGCCCAATTCATGAATCTTCTCGTGTAATTGTTCGGCACCTGCAAGAATAAATCTTTGGGAAGATTGATTAGGGGGATAACAAAACTGCCATTTATGGCGGACGAAAAACGAACCGACTGCCTCGGCCCGATGTGAGAGCACCTGGACTTGTTTAGGAAGAGTAAGATGTCAAGAGATGCCGAACGAACCTTCAGGGCAGAGGCTACCGCAGCCCCTCTTCACGCATGACTGAATCACAGAGGTCAGTGCCAAGTGGTCTCACGACACCGAGAACAACAAGAGCTCACCTGGCAAGGAAAGACGCGGTCGCACTGTGTTCCAATGAAGTGTAAGTATGCAGTAGGATACTTTCATTTCAACCTGTAATGCGAAAAGCTTGCCTTGAGCTTTAACCTACGCCATGGAAAGCAAGGTTAAGTACTAGTCGGAGCATGCATGCAAGATAGCTAGCAGTATACTCACCTACGACACTCTTTGCAAGATAGCTTGCGATTGTTTTTATCGTCTACCCGACCCCTCCCAGCAGTAGACGCATTCGCGGGCATGGTAGCAGACACAATGGAGTTGTGACCTCCGTCCGATCTGCCTGCCCGCCCCATTGGATCAGTTGGTGACCCCATTCCATGATCCTCTATCGGCCCAGCCTGCACTGAGTCACGAAACGATGACTCTCCGACATTGCGGGGCCGTTTTGACGGCCGAGCATCATGCATGTCCTGCGGTCCTCGAGCATCTTGCCCACAGCTTGAGCTTCCTCCAAACATTGTTGAGGTAGTGTACAAAGAAGGTCTGTCAGCTCGGAAAAGTTGCTGCGGTCGTCTCTGCTTCCAGGGTCGTAGATACTGGTGTAGTCGAGAGAAATGGAAGGGAGTTAACGTTAAGAAGGCAAATGAGGCCCGTGACTTCCGGAGGTCAGGGAAATGGCGCTTACGACAACAATCTCCTTTTTTGTCGGCAATTCTTAATCTCTACAAGCTTGGCCCCCTTGCCTTTCGGGAACACAAAATAGAATTCACGTTATGATAAAACAAACTCAACGACAACAATCTTGTCTGCGCAGCGGCACTGATCCAGAGTAAAAAAAGCAGCATTGTGAGATCATTGCCCCACTTGGCACTTCGAGTTGTTCAGGCCCAATTGCCACCGAAACATCACTCTCCACGAGTCCGAATTTCCCGGTCTGTGGCAGCCACGCGGTGAGGTATAAAAGTATATGGGAAACCAACGGCGGAAATATCAACAATGATGTTATGGCTGTGCGTCAGACACCCGGTGCCTGCCATTCAAACAGTTGCAAGTTGGATGTAACCTTCAAGCGAAACGAAAGATTAGATGAAGGAGTGAGGAAGGAACCAATCCGCCAAGGCTATAGAGAAAGGCCATCCAATTCCGTGTGTTATCGCGCTGATCTCGAACACGAGCGTGTCCAGAACCACCAACTTTGAAGTAGGGCGAAGTTTTGTCACCGGCGGTTCTCTGGGTAACACCGTGCTAGATTATAACCCCTGTGTGGCCCCAGAGTGTTGCAACGGTCATAGATGGATATACCCCTTTGCTCAAAGTGGCAGAGTAGACGCTGGCAGCCGTCCTGATATAGACATGTGGAGGAAGGACTGTAGAAGACCGGTAGTGGACTCCACTAGTGGAAAGGAGGGCGGCCATTCGCGACCAATGCCTAAGGAGGAGGAACTTCGACATACTGGGCCAGACTCTGATGGGCATCGGGGGCGGGGGAAGATCGGATTGCTGTTGAAGATGTTGGGGTTGTTGAGGAGACTGCTGGTGATAAGGCAGCTGCCATTGATAGGGATACTTTGGCGATACTGGACCTGCTGCTCATCGTAGTGTTGCTGCTGCTCGGATCCCATCTAGTCCGCATCATCCCCAATCATACAAAGGTCATCTGAAACATGCCTGAGCTCAATTGTCTGGCCCTCTTGGCCATACCACCACCGGAAATAAAATACATGGGTTTGTCGATCATCGGCTGATTTTCAGTTCAACGCCGTCTTCGCTTAGTAGACCACCAGAGATTACCTCGGTAACCTGCGTAGCCTTGGGCATGTCTACTTTGCTGATCTGGATTGAATTAAAGGTTCCACAGAACCGTAGGCGAGAGGAAGGTAAACAGGTAGGAGAGACCAACAGGCACAGCGCCACCTAGGTTGTTGTGAGTCGCCGCTCAGGACCGAAGGACAAGATTAATTAACTCACCGCAGCAGCCGAGAACGTATTAGACCAGTACCTCAACAAACTTGAGGTCAATTGTGATTCCCTCCTATAAATCCTCCATGATGGCGATCGTCCTTGCCGCGCTAAGGTAGACAGTCAACAGTGCTTGTGGTTGACAGCCTCTCCAACACTCTAAGTATGGCAAAAAACTGACCTATGGAGCCGCAAAAAATGCCATAATTATAACTCATTAGCGTAGGATTTGAGAAACATAAAACAACGATCATTTACCAAAGTCTTGCTCAACGATGCCTTTTGCAAGACATTCGAGCTGCTCTGAGTTTCACCACCCGTCAACAAAGGTGTCAAAAAGCCCCTGATTTGGCGATCAAGATCTAGGACGGTGGCATAAAGAGGCTCAAGCACTGATGAAGGTTGGCTGACGCTAGACAGGAGGATGTTTCCATTCTCAATCTTGGAAGAAAAGTCAGCTGTCATGTTGAAGAGATGAAAGCGTCATTAAGACATACGGTGATGAGAAGTCTCCCAGAGATTGCAAATTTCACCTGGAATATACGACGGTCTTCGCGTGTCCATGTGGTTGATCGAAATTGAGGGCGGCACGTCCAGGGGAGCGACTATAATTGATAATCGTGGGTCGCGGTTCCACAGATGCCGGTAGGGCGACATGTTTACGAGCCTGGCATCCAGGTGCAACAATTCATAGAACAAGGACCCTTGTTGCTCTACCTCCTCACAAAAAGTTCCGATTCGCCATTCTAGCCCGAGATATGGGAACCGTGTCTTGTCTCTCAGGTATGCCGGAGACACTTACGAAGATCGATCTGGAATTATATCAGCACTCATCAGCCGCAAGTAAAGACGAAAACTCAAGCTCTGTGCTACCTTGCTTGTCAATCCATCATATCCCAAGCACGCCCCACGGCCGTCTTGCTATCTAAAAACACACGCCAATACCATATCTCCCAAAATTGATCCATAATCGTGTAGTTCGTTGCCCCTCCATGACTAGAATTTCGGACAAGCTCGCAAGCGCAGGTGACATTGTTGAATTCAGTCAGCGAGGGCGCTATGACCAAGCAATGCCATTTCCTTGGGAATATCTCATGCAAGGGAAAGTGTAGATGTGATGGTGGTGAATGCGATTCCAAAAAAAAATCGACGAAGGGTGCAGATTGTATTGCCACAAGGCGATCTAGCGAGCAGCCTGCACGAAGGAGGGTTTTGTGAGGACATTGAACTAGTCGATCAGTCCCCTCATTATATCCGTCAGTACAAGACCCTCAGTCTTGTACAAATGAGGTCTGAAGCACAGAGGCAAGAGGATGTACCGCAACGTCCTAAAGGCATATTCATGAGCACTTTTTCGAGTTCCAAGGATCACGGCTCCATCCCTATCCAGTGATGGTTGACTCAGGCGCATTGAAAGCTGCGGTCACACTACGTAAACCTGAGGAGTAAGATCAGGGTCAACTTGCAGCAGATGTTAGGATCGAAAGCACCTTCACCTCGATGCGTGAACACAGGATGATTGAGTGATGATGGAGGCGCCAGGATAACTCGTCGGCAGCATGCACAGCAAGATGAAAGTACCTGGTTGGCACGGGTAAGTGGACCGGAACGCAAAAGCAGGCCTCTGCGAGGTCTTTCAGACGTAATCACATCTAGGACATGACGATGTGGTCGAGAGGAGTGTGAACGGCGGCAATGTGATCATGAGCGGCGTTAGTTTCAGAGACATGCTTCGCCACTTGAGAAGACGGGGGTTTTCAGGGAGGGTCGACTCGGGCGCCATTGAGGGACGAGTGCGTACGGTTCGGAAGAGGGCCTTGAAGGGCCGGCCTGAACGCATCCTGTACACTTCTATCAACCTTCCCGACGCGCTCTTAACTTTCTCCCGCCGCCCACACCTCGGCGCCCGTAAAGCCATCCTCACCAGGCCCACCCAAACAAGCTTCCAAGCAGACGACCTCACCCGCCGCACCCACGAGGCGAATGTCTGTAAAGAAGGCTGGCACGCAGGTGGATATAAACTCAGGTGCAGCCTCTTGAATAAGAATATAGCCCAGTGAGTACATATGCTCTGCGGAAAGTGGTCAAACGATGGACACAAGAAAAACCCGTCTAAACTTACCGAAAAATCAAGGGTGGAAGTTAGACTTCAACGTGACGATCAGGCAGATCCGTGTACTTGAGCGCGGGTTTCGTGCTGATTATTTGCACGAAATACCGAAATGTTGGAAATATCAGTCAGGTCTTCCGCTGCGATAAGCTGCAAAAGATGTATGTTCGTCCTTCCTGAGGCCTGAAGTGCGACCCCGATGTGCCGCAGTTGGCCATATCGGCCGAGAAGAATATTGTCCAGTCTGATCGGATGTAGCTATTACGAGGAACAACAACGCCACAACGTTCCAATTGACCAGATGTTTTTCAGGGAAGAGCTGAGAATGAGATTGAGAACATAAGGATACCGGCCGTTGAGATGCGCAGGCGCGGAAAAAAGACCTCCAGTTGGTCATACTTGCTGACCTAGGTACAGGCAAGTTGTACTCAAGTTGTACTTCTTGAACAACACGGACTGAGTCCAATTTCTGCGCGTTTTTCAGGGAGACCATAAGGCTCAAAACATTCCCCAGGTTGGGCCGAAACGCTTTGGGAATATGAGGATAGCAGACTCAGGCAAATGACCGACGTTGTTAGCGATCTGTAAAACAAAAGGCAAGACACGAAGATATGGTCAGTTGGATTCAGCTTTCAAGTTGGATTAGCGTACATGCCTTTCGGTCTGCCTTTCGAGTCGTTTCTAGCACCCCAGACAGTTGACCACATCGTGACTCTTGTACTACAAGTGCCAGTGGAAAGTTGGAAACGGCTGAATCTTGGCTGAATTGTTGAAGTTCAAACCTAGGGGAGCTTGTCACGTGTCAGCGGAAGATCACCGCTACACTCACCAACTTCGAAGCGCACCCTGCCATCGCTCACCTCGAATTCACACAGAACGTATCTAGCTACGTTTTGTGCCGACGCTGCCCACAAGTAGTAGCATGAGCCAACTCGCCACACCCACTATATCAGATCTCCCTCCCGAAATCTTATCCTCAATCTTCCTTCTTAACACATCTGCGGTATCATTTTATCGAGTCGACGACGATGTCAAAATTCGACAAGACATAACCAGATACACCTCCCAGGTCTGTCGCCAATGGCGCTTATTGGTGCTGGAGAATCCAATCATCTGGAGCCGAGTTATCGATTTCACTAGTGGATCTCACCAATGGACTGAGGAACTTCTAAAAAGGGCTTCGGATTGCCCTATCACTTTAGGTTCACGCTACCGCTCGCTATCGTCAGATATTTTGGCGAGAGAGTTGAAACATGTTTCACGATTTGGTCGATACCATGGCGAATTCACGGCGAAAACCTGGCCACTGGTTGTTGATAAATTTCAGCAGCCCGCTCCCTACCTCGAAGAACTTTGGCTTCAAGGGAGTAGCAGTGCTCAATGCAAACTTCCTGCCACGGTTTTCAGTGGTAATGCACCCCGTTTGCGTCACCTCTGGCTTCAACTCTGCAGCTTACATGGCGACCTTCCGTATCTTGCACAGCTTACCCACCTATCCGTATCGCAGGTGTCATTGCGTAACCCTCCGCCCAAAAATTGGCTTGACATTTTATCACGCATGAAAGTTCTCACCCATCTGCAGCTCATAGACTCAAACATAGGAACCGAATCTCATGCGGCTGTTTATCTACCAAACCTCGAAGATATCACACTGACGGCATCGTTGAGCGAAGCCAGCGCGTTCCTCTCGTCCCTCATCCTCAAACCGACCTGTAGTATGAGGGTGGGCGCCGAGAAATCTTGCCCAGGAACAGACTTTGACGTCACCGCAGGTATTATTGTGCAAAAGTTACAATTTTACTTCTCCAAGGCCACCGAATCCGATTTCCCTCTCTACCTCCATTTCAGCAGGCGCTTCCTTTTCGTCAGCAACCGTGTTACCTCCCCCACTGGGGCTACATCAGAACCAGAGACCCCTCCATATGTCTCCTTCCGTGTATCTTGGCCCTCTCTCGAGAGCGGACTGCTGTCCACCTTGCCGCACGTGTCTTCAGCCTTTGCTGGCCTACTTTCACAAGTTACTTCTCTCAAATTATTCCTCAGTCCCGAACTCTCATTCAGAACACATTCAGCCATCGCCAATGTTCTACGACAAGCAAAGAATGTGACCTCGCTTGTCCGTATGGATAAACAGACAGCAGATATTTTTTTATGGCTGGAAGGAGTCAAGCGTCCAATCAGCACTCAAAGCAAGGGGGACCTTATATTTCCCTTTCTACGCACAATCGATTTCACCGATATAAGGATATCATCGTATTTGGACGCCGACCGTACCACTCAATCCCTCATAAACTTCATTCGGTACAGAATCAGCATTGCAGCCCCCATGAAGGAAGTCTACTTTGCAAATCCATCTGATTTTAGCCGAGTTCAAAATGCAATGGAAAGTCTGGGAGAAACCAGGGCGCTGGTGGCCATGGCCCAAAGGAATAGGGTTTGATCATCACCGAGAGCTCATACGAGGTGCTTGGCCTGCAAAGTTCTAACGTTTCAAAACTTACCTCATGCGTGGCGATGCCATCTCGTCACTCGTCAAGCGTGCAACTCACCTGATATTTTGGCCTCCATGTCGCTGTTCACCAATCTGGTGGTCCTAGACGTAAATATTGAAACTTTACTGTTGGACCAAACTTTTTACGGGAGGCAAATAATGTGACACCCCTTTGTTTGGATGTACTGACAGCAGAGAAGTACTAGGGGCCCCTGCCGTAGTCTATACATTTGTAGGTCTAAGCGCCAATACTTAGTATCATCGCCGGCAAGGCGGAAGAATTCGAATCAGCTATAACTGCAATCGCCCAAGAAGAGGGTGTGTCACGTGATTTTGTCGCGGACACGTGATGTCAATCTCGACCAAGTGATTGGAGCGCGTTGGTTACTTTGAACGTCAGCCTCCCTCCCGGGTCTATAAAACCCGCCTTGTTTGGCGTTTACTTCTTTCTTCATTACCACCACCATCTCCTATTTTTTTCTCTCCTCCTTTTGCTTTCTCAACCTCGCCCACCTGAGCCTCCTCGCCCTTGCCTCGCCCTCACTGGGAAGTACTGCGCTTGTACTGCGCACTCTTGCTCGGTCGTCGCCAGCCTACAGTGAGTGTCTCGCCCTATGATGTATCGCTCGTAACGCTTGGCGATGTTGTTGCCCAAGCTTATTTTTTATGATCTCTTATGTAGCCCTCGACGGCGATCTCAACGTTGGTGGGCAACGCTCAAGCTCCATATCGCTCTAGATGCTTACGCTCAACAACCGCTTTAGCGCCTTTCAAGCCTGGACGTAAACGCCGCACAAGCTGGGCAGCAGCAATACTTACGCGGGGGTGGCTGCCCTGGTGCATAACTTCCATCCTCATACGAAGCATTAAACTCACTCTCTACGCTCTATGGCGGGCGTAATTTCAGGTTGATTCACATTTCGCCCCAGACAATTCTCGCCGCACCCCACCAGGCACATGTCGTGCCGCCGAGGGTCGCACCGCCTTTGCGAGAATACCAAAGGCTTCCTACCCATGGTATTGCAAGAGTCACACGATTGAGCGGCGAGCGATATATGCCTCAGCGACTATGTGAGGTGAGTGGAATAATCAGAGACTCAGGCTCTATTCCCGGGGGAGGGTGGCTTACGGCTCGGCTCGATTTCTGCGTTCTCTTTCGTCGAGTCGAGTGTCGGAGTTCTCCTCGTGCTCCCTTGCCGTGGGTCCCGGGCTGAGAACCGTCACCTATGAGTTGGCCTGCAACTCATAGGCCGGTTTGACTAAGCGCACGTTAAATCTTTTTCTTTTTACGATTCTTTTGCAGTCTTTTTAAGGGTTCTGTCGTTGGGTTTCATTGTTGATTGCCTTTTTTCTTCCCGAGCGGCGTTTTATTGTTATTGTTGTTGTGCGATTCCTACTAATTTTTGTCAGGGCGCTGGGTTGGGAGCAGGTAAGTAAGCGCATGGACCACGCCATTCCAACAATCGAACGACCCCCCGCTTAAATCGATCGCAACACCCTCGCGTTACCGAATCGTTGTGACTCGCATAGAAGCAGAGGGTTAAAAAAAAAAAGAGGGAGGAAAAAAAACACGGAGAGGTAGTTGGCTGAACGAGGACGACGACGCAACCTTCGACCGGACGATTCGCGCAGCAGAGAGGTGGAAACCATTTTTTCCCCTGCTCACCTCCGCTTCTCGTTTCATCATCGTCCTTGCCTACGCCTTCCTGGCGAGGAGCGGGGGTGAGCAGGGGAAAAAATGGGCGGCTTCAGGTGAGTTTCCCAGAGGCGGTGGGCGCCAGCTTTGCCAGTCTGGCAAGTTTGGCGTCCTCCTCGTGCTCCCTTGTCGCGGGCTCTGGGCTTAGACCCATGTCTTGAGCTTCCAGCTCGAGATGCGGGTCGACCAAATGCACGTTAAACATTTTTCGTCCCAGTGATCATGACCACGATTGAGTTGCCTGAGTTCCTCCCGTGGGTGGGATTATTTTATTCCGAGAGACTATTTTCTCGGGGGAATGTGGCTCACCGCTCACGGCTAGACTTGATTCGAAAGGATGGGGGCTGCTGGGAACCTGAGGTGAGCACATTGACCACTTGATTCGCCGTCAAACAACCGCCACTCGAATCATTGACAACGCAGCAAGGTTCGACTAGACGATATGCGCAACAGTCTACAAAGAGGGAAGAAACTCCGCTCATCTCGGCTTTTCGTTCCGTCTTCGTCCTTGATTACGCTTTTCCCAGCGAGGAGCGGTGGTGAGCAGGAAGAAATTCGGTGACTTTAGTTGGGTTTCCCGGGCATCAGCTTGGCCGATTTGACGAGCATGCTGCTTTTCTCCTGCCTTGCCGTGGGCTCTGGGGTTCGACCCGCGCCTTGAGCTTTGGTAGGCTTGAGGTGCGGGTTGATAAAATGCACGTTGTGGTCCTTCTTGACTGCCATATCCCTGTAATTTGCGTAGGAGAAAATAGTAGTCCATCGCTAGCAAGCGCTAGCAGCCTGAGTGCATCTGTTATATCTTGTGGAAAACCTAAGGAAAACCTTTCAATCGGTGGCAATCAAGAGTCACGTGGCTTGCACTTCATCTCCTGCACCATGGCCAACGGAAAGGCTCAAGCTGCTAAAGAAAAGGTATGCCCGTCAGACCTCACTAGAATCGAACTGATTTATTTCGAAGGGGAATGCTGCTTTCAAAACAGGAGACTACCCGATTGCAATAGGGCACTACACTGCTGCCATCCTTGCAGACCGAAAAGATCCAACTTTTCCACTAAATCGAGCCGCTGCTTATCTCAAGCTAGGCAAGTACGTTTCGCATATTTATAACGTGAACTCTGCAAGCTGGTTTCTGACATTTTTTGTATAGGAATGAGGATGCGGAACGGGATTGCAGTACCGTCCTCGATTTGAGTCCGAACAATGTGAAAGCTCTCTTCAGAAGAGGACAAGCGCGTTTGGGAGTGGGGAAACTTGTTGAAGCTCAATCAGGTGTGTGAACTTTTATTGAGGACCATGTTTCGTTCGTTGATTAGCCGCTTTCCAGATCTTAGACAGGCGTTGGAACTTGAACCTGGCAATGCAGCGGTGAAAGAAGAGCTGACGAAGCTCGCCGATGTACTGGAGAGGACAAAAACTAAGGTAAGTCTCGCTTTTTCTAATCGACCTTTATGGCTCAACGATGTATTGAAGGGCAAGGCTACTGACACCCCACCTGTCCACTCATCGACTGCTCATCCCAAGCGCCGCCGTGTCCCGATCACGATCGTCGAACCCGCCGGCGTTCCATCTGCAAAAATAAAAGATACTCCTTCCACACAGCCAACTTCCGAGCCTCAAATTCCTTCAGCCATTTCTCCGCCAAAACCTGATATCGACACCCTCCAACCAGTCTCATCTCGTTCCCTCAAGGCCTCCCCCACGTCTTCCTCTTCAACGCCATCCAACACACCCCCAAACCCGTCACCACCTCCCGTGACACAGCCACAACCAAAACCAACCTCCTTCAAAGAAGCCAAACAAGCCCGCGAATCTGCAAAGTCCGGTAAAGTGGGCGGAGGGATTTTCCGTGCTTCGGGAGCTAGCACCATCTTTCCTACTCGGGAAAGCCCTTCCCTGCCCACCGAAAGTCGAGGATTGACTCCAAAGGGGGATCTGGTGACAGAGAATGATGGAACTATGGCTACACCTCCTGCAGCCCAAACCACGAGCCCGCAGATTGTGGTGAAAGCACCAGCCAATCTTTTTGAATTTGTCAAAGCGTGGACTTCGGCAGTGAATGTCGAGGAGAAGTGGCAACTGATCAATGTTCGTTATCGTTTTCTTTCAGATTTTTTCCGTCACTAACGATACCCCAGAGCATCCCACCAGCAAGTATACCTTCGCTATGCAAAACCTCTCTCGAACCTGCCATGCTTGCATCGATTCTTGATGTCTTCCTTGCTGTGCTCAATGCCAACACGCGTGAAAAGATCCAAGAATACATGGATAACCTCGCGCGGATTCCCAGGTTTGGCACCCTCGTGTTGTTCCTCAGCAAGCAAGAGAAGGAGGTGGCTAGGGATGTTTGGAGGGGTTTGAGTGTTGAGCGGCCCACGGGTGTATGGAGCGTTGTTGCGTAGACTGCCCCCCCCAGAGCGTCGTAGGGTTGGCACGACACTTCGTCTGTGTACATAGTTGTCAATGTTCAACTTCCAACTGCTATAACTATACCTGATTGAATGGCTGATCGACAGACTTCATTCCTCTCCAACATTCCAAGGCGCACAATAATCATACCCATCCGAAGACACGCTTACACTCGTTCAGTGGGTTCCACCGATCCCCAGCCTTCCTCCATATCTTACAGAACAATGTCGTGGGTGTTTTGGCAGGCTGTTGAAATAGGCTAAACAGCAAGCAACCTGCGTATGATGTTTGGCGGGGATATGCAACTTCACGGTGACGGTTCTTCACCTACAAGTCCCTAGCATTATCAATTCCCCAAACTTCATTACATTGTTACATCCATAATGGTACAAAGTCCTTATAATATAATCTTCAACTGTTTCATCTTGGTGATCAAGCAGCAGGAAGGTCCGAAAGAGATCATAACACTTTCACACCTTGTACCCACATTCCAACACGATTCTTGGTATCCCCAATGCACCACCACTTTTCAAGCATATCCAGGTTAAGTTTCACATCTCCATTCCCGTTCGCCTCCAGATCGAAAAAGTCAAGAGCTCCGACGCCTAATCGACGGACTGGGTCGACCAGTTGAACTATTCAAAGGATCAGCTGAACGTAATCGAAAGGATGATTGTACACTGACTCAATTGTGCGTCAAAGAAGGAGCCGACTTCGAAAGTGCCACTTTTCGCCGGCAAGGTAAGAGCTTCAGCCCCACCACGAGTTGCGAGATATAGCGACTCTTTCCAGTCAATAGCCAAGGTCTTGTGTGTAGTTCCTGCATCTTGGCTATCCGTGTCCTTCTCATGTTGAGAACTTTCGCGTATCCTGGAAACGGACACGGCGTGTCGCATCGCGTTCATGATATCTAAACTGTATCCACCCGCGATATCCGTTCCCAAACCCACTTTGACATGAAGACTCAGTGCTTCACGGAGTGGAAACGGCTCCGTTGAGAAGTAGATATTGGATAGTGGACAATGAGCAATGGATGAACCCGCGGCCACCATCCTTGACAAGTCCGGCTTTGTCAGGAATGTACAGTGCGCTTGAACCGTTCGCGGGGTTAGGAGATTGTTCTGAAGATGACGTGAATCGCTTGAATTGACGTGAACAAGGGGAGCTTACCCGGTCAAAAATATCAATGTCTTCAGCACCTCGTACCGACCTCACCCATTCAACCTGATCGTGCGCTTCGGCCAGGTGGCTTTGCACTCGCAGAGACTCCAAGCGAGACAGATCGCCGAGACTTCCGAGCAACTCGTCGGAACAAGTGGGCACGAAGCGCGGTGTCAAGACCGGCTCGATACGACGTTGGTGTGGAGGCAGCTGTTCCATCATGTGTCTGCATTTGTGTACAAAAGATTTTGCAGACGATAGAGATGCCTCAGCTGATGCTTCAACATATGTAGGCCTGGATGAGGTGTCCATGGAAAGCTTTCCAACAAAGGCTCGAACCCCCGCTGATTGCATGGCTTCTGCGAGAATCAAGCTAAGATGGGCGTATGAGATGAATATTGCATTCCTTGATAAGGATCGAGTACTTACTTGGTTTCCTCCTTAATCGTACCAAAGAGCATTACTGTTCCAGTTCCGTTCTGAAGGAGGCGATGCGCGAGACGTTCATATACTCGCTTTGCTAGTATTTTATCGGCGTCAAGTCTCTCCTCTGCTTTGAGAGCATATTCGTCCAGCCATTGCATCAGCGGTAGATCTAGTCCAGTGCCTTGATAGAGAAACTGCGGTGCATGAAGGTGTAGGTCACAAAAAGTTGGCAAGAGAAAGCTTCCGGTGGGCATCGTCGTAATCTCTGGTGCGAGGTCACGAAGCAGTTCGATAGACTCTGGTGAGCCGACGGGTCGAAAGTGTGTGATAAAACCATCGTTGCCGACAGCTAATTTGGGGTGAGGCCCAGATGGCTTAGTGTGCGGACTGCGCTTGGGCAGGAGACTGACCGAGGAGATGATCCTCTAGAAATTCCAGGTCTCCAAGCTGGGGGGTATGAACGAACGTTCCTTTGATCAACATGGTGGGTATAACACTTCCGGAACGAGGGAGAAAGAACGCGACGCGCCGCGGTATCTGATTTGTGGTGGTGGTTGGAGTTGAAGCTGAAGCTGAAGGTCAAACAATCAAATTGATCACGTTGTGAGTTCTCTCCACCCTTCTCCACCTCTCTTCATCTCGTAGACGTTCTGAATGCCTGCCAGCTACACAATATCAGCTCAAGCCTACTACAAGATCTTCTTTCATGCCGCTAAGCACCCACATAGGGCCGTGAATGGTGTCTTGGTCGGGAAACAGACGTCATCAGGCGGGGAGGTTGAAATCAGCGACGCCATTCCCCTCTTACACCACTGGACGAGTCTGAGTCCAATGATGGAGATAGGGCTCGACCTGGTGAAGACCTTTCTTGCATTCTCCTCTAAGTGAAGCTGTTGTTGAAGAAGATTCTTTCAATGCGTAGGCGGGAGAATATGCAACGTCCTCTGGTATGAAGCTAGTCGGTTATTATCAGGCATGCGAGCGGTTGGACGAGACGGCGCTTGTGCCTGTAGGCGAGAAAGTTGCAGGGCGCGTGCAGGCTGGCTTTGGGGATGCTATTGCGTTTGTGGTGAGTTTCGCTGTCCTTCGCAAGATACCATCGGACTCAGAACTTCACCCATAGATCGACGGGGAGAAAATAGGGACCGGCGTTGCTGCGTTGATTGTACGATACAATCGTCCACCTTCTGGTTTCTACCTAATATCATTTTCTTGACAGCCGTATACCTTCCAACCATCGTCTAAAGCGTGGAGGCCATGCTCTGAAAATCCTCTCCCATTTGTGCCTGGATCACGTTTCAAGCTCGCTTCAAATGACCTCCCCGTGCAGGCGATCTCTTTGGTACAAGATCAACACCTACATCAGGCCTTTGGCGACTTCGACGATCACCTGGAGGATGTTGCAATAGGTAAGGCTACACATGGGACATCGGTTATTTTCTGTATCTAATCCTTCAACTCAGACTGGCTACAGAATAGAGCATGTTTGCCTGCGGGAATATGAACAATGATAATCATGACGTATACTCCAAATTTTGCTGAGAACCCGACGAATGTGTGTTTCAATGTACGTTTTGTTATCACAGTGGCATAACAGACAGTGAAGCTCGAAGTGTGCTCCTGTCTCAGCTACTTGGTTTGTTTACTCGACGGTGGAGTCCAGTCTATTTTTCGAATGCTAGAGAGTGCAACGTCTACCTCCCGGGAAAACTCTTCGATTTTGTGGCATGTTTTTTATCACTCGAGATTCTGCTTATTAATGATACGAATTCATTCTAGGATATCATTTGACTCGACGCCGGCATTCAATATTCAGCTTTTAAACATTTACTAATGATGTTCATAAGCGCTTGCTTCCATGGTGATGTCATCTTCAAGGAACTATGATTTATCAGCGAGCACCTGACCCAAGAATCATGCATAAAACCCGGCTCAGGAACGTTGATTCATCCCCGTCTCTACGTCAAACCAATCTATTCCGAATACTATCACCTACGTCTAGCTAGCATGGTGAAGGCTACCCTCAACGGCCAAGCTTTAGCCGAGTCTAATGAAACAATCATCATCGAAGGCAACCATTACTTCCCTCCCTCAACCGTCGATGACAAAGTTTTGACCCCGTCTGACACTCAGTACGTACGATCGAATCTAACGAACGGCTTCGCGCGAATTCACCATACTTGCTTCTAGCACAACTTGTCCTTGGAAAGGGTAAGTTGAACCCCTCTCTAGTCTTGCAATACTGTTTCACAAGCCATACGCAGCGTGGCGTCGTATTATAACGCGAGTGTACCGGGCGAGGCTCCCGTTAAGGACGTAGCTTGGTATGTTGAGCACGACTACACTCGACTGTTTTTCAAAGACAAGAATATTCAGGTACTACCCAACGACCATCACGAACAAGGCTAAGCCCATTGAAGGATACGTCGCATTTTATAAGGTTGGTCTCTCTTTTGTGAGGAGTACAGAGGGTTAACCGCATGTTTGTAGAGTAAGGTTACTATCAGTGACACTTGAGGTATTTTCGGGAACTTGTTGTACTGGATATGTGTATTCAATGAGCAGAAAGAATGTATAACAACTTGCGAAGCTAATCAGACGATGGTCCTAGCGTCAATCACGTGACAAGATCTTTGGGTTGGACATAAATTGTCATTATAGTGGTATGTTCATCTGTAACATTTGAGTGGGTAAAATACAGCAATGGTATATATGATACAATGGGGGCATTGATGTTTCTTGACATTTCTTTTGAGATTGGCGACGTTTGATCATCAGGGAGAGCTACCACATTCGGAGTCGTCAGCCAGCTCATCCTCGAACTAGGATGAAACGGTCATGAGCAGGCCTGAAGAAGAAAGGTACAGAATGGAGTCACCTCTTTCTTCCACTCCCTCATTAGATTCCTGGAATCCCGAAGCAGGGTATCGCCCATATCATCCTCGTCACCGCCATACCCCGTCTGCTCGCACAACAGACAACACGCTCTCGCAAGATTGTGTTCCTTCGTACCAATTGCGCTTGCAAGGTTGCAATTGTTCCTCCCACATTCCACTCTGTATCTTCGCACTGCATCCACCATGACTTCGTCGTACCTCCTCAAGAGCTCCTCTGCGAGGTGCACGGCTTCACGACACCGAGCATCGGCGGTTGGCTCATGGGATTCTTCTATGATCGTCATAGTAGCAGGATATATTGACGGCTCTCGGCTGGATGAACGGTATGACCAGCCGTCGTGATGGGACTCTACTTCGGATATAAATTCGTCGATGAGGTGGTAGAGAATCGTGAACGAGATGCGCCCCAGGCCTGTGACGCGTTTCCGGGTCCCTGGCATCTTGGCAGTAAGCGAGTTCTATTTGAGTTTGTGTAGATAAGCACAATGGCTTCGTTTGAAGGGAAACAGAGGTTAACCTCAATTCCAGTGATCACAAACTTGAACTCCCTTAGCCATTCCAAATACAACTCCGTTTCCAGGAGCTTTCCTTCGCGTCGATCGACACGCGACTTGACATCGGCCTTGACGGCCTGAACTAATCGTTGAACCGCATAAAGGGCGGCACTTTCACCTGGGGGATGATGGCAGTCAATCAGGCTGTGGTTCGCCGTCGTATAGTGAATCAAAACTGACCTTTCGGAAAGGATTTCAGATCTTTGATAGCCGCATGAGACGCGGGGGTAGCAGCACATCGTCTCAATATATCTCTGAGCTCAAAATCAGACTCTCGGGCAGGCTTTCGACGACTTCTGCTCGTTGCTAGAAAGTTTATCAGAGATAAGAACTGGAATAGCTCGATATACGTACGACTCGCTGAAGAGCTGGTCCTGAGCGTCATAGAGCTCGACGTCGAGCCAGGGCTGTGATCATGACTGAGACGAGTCCTTTTCCTCGGCGGGGTTTCCATAGGCTCTGTGTCGCTTGAGTTGCAGAAGCTGGGTATAGACACTGTCCTCTTGAGGGTAATCGGCATGGTGAGCTGGACGACGTCGGGTATTGTAAAGCACAACAGCTTGCATCGCCACTACCATATCACCTTGTTTAGGGCAGGCTTAAGCGCGTTCACAACAAGGTCACGTGTCAACCGACAAGCTTTAACTTATATGACTCCCATATCCATTGACGCGTAAATCTCATTCGAAAGATATCTTTTCGCACTCATAAAGCCTTGCGCGCATCCGGTGCAATGAAATTGTTTATAGAAACAGAATGGAGTCGCCAAAAATGGTATACAGTGCACGTAGCTAAAGCTTTGCCTTCGCCTTCCGCATCTCCCTGGATTGATCTCGCAAAACACGACGAAGTAGTTTTCCACTAGGGGACGTAGGGATGGCAGAAACGAACTCAACGCCGCCCGCGAGATGTTTGTAGCCGACCTTGTTATCTGCGACATGCTGAAATATCATTGTCACCGACCGCGATGGGGACAAGTAGTGGCTGCAATTACCTTCATAATGGATGCCTTCAGGTGAGCAGATAACCCTGGGTCTCGTTTCAGCCGACCTGCAGCTTCCTTGTTGAGCACAACGAAAGCCAGCGGGATTTCGCCGCCTGCGAAAGCTTGAGTTAGAAGTCTCCTAAATTGCTCAAGGCATAAAATCGCACAATAATCATCCGGAATACCAACAACGCAAGCGTTAGATATGTCGGGATGGTCTAGTAAGCATCCTTCAAGCTCCGCTGGTGCTACTTGAAGTCCTTTGACCTGTGTAGTTTTTATTTACAAGGGGCGACGTGGAACCATAAAAACAAATGGGTTTTACCTTGATAATTTCCTGCGGGGGTGAGTCGTTTCTATAAATCAAACCCTCCCGCTACACGAAGACATTCATACCTTCAAGCGGTCGAGGACTGTCACCTCTCCCGCCTTATCAATCCGCACTTCGTCTCCGGTTTTCACCCACCTACATAGATAAATAAAGATAAAAATGCGGTCCGAGTGCCCCCCATTGTTAATGACTTTACCCATCTAAAAACGTCTCCCTTGTCCTATTGAACGAATCAGCGTCTCATAAGATAAGAATAACTTGAACATGTACGCTTGCTCGTTGTTCGCATATCCCAGTGCCACAGAAGGTGATTTGATCACTAACTCGCCAGGTTCATCGTAACCAGCCAATGAACCATCCGGTTTGACTACACGCGCGACCGTCCCCGGAATGAGCACGCCACTACCTAAGGAGCAGGATATAGAACCGAAGAAACAGAAAATTAAGCCACGCAAAAATTCTTACTCCCTGATTTTCCCCGCTTTGTTGTTATGGGCCACATGATCGTCACAGTGCAAGTCTCAGTCATTCCTAGAAGTCAGAATTGTTTGTGAATATAACAAGAGAAGGCAGAAATATGCCTTTACCATAGCCCTGCCCGATATGAGCATCCGGAAACATCGCAAAAAGCTGTTGATTGAGCTCATGGGAGAGAGGCGCTGCGCCGCACATAATCAATCTGATGTACTGGCGTAGATCATAGCGCTTGACCGCCTCGTGCTTGATGAATAATCGGATTCGGATCAGCGACGGCAGACGGAGATCCCTTTACATACCTTGCACAGGAGTACTACTTGAGGTGGTACCAGGCTATGTTATTATACTAAGTCTTGGAAGTTGGATCAGCTGTAACAACTCACAAGAGGTGAGTTATGCGGTGACGAATAATGCTGTCCAACATCCCGACAAAATTAAACTTGGGAACCACCACGAGTGTCATCTTTAATTGATGTTCGAGTGACTGAATTATGCTTGTTAATAAATAGGGCTCACCGCGCAATGTAAAATAAAATGCAGCTAGTATATATGTCATCAACTATTATTTAGAGGCATAAGAAGCGTGCTCACATTGACGACAAGGCCATAAATGTCTGGAAAAAAGTATCAACAAGGTGGCGATACTCCATAAGGTATCCTCACGATATAGCGGCAGCACTGAAAAATGAAGTCAATTTAAGGGCATCCGACAGAGAAGAGGATACCGACCTCCAATAGCGATATCCCCCGGTCGGTATCTTTGATCCTCCCAAGCGCAATAATTTTCATTGATTTTATTGTGCGCAGCCATCTGTATAACATTTGCGATCAACGCATAATGTGGAATCGCCACTGCCTAGATGCAAGGTCAGCGGCCTCACCGAAAAGTTCCATTAATGGACCATGGTCCTTTACCTTCGGCTGGCCCGTTGTTCCAGACGAGAAGCTCAGAAAAGCAAGTTTCGTCTTCGCTTCTCCGGGATCGAGTCTCTTTTCAGAGAATGATGTTTTCACATTGAGCCCGTATTCCACCAAATCATCGATGGTGTCTCGTTTACTCTTTGAATATGTTGACATCGAGCTTTCCGCATTCAAGAGAACGACGCGATCCTGTGGAAGCCCTGCCGTTTCTGCAACCTCGAGGGCTACTTGTAGAGATTCGGGGTGAGCAATGATCATGGAGGCTCCGGTGGCTTTGACTTGATAGAGCAGTTCATTTGCTAGAAAATCAGGATTGGCACCCCTGGAGATATTTGATAGTCAGAACTTGATATGCAGGGAACAAGGCAATGGAAAATATCGCACGATATCACCCCTCCCAGCATATGGGTGGCCCACATTGCCACCGGATAATCTGCGATGCTATCAAAAAAAGGGTTTCATGGCCTCGAGCAATTGAGCATACCTATGTGGTTGCGGCTGAATAGGACAACTGGGGAAAGGCATGGAAACGTATCAAAGTCCCGAGACGCCGACGTCCTAAAATGTTGACCCACCAACATCGCCATCTCCTAGAGTAAATCATCAGCAATAGTGCAGGCTGGAAGTCGGGATAATATGTACTTACCGACGCCATACTTCAGATGCAATGCATTGGCAAGACCCGAGGTACGCTTCAGAAGCTAACAGGAGCTCGAGGTTTGAGTACGCATCGCCTTCAACCTAAGGCTGCTGAAGAACGGACCTCGTCCCTTCCAAGTGCTCTTCCGGTCGTGTCATCAATTAACCAAGGGGTACCGGCCCTTCTCATAGGTCGTGTCACATATTCGCAGTCAAAGATGAACTGGGGAATAGTTAGACTGTCAGGAATGGGGGGAAGGGGTCCTGAGATTGAGGAAATCTCCATAGTGTCGAAAGTTGAAAGGCAGATGAGGTTGCTTTTCACCTGGGGGCTTCGCGGTCATCATAATACAGTCAGGAGATCAGGACCATGTGAGTTGGGTATGGTAAACGTAAAGCCGACTCCGATAAGATAAGATTCCTTATCTATCTAATCCAGAGGAGCAGGAAGCTTGCAGGAAACTCGACGCAGAACCTGGACGGCCCTACAGTGACCTTGTTTATATTATTTGATAACGATATCAGTTTCGTAGGTTCCTCTAGCCTGGCTGGCATCTGTACATTCTGACTCAAAGCTTTGCCCTTGAAGGTATGATCAAGCTCTGAGGAACCGCTAATCTTTGCACTGCATCTTCGCGGAGAATCCGCCTCAAAATCTTACCGCTTCCATTTTTCTGGAATAATATAATGAGCATAAATGCTCTAGTCGTGAGATAATCCCACTCGCCGGAATTGACTCCACAAATCGCACACCGCCTTCCAGATGTTTGTAACTGACTTTCCGCTCTGCAACATGCTAGCCAACAGCCAGCCAATATCAGAGATTTCAACATTCCGCAATTGAATTTGATTGCACCTTTATGATATCTCGTTCGATTTTTCTGGCTGCAATTGGGTCACGAGAAATGCGCTGAGAAGCTGAAGGGTCGAGAACCACGTAGGCCAGCGGTACCTCTCCATTATATTCATGTGGAACACCAACGACACAAGCGTCGAGGATATCTGGAAAATCCAGAAGGCATCCCTCCAATTCCGCAGGCGCAATCTGGAATCCTCTGACTTTGAGGAGCTCCTACTGAAGTTCATTAACCATGATGCGAAACAAAGTCGTTCTAAATACCTTCAGCCGATCAAAGACGAAAACTTCCCGATCCCGTGTAATAATGACCTCGTCACCAGTATGAACCCACCTACATGAGCCTGTAAATGGAGGGATATTAAGATCAATAGTCTCGTACCCATTTACAAAAGTTTCTCTGGTACTGTTGGTTGGCGAAAATTTATCAGTGGGAAGCGCTTGTGAGAACTTGGGGCTACGCTTACGCCTTTTCGTTATTGAAGTATCCAATTGCCGCGGATGGCCCTTTAACCAATAATTCACCCAGCTCACCAAATTTCGCGAAGGTGCCGTCGGTTTTAAGGACACGTGCTTGAATGCCTGATAGTAACTGCCCCCCACCTTTTGTTTTGAATTTAGGCATAGATTTTGCAGAAGCTCATGTACTTACTGCCTAGTGGACCCAAACTTTGCTTTGGGGATATCATCGCCAAAGTTGTTGTCATTTCAGTCAGACCTGGGGCAAATGGGTTTCAGTAAGTCAGGTTGTTCGCATGATATCAAATTCACCGTATGCTTGGCCAATTTGAGCTGACGGAAATATGTGAAAGAGTTGTTCTTGAACTTCAGGAGACATTGGAGCAGCACCTTCAAACGAAAAATGAGTTACACTCATAACAGACAAACGCGAGAGACTTGCCGATCATCACGTACTTAACCATCGCTAAGTCACGCTCCTTTATGGCTGGCCGCTAGTTTTGTAAGAGGAGTTGTCTTGAGACAAGTAACAAATCATGCCTTGCAAAACTGAATCGCTTGGGGGGGAACAAGACTAGCAAAAGTTCGGACAGCAGTAAACACTGGAAACGATTTACACCAACAACAGATGGGTGATGTTGTGACTGATAATGCTGTTCAGCATGTCATCAAAATCGTACTTAGAAACGACGACCAGAGTCATCTAAGCGGGCAAAATGATGAGTTCACGTCGAGTGTCGACGCAGCAATGCTCACAGCGCAAAACATGGTCAGGTGGAGCTTAAATTAAGGTAAGCCGAGATGGCCCAACATCGTGACTGAGTTCATAAGACGTACACCGATTACAAGACCAGCGACGTCTGACCAGCTTCATTAGATCGCCCCATAATGGAAGGATCGAAGACTTACGATAAAAAGGCAAAACTGTATTCCAGCGAAAGTCAGGACGTGACCTTTTCAGGGTGATACGTGAATTTCTTACCACCTAAAGCGACATCTCCGGGCCTATAAGACCGACCATCTCGGAGGACAAGTGGCCTGTCCACCTGATTATGGGTCGCCATCTGAATGATGTTGGCAATAAGAGCATGATGGGATATGGCCACCGCCTAATGATACTTGCTTCAGCAAATATGGGATATGGGTGTCAAGGAAAAGTAACCACCTTGGGCTTTCCGGTTGTTCCGGACGACCAGCAGAGTAGTGCTATCTTCGACTTTCCCTCTCCTGCACTAAAAGTTCGCTCGACGGGCCCTTGGTCTTCCTTCAATCCGAGATGAATGAGCCCGGGAACAGTCCAACGTTTCGGCCTTGGTGGCGATGGGAGATGGTCATCAAAGACAATGATGCGGTCCGAAGGTAAAGCTGATAGGCGCGCGGCGGTGACTGCGAGGTCAAGCGCCGTGGAGTGAACGATCATTAATGTAACTTTGGCCGTTGATAGCTGGTAGCTCAGTTCGTCGGGGGTGAACTGTGGGTTTGAACAACTGTGATTGTGAAATTAAGTAGGTTGCCCGATTTCCAGTCTCATAGAAAAACGTACGTGACAATCCCTCCGAGCTTATGAACCGCCCATAAAGCTACTGGATAATCTAATGAGGGAAGTTTGTATCATCATGTAATTTTTTATGAGGGAATTCAGATGAGTACCGATATGATTAGGGCCGACTAACATGACTGTGATGTCCACGCTTGTGTTAACTTTTACGGGATGGGTGAAGAGAGATTTTTGACCCACCAACATCCTTGTTGCCTAGGATGGACGATAATTTAGATTAAAAAAGACAAGTCGCCTGATTGGACAGAGCGCACCCAAATTGAATTCACTGTGAAGCGCATTGGCAAGCATACTGGTCCTCTCTCTCAACTAAAATATATCAATGTGGATCTCAAAGGGAGGGTGTGGACCGCAACATACCTCTTCCAGGGTAATTTGTCTTCCAGTACTGTCATCGATCAAACAGGGCGTATTTCCTCGAGCAGGCTGTATCTCGTGTCGGTATTCCAATATAAAACGTGAAAGGCTTATGTTATCCGGGATATGAGGTAAGGAGGCTTCCGCATCGTAGAGTTCCATAGCGTTTTAGCACAGAAAGGTCAGTTGAAATTTTGAGCGAGAGAAACCAGCTTTTATATCCTGTACTGGCCGCGATAGCTGCTCGGCAGTGTTCGCAAAGAAGACCTCCCAAGTAGAAGATAGGCAGTCTACTGCCCGATCCTCCTACCAAAAAAAGCCAAGCCCATTAGCGTAGAAAACGCGGTTCGGGCAAGCTCAGGCCATCGACCTCTCCACGGATTCGGTTCCCTTACTCGTGAGAGTCATGCACACAGAGTGGGGTTTTCAACACAAAAATTCCCGAGTTGGAAGTGTTCCAGGGTGAAAGGTATGGCGCGTTTGTTTGGTTTAAAAGTGAATGGTGATTGAGAAGACGAGATCGGGCTGAGTAGGAAGAAGCATCCGGTGGATTGACAATATGCCGACTCAAAAAGTTTGTCCTGAACGCCGGAGTCCCCGATGGTAATACTTATAATACTTACCGCCAGCTTCTTCCTTATCTTAAAAGCGATATTAGAGTCAGCAGATGAGGTTTGGATTATGAAGAACCACTTCTCATGATTTGGGAGAAAAAACTCTACGTGTTCGCTTCCTCACCGACATATGACCGCAGAGCCCGATTGGCCCTCCTTTCTGTATTGCCGAGCTCTTCATTAACTGAAGCCTTCAAGTTCAAATCCTGTGTGTTTCCCCCCTTTCTTTCCCCTTCTACTTCCCGGAAATTAGCGTCGGGTTATGTTCATACCATCACCTAACTTCCTTTTTCAATCATTCATCCCCATCCACAAATGAGGCTTCCAGCACCTGCTTCCTTGGCCCCTCTGCTGCCACCTTACTTTTTCGACGCCGCTGTCAGAGCGTGGGTAGGTGGTGGGTATGACGCGAATCTCCTCTAACGCACGCAACATGAGCAAGAGGGGGAATGAGGAGACCACAGAGATCGGAATAGATGTAGCCGGTGGATGGGTTCGACATTGGGATTTCCTTTGCGTTTCACGAAATGGACGAGACCCGAGGGTTGATCGATGATTAATTGGACGAGGCCGGCCGAAAGAGAAAGCACTATTGTGCAATGTGGGCACTCCTTACTGATGCTCAATACGCAAACTGGAGCTCCTCCCTGGATAAAATTCTGCAACAGGGCATGTAAGCGAAACGAATTAGAAAGAAGGAAGGAGAGTTTCAATAGAAGAACACAAATGTACCAAGATAAAACAAGAGAGCGGAAGCAGGACCGAGGTACCTCGGGCTCGGGAAAACGATGTCCGGAGTGAATTAAATGCAACGTACCGGACCCGCGTTGGACGGTGACGCTTCCAAAGAAATGGAGCAAGAAATACGAAGCTTAGATAAACATCTAGTTTCGTATATTCGCCACTGAGCACGGAACGAACGACGGAAGCCTGCTTGATTTAATCAACAATTTTCGCAATATCAACACCGTTGTACCTTTGAAATGTTCACGCATTGCTGGAAGCAACTCACCACCCGGCCACTTCCTCAACGTACGCATCCTTTATCGCCTGCCCGTGCCAAGATTATAAGGAGTCGACGAAACCCCGCATACATTTGAGAAGAGGAAGGTTTGACCATCGCCGAGTTTTCACTTGTAGTTCCCTCTATGTCCACATGGACTTGGTGGTGGTGGTTTCTTTTACCCTCGCGAAATCAGCCTTAAGTGTCAACTGGCCTAGAATGTACCGTATCCTCGGAGTCGATTCATAACGAAGCGTGAGAGCGTTGGCTGTGGACCGGGAAACGGATTGAATTGAAGATAGACGCTATTGTCGAAAAGATGTGAGAAGAAAATGGAGATCTAGATACTTGCTTGTGTGGTGTACGGTGGCTGTGCTCATTTTTCAATGTGAGGCCAGCGATATTCAATTTACTAGCTACGATCCCCTCAGATAAACCAATAATAATGGATTTGATTATTCTCCGGTGTATACTCCTGCTTTAGATTTGAATTTCATGGGATTTGAATTTATCACTGGAGTATCAGCTCAGCAAAGGAGGTCCCTCTCGCCTGGATTATTCGAGGGTGGAAATTATGGCTCGGTCATGATTCGTCTATCATGCCCGCGCTCGCTTCACAATCGCGATACAACTCCCAAATCACTCTGGGGGGCGTCCGATCGACTCTCCCCGGGCCTTCCAAGCCCAAGCTCTTCATTAACCTTATCCTTCAAAACCTCCTTAACCCCCTTTATCCAAGAACCAACTCCGGTGCCTTTCCCTTCCCTCTCCTCCTCCGACTCTTCCGCCTTCTCCTCCCGACCGGAAATGAGCATCGGGCGATGCTGATACCACCACCTAATCGCAGCTTCCTTCTCTCGATCACCCACTCCCTCCAAAAACTCCCCAAACAGGGCGTCCACTAGCTCCTTCCTCCTTCCCTCTTCAGCAGAGTCAGAGTCAGCGGTGGTGAGGAGCATAACACGAATTTCCTCCAAAACGCGGGACATCAGCAAAAGTGGGAGTGACGAGACCATGGAGATCAAAACGAGACGAAGCCGATGGACGCGTTCGACGCTTCTATCCTCCACTTCGACAACGTCATCTCGAGCTTTGCCCTTTCCTTTCACGTCATGCTCATGTGCAGTGGGGGATGTAAGGTCCCGGAGTTTGTCAAGGATGAGTTGAACGCAATACCACGCTAATGAATAGGTTTCATCTGAAACCCCGTCGTCGGATGCGTAAGCACTAACGCAAGCGCTCCGCACCAACGCTGAATACGCTAGCCGGAGCTGCGGTGTGCTCAGCCTTCCTTCGACAGAGTTCTGCAACAGAGGAATGAACGTAAGGGACACGGGTCGCACCAATTAAAGAGTAGGAAACCCACCTCTATCAAACACTGCGCGTAAAAAGGAACCATCCTCTTCGCAAAGTCTTCCGAGATAGATGATGATTCCTGGCTGTCCACCTTCCCTTCCCCACCGGCGTCCAAAAATTCTTGTCCGGTTCGAACAGTCCTACCGAAGCCCTTCCCAAAGAACCCTATCTTCCAAGCAGACGTCGTAGAAGCCAAAGAAGAAGGTTCCTGGCGCTGCTTTTGGGCATGCGCAGAGAATATGGCTAATACGACTGAATGCGCGGATTCGTACGTTTCACGGTTGGTTGGGTCGGAGAGGTGCCTGTGAGTAAAAGAAGTTTAGTTTACGTCGAGTGAATGAGAGAGCAGAGAAAGAAGAAGGACGGGGGTACCGAGGAACAAAGAGGGATAGAAAACACTCACGCGTAGCAAGCACCCCACACCCAGTTCCGTATACACCCATCACTAAGCACCGGAACGAGCTGTTCAATACTCGCCAGTGCGAAAGCCTGCTTAGCTTGATGTACACTTTTCGCAGCTACGAAACATTGTTACAACATGTGCACATATCTCATTGAATTGTAAGCAACTCACCACCCGTCATGCGCTGAAGTGAAAAACACGTTTCCTCAACATACGCATCGGCTTTATCGCCTGCCTGTGCCAAAATATCCAGCGCAAGATAAAATGTCTTCTTCAGCTCTCCAAAGCCTCCAGTAGTCGACGTGACGCCGCCAAACTGTGATATGACGAATGAGAGGTGGGAGAGCGTATGGAGAGCCTGTAGAGCTATGAATGAGGGGGTGATAGCTGAGTAGTAAGGAGGAACGAAGACGACGGCGGAGAGAATGGAGTCAAGTAGCATGACGTTGGAAAAGAGGAAAGTTTTGAGTGTTGTCCAGATCGATTTCGTGAGTTCCTTGGTGTCCTCGTCAATTTGGTCTTTCGTGGCGCTGGCCAATGCGCCTTTTGACCAGTCACTTTCAATTTTAGTCGACATCTCGCCTAGAACTTTGAGGGTGTCTGAGACGGTACGCATTCCCTCGTCGATCCTCGATGTGGGAGTGTCGAGGAGGAGTGCGAGGGTGTTGGCTGTAAACCGAGAAATGGAGGGAATCGAGGCGGTAAGCGGAGAGGAAGACATCGACCGAAGTGTTTGAGCAAGAGGCGATGAAGGTGATATGTGAACATGGTGTTCGGGCGTAAGAGATGTCGATGGGGAAATGGAGGATAGGAAAGTGCCTGTTTTGAAGGTGGCAGAGATGGTGGAGGTGAGAACGCGAGCAAGGACAGGCAGTGGAAGAGCCCTGAGTCTCGCTTGGGATACTAGAGGTAATGACTGAGATGCGAGAATGAGAGTCAATGAAAGAACGTCTGTGCATAGTGTTAGGTAGATGATCCTTGGCAGGACGGCAACTCACCTTGGCCTGCCGGCTGAAACTCTCGCTCCCATTCCTCGACGCCGGTCGGGGTCCCAGAGATAACTCCAAAGGCGTACGTATCCATGACTTCCGCCAGTGAAACGACAGTTTCGTTCTCCAAACCGCTCCTCCCAACTTCAAGATGATCGGTCTTCTTTAGGTCCTCAACACCGAGCAACAGCCCACTACAGCACGCCAACCGTAAAACGGGATGACCTCCCTGCACGCCTTTAACCACATCCGTGACCCACTGGCCCACAGCTCCGTTCAACGTTTTACGAAAAAGAGCACTAAACCCCGATCGGGACTTGTCCGCATCCCGAAGTGCACGAAATTTGAGATGGGTCGCATGTCTGAATGCCGTCGAAAGCGAGGTTAGCTTCGTATGTGTGAGCGGCTGAGAGAGAAAAAATGGCGATGAAATCGCAGTCGCCGCAAGAGGGGTTGGAAGAGGCGAAAGAGTGGCAAGGTGATGCGCTAGTGCACCTTGTATGGTCGGCAACGGTAGCGTGGAAATCGGGTTGTGAAGATGGGTGAGAAGAAGGGTGTAACCACGGTCAGAAACCGACATTTTGGCCGTTAGAGAGTCGCTGAAGGTGGTGGTATGAGTGAACAAGCTAATTACCGGAAATGAAGTTACCTGGCTCCGAGTCTGTGATTCCGTCACCCGTGTTACAACTCAAGGCATCGCCGTCTGGAAAAAACATGGTTACGATGAATGGACATGACGCATCGTGGTGGGTGGAAGGAAACAGATAAAAAAAGATTTTTGGGATATAGTCAGTATATAACTGGTTTTTAAGAGTTTCGACATGCGCGTTTGCGTAAACGCACACAGACCAAGCAATGTTTCAACGCGTTAATGACCAATAACGTGGGGGATTCTATTTTTAGGTCAGTGTCAACCCCACCCAATGGCCACCCAAGACTCTATCCATAAGAGAGAGGGAAAAAAGCAGCGCAAATATATGCAGAGCCAGTTTTCATTGGAGTTGAAGTGATAGATGCTCCCATTTAATGAAAGCGGCCACTTTTTTCCTTCACGATTGGACTGAGAAAACCAAGAGAAAATAGTTACAACTATGTAAAGGCGGCATTTTTATTGGAGACCCATCATGATGCAGCTCTCAAAAGGCGTCGCTTGTAATTACACCTCCGTGCTGACACTGTGCTGAATCCCTCGGAGAGCTCAGACGTTGCGAAATAAGCAAACAGATAAAAAAAGGTGACCGTGTAGTTATAGTTGTCGAAGTACTATGACTTTATTCCAGCTTCAAATTTGGAGGATTCAGAACCGGGGTCCGTGAGGGTACTTGGTTCGTTCTCGCACCCAATTATTTCATTGAGTCGGCGGAGTTGAGGCTTCATGTTTTCTGGAATCGAATGAGTACCTTGTAATTTATCACCAAGGTAATGAACTGTAATGAATGGTATGTTTCAATGTGGGCACCAGGGTTTTTCTTTTTCCCGGAGCCGCCTGGAGCAAGCCTGGAGTCGCACACAACTCAATAATATGAAAGGGAGTTCCTGGAGATCATTGTCTCGTCTATAGCAACGGACAAGAGACAGGAGGGCGACAGGGCGTTTAATTCATTCACGAGCATTAGGAACACCGACGCAGACCGACTCTTCCCATAACATACAAAAGTACGTACCTCGTTCCTATCTATCTAATCTTATCTATCAGCCACAATGAAGGAAAATTACCGCCGTCTCCGGCTATGTACCAGTCAAGCTAGCTTTCCATGCACACAAGCCTCGAGTTCTTACGTCGATCTCGGTAGTCAAAAGTTAAGTCGCCTGCAGGTCAACTCGCACCGCAGAACCTTTGAAGCGGAAGTCGAACTGGTTGCTGGAGCCTAGGGAACTTGGAAGAGAGCCGGAGTGTGTTCAACAGACTCTAGATTTCATTAACCCCCAGCCGGGGCAAAGACAAGACCTCAGCTCGAAGCTTACGTTCCGGCGTGCGAGTTCCAGCGGACCCCCGAGAGTGTTCGAGGATACTCTAGTTCTCGTGTTCTGGAAAGATGAATGCAGGCGGAAGATCCTGGGTAAGGCGTCGAGACTTGGTCGACCTCTCTGAGTGAGCAGACATCAGTGGGTCCGAGGGGCATTCCAATTCTTCCGTTTATTATCCTCAGTGTTTGGGACGGTCACGGGTGTCCATGCCGTTCAGAATCATAGTCTGGCCGTGATCAAGGAGGCATTTGGCAGTCCAAAACATTGATGGTTAGAATCCCAAGCCGTCATAAATTCTCCGAAGAAAAAGATTGTCGAGGCAGTGGTTGGCTGTGATGATTATGATGACGATGACGCAGATGGTATTTCAGTAGGACATCGAATTGAGGGGCCTTCAAGGCGGTTTTTTGTTGGCTGATTTCGACGGATGATCAAATTCTAATGCACGTTAGAACGTACTAGGCCGTTATGATCGCCGGATGGACGAATGTAAATCTATGGAGATATGCCTGGGCTCGAATTATGAAGTGCAAATTATCCGTGTTCAGCACCCCAAAAATCCCCAGTGCAGTGCAGCAGTACGTGGAGAACATTGATGACTCGATGTACGGTTCGCATCGACGCCTTTTATAGATTCGAATCAATTATAAGGTTGGGCGACGTAACTTGACACGAGGATACCGCGCACAAAGGCGCACAAGCGCTCGCGTGTTTGCTAGCAGGAAGTAATAAACACGCGCATGGGGGACCTGTAGGGCGGGCGCCGGGAGAGCGTGGTACACGATCGATCAGAGAGAAATCTTCAGGCACCTTGAGATGAGAAGCGCGGAAACAAAATGACGTGAGTTAGAACAAGAAAAACACATTTGATGTGTTATCGAGTCTCACTTAACAACTGACAAAGAGAGAAGTAGCGCTCTAGAGCACGTCGAGGACAAAGAAGAGAATTCCCGGGCCGATTAATGCGAATCGGTGTAAGGAAAACGGGGATGGGCAAAGGGTAAAGAGACGGTGGATTTTGGCTCAACCCTGATAGAGTAGCATATGAAATCATCGACGCTGAACTGGTGGAGGTACGTCGACCATGAGGCTACCAAACGAGGGATGGTATGGCGGGTATGTGGCCGTTAAAACCGTATGATGACGCTTAAACGTAGAACTGGAGCGATTGGTGTTGAAGAGAGGTGGGCTTTGAGGTTGAAAATAGGCCAGCTACATGAGGCTGAGCGAAGGACGGTCAACGTTGACCGCAGAAAATGTGTGAGTAAGTTCGGGATTTGGCGGTGATCGGGGTCCTTGCCGGGTCGACCTAGTTCAACTATTTTTGCCAAGTCACTCGTTTGGCCTGAGTTTGGCTTGTTCATAATAGTTGCTTCCCACCTGTCTTGATTTCCTTCTTTCCTCCCCCTTCCTCATCGTGCGCACCCGACGAACAATCACCCGTGCTCATTGCCGTCAACGTTCTACACGGCGGTTCTGCACAGGCTACTCGTCGTCCTGCCGATTACTCCCCTGCTGGACATGCAATTTAGACGTCTGCATTTGCCGCAGATTTCTTTAATATCTACCAGCACCTTCGCCCACAGGCTCTCTTCCCCCCTTCTAGATCGCTCACTCCCCATACCTTAATATTCTTTGCCATGTCATCATCACGTCCTATCCAAAATTCACCCTGGCCAGACCCGACACCAGCCGCGTCGACGTCTTCTTCCTCTTCAAGACGGTCAACCAAACGGAGACGGATCCAGCATAAAGCTCTCGAAGCTCGTGCGAGCACTTCAAAGTCGGCGAGGAGACAAATAGTCGCAGATCAGAGTGAAGTCCGTGCGTCCTTTTTTCTTGTTTCCTGCTATCCAGCAATGTTCATGGGCGCTTGATTGCGGATTTCAGAAACAGCTCTCGTCAACTGCGAATTCTATTCGGGCAATAATGTCTTTTCCTGTTTTCCGACCGCACAGACGGTAATACCCCAGCACCAGTGGGCTTCCTTTGTTTGTGCGTTTCATGGCTTTCCTCCGCCTAGAACCCATCACCAAACTTTTTTTTCCCAGGGAATTCCCGCCGGCCTGATTTGACGCAGACGAATCTCGTTGATATTTTCCTCTTCCGTGGTGACTCGGGACAACAGATATTACACTTTCCTAATACAAGCAATCCCACCGATCAAGCAGGCTTGTTAACTGCACAGGTCAACGACTCATGGTGGGGCACGGATGGTAAGAACTGGAATGGGAGCAACATTAGTTATCCTTTCTACTGGGTTATCATCCGGAGCGACAAAACGCTCGATGGCAACCAAGTCGCCCAGCCCACATTCACCGCCGTCCGTGAGTACCTCCGTTGTCCTCGAAACTTCATGGATACTGACGTAATACCCAGAAACCACATATGCAGACTCGGTAATTGCATCGTCATCAGCCTCAGTAGCTTCAGCGTCATCCGCATCATCCGCCTCGGCCGCTTCTGCTTCCGCATCCTCCTACAGCGCCTCAGTAAAGTCCCAAGGCACATCCCCCACCTCTGCGGTTCAACATACCTTGAACGCCTCCTCCTCCTTTCCGCACTGGGCCATCGCAGTCATCGTCGTCCTGGGGTTCCTCGCCATCGTTGCCTCATGCGTGCTAGTGTTCCTCATCCTTCGCCGGATACGTCGCCGGAGGGAGAAGGAGGAAAGCGAGGCGAATCGGAATTCTATGGGATCCGCGTCACCCATGATGGCTAACGCTGCGAACACCTCGCCGCTACTAGGCGGGACTGCTGCACTCCTGCCCCCACCTACGCGGCCCGGCAGCGGCGGCGGCGGTGGCGGGACACTATCAAGGCATGACAGCCAACAACAACTTGCTCCAAGCATGACGCATGATGCGGAATCAACGACATCGCGGCCGGGCAGTGCAGGTGACAGCGGCCCGTTCAGCGGGGCTGATGCGGCCATCATGGCTGATGCATTCAGAAAGATGTTGAGGAAGCCGGACTTTGCAGCCGCTGGGCCTGTGGAAGAGGGTGAGGGCCCCGAGGGGCAGGATGAGCAGATTATTAATCGGGAGTTGGCGGAGGAGGGGAGGGATATTCGGAGTGTGAGCTCAAGTAGGGGTGTCAAGGTGGAAACGCTGGGTGATAGTGATACGGCGAGATAGGCAATAGGTTTGGGTTGTTATTTTGCTCCCCCACTCCCCCTCCTTTTTTCCTCTCTCCTCCTCCCTCGATTCATTGCATTCCCCATTCCCATCTTGGTTTTCTCCTCCTTTCACTGTAGCAAAATTTCCACTCCACCGTTGGCTATCCCACGGACCCTTTGGCACCCTCTTCTTCTCCAACCCCACCCATCAACAACCCATCATTATCATTCATCATTGTTCTGACCTCATTGTGTTCTACTCTATTCACTTGCATTTCCACCCCCCTTCTCTATCACCCGAGGGACCGACCACTTATTAGCTCTTATACCTCCCGCCTCATGTGCATTTATTCTCATTACTTTATTTCCACCCTTATCCACCCCCTCTTGCCAACAGGCGCTTTCTCGTTCCCTTTACCCGCCTCCCACTCGTCACTTCGTCCCCACTGCAGCAGCAAGGTTACCCCCCCTCTGGTCGAATACCCTCAACAACACCTGCCTGGACTGGCCCGCTCGCGCTTACTCGTACAAACCCCAGCTATTCACTCAATCCAACTCGAGCCTCTCGACTTTTTTTACTTGATGCTCGTCCCACACTCGTTTTTCTTGGCTCTTCACACACCACTTGCCCCTTGTTCACTTTCAAACCCTTTCTTTTTCGCATTGCACTACTCTTTGTTCTAAACTTTGACCTTATTCTTATTTTCTTGGCATGGGATGACTCCCACTTTCTGGAAATTCTTTCTTTACGACCGCCCCCTTGAACATTCCCTGGGGCCCCTTCCTTCTTCTTATGCACCCCCCTTCTTTTTTTTTTTTTTTTTTTGGAAAAATGCAATCCACACGCTGTAGCCTACCTTAGATTGATCCGCGCGTTACGAGTGGTATTCTAGACAGACATATAGTTACTGGACCTTTTTTCACCCTTCCTCATACCCACTCCCCACACCCTTCCGCATGACGCGCGCTTGCTGTCTGCGTTCTCTTTTTTTTATCCTCGACAGCAGTGTGCTAGCAATACATCAATGATAACGAAAGGATGAGATGACGATGATCATGATGCGATTCAGTGGTGTGCTTATCAGAGTTCTTTTCTGTTTTTGGAACCAGACGCGCGCGTTTTATCCGTGCGTTCCTTGGACCTTGAGCTTGAGAGACCGAAGCTCGGTTTGGGATTTACTTTTAGGTCGCGACGTGACTCAGAAGGAGATGATGGACCAGAGGGTTGGGATTAGATAACATCTTGACAGATGATGTTGAGTGGGAACGTTGGAAGATATCATATGTTCTACAACATCGGCGTTATTCGACTATAGACACATTGGGTTACGATAAAGTTGTATATATATAAAACAATACACACGATTACTGAGAGAGATTGAGAAGACGAGAGGAACAGAGGGCGAGAATAAGTGGTCAAGCAGGGGTAATGTACAGATATCGAGGTTTGACTTGGATCTATAAGGGCTTTCCCTCTATGTCATTCGAGGATACATAGTTTACGCGCGGGGTAATAGGGTCGCAGAAATGTATTGAAAGTATATATCATCGAGGAGTCCGCGCGTTGAGCTGTCTCATGAGCAGTTCGTACCTGAATGTCAAGTCAAAAGTCATGTCAATACCTAATAACCTGTGAAGTAAAATGAAGGAAATGACGCACGTTAGCATGGTCACCGCGCTATTAGGCACTGTGCGTAGGAGATTGATCGACAACCCCTTATACAACCCCGTCCAGCCTTCTTTCCGAATGAGTTTGGCGGTGGTATATATGATACCTCCGCGTACGTGTCGCTTGATCATGCCGTCTGAGGATATGTCGTCTGCGAGGGGCCGCCGTTGGGTTTGCAGCCGCGTGCGGACGACTTCGTGGGGGTAGGTCGCGATGGATGCTGTCATCTTGGATATGGCGGAGCACATGAGGATGGTTTGGCTGGTGAGTGGTGCTTCTGAATCGGCCTCTACAGGAAAGGGGTGAGTGAGGGCGGGGAGAAGAGAAAGCGAGATATTTACGGGCATAAAGTTTCAAATGCTCGTATAGAGGGAATTGCACTGCGACATGCATGATTCCTAATAAACTTGGGACGAGACCGCGATAAAAAGCACGGAGTCCCTCTGTTCGGTATATTGTGATTGCTGCGTCTAAGGTATGTCGATATCTGATGTCTCCGGGCAGCTGAGTCTGAGAGGGAGGGCAGGATCAGATGCTAGCCCTGATGGAGGAAGGGCAGTGCGCACCATGAATCGCGTTTTGATAACCCACAATGGATTCGTACATATTGTACTGGCCGCCCCAGCAGTCATCGCAGACAAGATGTGGAGTGACCAGGGGTGCTCGCGCATTACTGGCTGGTATCCCTTCACTTGTGCTGCGGGGTAGAGTCTCTCCCTAGTCCCCGGCGGCGGTTCCCCAAAAATATTCTTGATCCCATCGTAAACGGCAAAATATATAGCCCACGTAGGGAGGTAGCCGAGGATAGTGGGTCCCAGACCTCTGTACAAGCCCCGAAAACCTTGGTCTGTGAGGATCGTTCTAACCGTCCCTTCAAAAGAGACAAAAGAAAAATTGATCAGAAGATGAAAATGACTAGAGATGTGCATCCTACTCACCTCCAATCCCCTGATAACTCGGCTGTCCCGGAACTGCCCTCTGCGCCTGTAATTTCGTCTTGACTACGTCCAAAGGGCAGGTTGCGATGCTAGCTATTAGCCCACCCCCGGCGCCAGCTGCGAAAACGTAAGTCTAAAGGCCTCGAGGGTGTCGTCTGACCTCACCAATCATGCTGTTGGCTGTCCATTTCGCCTGGCTAGCTCCCATAACTCTGCCCCGCCACTGCGCGGGGTGATGAGGGTGGGCGTGCTTGCAATGATCGTTAGTGTCGTCGTTGGCCGTTAGATTTGGTATCCTAAAGACAAGAGGAGTGTGTATATTATTTTTATTTGTCCTCCCGGTTTCTGCCGGATTTCGCGGACCGACCCATTCATTTACGACGTTTGCCCTCGGAAGGTTCAGCGATTGCAAGCAAATGCAGCCTCATTTTAATCGCATCATATTCAAGTAAGTCACCGGCGAAGGAGGCTTCATAGCTTCAAATGTTACTTTCTAAACAATTTCAGACAGCCCAAAAAAACAAAACAAAAAAAAGCTTTTTGTGGTGCAGTGTGTGCCATTGCAAGGGCGCCGGCTGAGCACACGCTCGAATGGCTCCTATAAGTACTTGTCCCAAACATGGGTTCACTAAATCGCGCAGGGTTCAAGAAAAAATCTGACGAAGTACAACGCCAGAAGGTTTTTTGCCTACATCGGAGGTACAGTTTCATGCAGCGAACAGCCTCGCCGACTTGATTCACATTACACAATACAGCTGAAAAAATAGGGGAAGTGAGAAGGATCAAAACTGCAGCGCTGCAGCATGTAAGATGAACCGTTCGTCGAATCTATGAGTTCGAACTCAGGAAAGATCGGCGCTACCATACTTGTAGAGGCCATTAGCAAACATCATTGCCCAACTAAAAGGCTCGCGGAGTCTGATGTGCCCCTGCGTGTTTATGAGGGTCCGAGAATAAGATTTCGCAACGTCAGGCCTGAAATGAAGGGCAATCATGGCCGCCTCTAACTGATGCACTACAGTTCGCCTTGAGCAATAGTTACGACGCCATGCGAACAACACTCACCATCATTGGCAGGTACAAAAGCAGCGTTTATTTCCATCCATTGATCCCCGAGATAGTTCAACGGATCGTTACAAACTTTATCGTAATCGCTTTCGTGCGTGATGAGGTCTTGCGCAAAATCGTCCTCAATACCACAGGCGAGGAGCGCTGGAGATAATCAATAAAGGTAAAAGCCTGAGTCCAATTGCGTGCACACCTGCTATTGCGTCTTGTGCGTTTGAGACCATGCCCGGAGTTGCTTGAGGCCTGCCAGTTAGGAGAAGTTGGTGGTTGCATTAGAGAAAGTCTCGATCAAAATAACGGCAAACACTTACCGTGAATCGCGGTCACTTTCTGCTGTGGATTTCGGTTCATCAGTAAGTAATTCTCACTTGACAGTCCTTGTCTTCTGCTGCTGTGGGATTGCTTCTTCATTTGTTATATGCCAAGTTCCTTCGCACCGTGTTGATCTAGTTGTCGTTTGGATGTTGTACTTCTTGTACATATAGGTTTTGGAATAAACTGTGCTAGTTTTTTTGATTGTGATTGAGAGGTTTCTTTCTAGTCGTGGTCTTCTAGCTGTGGTGATTGTATTAAAGTCAGTTGTGGTGCCAAAAACTTTCGGGTACGGGGAATCGAACCCCGAGCTGCCGCGTCGCGAGTTTTGTCCAAATGTGAGAGGCGGCAATGTTAACCGACACCATACCCGACAAGAGTGACATTGTTGCCCTCGCTCCCACCTAGAAAGCAAGGATGGACCACCCTCCTTTTTTGACGCACGGGGACAGGCAATTGGGGCCCCGTCGGACCCTTTGAGGCCAGACAACTGCGTTGCGACTGTATATACTCCCCCGCCATCTCCTACAGGATCATGGACGGCGGGTCAGATGGCCCCTACAAATCACCCGCTGCTCCGAAAATATTGTAATTTTAGGGACAGACCGAAGATTACTATGTAGGCTGTACTATAGGTTGCAACCGTCGCGCGTCGCGCAATCGCCCCTCCTAAGTTTTCAATCATCCTACCTGACATTGATACCCTCAATTCTCATTTATTGTACAGCTAATGACTCCTCGCGTCGCACATCCAATGAATGCGATTGAATTTCGGGTTACAAGGTATTGGCCGCAGGAGACTGACCAACGAACGCCGTTCATCTTCCCCCCGAAGACTTTGGTGGTATATATTCAGGTACTTCAATCGTTCCAAGAAGGCGCCATTGGGTTTGATGCTGCTGTGGCCACGTAAATCGCAGCAAAGTCGGCTGCCCTAGCACCGGGACCATCCACGTTGCATGTGTGGGTGGCTTTGACAAAGACTAGTATGAGTCACCGCTAGTGTTGACTGGTTTCAAGCGCCACTGAACTTTGTAACGAGGGACATTGAAGAGGGTATTTTTAAGGCAGTGGGAAATGCGGGCAGCTGACGTTGTTTAGGAGCGGAGAACCAAGTGTCATCGAGATCAGGCTCATTATTTTTTATTTGTATAGTTGTTGTTGTCGAAAGCGATGGACAGCGTGAAAGCGATTCCAGTATGATGACAAGATAACAATAGATGGACGGGTAAACTCGCCAGCCCCGTGGGTATGTTTGAGAGGATATTCCGGTCATTCAAGGTCGTGAGCCACTCCGTGTCGTGTTGAAGGCTGTTACCAAGTCCGCAACTAAAAAAAGAGTAATTAATCTGTGTATCAAATCCAATAAAGGGCAGCACGCACGTCGTCGTTGAATAAATGTGTTATACTGCGTATACCCTGTTTTGCGACGGCGATCGTATCAAGGACGACACGTTCTCCAACCGATTCATCAGGTTTACGGAGTCTCCAACGAGCTGTTGAAGGACTTAGTCCAGCCTTGATTTTCCGCCATTTCTGAAGTGCCATCTCAGCACTGGGTCGCTTCCCTGGATCGTGATTCATCATAAATCCGATGAGATCGGCAAGAGATTCTAGACCAAGGTATTTCTAGCATTTGTGAGTTTGACAGACTAGCGACACGTTTGGGAGGGCAAATACCTGGTAAAGGTCTTTGAAGAACATATTACCAACCGTAAACACGTCGACTTTGAATGGATCGTATGGTTGAAGTTTCTTTAACTCTGGAACGTCCGTATCTCGACCACCCCAATCCAACACAAAGCGCGATTGGCCAGGAAGAAACCGATGGGACAGGCCGTAGTCGATGAAATAATACCGTACGGGGTGGTCTATACGCGCCAGCGGTGTTATGAAAGTCACCCCATCAGGCGCACAGATAGTGGCCTTAAAATGCCACCCCCGAGGGTAAATAGGACGAGCGTCCATCATGATGTTCGCGCCTGTGCAGTCCCTATTCACCACTAATATATTTCGATGGCGATAGCTCGTTGCGAAAGAGCACGTACCCATGTGCGATATTATGAGAATGCATGAATGCCAGACCCTGTTGATAGTTGACTCTCAGCAGAAAGATAGATCTAGGCCACTTACTTCGAGAATTTGGGTTACAAAGTCCACAACCTCACCAATAACCGTAAACTCCGGATCGTCAAAGGGTCGGAGTAGTGGCATCACCAGATATTCGAAGTCGGGTGCAGAAGGATCGCAGAAAACGTCAAGGATAGGTACTGAATGATTCGCTGGCTCTTGCAACAGGTCGGGCGACGAAAAGTATCTCGCAATATCCGCTTCTTTGGGTGTTCGATAAACGGCCTTGAGACAGACTGTAGTACCGTCCTTAATTCTTTTGGCGTCCATAACCTGGGGTAGCTAGATAGAGACAATGGTTAATAATCGACGACTAGGGTTCAAGACTTGAACGAACCAGGTGTTCCAGTGAATCTTCGTATATAATAGACTCCTCTTTCGCGTTGAGCCACGACGGGATCCACCCAGTACGATAACGTGGGCGCAGTTCAAAACCCATTTGAAGGAGAAATTGATATCGATCGTGCCATATCCTCTCCAATTTATTGAGGTCAGAAGGGTAATGAGATTCAGGGTGATTTGGCTCATAAGTTGAAATCGGGTCGGGAGGCGGGCGGGTAGTTAAAATTGTTTGCGTGCCACGCATAGAAAACGAGGTAGGATGGGAGTTATGTTCCGTTTGCATGGAACGACAAGAAATCAGTAGTGAATGTTTGGATGATGACGTAACGAACACAACCTGATGCCTGCCTCGTGCATCAGTGTACATGTGGGTGTCTATTTGGCCTTTACAGCTTTTAAACCTCATGCTCCCTCCATCCAAATGCCCATACTTCTTCTCCTTGCGACCCATCTGCGCCAGTAAAAAATATGGACGATAGCGCTTCGAACCATTTCAACTTCGTGGCTGGCGTCTTAGGTTTTGCCATAACTATCATCTCCGCCGCCGCCTGTTGCCGCACCTACCTTCCAGGAACGCAAATGAAGATTCTTGATGAACTCCTGAAAGAAACCAGAACGATATACGAGAAAGCGGACACCGACGGTCTTTTCCCGTCTGAAAACTTCAAAGAGGCCTCCTTGCGAATGCTTGCTCGGTATGTCAAGATATTGATTTAATTTCGCTTGATTTCTAACGGTAATCAATCCAAGGATGGAGGAATCCAGCCTCTCCCTCCGCGAAAGAACCTACAACGCAACAACCACTGTCCAAGAATTCATCGCTCTATTCAAAGGACTCTCTCAAAGAATAATGCACTTGTCCGTTCGCGTCAAGGATTTGCGGGCTTGCTTAATCGTAAGAATTTCCCAATCGGAAATTTTCTGCCAAAAAGTAACGACCTCACACACAGTCCACAAGCGAGAAAGAACGACGGCAGAGACGAGCTGGAGAAGATGGCCAGACGGTTCATGCGAATGACAGCTGTGCAAGCGACGCATCCATGTCTTGGTTAACATCAATCGATTCTTCTATCGACTTGGAGCCCAGCCCAAGCAGTCAACCAGCTTCCGATAGCTTAGACAGCCATCATGGCCAAGCCGTCTCCTGTTCCGCTGCCTTGAGCGAGTCCAATCAGTCAGTTGATCACTTGAGGGAGAGTATAGCGCAAATTGGGGAGGGCTGCCGTCAAGGCTGGTACCAGTCCCCGATAGAACATTAAATGAAGCTAATACTTTTAAAGGCGTTGACGCAGACGTTGTTGCCCCACGCAATAACCCTAGTCGGTCCTCTACCCTGAATACGCTAGTCGACAAACCTCCCCGGGGCTTGTTTTACAAAACGCTCGACCGCTTTCGCGGATGGATGTTCATTCGTCCTGCTAAAGATACCCAGGACGGAACTCCGCTCGACGATCAAGATGTCGCTAGGCTGCCCGTGTAGCATTTCGCAGACGCTTGATGCGTTCCTGGAATACGACGGCGTGGCACACAGACGAAGCGAGACATTTCTTACACTTCATATTTTCCCGTCACTTCCTTTCCGCGCACGACCGCAACATAGCGTCTGCCGTTCAAATTTTCTCTCCCGATAACGGAGACCTCGACGGAGTCGAGTATCAACTCCCGTCACTTCCCACCCATTTTTGGTGTACTTTTTTTGTTGTGTGTATGTACATTTTATTCAGCTTTGGGGCCCTTTTCACGACGATGGATATTTATTCTCGGCGGAGAAATCGGTCCACACTCTGGGACCGGTCGTCTTGGGCATAGGGCAGGGTGGTAACGACTTACCCACAACCGCGCCATAACAGCTTTATCGATCATGATCAAGCAGTGTTTATTTCAACTATTTTTCATCTCGCCGCTCATGTAAACTTGTAAATCATCGTGTCAATGTACAGTACCCGTGTATCAAACAGATCTTTTTGTTCTCTGCACTGCCCATGTGTTTATGGCCTTGTAATAGAAAGCGCATCCGGTCGCCTTCGCTGTTGATCGGGTCCTTGTAGGTCCTTGTTCAAGGGAGATCAAGAGTTTGCACCCAATATCATTGATACACGAGGCTGCGTAATTTCAGCAGAACATCGTGATATAAATCAGCGATGATCAAGTTATTTATTACTCGAAGGCATGGGGTGGTCTCCTCACCTCGGTCTACACGTGTCGGGCGTAGTTGGCTATGCTTTGGTGGGCTCAAGGAACTGCCAAGGCTGTCAGATGCCGGCAGTGCGCGAGGAATAATAGGGAATGTTACTGGCGTTTCAGTTATTTAAATTGACCATTTGGTTATCTGTTTGGCATGGTAAAGGATCGCGAGAAGCAAACGAGGCTGTCTTTCCACTTGCTTGTCTTTGTGGACGCGTTGTTGTAGGTTGTTATTTCTAATCCGCGTATGGAAAACGAGAATACTCAGTAGCTCAAATATTGTTCTATCGAGCTCTATACAGATGTCAAGGTTCGCTAAGACTCACAGATTATTGGCGAAGGGAAAAAGTTGAAACTTCATAAGGGGACTTTTGACGGACCAACGAGGGAAGCAACTCGTGGTAGACGAGGGATGGATGAGTCATGCGACATGCTATAACTCAGACTCTAATATTGGTAGTTACCCAGCTAATCGCCATTTTTTACGGACACTTATAATTCCAGGTCCTCACGAATTCGAATTCGAATGGGACCCATCCTTGGAGCGAAAGGTCTCCATCGGAATGCCAGTTTAAAAGATAGGTGCAATAATGCTAACGGAGATCCTGGCGATGCAATACGTCGCCTTTTACCCTCAATCTGCTAACAAGATGACTTGTATGATCACCATTGCAACCACAGGCACAATATTGCGTCGGGGTCAACTCTGCAGATACCTCCCACATACCTCGTCTGTGCACATTATTGCACCACAAGTTGATCTCTGTACCAGAAGATGGCGCATCGAAGGTAAATATTTTCAAGGTTGTCGATCGCTTCAAGACAAGTGATGGATCGTGTAACCCTCTAGTCACTATAACAGTGTGGAGGGAGGGGTAAGACTTGACGTCGCGCAGCATTTTCTTGCCGATGGACACGTTTGATTCAGCACGGTCAAGCGCGTAAGATAGGTGGGTTAACTTCGGTAAAGGTGTATTCTCCGGCACATAGTGCCTCACAAGACGGAGGTGTGTTAGTTGCTGAAAGAATGCGGGCCCTCCTGGGGCCCCAAGGAGGTCCTTCCACGCCACTTCATTAGTGTATAGCATGGTCAGCTGTCTGCATTTGCGATGGCGGACTACGCCCCTGAGAGCAATAGCTTCGCGGATGATGAATGAGAAGCTGGCGAGGGATTGAACGTTGATGCAGGCTTTCAAAATTCGCAGAGCCTCTTCAACAAGGTGAATTCGCATAGGAGCCAGCCAGAGGTTGCGTACCAGAGGTGATAACTGAGGGTTCTTTCGTAAGAAGAGATCAAAGGATGGAATTTGACGTTCGTCTGTCAGCTGTATCAGGATTCGGGGTAGACATGTGTAAAACGCAAGCTTTTGGACACGACGAGAGACTTGGGTGAGGGATAGATACGTCCCCGGCCAATCCACACAGTGTTTCAAGATGAGGGATGTGATTTCCGGAGGGAGACGGAGCAAAGGAAATGAAATCGTATTGGGTATGAGACGTTGGGCTTCGAGATGCCGAGCTTTCCGCAGTTCTTTCGCGCGAGTAAGGTGACGAATCTTCGGGAGTGGAGCGGAAGGTCTCACGGGTGGTTCACCACATTTCGAGATGAAAAATATGTAGCCGATGGACATGAGGATAACTGACCACACCAAGACAACATCGAAGTCCGATTCAACGCTGTCCATAGTCTGGGATGATCAAGTTATGATCTGTAAATCCAGTACGCGCGATGATGATGATGGGACAGCACTCGTCTCGCCGTTGGAGCTCAAAAAAAGCTTGATCAATGCTCCAGAACATGAGGCCGACAGTAAGGAAGAGAGCTCGAATATGGTTGGGTTAGGGTTGTGATAACCTCCACAGGGAACTTTGAAATCTTTACCAGTGCCATCGAGCTGGCAGATTCCCAACCTCCCATAACCAACGGTGTCGAGCAAAAAGCCGCCCTATGATGGATACGAACCTCCATAACTCGCCCGATTTCCTCCAAAATGTATACCTGACGCAGAATAACTGCGACAATACCTTGGACGACGCGCAGCTGGAAACACGGTGTCCACTCGACAACGAACGACACGATTGCAAGCCAATCTCCACGTGTTTTTCTGCTAATCAGTTCGACAGGCTACCCCTAGAGCTTCTCATTGAGGTCCTGCTGCAGGTGGACATTCCCTCGCTGACTCGCTTTCGCGGCCTCAGCCGCCGCTCAATGGAGCTTGTCAACTCTGTCCGCCAATACACCACAGTCATTGAGCATTGCCCCAACATCATACGCGCCATTGTAAGCATCCAGGCGGACGCGTTTGATTGTGGTACACTATACAGAACACTTTGTACAAGCCGATGTTTCACGTGCGATCACTTCGGCGACCATCTCTATCTCATAGACTGTCGTCGGGTCTGCTATTTCTGCTTCACTGAGCGGCCGGAATACTTCCCCCTCACAAGTCGCGAAGCATACAGGCTCTTCACCCTCAATGCAAAGCTACAGAGGAATGATAAAACCTCCCGAAAACTCTTCAAGTTGGCGAACCCACCAAGCATTCTCAGCCTGCCTGGGCGGTACTGTTTTGCTTTGACTTGGAGGGGAGGGATTTTGCAGTCAAGGCGACTTCGACTCTACGATCGCCGGGCTGTGGTCCAGAGTCTGACAGGCAGTGGTCTTCCACAGTCAGACAAAACTACCAGGGAACCTAAGCGATCCATGGCCATCATCTCCGGCTCGCCAGTTCTGCTAAATGGTGGCCGGCAGGTCGACCGTAGGTTCTTCTGCCTCGGTTGCAGGGATGATACAGAGGGGGGAATCATGCGTTTCAGAATCAAATACACGACAGCGGACTTGTCAGGGCACATTGTGAAGTATGGACGAGTAGTGGAGGGCATGCCGAAGAACCACGGCAGGTACATGCACGCTACCAAGGACTAGATCATGCCGTAGTCAGGCTATCGTTCGAGGAACATTGACACCACATAATTCAGCTTTGTACAACTACTGTTCCATCAACTTTCCTGGTAGTGCAGTTTGAACTGCAGCCGACACAATCATTCGAACCATTCAAAGATCCGTGACTTGATCACAACGTGGAGCTCAACCTACACACAACTGACCTAATCCAATGTCAGGCCTGCTTGGGCCTACCCGGCGACCTGTCTGGAGCCAAGATTGTGCCTTGTCAAGTCCCAGCGAGTTTTTTGACTCACAGGCCTAAACAGCTCTCGAATTATCGCAACAGCAAAGTCTGCGCCGTCTCTAGGAGTCGAGCTACCACAAAGCCATAATTTGCGTCCAGAGCACTCTCTCGGCCAGCCAGTAGCCTCGCTCTCCTGTCATCTACAGTCTTAAAGCCCCTCTACACCATGAACGTCGCTAAATCGAAAAATACCAACGTCCAGCTCCTAGCGTGTCTCACCGAGCTGCAGGACGCGATCGACCCCGATGACAACCATTACCGCCTCCTCGTCGACGGGAAATACGTCAAATACGTGAATACAGCACCGGGAGCGCTTGGCGGGGATGAGATCGATCGGTACTTCGGGCCCATCTTGCTCGGCGAGCTCCTTCCACCTTTTCCACCCGGAAATTGGAACGAAGGCTACGTGGCCAAGGATCCCGAAACACGAGAAGTGGCCTTCATCAAGGTAGAGACAGTGCCTCTTGCGGGGGTGGAAAATCTCTGGCATCCAGTGAAGCTGAACGAGCTGGATTTCACACAAGAACTTCACCTGAGGCAACGCGTTCGCGCTTCAACACACCCCGAGATTAACGACAGGAAGCCCGTTCTCATCAAAATTGCGGTTTGGCCTTGGGAGCTCCCTTACATGGAGGCTGAGACGACTGCTTATGAACTCATCTGTGGCAGTGGTATTGGCCCCAAGTTTCTTGGCCATGTTACTGAGGGGAAAGACGGGCGCGTGGTTGGATTCGTTGCTGAGTGGGTACAAGATGCGAGGGCCGCAGGCCCAGGAGATTTCGAGGGCTGCAGGAAGGCCTTGGGGCAATTGCATGAGCTCGAGATCAAGCTTGGCGATATCAACAAACACAACTTTCTTGTGCGGGAAGGGCACGACGTTGTTTTGATAGACTTTGAGTGCGCGAAGAAATGTTCACTGCAGGAACTCGAAGACGAGATGAATGGTCTCAAGGGAAGCCTGGAGGACCCAAGTTTCCGGGGCGGGGTAGAAGTCGTTTGTGAGTGAGAGATACCAGCATATGAACGGTGGAATGAATCGCTAAACGGGTTTTTCTTGAATGTTGGAAACTTGCAACGGCGAGTGACATTCAGCGGACAACCGCTGCATGGTAGACAACACTATACGTAGTGTAGTTAGAATTACAATGGAACCTTCTTCGTTTCTATTCTGTTTCTGTTCACGACCATCTTCCTCGTAGCATTGTCTAAGTATTACTTCTCTCCAGGACCCTTATTAGCCCACACGCCATTCCTAAAGTCAGTCACCACAACTTTCTCAAGCAGAGATCCAACAAGTTCCTTGAATGCAGCATGAGCTGGATCCGCAAATTTCGGGTCCAGTCCAACATAGTAATCGCGATGGATCGGAGAAGCGAAGGTTACTATATAAGTGTGCTGTCGGCCAAATTACTCGGCTTGAATAATTGTACCTGTGTCACTGGGATACAATAGCCACTCACTTCATATCCATCGGCGGGAGGTTCCAGGGAGTCATTGCTGCCAGCAATGATGCTTTGAATGTATGGCGTTCCTGGATAGTCGAAGCCTGGAGTATCAGATAGGGCAAGACAGTTTTGCTGTAGAGCAAGAAAGGCTTTGGCAATGTCCTCTTTCTGAGCAATGGATGTGTCGCTTTTGTATTGGAAGATAACGACGTGTGTAACTGGCGCCATGATGGGCAAGAATGAGCGTGGCTGGTCACACTGAGTCCAGACTGCCCACAGCGTCCCGGTGTCACTGTTATGATGTCATTCGCGTTGGGGCGTTCAGCAGAGTACCTGTAGGCATGACCGCCAGCAGATCTAGGAGCAAGTGTGGATCGAATTTTGAGGAGCAGATGACTGTTCGGGCAAAATTTCACAATAAACCTTGCAAGATGAGTTTGGTGTTCCTTTTCGACTAAGATTCGTGCGTCAATTGCTCATGGAGGAAAGGATTGAAAGTTGAAAGCCGAAGAGGATGGGGAGGGAGCCGAAGAAGCTCAAGTTGAGTGAAGTGGTGGCGGGAGGTTGGCAACGTTGATCACTTGATTTTACTCCTGTCTACACTGACCCCACATCAACTCAAGGGAATAAATGGATAGAGATGGTACACGTCGTGAGTATTACATTACATACATGAACATTTCTTGAATCCCTGACGATCTTTCTTCACTCCGACTCTCCAGGACCCTTATCGTCCCACAGCCCATTTGTAAAGTCGGTCACCACAACTTTCTCAACCAACGGTCCTACTAATTCCTTGAATGCAGCATGAGCTGGATCGGCAAAGTTGGGGTCCAGTCCCACGTAGTAGTCGCGATGGTCTGGTGACGCAAAATTCACGACATAGGTGTGCTATAGACCAGGCTCAACTTTCGCAAGACTTCCATTGTGTTATTGTGGCTAAGTACTCACCTCGTACCCCTTGGCCGGAGGTTCCAAGGAGTCGTTACTGCCAGCAATGATGCTCTGGATGTACGGCTTCCCTGGAGAATCGAAACTCGGCTTATCGTACGGGGCAAGGCAATTTTGACCCAGGGCGAGGAAGGCTTTGGAAACGGTTTGTTTCTGGGCTATAGATGTGTTTCTCTTGTATTGAAAGATGACGACGTGTGTTATGGGTGTCGTGGTGTGCAGGAGTGAGCGTGGTCTGTAGTACAGGCCGCCCATCATTCGATATGTAAGTATGCCGCCCGTCACTGGAATGCATCATTAGAGTAAGTCATGGAATGGGTCAATGAAACCGAGCCCGTACATGCGAGCATGACCGCCAGCAGCAGAGGGGTTATGGAGCGTATGGTCTTCATCGCTGGGAACCGTGAGTGATGGCGTTATGTAGGGGTTTGGAAATAAGCGCTCAACCCTTCCAAAAGCTGCGTAATCTGGTACTTGGACTTTGAAGTTTGCTTGGACTGCATGGGAACTCGTGCGAATGGTGGTCGAGCTTGATGATTCCGTCTGTTGCAAATCATTTACAACATCTTGTGTGGAATCAGTTCCACGAAAAGCGACGACGAGGGTCTTGTTGTAACTGTTCCAGGCAACGAAGGCTTGAGTATGTGTCGCTGCATCGTTGATAATGACCTTGGACGATGTATGAGACGTTTGTCAAATATGTAACTTGTCACTTCGACATCAGTCGAGTGGACGATGTTCCAAGTCATTGGAGAGCGGTAGAAAATGACATCATCAATGCAAAACCGCCCATCATTCGATATGTGCGAACTCATGCGAATGCTGTGTGAATTGCGCACTCGTATACGTAGAAAAAGTGACTAAAAATGTTACACAAGGAAGGACCAACAGAAATGAAAGCCGTCGACATCACATTCCCGAATTGTTCCATTCTTACATACATGTCAGACCCTCACGGTATCTGCCAGAAAAACGTGATTGTCAGCCTGGAAATACCGAAATGAGAGTAAGGACGTACAGGCAAGAGATTGTCAGCATAAGCCGCATTAAAATCAGGACCAAGATAAACACTCGTGCCCTTATTATAGCGAACTGCACCATCAATTTTGATTTTAATAGCCCTACAAAACGTTCAGCACAAAGAAACAGAACGACGGCAGAAGTTACGAACGTAACAAGCCAATTGTCCCTGATGCCGAAGTTCAAGAAGGCTGCTGCGTTTTGGGTGAAAGATGTAGAGTTGTCTATGCAAAGGACGAAGCCATTGACGTCGCGCACGTCAAGGAGATATGCTTTGTCGAGATTGAAGGTGTCTGTCTTGTCATTCTCAAAGGTGAGCAAGGACACGCCGCTGGAGGGGACGCCCGCATCAGTGAGAGGGTCAACGAGAACGTTCTCTAACTTGAAAGTCTTTGAAGAGCCCGTAAGTGGCAGAGTAACCGAGTATCCTGTTTTGTTGACTGCACCGAAGACGATGGAAACGGCTCGATCCGTTCCTGCGGCGTGACGTGAGTAGCCTGAACACCACTAGTACTGAGAAACTCACCAGCTTTGTCAAACCAGCCGAATGCATTGCTGCCAGTTGTTATTTGCACCTCTATGCTTTTGATGGCAGTGAAAGCTATATTATACAGGCGGATTGTAAGTCATCTTGTAGTAACGATACTTCGGATGACAGACCATTGAATGGGGATGACAGCAAAGTGTTGTACGTCGCCATCTTCGAATGAAGTGATGAGTGCTGAACATAGTGAGTGCCCATGGTCGCTCACCTGATGAGAATAAAGAGTGTCCACTAACAAAGGGTAGTTGGGGTCGTGCAGGATGTACTGCGCACCCAACCTCCTCCACGCATAGAGGGGCACAGATAAGTAAGGGACTATATCCCTCTCGTTGATCACAGCAACACCGGTCACGCTGCTAGCTAACCCGTTGGTGAAGAAGTCGTAGAACGCATCATTGGCCGAGTAAGGGGCGCCAAAGTTTATCATCTTGAGCACGTTGGAGTCGGTGAACGAATATTTCGCTTTGAGAAGGACGGCAAGGTCAGCAGCGCCGTAAGCTGCCAATGCCCCACCAAGCGAATGGCCGGTGACATAGATTTTCTTGATTTGTGAAATGGTCACAGAATCCACGACATTCTGCATGTCATTTCTAAATCTTTGAGGTTATCCAGCATCTCGACACACACTCACCTGTACAGCGGTCCATACCTGACTCCTAACTGCGCCATAAGCGGTAGCAAAACCCTGTGGTACCAAACCTTGTAGTGGGCCAGCACCTAGCAGAGTCAAGCTTGATGATTCTGTCTGTTGCAAATCATTTACAACATCTTGTGTGGAGTCAGTTCCACGAAAAGCGACGACGAGAGTCTTGTTATAACTGTTCCAGGCGACGAAGGCTTGAGTGTGCGTCGCTGCATCGTTGATAATGACCTTGACGATGTATGAGACGTTCGTCAAATAAGTTGTCACGTCGACATCAGTCGAGTAGACTATGTTTGCCATGCCTCCACAGAGAATAAACTCGTCAATTGTAGCGTTGAAGTTAACGTTAACCGCCGAATCTAGTGGTCGAATGTCGGAGCCAGCGGAGAGGGTGTGGAATCGGGTCGTAAGACTGGGCGTAGATGTGACTGGGCGATACCTAACCCGAAAACGGCAGATGAGATTCGAGAGATACAACGTGATAACAAATGTAATGACCTGAAGATACCTTCAATGTAGGATGTGCCAATAACCAGGTTTGAAGACGCGACAGCAAGGCTTTTGACATGACCAGGGAGTGCTTGCCAAGTGTTGAGATTTGTGCCATTGTAACGCACAATTCCCTGCTGAGTCGTAACACCAAAGACCGATCCATCTACCCCAACTTGCACTGATCGCAAATTGGATGCCCCTCCGTCAACCCAGCCGCTACTATATCACCCTAGTTTTAGCATAGAAAAAGTCTGCAAATCATGTACGTACATGGTACTTGATGACGAAGTCCTTCGCCAAACCTTGCCAGCGTTATCAACAGCCCAAACAGAGTTGGAGGTACCTGCCGAGACCGAGACCAGATTCGCTGGCGAGGTCGAAGTAACGTCAACCCAGGCGAGTGATGCCGAGGTGCCATCAAGAGTAAGAACCTTCCCCGTTTTGGAGATGGCCCATAAGTTGTTATCGACGCCGCAAGATATGTATGAAGCACCACCAGAAACGCTTGGAATTGCAGTCCAAATGGCGCTGGTGTTGTAGTCCGCCAGTCTGTAGATCGTGCCATCGTCAAGCAGAGCATAGAGCATGCTGGGAAGACCAAGGGAAACGTTTGTAACCTTCGCATTCATAGCAGTAACGACAGGAGCTAGTTCCTTCCAGATTTGATTAACACCAGAATAAACAATGCGTTTATCGGAGGTTAGTCCAACAAGGAAGCCATTTGGTGCCACCGTGAGGTCGATGAAGGATGCGTTACGGAGATCTGGCCCACGGAACCATTGCCACTCACGCGTACTGAAGAGAACATCATAAGCCCGGATTGTCCACATCCAAGGAACGCAACCCACCCTCCAAAAGACCAATCTGTAGATTGACTACCTACGCGAACGCGGTTGATAACTTGCGCAGAGGTAGTAAAATAGAAGGGCCCATCGACCTGAAGGTTGACGATCTGATTCGAGGTCGAGGTGTCAACTCCCCAGCGAGTTCCACCAAATTGATTGAAGGCGGATTGAGTCTGGACGAGTTGGACGTTGTAAACTGTGGGGGAACGATGAGACTACATGTCGAAGTGGTTCAAGATGGAACTTTGAGGTCAGACGTACCATCCTTCTCAATGGGATACCAATTGTTGTTTTGAGGTGTGACACTCAATGTCTGGCCATCCAAATCGTTAATGAGCAAGCCTCGAGAATGATACCACAACTGAGATGATAATAGATTGTTGTAGTCGGGCGAGGGCGCACTGCTAACCCTGTCCAGAACAGATCCGCCTTTGTAACAAACAATCAGGACTACACGACGGGTTAAGCCAATTAAAAGCCTCACTACTGGAGAAGATCGGCTGAGCAAACCCAGGAGGAATTAAACACCATTCTCGTAGTTCTGGTCCGTCGAAAAACGTCGGCTGCCAAAGTGGAGCATCGTTCGAGAGAAGAAGGCTTGCTCCAACCTAATTACAAGTACGAGCTGACAATGTTGATGAACTAATGCATAGTGGACTTACGATATAACCATACCCCCAAGCATCTTTGGAGCCAGCTGGTGGTGGTGGGGTTGTGAGTTGGGGGCGATCGGCTCTCAAAACTTTGGTGGGGTACTTTGAATTTTGGATGCGTCCGGTGCTGCTGATTCGAATCCACATCTGCTCTGGTGGGACTGAAGTAGCCCCAGACCTGACAGCGAGCATCAGCATAAGAAACTCGGAACTAAGAACACGCTAACTGGTAGGCAACAAGAGTTATGGTCGCGCCATCCGTTGAGAGGCACTGGTTCGTTGAAGGGTTAACAATTTGCAAGAGCTCTGTCCAGACCCAAAGCTGAGTGCCGACAGTGGAGCCCAAGCGAGGCTTCTTGATCTGAAGCGAGGGAGACTTCCCTGCGCTATTCGGGGTAACGTCGATGACGAGTCCCGAAATAAATGTGTAAAGCCAGACCGGCGAGCGGTCAGCGACTAACATACACAGTAAGATCGCTTTTAGTCAAGATCGGTCATCAAGACAAGCTCACTAGTTTTTGTCGGAAGGATCGGGAGCTGCCAGGATTTATTGTTGACCGTATAGACTATACCGAGCGTAGGATCTCTTGAGATGACAAAATTGAAGGTGGGCCCCCCTGAAATGAATCGTGAAATTCGTTATCGACTTTAGGGGTAAATAACAACCTTCGTAACCCAATTCAAAATTGTGGAAACCATCATATACTACAACTGCCCAAGTCGTGCCAGTACGCCTAACGCGGTTTCCAACTTCTTGGATGATGATGCTGTGGTATCCAGCGACTTGAATAAAACGATCCGCAGAGCCAACGTTGCCGTTCGGCGTCAATGTAACAGAGAGATTGGTATTATTCTGGAACGAGATACCCCAAACCATGTTGTAGGAGAGTTGGATGGTGCTGGATAAGGCTTCCTGAGTCCTTTATAACTTCAGAGTCCTGTCCAGAAAGAGTCCCAGACGGATTTGGAAAGATTTGGAATGGGCTGAGCGGCGAGCGCTGCTTGGCGTTGCTTCGATCCATCAACAATATACAGGTACCAGGAACCAAAAGGGAAATCGGAGGAGTGCCTTCTATCCATTCCTTCCTCAGAAAGAGCTGCGAACAAGAGATAACACCCCAAACATCAGGACACATGCTCAACCTGAACGTGAATGGAGATCTGCGCACGAAAAACAAATTGCCACTTTTTCAACGGCGTCCCCAACATGTTTCGTTGCTCTTCAGCATAGAAAACTCTCGATCCAAAAATAGATACAGATTGAGCGCTGAGCGTCGGCGCGGGTCAGATGTTGCAGATATGACAATTGTAATGAACCCGCTGAGAGAGGTTGGTTATTGCAATCTTCCATAGAACGAGGAGGTCGTCGCGTACCTTTGAGATGAAATCTTGCTTAACTGGGTAAAATCAACCCGATGGACCCAAGACAATAGGAGGATGTATTTAGATACATCGCGAGGAACGGTCAACATGGGAGGGTTCCGCCATGGATAGCCTATTTTAAGCGCTCTTGAGCGCGAGACATGAGGTCTGATTTCCAGAGAGAAGGTTGAATTTGGTTTATCTTGTAGGGAGGTCAAGGAAGATCTGGACAATATGAATGATGAAGGCTTACATGTTTGATGCCCGCCCCCCAAAATGACACCGCCGTCTCGCTCCGATTGGTGACTCGGATAGGCTTCATGTGTACCAGTTGCAGTTTGGCTGGGGATGATGCAAAGTTTACCGTGTTGCTTGGGCGCTGGGGTGCTCTGGGATTGTGATGATTTTGATGGGTTTGAATTCGTGCTCGGACCTCAGGCTTTGATCAAGCTTCTGAGGAGCATGTGTGTTGGGTTCTTTCCAATCCGATCTGGGAGGCTGAAGCGGGGAGGTCGTGATTTATACTCGTAGGCTTCGAGAGCGCTTTAAGGCAGAAACATATCCTTTCACTGAAAAAAAGGTGTCGCCTTGGCTCGCCCATGTTGGTTGGTTGGTTGAAGGACGCGTTATTTGTACATGTTATATTCCAAGTATGTACTCCCCAGCAAAATACGTAGCCTGTCCTAATACATGGACTTTCAAGTCTTCCGCCGTTTACTCCTTCCCCGACCATCTTCCATATCAGCTTCGCGTTTACTCTTCTGCCCCGCGGCCCTCATCGCCTCCTTCCTTCTTTCCTTCTCCTTCTCCCCCTTCCTCTCCTCCTCCTTCGCCAACTTCTTCTGCCTCTCCGCCTTCTTCTCAACCTTCTTCTCTTTCCTCCTCACCACCTGATCCTTCCTCAACGCCCGTATCTGCTGTAGAAGTGCCACGGCCTTTTTCTCCTCCGGCTCCATCACAACAACGCGTTTTTGGAGATAGGTCTGGTTTTGTTGTGGTTTCATTAGTTTGGGTTTGGATGCGTAGGGGAGGGAGGCTTGGAGTTTTTTAGGCACGATGAGGGGATTGAAGCGACGGGGAGCGCGTTCGATGCGCTTGTATGTTGAGTTGACGTTCAAGGGTGTTTTAATGCCTTCGTCTCGTCTGACTTGACCGGTTAGTCGCATGCCTGTCCAGTCAGCCTTGTTGGAGAGGAGAAGTGAAGTGACGGGGTTGTAGAATTTCCTAGGTTGGATTGAGTACCATGCCCGGAGGAATATAATGTCTGGAATTATCAACATTAGAAATCGGAGAAAACATTCAAAAGGAACCTCTTACCGCTCATGAGGACCTTATCTTCAAAGGTTGCTCGGAACGCGCCATCAGGCTTAGGGAGAGCTTTCTTCACTTGGCCTCTGATACCGGACACAGTACGAATATTGGCCCCTTCAAACTTCGCCACTTCCAACGCAGATGAAAACATATCCCGAACGAACGCCGTGTTCTTGAAGATCTTATACGGCACCCCAGTCAACTTGAGTTTCTTCACAATCTTCACTGAGCGATCGATGTCGAGCACCACCCCTGTAGCAGTGACCCTGAAACCGGGGGTATCCCCTGAGAGCGAGTTGAACGCGCAGAAACCGGTGTTAGGAAGTGACACAGGCCCATAGAATGTAGCGTAGCAGTGCATGTGCTCTGGGGTGTATTTAAGCATGCGCATCCGTATAGAGTGGTCGTCAAGTGAGTATATAGGGATAGTTTGGAATCGACGCCAACCGAGAGAGAAGATGAGGGGGTCATTGGTTTTGAGTGTCTTGATGTACCACCTGTGTCGTTTTATACGGACTTGGACGTATCCGAACCTTTCTTCGGCTGCGAGCAGCCCACCGACGATGATGGGGTATGTAGGATCAAAGTTCTCGATAAGCTCGGCAGGGACGTTGGCGAGCTCTATGCGGACATAGGATCCTGGACGGTAGCCCTCAACCAAGGCACGCGATTCAGCGTCAACACCTTCAAACTCTGCACGGTTCAAGGCGAGTTGGCGCGCCATCTCGTCCTTTTTCTCCGTGTAAAAGTCGAGTTTGGAGGACTCGGGATCGTCGTATTGTTCATCAAACTTGCGCTTGAGAGCTTCTTTCTTGGCGGCTAAGGCTGCTGCTCGTGTGGACTCGGGGTCGGATGAGGAGGGTTTTGGGGCATTGCTGTCTTCGTCGTTTTCGTTTTCGTCCGCGTCTGCATCCTCGCCTTGTTCGTCAAGTCCACCGTCACCTTGTTCTGCATCGACATCCCCGCCTGTAATGAAGAGATGCCGTATTGATTCTAACATATCTTCATCCTCCCACTTCTTCAACTCCTCAGGATCAACGGGGTCGTTGCTCATATCCAGCTCTTCGGCATTATCAGACGATGTCTTCTTGATCTTGAAGAAGTCGTCTTCGTCCATCTCCATCTTGTCATCCTCTTCCTGGTCCTCCTCTCTTTTGTCGCCAATGATCTCCTCGGGAGTAAGGTTGGTCGAGTATATGAGCTTCGTCCAATCTTTCAGCCAGGCTTTCCGAGAAAGGGAGGTGGATTTTTGAGCTCGTTCGGATAGGTTTAGCTTCCATTTCGGTATTGACTCCCCTTCTTCTCCCTCTGAGATAGCCTCTGCTTCTTCGTCACTGGGAATGTCTTGATCTTGATCTTCACCATTAAATCGGACCCGCCCATCCTCCTCGTCGACGTCGTCTCCGCCAAGATCGGAATCGCTGTCGGCGTATTCAACATCTTGACGTTCCTTTTTGCTGAAAGAAGGAACTGTGCGCATGATTTTGCGGTGTGTCGTTCGGCCGGTATTTCTAGCGTCTCTTGAAATCTCTGCATCATCACCCTCATCCGACTCGTCCTCATCCCCTTCGTCCTCCTCATCCTCCTCATCATCACCTTCTTCTTCATCCTCCTCATCACTATATTCCTCTTCATCAGACTCCTCCCCACTAATGCCACCCTTTTCATCTTCGACAGTGAGATTTTGTGAAGAAGTGCCGAACAACCGGATTTGAGATTTGGCGACAGCATCTTCGAGGGTGTTGTTGACATCTTGCAGATCCATCACCATTTGCTCGCCTTCGCCTTGTGGAACTGGAGCGAGAATTAACAATTGATCAGTGAGAAAAGTCAGGAATGTACCATCTGTATTTCCACGCGTGAAACTACCAGGAACATTCACCCACACAGCATCCTTGTCGTAGATCACCCCACCGACATCGCTCATGGGAGCATGGATGAGCAGCTTCTTTTTCTCACTCAACTTGCGCCTCTTTTCCGAACTCTCATTTGGTAAGGGGCAAGGATCGCCTAGCACTGTTATGTCCTGTATATCGAGGTCTCCAACACCTGGTATATGGACTTTGTGACTTTGACGGAGGTTTGTTCCCCTCACGTAGCCGTAGACTGTTACCGTCCGATCGCATTTACCTTTGGAAGTCCGAACGAGTTCTCGAGGCGTCAGATCCTCTAGACGGTCTGCAAGGAGATATGGATGAGAGTTGCGGAAGACTAAGGGGCGGAATTTCATGACGCTGATAAAGCGGGAGAGGTTCATAATTTCAGTGTCGGGGTACCGCCCGTTAAGGACTCCAGACAGATAGAACAGCTTTGCGCCCTGGTAGATTTCTGTCCAAAACCGCTTTTTGAGGGCTTTTTTGGTGGAACGGAGAGTGGCAGCCTTTTTGATTAGGTCCAGGTGGGAGAGGACGCCGATTACTTTTGGGAAGCCGTGAGATTGGAGGATGTTGAGGAATTCGAATGTTTCCTAGACAAAGGTGAGCTGATGCATTTGTAAAGTGGGGGATATGCACCATTTCAAAACCGAAGGAACCGTCAATCATGAGGAGGACGAGGTCGGCGATTTTCCCAATGTCGATCATACTGTTCAGGTCGTTGTTGCATTCAATAAAGGTGAGACGGCGTTTCTTGCCACTGACAACAGTGACGGGACCTTTGACGTCGTTTAACATTTGTTTGGTATACCGCCGGACAAGGCTCTTCAGTAAGGTCGTTTTGCCGACTCCTGGGGGACCAACGATGGCTATAATTACTGGTGGAGGCTCGTCGTCAGGTGTTCGGTTAACGAGGGGGACATGTAAGCGTGTTTGGTCTCGCTCAACATTTCGTCTGCCTTGCCGGTCTGCTCGACGACCTGATTTAGGCGCAAAAGCCTGCGAGACATGGTGAGTTCGCGAAATTGAAAAAAAAAAGTAGTTGCAAACACCTTTTCGTTGAATCCATGTTGTTTTTCCTTTCCCTTCCCTTTGCTTTTCTTTTCAGCCTTTGCGCCTGACTGGGCTGGGCGATGGGCCTTGTGTGGACGGTCGTCCATACAGCCAGAGAAACGAAAAATCTCGAGCACTGATTGACGTAGACCTAGATTAAGGTTAAGGCCAAGAGAGGCCAAGTGCACGTGAGGTAGTTAAGCGGGTTCGAAACGTTGGTCGGCTTTTCACAAGTTGTCGGTTCGTGATACCTGTGTCTCCCGCCAAGATTTCTCCGCAAGAATTGTAAAGCCTATTTCTGTTTCAGGAAATTATCGTACCTGCCCTGCGTCACCTGCGCTATCGATGGGTACGCTGCGTGGCGTTTGAACTTTGGAATGCTGCCATTTCAAGGTCTTGGGATCAAGTTGGACTGCCCGTGAAAAGTGGTAAACGATCATCACTTCTGATGTTACAAGTCTCATTATTAGCGTTTAGGCGGCCGTGATGTTCAGAGTCCCATCTCTCATTCGCGACTCTGCTCAAGGGCGGCATTCTCGACTTCTTTTCGTTCCTGGTCCCTGCATCGTTGTCTCCGGAAGGAGGCCGCGCCCAGCTCATCCGTTCACAACTCTTTCGGGGGTTGAATTATGAGCGTATAAAGGACCTATAAGCTTTTTTCAAGAAGATCGAATCATCTTGCGGCAAGATGGTCTGGGGCGTCTCATTTCAGAACACCACCAATCTATCTGTCTCATTGACGCCGAACGGCAATGTTGGCTCTGCAGATCGTTTCATTCAAGTCGATGGATATCATAGCATCGTTATTCAAGAAGTTGGCGACCGCGTCAGGCGTACCTCCACGACTTGGGCTGTTGTAGTATACGATGGCTTTCATAACATTGAATTGGGGTACGAAGGTCAGCCAGTCAGTTTCTTTCGCGGCAGTCGATCTAACCGATTCACTTAGGAGGACCGACGTTTAATTTCGTTATCTCAAGGGATCCTACACGTGGAATAGTCTATTCGGAAAGTGGGAGGAGTGGAAGCTGGCAGCTTCCCATTTTGCCGAAGAAGACGAGTGCGCCTTTTTTCCCAATTAAAATGAACGACTAACAACGTTCCGTGTGATACAGTTGCTGACCGCTCGCCCGTGTGGATATACACGTTCATTTCAGGACTTGTTATCGACGTCACTCCTAATAGCGTTGGCAAGTCACCCTCGCTCCAACTCAAGAAGCCTCGCTCGGACGCCAACGTCGCAACTCAGCTTTGGGTCTGGACAGAGGGCGGGCAAATTGTCAATGCGTCAACGAACAAATGTCTTTCAACGGATGGAGCGACCATAACTCTTGTTGCCTACCAGTTAGTGTGTCCTTTATTCAGAGAATCCTGTGCTGACGTTTGGTGTCAGGGCTGGGGCTGCGACAATTCCAGCAGAACAGGCGTGGACTCGAATCAGTAGCACTGGACGCATTCAGAGTTTAAAGTACCCCACTAAAGTTTTGAGGGCCGATCGTCCTCAACTCACAACCCCACCAGCTGGCTCGAAGGATGCATGGGGATATGGCTATAACGTAAGTTCATTTCGCATTGGTTTGCCAACACCGTCAGTTGACTCAGCTCATACGTATGGATAGGTTGGAGCAAGTCTTCTTTTGTCGGCAGATGTTCCACTTTGGCAACCAACATTCTACGATGGACCGGAAATGCGAGATTGGTGTTTAATTCCTCCTGGATTCGCGCAGCCTATCTTCTCAAAGGGTATAACACCTTCCCTAGTCTTTCATAGAGTGCATCCTTACTTTTTATTACCACAGATGGCCTTATTCTGGACAGAGTCAGCACTGCGACCTCGCCCGACTTCAATAACCTCTCTCCCTCTCGGCTCTGGTATCATTCTCGAGGTTTGCTCGTTAACGACCTGGATGGTCAGACGCTTAGTGTCAATCCTCAAAATAACAAATGGTATCCAATTGACAAGGATGGTATGTCCTCTGTTGTGTCAACATTCTGAGTTGAGATCTTGATGTTCTTCATAACAGTCTACAATGTTCAGCTTGTCCGCACCCAATCAGCATTCAATCAATTTGGCGGCACCCGTTGGCAGGTGAACGGCTTGGCCTCAAACTCGATTCTCAACCTCCAGGTCGACGGACCGCTTTACTTCAGCCCCACTGCACAAGTTACTAACAGTGCGCGTGTCGGGACTCAAGCTACAGATTGGTCTCTCGGAAAGTGAGTTGCATTCCCTGGTTCAGCCGTGCATTCCATACTCATGCACTGTCCTCCAGCTCGCGCGACTGGCAATGGTTCCGCGGCCCTGATCTCCGCAACGCAGCCTTCATCGACCTCACCGTCGCTCCAAACGGCTTTCTTGTAGGTCTGACCGCCGATAAACGTCTGTTCTACTCAAGCGGAAACCAAATCTGGAAAGAATTGGCGGCTGTTTTCAACACTGCAAACGCCAAAGTTGCGAATGTTTCCATTGGGCTTCCTAGCATGCTCTATGCCATGCTCAGTGACGGTACAGTCTATAAAATGGCGGATTATAATTCCAATGCCGTCTGGACTCAACTGCCAAGCATCACCGGTGGTGCTGCATATATATCTTGTGGTGTGGACAACAACGTTTGGGCTATCTCGATCAGTCGCAAGGTCTACACTCTTGATGGTTCAACTGCTTCCCCAGCATGGGTTGACGTTACATCAACCTCACCAGCCAATCTGGTTGCAGTTGAGACGGGCACTCGCACGTCCGTCTGGGCGATTGATACTACTGGCAAGGCCTGGCGACGTGACTCGTTAAGAAATCCCCCGTACGTGTTCCTCGTTGTAACGAGAAGTGCAAATTTACGATTTTGGATGATACAGGACCTGGGTTAATGGCGGGGCTTCTAATTTAGCGTCAATTCAAGTCGGAGTGGATGGATCAGTGTTTGCTGTCACCAGTCAACAGGTTGTGGTTCGCTACGAGGGCACTACAACCAATACTTGGCAATCTCTGCCTGGCCGCGTCAAGAGTCTTGCTGTAGCTTCGGCTAACCTTGTCATTGGTGCATCTTACGTAGAGGGGATTTACAGGTCAGTCCGGTCCACTCAGGCTGTCGTCTCTGTAAACCATCTGGAAATTCCTTGTTAGGTATCGCCCGGTGCCAACAACTAACTCCACTTCCACCACACGTCGCTTCAAGACTCTCGCCAATTCTTCTGAGGTGAAAGCACAAGACGCTGCTGCCTCATACGGCGCGACCATCGATGAATTCATTTTCTGCGCAGGCATGGCGAATGCGGTGTACGACGCCGAAGCCGCAGTGAGAAGCTACTTGACGAACCTCTCATTTGTCACCAAGGCCGTCATCGACGACACAGCTACAAATACACAGGCATTCGTTGCTTGGAATAGCACCTCCAAGATTCTTGTTGTATCTTTCCGTGGAACGGAAATAACATCAATCGCGGATTGGATAACGGACTTACAGCAAACAGAGTCATCGAGCTTGGCTATGTTGGGTGATGGTCCTGCCAACGGACAAGTACCTGTTGGTTTTGGTACTGCTTATGCAGCCGTCCGAAGTAACGTGTGGGAAGCTGTGAAGGTGATTGGATCCTCATATCTGTTCTGTCACTTGATGGCTGAGGCAAAATGAACAGGGCGTAGTGTATGAAGCCGGGATTGCGCAGATCAGCAAAATCTATGTCACTGGACATTCGCTTGGTGGAGCACTGGCGACCTACTGTGCTGCTGACCTCGCCATTCTTCTCAAAGCGATGTTCTCGTTTACCAATCGGAATGTGCTCAGGATGATCAACTTTGGCGCACCTTACTCTGCCAATGATGCATTCTACGACTTCTTCACCAATGGTTTGGCAAGCAGCCTGACCAGTGTTGCTGTGATCAACGAGAAGGATGTGGTCCCTTACATATCTGTGCCGCTCTATGCGTGGAGGAGGCTGGGCACGCCATATACTTTGATCGACCCCAACTATGCGGTACCGGGCCCTTTGTATTCCCACTCGGTTAGCGGCACTGATTTTGTTACTTAACACACGTATCTTCTGACGTCATTCCCAAAAGATTTTGACGTACAGCAGTTTACTGTCTTCTCAACATAATGGTACGTCTTTCAGACCCGAATCTTAGAGACGCTGACTTATGACCACTTTTAGCTTTCGCAGCCACGAAGAGCATAGAGATCGAGATTACTACCGGCACTGATTCCTTTGGCTGGTTTGACAAGGCCGGTGAGTTGATGACGGTGGCTGAGCTGTGTGATTTTTAAGTAACAAACACAACACAGGGACGGACAGAGCAGTTTCTATCGTCTTCGGCAAGGTCAGCCAGCTGCGGGGTCACAGTATCTCTTTGCCACTTCCAGGCACTTCCAAGATGTGGCCATTGGAAAAGATTGTCTTCGACTCGTCTCCAGAAGATGGGACGGTCGGTACCGTTACGTCTTTGCTCACCTTTGAAGACGACAAGACCGACACTTTCTCTCTTGACAAACCCTATTTACTGGACAAGAACGAGGTCAATGGTTTTGTCCTTTGCATCGACACTTCGGTGTCCTTCGCTCAAGGTGCCGCTGCTCTGTTGAACTTTGGTACCAGGGACAATTGGCTTGTAAAGTTGGTATCTTTTCGATAATTTTGTTTCTTTACTGATTATTTGGCAGGGGTATTAAGATCAAAATAGATGGTGCGGTTCGTTACAATGTGCAGAACACCTTTATCCGCCTCGGACCTGACTGGGCGTCGGTATATGCCGACATCTTACTGCCTGTATGTTGTATACATCGTCTTGGACAATCTATTTAACGACTGACGACGGCTTCTGCTAGATTCCGTAGGGTGGATTCCAACACTCAATGACACTGACAGCTCATGTTGAAGCCACACCCGCGGCCTCAAGAAGTATGTAAAACCTTAGACTTGATATATATATATCTTGCTTTTGAAGCCGATGCTTCGCCCTGTCCCTCTTCATTCCCTGTTCCCCGCTTTTCCAATTGACACGAGGAGTTATGATGTAACGTAGTGAACTGAGCATGCGCAAATCAAACTTGTGCATTAATTCTCGTGCAGTTTAGTTTGCAATACGTTTGAGATAATATGGAAGCACACTGGATAGCTTCTGCCGTATCGTCTCGAACTGACCATTTGTCTCCCTATTCAGTAAGAGAGTATAGCCATCTTAGAACCTGAGAAGTATACGTTTCGTAGCTCAACGCCAATTCATTCCACCGTCTACATTCCAATATCTATCACTCACAACCTACTTCTCCTCCGCCCGGAAAAGTTGGTGTCTCCAGGCTTTCCTTGAGAGCGTTCATCTCGTCTTCGAGTTCCTGGATTGAACATTTCTTCGCGTACTCAAAGTCTATCAAAACAACGTCTTGCCCTTCCCGCACAAGAAAGTTGTGTTTGTTGATATCGCCAAGCTTGATCCCGAGCTCATGCAATTGCCCCAAGGCCTTCCTGCAGCCCTCGGAATCTCCTGGTCCAGCGATCCTCGCATCTTGTACCCATCAGCAACGAATCCAACCACGCGCCCGTCTTTCCCCTCAGTAACATGGCCAAGAAACTTGGGGCCGATACCACTGCCACGAATGGATCCATAAGCAGTCGTTTCAACCTCCATGAAGGGGAGCTCCCAAGGCCAAACGGCAATTTTGACGAGAACGGGCTTCCCGTCGTTAAGTTCGGAGTGCGTTGAAGTGCGAACGCGTTGCCTCAGAAAAAGTTCATGTGTGAAATCCAACTCGTTCAGCTTCACGGATGCCAACGATTTTCCACTCCTGCAAGGGGCTCTGTCTTTACTTCGATGAAGGCATAACGGGATCCTTGGCCACGTGGCCTTTGTTCCAATTTCCGGGTGGAAAAGGTGGGAGGAGCTCGCCGAGCAGCATGGGCCCGAAGCACCAATCGTAGTCATTCCCGCCAAGCGCTCCTGGCACTGCGGTCACGTATTTGACGTATTTATCATCGACGAGGAAGTGGTAGTGGTTGTCATCCGGGTCGATGGCGTCCTGCAGCTCAACGGAACACGCTAGGAGATATTTTTTGATTTAGTGACGTTCATGGCGTAGAGGGGCTTTGGGAATAGTAGTAGATGACAGGAGAGCGAGGCTACTGGCTGGCCGAGAGAGTGCTCTGGACGCAAATTATGGCTGTATAGGTTACCTAGTAGGTCCGTCGCAGCGACATCTTATTACCCCATTCATACTGAACTACCCCCTGCTGACTGCGTATCTGATGGATAGACGTCGATAGACTTGTTTGTCGCTTGTTGTACCCCTGTGGAGAAAGCTGTTAAGAGCACGAGGCTCGTTGGTATTTATGTAAGTATCAGAATGATTGGGACCATCTTTACCACCAGCAGGCCCACCCGGGGCCACTGCACCAGCCACAGCCAGCGAAACAGAACCTCCACTTGTCTGCCTCACACGTCAAGCAAAGTTAAAAACAAAGTGAGTAGAGTTCTGCTGCCGTTCGACGCAGACGCATTCCTTACCACGTAAAAAGTCAGAACCTACAATGTGCATTGAACAGGTTCGGAAATACAGCTGCGGTTGCACAAAGCCAGAGCAGTTCATTCAGTGCGAGCGGCATGCTGGGACAAACGTGCGATGTGCGAAACTATCGAAGGAAAATCTGCCGAATGTATCGCACTACTGTGAAGCCCATTTGGTGAAGGCTGGCACTCAGGATCCGATGCACCGCCAAGTCGGAGGTGCCAGTGGACCTGCTTAGCCCCAGGCAGCGTAGTGGCCCGTACGTGGTAGCTGTTCAACGCAAACAGGCTCATGAACAATGTTTTATGTCCAATGTACTGTTCCAACTCGAATTCAATAAATTTCGTCGCGTCACCAGTCAGGACCTGAATATTGAGATAATTAAATGTGTGCGCATGCGTAGCCATTGTGTTGTAGCCGACACAAGACTTGTTTTCGGGAAGATAACCAGAAACCATCACCAACCAAGATTCGAACGGGAATAACCACTAGATCCCAGTTATGGGGTTTGGGATTTTATAGTGAAGACGTACTCCGTACAGAGCTGAATTATGCGGTGGCTTGGCTAGAAAAATCGACTTCGGCGTAATCTAGTCCTTCGTAGCGTGCATGAACCTGCTGTAGCCCTTCGGCATCCTCTCCACTACTCGTCCATAGTTCGAAATGTGCCCTGACAGGTCCTCCGTCGTGTATTTGATTCTGAAGTGCTTGGTTTTCGCATTTGTCTCGTCCCTGCAGCCAAGGCAGAAAAACCCTCGGTCGACCTGCCGGCCACCATTGAGCAGAACTGGTGCGGAGATGATGGCCATGAATCGCTTAGGTTCCCTGGTGGTTTTGTCTGACTGTGGAAGACCGCTGCCTGTCAGACTTTGGGCCACCGCCGGGCGATCGTAGAGTCGAAGTCGCCTCGACTGCAAAATCCCTCCCCTCGTAGTCCAAGCATGACAGTACCGCCCGGGCAAGCTGAGAACGCTCGGTGGTTTCGCCAACTTGAACAGTTTGCGGGAGGTTTTATCGTTACTCTGTGGCTTTCCATTGAGGGTGAAGAGCTTGTATGCTTCGCGACTTGTGAGGGGGAAGTATTCCGGTCGCTCAGTGAAGCAGAAATAGCAGACCCGACGACAGTCTATGAGATAAAGATGGTCGCCAAAGCGATTGCACGTGAAACATCGGCTTGTACAAAGCGTTCTGTACAGCGTACCACAATCAAACGCATCTGCCTGTATGCTGACAATGGCACGGATGATGTTGGGGCAATGCTCGATCATTGCGGTGTACTGGCGGACAGAGTTGACAAGCTCCATTGTGTGGTGGTTGAGGACGCGAAAGCGAGTCAGCGAAGGAATGTCCAGCTGCAGTAGGACCTCGATGAGAAGTTCTAGGGGGAGCCTGTCGAGCTGATTAGCAGGAAAAGACGTGGAGATTGGCTTGCAATCGTGTCGCCTGTTGTCGAGTGGACACCGTGTTTCCAGCTGCGCGTCGTCCAACGTATTGTCCCGCATATTAAACGTCCGACATACGTGTATCATGGAATCGAGTGAATTAGGGAGGTTTGTTTCCATCACAGGGCGGAGACGACATCGTTGTTTATGGATATGCATGATGAGGGAAGTAGGGGATGTTTGCCAGGCAGTTCTCTGTCACCTAACCTTACATAAATACCTTCGAGTTGCGGACAATACATGTGCAGTGCGTCTCTTCATTTCACAGAAAAAGTTTTACGAACAAAAGCCTTAAAAAAACGCGCCTACGCCTCCCTCCCCTCCCAGCGGCATATTCTAGTCCTTTTTAACGTGCATGAACCCAGTGCCAGGGATCTTCGGTATCCTCTCCACTACCCGTCCATACTTCGCAATGTGTCCTGACAAGCCCTCTGTGGTGTATTTGATTCTGAAGTGTTTGTTTTTATCCCTGTGCTCGTTCCTGCAGCCGAGGCAGAAGAACCCTCGGTCGACCTGCCGGCCACCATTGAGCAGAACTGGTGCGGAGATGATAGCCATGAATCGCTTAGGTTCCGTATTAGTTTTGTCTGACTGTGAAAGACCACTGCCTGTCAGACTCTCGGCCACCGCCCGGCGATCGTAGAGTCGAAGTCGCCTCGACTGCAAATTCCCCCCTCTCGTTAACGAACCACAACAGTACCGCCCGGGCAAGCTGAGGATGCTCGGTGGTTTCACCAATTCGAAGAGCTTGCGGAAGCTTTTGGCATTGCTCTTTGCATTGAGGGTGAAGAGCCTGGATGCTGCGTGACTTGTGAGGGGGAAGTATTCCGGCAGCTCAGTGAAACAGAAGTAACAGACCCGGCGACAGTCTATGAGATAGAGATAGTCACCAAAGTGATTGCACGTGGAACATCGGCTTGTGCAAAGCGTTCTGTATAGTGTACTACAGTCAAACGCGTCCACCTGTATGCTGACAATGGCGCGGATGATGTTGGGGCAATGCTCAATCATTGCGGTGTATTGGCGAACAGAGTTGACAAGCTGCATTGTGCGGCGGTTGAGGCCGCGAAAGCGAGTCAGCGAAGGAATGTCCACCTGCAGCAGGACCTCGATGATAAGTTCTAGGGGTAGGCTGTCGAGCTGATTGGTAGGGAAAGATGCGGAGATGGGATTGCAATTGTGTCGCCCATTGTCGAGTGGGCACCGCGTTTTCAGCTGCGCGTCGTCCAAGGTATTGTCGCGGATATTACGCTTCCGGCATACAGGTGTATCAGGCAGGTTTGTTTCCATCACAAGACGGAGATCAATTGCAAGCTGCTCGACGCTGTTGGAGTATTTGTGGGGGAGGCCAAGGGGAGGCGTAATTCGCTATGCTTATGTAATTACTAGAGCATTTCACCCAACTTCGTTCACCTCAAGTCAAAAACTTTCACCTCCAAAAGATATGCCCGCCTTGAGCTTGATCGATGATCGATGACCTTCCCAACCGAGATTTGCTCTTCGTTTTGCACCTGTCCCATGCTATATAAATCTGATTTCCACGCATTTTTCCATGTTTACCGGTCCTTCTGCGCTGAAGCCGAACGCATGCTATCTTGTATACTATACACCTCCGTTGACACCCTCTCGACGACCACTCATGTCATGGTGTGCCACCTTCACCCGCGGACCCCACCTCGCGTCCCGCATTGTCACCCTTTCTCTCACCATGCCCGCACAAACGAGCCTTCATGCAGACGACGTCTCCCGCCGCAAGCACGCCCTCCACTTCTGTGTTAACCTTCGCAATCTATCTAAGCATGTTGGACGGGGAACCCCCCTTCTCCGGTTATGCGGTGCAGGTGTGAGCCCTACCATGCTCTCTCTGTGGTCCTCAGTTACAACGCAGATTCTGTAAAAGTTTCGGCTGCGTTACGAGGAGACGTTACGAAACCTGACCACGCTATACTAGCGCAGCCATCGTAAGAGAGTTGGCCCTCTCGGCTTCGGCGGGGCCTTGGAAAACCTCAAGCGACTGCAATACTTTTAAAAAAAGTATGAAGACGAACTAACGACTTTCATCGCGTTATCTCGCTTCGGACCCTAGGATAGTCTCAGCATTGAACGACAGGAGAAATATTATCAGGAGGGTTTATCGCTGCCTGGGTGGATGCGGAGATACCTAATGTTGAATACCTTCGGATTGTGCCAGATCCTACATGTGCAGTACTATATCTCTTTATTTCACAGAAAAAATTACTCACAGATGCCATCTCCAGGAACGCACCTACGGCTCTTTCTCTCTCCCAATGCGTTTCGCCTGCAGCCAAACTTTGATTATAGAACTTCCCATCCCCAGACTCCCTAGATTCAGTCTGCGCCTACCCCGAACTATTTCAATATGCAGGGCGTCCGAGGCTGCCAAACTCATCTTAACAACCTGCCCACGCTTGAAGTATTGGTTCTGATGCTTCCAGAGTGGAACTTTGGGTTCACGCGCAAAGGGGGGGGGGGAGTAGTGGTGCAGAATGAGGTGGAGGTGGATGATGATGTGTGGATGGATGTTCAGTTGACGGTTGATGTGAAATAGGTTCACTTGGTGGAACACAAAGTCAAGACACGACTGATATATGTATCAGCGCCGGTGCTCGTATCAAAACTTGTTCTCCTAAAAAGTGAGTTGCATACTTATCCTGCATCCATATTCACGAACTTATATCCAGCTCGCGTGGATCACCACGCGTAGCGCCAAATGGCTTCCTTGCTATGATGGATATCATTGGCACCAAATTTTCTGCCGATATATGCAATACACCCGCCTCCAGATTCAGACAACCAAGTATGTATGTATATGCCTGGCAATCTTAGGTGCAAGCCTTCCTTGACGCGCAGCATAATGGCCCATCCATAACAACTTCACGTTGACATAAGCAAAGAAAAAGAAGACGTGAATTTTTAGATCTTTGGCGTATCCTCGACTGCAGTAGCGCACTGCGCGTACGAGTGAAACAAACAATTAAACTACAGAAACACAAACATCACGCCCAGCGTGCTGCGCGGGATCAGATGGAGCCCTCAAAGACACAGCAAGACACGTCCGTCAAATTCACAGCGTGGTGACGGGACGCATCTCACAGCGTTCAGGTTGGTTGTTGTCGAAATTCCTTAGCCTCATGTATCAATGAAATCCATAAAACCTTGATGCTCCCGCAAACTTCGAATACTGACCAAGCATTCGATCAACTGAACATGCTTCGAATATCACAGAAGCAAAACCGCATGTGCATCGCGGAGAAACAAAAAAATGTTCTGGAGAGGTATGTAACGTAAGTACACAGAAAATAATTTGCTTTACATACCACTTGATCGATAAGCTGAAAACAGCCTACTTGACGACTAGCCAAAAGACTGATCGACCTGATTTTCTTTCGAAAATAAAAAAATCATGGTTGTAAAGGCGGTGGGACCCAACTCTGTACACTGTACACGGAGGATACATGGGGAGGCGAAGATTTCCAACCCTCGACTCTGCCAAAGTCTCCGGATCCACTGTTAGATTGCGATCGTGCATGTAGAAGAAAGGGCCGAAAAAATGGGGAGTACGCCAGGATGTGTCTGGTTCGCCTTGTCGGCGGGTTGTGCAGTGTAGGGTACGTTGAGGGAACGCATCAAGCGCTTGTTCAAGGTCATACTAGCAGCCCAGAAATGTCGTAGTCTTGCGCAGATGCATCCGGAGTACCTTTATCAGGAAGGGCGCGCATCCATCCGCTCAATCGGTCCAGCGTTTTGCAGAAGATATTCTGGGTTTTTTCTTCAGCTGGCGTAGGCGGCCGATTAAGATCATTGATCGTTTCTGGAGCGTCTGAACTTATTCTTATGCCCGAGGTATCAACTTGGTCGACGTCTACGACAAACATTAGTTAGTGACCCTCAAGTTGGCAAGATAGGACCCACCTTGAGAGTGGACCTCGCCCAGTCGCACCAAACTCTCCCTCAAAGAATCAAGTGGTTCATTCAAGGCAGGCGAGCAGGAGGTAGGATTTCTACTTGAGCTGTGACCCACTTGTTGAGCCCTCGAGCTGCGTTCCGTATTGACGGTAGAATCAATCGATGTCAACGTATCGGACATTGATAAATTATTCGCAGAGTGTCCCATTCCCCCCACTTGTCTTTGTCGGCGCTCTCTCTCGCTCGTGGACTAGGTATGGCATTATTGGCTTCTGACCCAGGAAGTCTTCAGAAATTCTTACAATCAAGCAGGCCTGCAAGTCCTTCACACAATCTGCGAGGTGTATGATGCCTCGCGAAAGCCCCCTAAACAAAGCCACGTATTCTTGGAAAGTTGTTCTCGCATTATAGGTGCTTTCACGAAGCGAAGCACTAGATTCCTCTATTCTTGACACAAAAATCAGCAAGGAAACGCCATGTCGAACCCAGTCCACATATTCGGTGAGCGTTATCAAAGAAACCTCTCGAAAATCGTCGGATGGAAATAGGTTATCAGCATTGGCTTTCTCGTATATGGACCTAGTCTCTTTCAACAATTCATCTAGAATCTTCATCTGCGTCCCCGGAAGATAGGCGCGACAACAGAGAGCAGCAGACGCAATTGTGACGACAAAACCAAAGACGCCAGCCACGAAGTTGAAATTGTTGGCAGGGCTCTCCATAATTTCTTCTGGGGTATTTTGTGGAAAGATATGTCGCGAAGAGAAGAAGTGAAACCATGATCATGGGGGAGCGCGGACCCACATAAGCCTGACTGCTTGCAATGCATGAGAGCAACTCGTGTCTGTTACGTCATCATCCGGTCTCTCGTCGTTTCAAACCGAACATAACTCCAACATAACTCCATCCTACCTCGTTTTCTATGCGTGGTACGCAAGAAATTCCGACTGTACGCCCGCCTCCCGACCCCATTCCGACTTACGAGCCAAATCAACCAGATTCTTATTACCCGCCCGCCCTCAATCGATTCGAGAGGATATGGCACGATCGATATCATTTCCTGCTTCAGAAGGGTCTTCAATTACGCCCTCGTTACCGTCCGGGGTGGGTCCCCTCCTGGCTCAATGCAAAGGGTGAATTTCTTCTGCACGAGGATTCATTGCAACAACCTGTGCGTTCATGTTTTCAGATTGGCTTTTTGTTTTCGACAACTGTTCTTTGTCTAGATACCACAAGTAATGGATGCCAAGCGAACAAAGGATGGCGCCACGGTATGCTTGAAGACCGTGTATCGAACACCTAAAGAAGCAGAAATCGCGAGATACTTTTCCTCGCCGGAGTTATTGCAAAAGCCAACCAACCACTCAGTACCTATTCTTGATGTATTTCGAGATCCTTCAGCGCCCGACTTCGAATATTTGGTGATGCCTCTATTGCGACCTTTTGACGATCCCGAGTTTGGGCTTATCGGGGAGGCTGTGGACTTTGTGTCTCAAATTCTTGAAGTACGTGATGACTCGAACTGTTGTGCCACTGCAAGCCTAATAGCCAATAGGGTCTAACTTTCATGCATTCTCATAACATAGCACACGGGTGAGTGAGCTTTCGCGATGGGTCTACTTCAGTTGATGAAGAATAGAGATTGCACAGGTGCAAATATTATGATGGATGCTCGTCCCATCTACCCTCAGGGGTGGCATTTCAAAGCCAAGAATTACACACCTGATGGGATCACCTTTATGTCGCCTCTAGCACGTATAGAGATCCATTTAAGGTCGATGTCTTTACTGTTGGGAACGTTTTTTTCAGGCAAAACAGGGGTTACACAGTATAACACATCTATTCAACGACGACGTGAGTGCTGCTTTCTATCTTTTAGACACGAATTGATCTTTTCTATAGTTGCGGACTTGGCAGCCGGCCTTAACGTGATTTACAATTCGCTCACATCCTTGTGCGACCGGCGCTCTTTCTCAAGTATACCCATTGGACTGATGCAGCGACCGGTGTGAAGAGCGGTATCTCTTCTGAGGCGCTGAGTGGTGCCCCCATGCTTGGCCCACCATTCCCTAAATTGGCGTCTTCAAAACTCTTGTCGTTCGATCGGAGAACTGTACTTGCCTTGATGATGGCTATCTCCCGGTCCAACCAAATCTTCCCTCATGGCGCTATCAAGTTCGCTTAGTGTGGTGGGGCAGGAGGACTGACCCTGACGGGGATTCGAGCTACCACCGAATTGTTGATCACTTGGACAATGCACAGATTCGGGGTCGAAGGAGGCATCAATCGACGTCAGCAATAGTACAGACGTATCGGCTGCGCCCCCATTATCCGAGTGGGCGGAGGATCCATTTATTCTTTTGCTCCGCTCTATCTCGCTAGTGGTCTGTGAACAGAAGTTATGTTCTGGAAGGGAGTCGAGGAAAAAAAATTCACATGCAAGCAAGCCCTGAGTTTCTTTACACGATACGACAGCTGCATGATGCGTAGTGAAAGCCCATTGAACAGAGCAAGAAATTCATGAATGACAGTTGTCGCGTTGTAGGTGCTTTCGCGAAGTGGGAGGCTGCGTTGTTCCATACTTTATGTGCAAGTTAGCCTCAATTCAACTTGAAAAAAAAAAAACAATATCGGTTTCTCGACGCACCTAGCAAGCATTGACTTGGATCTTTTCCGAAATTTTTCGGATGGAAATAAATTCTCGGTGTCCGCCTGCTCGTAGATTTGCCTGGTCTCCCTGAGCAAGTCATCCAGAATTTTCATCTGAACACTAGGAAAACAGGCGCGGCACCAGGCGGAGGCAGAGGTGACCGCTATAACAAAACCGAGCACACCGGCGATGAAGCTAAAGTGACTTGCGGAGGTAGTGTCCATGAAGAGGGCAAGTGGTAAAGAGTGTAAGTGTCGGGGTTGCTTTTAACCCCATGTCCAGTACAACCGTTTGGTCAACTCACATATCAGTCATCCAAAAAGTTGACGCCTATAGCGTCTTTTGGACTGTCATACCAGGAGCAAGAGCCACCTTCTTTTGGATCCTGTTATATCTAAAAGAAGCTAGGCTCCCGGTCTTCGCTCTTGCTCCTGGTATGACAGTCCAGAAGGAGCTGTGGCTTGAGACCGGTAAGGGCAAGGTAAGAGCCGTCCAAAAGAAGCTAGGCTCCTGGTAGGACAGTCCAAAAGAAGCTATGGCTTGCCAGTGAGACCTGCGAGAGCAAGGTAAGAGCCGATAAGTTATAAGACAGTGTGGAAACGGCTGTGTGACTACCACCATTTGATGACCAGAATTTGGGATCATCGGTGCTGGTTAGATAGATATATATCTTGTGGATTTTGCAACCCAAATCCTCTTGAAGCTTGTTGAAGTGAGTGAATTAAAACTTGGCATCGTTCTGCTGGGAGTCAAACTATCAACACGGTCTAGCATTTGGCATGCATTCTCATATCGCCTATGGGCATGTGAGCTCTCGCGACTGCTTCACGCAATGATGACGAGTTTGTGAAGGCCACGTACGTACAGGCGCAAATATCATGGATACTTACTCCATTTTCCTTCAGGGGTGGCATTTTGAGGATGAGGGCTTTGCACCTGCCTGGCAGTGGCGTGGTACCCGTGCCGTATTACTTGACCGATTACTACAGCCTATTCCACTAATTTTTTCCGGTCAGAACACGTTGTGTCGAATTGGGGTGGCTGGGATACTGATGGGAACGTTTTATTGAAAGACCTAGAAAGACCCTTGTCAGGTATTTTTGAACCCAAATAAGTTTCGGGACCTTCAAACTGACTAGTATCGGTTGGACGTAAATCATACATAGCGCCGTATGTTCCAGATAGCGGAGTAGGAGAGCGCTATCCCGGTTGAGTGGCGAAGCGCTCTGTCAGCCTGCGGCGAAGCGCTATATCAGTCTTGCGCCGAAGCGCCAGGTGATAGCAAGCACACACACACACTGCCAACGCTCGGAAATTCGTGCCGCATGTTAAATTGTTGCCGTAACACCTAGTACTTCTGATATCTGTTTGGAAGGGTAGCGTTTTGTTTCCGTGTACACGACCATCTGCACTCATGTTCTCGCCGTTCGTTATATGCGTGCAGTGCTATACAGATACACAAGACGTTGAGAACCGCGTGGTACTTGATGTAATTGTCCCCGCTCGGCAAGGTTTACACAGGATGACCCAGTTATTCGGACTTGAAGATAGTCAGCGTACCTTCCCATTGAATAATGACACGAACGGGTTAATACACTCTAGACTGACAATAATTAGCAATACACATTAGCTAAGTGAAGGGCAACATATCAGTCGTCTCCGAGTCCATCCGCGTTCTTCAAATCATCCGTCAACCGAACCTTCATCCACGCATCATCATCCACATCCACCTCAATCAAGTTCTGCACCAACCAAACCGCCCCCTCATCGCGCGTGAACCTATAGTTCTTCTCCGGAAGTATCAATATCAGTAATTTCAGCGTTGGCAAGTCATTCATAACCCGTTCAGCCACTTCTAAGCGCCTGACGTGATGTAGTAGATCGTGGTAGGCGCTTATTGGGGAGGAGGCGTCTAAGAGGGGGTTCACGACGGTGGCGGGTTTTATGACTAACGTTCGGAGGCGGGTGAAACGCATTGGGGAGGGGAGGAAGGAGACTTGCTAGCCGTTTTGCTGGAGGTGGCATTTGTAAGAAAAAAGAGAATTTTGGGGATGAACGGACGTACTAGGCATGTATAATCCATCATCCTGAGGTATTCGAGCTTTAGCATCTGTCCTGCTACGCAGGCGGCGATGACTGCCACGTCCATTCCTACTTGACTCTTTCCTGCCATCGCTCAATGTTCAGGCTTTCCAAGGGCCCAAAGCTGGTTAGGGCTACGAACGTCGCTAGTTCGTCTTTTTTCCTTTGGGTTTTCCAAACAGTATTGGAGTAGTTTGACGCTTTTCCAGGACTCCATGTCCGTGTGCTAGTTCTCTTACGATGGCTGCATTGGTGTCTAGGGTGGCGAGGTTCGATGAAGTCTCTTTCAATTTGCGTGGTAACCTCGTCCCGTCAATCACGTGCGTTGAGGGTGAAGGAACGGTGAGAGAGGGTGGTAAGACTCTTTTGGCTCTCCAAGAAACTTCTATGATGAAATAGGTTTTGGTGAACTTTTGGAGGGTGTGTGTCCCTCGAGAACCCATGCTTGGACTGCGTTCCCGAAAAAGTGGGGTTCACCGTCTAAGATGGTCAACGCAGAGGTGGAGGGCGTGGTTGAGGCGGGTGAGGTCGTCTGCTTGGAGGCTTGTTTGGCATGGCATGGTGAGGGAAAGTCCGGAAAGGAATTGAATGCGAGCGCCAAATTGCGGGCGAGGGGCGAGGGAGGTGCACTATGAGTTAAGAGCGGGTCTGGAAGGGTGGGGAGGTTGATAGAGGTGTACAGGATGCATTCGGTCTCGGCGCGGGAGGATCGGGAGACATGACAGAGGGTGAGGGGGTCAGAGTGGGATAGCAGGGGAGAGGTACGGATTGATGAACAAATTTCTAATGGGAGGATCAAAGGGGTCAGCTGGGTTGGGGAGACTCGGGAAGAGGTGAGAGCCACCGTTTCCGGTTTTTATCAAATCTTAGACATGTAACTTTCATTGGCTGTAGCCTGTCGCTGCTAGCATTTTGTACCTCGACGCGTTCTGTCAAAGCTCTGCAGGCGAATTGCTCGCTGAAATTTGTGGAAAGTCGGTAGTCGTGGAGCACTCACCTAACGTCCGTTGATGCAGAGTGTCCATGCTCTCCAGCTCGTCTCTGGCGTCGTTCGTCCTCGATTGTGAACTGAAAAACAATTTTACGCCTGACGCAGCAGAAAAAAAACAACAAAGATGTTCTTACAACAAGCAGGCCCCAAGGCCTTGACACCGGCCCATAGCTACATGATGCTTTGCGAAAGACCGCTGAACAGAGCCAGATAATCTTGGACGGCTGACGTCGCATTATAGGTCTGTTCCCGAAGCAAGGCGCTAGATTTATCCGCACTTAACGTATGCAACGTTCAGAAGCAAGAATGGAGGTGGGAGCGTAAATCGTACTCAGCGAGCGTTCCCGAAGTTAAGTGACCTCTCCGAAAGCATGATTGTCATCATCCGCCTTCTCATAAATCGTCCTTGTTTCAGGAGTTCGTCGAGATGCGCTTCTGAGACTGGGAGATAGGTGCGACAGCAGGCAGCAGCCGAGATAAATCATAATCGTGACGGCGAGTTTCAAAACGACAGCCACAAAGTGAATTTACTCGAGGGGTTGTTGTTCATATTTCTTCAGCGATAGTTTCGCCGAAAAGAGAAATGAAAGGGCGGCCATGGAGGAAATGCGAGCTCAAATAAAGGCTGTAGACTCATGAGGCTGGCGTCAACTCGTGTTTGATACGGATACGTCATCCAATCATTTCAAATTTCACTGATTTGGTTGTTGTTTGATAGAAACGTTAACGTAACATCTCGGTTGTTCAACGTTCAACCGTCAACGTTCCTCATCGGGACCGCTCTGGATTACCCGCGAGTATACCAGAGTATACCTCTACCTCTCGTTTTCCATGCGTCCGGGCGCGCAAACAATTTCATTCGCACGCCCACCCCCGACCTAGCCTCATACATTGTTACAAGCCAAATCAACCCATTCACCCGCCCTTAGGCTCAGGTATGGCGTTCCGTTCAATAGAAAATCCACTGATCCACTATAGCACCCCGTTTGGCTGTTTCAAAGTTTGTATGCCCCATTAACAGTCATCTCTATGATCTAGTAGCCAGGATCTAGCTACCTCAAGTGATGGATGCTAAAAGAATCAAGGATGATACCACGGTTTGTCTATCCTTGACGATTTCCGAGGTCCTTCAACACCTAACTTTGATTGCCTGGTGATGCCGTCGTTGCGACCGTTCCATTACCCCGAATTGAAGGCCATCAGTGAGGATGTGGAATCTGTTACACAAATCCTTGAGGTACCCAGGCACCTATAGGGGCTAACGTTTATGCATTCTGATAATGTTGGCCATGGGTGGGTGAGCTTTCGCTATATGTCATTTAATGAATAATTGGAGCCACACAGGCTCAGCCTGAGGCGCGAATATTATGATGGACTCTCGCTCCATTTACCCTCAAGGATGGCATTTTTTGGTCAGGGACTTCGCGCCTGATGCAGTCACTTTGGGTGACGCCTTGAGCACGTATCGACCACCCAGTCCGGTATTACTTTGTCGACTATGGTCTCTCTCATTGCTTTCTTCCTGATCAATCACACCTTGTGCTTGATTGGGGTGGCCGAGATACAGATGTCCCTGAGCTAAAGAATCTCCAACGATACGATCCATTCAAGGTTCTCCAACGATACGATCCATTTTGACGTGTTTACCATTGGGAATGTTTTTTTCAAAGAGCTATACTAGGTATCTGTGCCCTCATTCGCGTTGCTCATCCGTCGGACCAAGCATGGCTAAAGATACCGTGGATTAGGATTTCTTGCCGACCTTCTCAATTTCATGATGAATCACGACCCAGAAACACAGCACAGTGCGGAGAGGGCACTTCAGAAATGGCCCAAAATCAAGACTGGCTGAGCATCTCAACAGCTCGTGGGAGGCTCCGCAAACCTGATGAATCTGTCGGGGAAGGTGTAGTCCTCGATACGATTGCGGTCGCAAAACAGGGAATATAAAGTATAACTCATTTATCCAACGACGACGTGAGTGCTGCTTTCTATCTTCCAAACACGAATCAATTTTTTTTTTCGTAGTTGCGGACTTGGTAGCAGGCTTCAACGTGATCCGCATGAATTCGCTCACGACCTTGTGCTACCAGCGCCCTTTCTCAAGTAAACCCATTGGACTGATGCAGCGACCGGTGTGAAGAGCGGTATCTCTTCTAAAGCGCTGAGTGGCTCTCCTACACTTGGGGCAACATTGTCTAGATTGACATCTTTGAAACTTGTCGTTCGATCGGAGAGCTGGACTTGCCTTGATGATGGCTATCTCCCGGTCCAACCAAAGCTTCCCTCACAGCGCTATCAAGTTCACTTGGTGCGGTGGGGCAGGAGGCGGACTGACCCTGACGGGGATCTGAACTCCCACCAAACTGTTGGTTACTTGGACAATGCACAGACTCGGGGTCGAAGGAGGCATCGATCGACGTCAGCAATAGTACAGAGGTATCGTCTGCGCCCCCACCACCCGAAGGGGCGTTGAATCCATGTCTTCTTTTGCTCCGCTCTATCTCGCTGGTGGCCTATGAACAGAATTGTTATGTTCTTGAAGGGAGTCAATGATAGAAATCTAACATGCAAGCAAGCTCTGAGTTTCTTGACACGATACGACAGCTGGATGATGCGTAGTGAAAGTCCATTGAAAAGAGCAAGAAATTCATGGATGACGGTCGTCGCGTTGTAAGTGCCTTTGCGAAGTGAGAGGCTGCGTTGTTCCATGCTTTATGTGCGTTTTAATTATTCAAACTTGAAGAAAGAAACAGACACACCTAGCAAGCATTGACTTGGATATCTTCCGGAAAATTTCAGATGGGAATAAATTCTCGGCGTCCGCCTGCTCGTGAATCTGCCGGGTCTCCCTGAGCAAGTCATCCAGAATTTTCATCTGAACACTAGGAAAATACGCGCGGCACCAGGCGGAGGCGGAGGTGACTGCCATAACAAAACCGAGCACACCAGCGATGAAGCTAAAGTGATTTGCGGAGGTACTGTCCATCAGGCGGGCAAATAAGGCATGGGTACAGAAGAAGCACCGACTTAAAAGCAAGGACCGTCACCTTCTCTGTAACGGGATATGCGGATTTTAACCTTTATCATCAGCAATCAAACACTCAAAATAATGACACGAATCAAGACACAAACCGTGTCAGGCCGTGTCATACCTGGAGTTGTCAGGTGTGAGAAAAAGGTTTGTTTTCTTGTTACTTTTGTAAGTACAACCTTCTGTCTGTGTCGGCCCTTCGGTGCACTATGAGTGTGGGGCCGGCGTGTCGGGTCTGGGGTTAATAGAATGAAAGTTTTCAGCAAAACTTCTGAGAACAGGGCCCACAGATCCACCGATCTCGGACGCAGCTTGAGGCTTCCACGAGGTGGGCTCCAGCTTGACGCGTCCAATGGACTTATGACGCCTTTTGCACGAATTGCCTACCTTATCCGTCACCTAGTACTCCGTTCGTACTAAGCGCCCAAAGTTTCAAGCACGCGCGCCTCCTGACCGGTCATAATCCGGTTGAAAAGCTGTTAGTAACCGCAGTCCTTGGCGGAGAAGCGGCGGGTACAAGAACGCAAAAATACAACCAATGGAAAACCCTCCTATGCCCATTCAATGGAGTCCCCGCAGAATGTGGCGAAAACAGGGCCCACAGATCCACCGATCTCGGACGCAGCCGCAGGCTTCCACGAGGTGGGCCCCAGCTTGACGCGTCCTCCGCTCCCTCAATAATTTCGATGTGGCCAACTAATGCTGTATATATTTCATTCTCATGTCAACATTTGTCGTCCCATGGTTGTTCAATGGACTTATGACGCCTGCGAATTGCCCAAGAATTCAAGTTGCCTACCTTCAATCCGTGACTTACATCTCCTCTCGGATGACATCGTTTGTACTTATATTCTGTAAGCGCCCAAAGTTTCAGCACGCGCCTCCCGCCGTCATCATCCGAGCAAACTGGTTCAAAAACTGTTAACCGCATTCCTTGGCGGAGAAGCGCCGGGTACAAGAACGCAAAAATATACATAACTAATGCAGAGCCCTTCTATGCCCATTCAAATCACCTTACTCATGAAAGCGGCTTATCATCCCCATAACACAAAGGGATGTAGTCAACTAGCTAGTTCCGTATCTGTTTGAAATCTCGTTACTGTGGACTCGGCACCGGGTGGAGTAACGAGTTTGCACATCGGCTCCTCCAACCACCGCGAATTGCCGCGAGCAGATCTGGGGTGAGTGCTGACAATCAAACAAGCCTAAATGGCTAATTTCGTCTTGGGGATGGACAGCACAGGAGATCGAAGATATCAACAAGCGAAGGCGCTGCCCAATGTTCCAAGCAACGTCTAGCTGCTCTGCTGGACTCTAGCAAGGTCTAGCAAGTATTAGCCATGCCGATCATCGATCAATCGATCAATGCTCCTTGTCTCCTTGTGTTCGTCGTTCTTGTGTCCGCAGCGTCTACTTATCATTGACAGCAACCACAAACACTCACAAACGCCATGCGAAACTAGACTCGACTCCAGTCTCTATGGAATCAAAACCCGAGGCAACAGATGTGTTTTTTTGGGTCAGTCCGGATTAGGAGGGTTGTGCACGGGTAATTGATTCCATAGAGACTCCGGAGGTTAATTGAGTTGTGTCGGCAGGTGAAGCTTGTTGGGCCAGTTGACAACGACGGTGACAAGGAGGGAGTTTGGAGGGAGCTTGGAAATCCAGGAGAACCTGGAACGATGGAGGTTCAACGTTCAACTTCGTTCAAATAATACAAACATTCAAAAATAGAGCTACTCATATTGACTGGCAATGACTGCTCGGCGTAGCGAGTGCAACTGACAACGGCAGCCAGCGAGTGCCAACTTGAAAGTGCCAGTGGCGGTCGCAGAAGCTAAAAGTGGCTAAGATCTCGATCGAATGAGTAATATATATGGTAAGTCGGCGGGCCCTCGAAGGCCCATTACCCTATCAAAAGAAGGGCCCTTCAAGGCCCACTGGTACGTCAAAAGGCGGTGCCCTGTGGTGTAGAGACTGGTAGGGTTTAAAAAAACGTTTAAAGCTTGAAGGTTACGTCATCGAAACATTTCGCTGATTTCAACTCTCGTTCCATGCAAACGGAACATAGCTTTCGTCCTACCTTCGTTTTCTATGCGTGGTACGCAACCAAATTCAAATGTATCTCCGCCCCCCCCCCCCCGACCCGATCCCAACTTACAAGCCAAAGCAGCCCGATTCCATTTTACCCGCCAGCCCTCAACCTTTCTGAGAAGATATGGCATGATCGATATTATTGCCTTCTTCATAAGGGTTCTCAACTGTGTCCTCGCTATCGTCGTGGATGGACACCATCAGGCTCAATGATTAAAGCGAAATACCGGTATGCGAGGATTCACTGCAACATCTTGTTCGTCCATGTTTTCAGATCTGCATGGGTTTTTAACTATGGTCTGTATTTAGCTACCTCAAAGTGATGGATGCCAAAAGAACAGAACAAGGGGTGGTCTCGCGGTTTGTTTGAAAGCCGTCTTCCGAACGCCTAAAGAGGCGGAAATCGCGAAATATTTATTATCGCCCGAGTTGCTACAAGAGCCTCCCAATCATTCCGTGCCCATTCTCGACGTCTTCCAAGATCCTTCGGCGCCTGACTCTGAATACCTGGTTATCCCATTACTGTGTCCCTTTGACGACCCCGAATTCGCAATTGATGAGGTTGTCGACTTTGTAACGCAAGTTCTTGAAGTACGTTGTGTTCCAAAGTGCCTGCCGCCTCAGAGTTTAATTGTGAATAGGGCCTGACATTCATGCTTCTCATAATGTAGCGCATGGGTACGTGCGCTTTCACAGCAAGTCAGTCTTCAAACCGAGTTAATAAAGAACAGAGACTGCACAGGCGCGAATATTATGATGGACGTTCGCTCTACTATATACCCTCAAGGTGGCATTTCAAAGCAAAAAGCTTTGCGCCGGATGGAGTAACTTTTGTGACACCGCTCGCCCGTATAGCAGGACGGACAAGAGTCGACACACACACAGAAATGAAATACGACACACGTGATGAAGAACGACACACCTGTCCAATGTTCAACACATTGATGGCAAATGTCGGTCACTTATTCAGGAATGTGTGTCGAATCTTATCCATACTATTTCGATAAATTCCGCCCCTTTTTGGATTGAAAATCTGATGTGTGACGGCCAAATTAGATATTGAGTACATATACACCAAAAATTCTGTGGTTAAGTCGAAATCAGCCTCTCCATGCTCACGTAAAATTTGACATTATAAGTTTTATTCCTTACACTACTTACTATACATTAAGTTATACGTAGATTCTAAGAGAGGGAGCAACATCGCGACCCCGGAATGTACCTACCAAGAATTCTCACCGTCGACAGCCTTGGGTGTCAACATGTGGTCTCCGCGGCCGTGGTTGAGTGAGACACAGTGGTGGCCTCGTCGGAGAGGGCGCTGGCGTTTTCGCTGTCATTCGGGGCTGTTTAGTGGGGAGGCGCATGGTACGCACCTGGCTGCACGGTGCTGTATTGGCTGTTGGTTCGCCAAGTGGCGCTGGGTCCTCGTCGATGGGCCTCAGCGCTGGATTCCGTCTGTTGGGGCATTTTCGTGAGCTGGTTCCGTCAGCGTGGGTGGTTTATCCTGGGCGCTGAGTTGTTGCCGTGGGTAGTTGGGTGGTTTTGTGTGCGTTTTCACAGGCGGTTAGTTGTAGTCCACAGGTTGCGTTTGCGAGGGGAGTTGATTTGGGGGCGGACGTGGCGTGAGGTGGGAGGAGCGCCCCGGCTTTGCCCTGCTGGGCATTCGCCAGGTAATTGGGTTGTTAGCAAATACGGGGCTGAACAGAGTCGGAACTCACCTGAAGGGGCCCGTAACCGTTCTCTCGGTCCTTGTCGGCCATAGCAAGGGTGCGAGGTGAGGAGGAAGAGAGCGCAGGGGGTGGTGGGGCACAGGCAAGCAAATGGTGGTCGTGGTGGTGATGAGAAAGCGGTCGTGACCAAGTTGTGACAGCGTTCATCACGCTCGTAACGGAGTTTCGAATTTATGCACAGCACACTCGAAAATGCGAAATCACGAAGAACGACACATTGTTACCAGGTGTGTCGCTTCTCACATGATGTGTCCTACTCCTCATCTGTGTGTGTGTCTCCTCTTGTATATCCTCCCCGTATAGACCACCCTGTATGGTATTATTTCATCGACTACGGCCTATCCCGCCGCTTTCTTCCTGATCAGCTGCACTTTTTGTTGGATTGGGGTGGCCGAGATGACGACGTTCCAGAGCTTGAGAAACACCAACCTTATGATCCTTTCAAAGTTGATGTGTTTACCGTAGGGAATGTTTTTTTTAAAGAGTTTTATCAGGTATTTGCTCACCAAATGTGTCGCCAGCCCACTAACTGTTTGTAAGAAATATCTTGGATTAGAATTTCTTTCTGAACTTATCGAGTTCATGATGACTAAAGATCCAGGAAAACGTCCAAGCTCTCAGGTGGTGCTTCAAAAATGGCGCAAGATCAAGACTGGGCTGAGCACCTCCACTGCTCGTTGGAGACTTCGTAGACCCGATGAATCGGTTGGAGAACGCGTAGTCCTTGATACAATCGCCGTCGCGAAGCAGGGCATACACAGTATAACACATCTATTTAACGACGATGTGAGCCCTGCCTTTGATCGTTTGGTCATGGATCAATTCTCTTATTGTAGCTGCGAACTTGGTGATAGGCTTCGCATGAATTCTCTCAGGATCTCGAACGACCAGTGGCACTCTTTCTCAAGTATACCCATTGGACCGGCAAGCTTGCTCATCACACATCGTCTCTCATGAATCGCTTTCACGCTGTCTATTGCTCTCGACCACAACGATTGTACCAATCAGTGAATAATGAACTGGTTCCGATGATTGTACTAAGTCCTACACTCATGTCTTTCACTCAGTGTAACGTTCCTCACTCACATTTCTCCCTTCAACATCGCCAAGGTTTGGCCGAGGTCCCACGGGGCTTGGAACTCAACATCGGCAGAACACCACGCCCTACACTCCATATCCAAACTGAACCATCTGGATGCTTGGACCGCCTGCCTTACCGCAAATTTTGCACAAAGTCATTAAGACGCGGCTCTATGCTGTAGCAATTGCACGCGTTCAACCCCAGCAATGCTACATACAATCAACTTTGTAGACTATGTATGCTAAATTTATACAGTAATGTATTCTTAAATTTCTGGTCCTGATGGTCATCATCTCAGCCTGTAGTAGTAAACACTTACGGGACCGTCATACTCCACATTTTGACAAAAAGGGCTGAATAAATGAACCCCTCACCAAGAACGGCCATGTGCGGATGTTCCCTTCAAAAGACTACGCATGTACATAACAGTGAAATCCGTGTTAAATGAAGTAATAAGAAATACAAAAAAGTCATCCTGATACTGTACATTGTGGAAAGCTGTTCAACGCAGGTGTTCTATAGAATCGAAAGAAGCCTTTATGGCGGCGATTGAAGTAAGATTGCTACTCTCCCTCTGCCCCGTGCCCATGACTGTTGTCCCGGGCGTAGTCCACCAAGATGTCGTCAGGAACTGAAATTCGCGAGGGGCAGTGTGTCCATAGAGGAGTGAGAATGATTGAAAGATGGGTATGTGGGTGATGGGTATCTGAGCGACAACAGATCGTTGTTAAAATATGGATGAATGTGGCTGGATGACACTACCTGGGAAGGATGACACTATCCCAGTTTGTATCAGGTATTTGCAGGATGTCTGGAACACGAGAGGTACACGTCCGCTCCCAGAATTGGTGCAGGAGCCTGAATAAGTGGGGAGGTGATGCGACCAGAGGGAAGAGCCGTGGTATCACTCCTGAGCCGTTGAGTGGCGCTCCTATGCTTGGGGCGACATTGGCTAAGTTGGCGTCTTTAAAAGTGTTAGCTTCGGTTGTTGTTCGATCAGAGAGTCATACTTGCCTTGACGATAGCTATCTTCCGGTCCAACCCAAGCTTGCGTCACAGAAACATCAGGTTCGCTTGGTGCGGTGTGCCAGGAGGCGGACCGGCCCAGAGGGGGATCCGAGCTACCACCAGATTGTTGACTACTTCGACTATGCGCCGACTCGAGGTCGAGGAAGGTATTGATGGACGTCAGGGATCCATATATTCTTTCGTTCCTGGCAGTCTATGAACAGAATCATTATGTTCTGGCAAGAATTAAAAGAAAGAAAAAAAAACTAACATGCATGCGTGCCCTGAGTTTCTTGACACTATACGACAGCCGTATGATGTGTAGTGAAAGTCCGTTGAAAAGGGCATAAAATTCATGAATGACAGTTGTCGCTTTGTAAGTGTCTTCGCGAAGTTGTACGCTGTGTTGTTCCATACTTTATGTGCAAGTGAGCTTTAAAAACCACATTATCAGCTTCTTGACGCACCTGACAAGCTCTATGGATATCTCCCGAGACTGTTCGGACAGAAATATATTCTCACCATCTGCCTGCTCGTACATTTGCCTGCTTTCCCTGAGCAAGTCGTCCAGAACTTTCATCTGAACGCTAGGAAAGCAGGTGTAGCACTTGGTGGCGGCAGAGGTGACCACTATAAAAAACCCGACTACACTGGCAGCGAATTTGAAGTGATTTGCAGAGGTACTGTCCATGATCTCTGCGAGTGGCAAGACATTGTTACAGAGGATGTACAAGTTTAAAAGCAACTTGAAGGATGTGTACAGCCATATTATTATACTTTTTTTCATAATTACAAGAGGTGCCAGATCGGTCGATTTGCTACGTGTGATCTGGCCATGCGAGCTTGACACCGGGGGTCACTGGGTCGGCATGCCAGTGGCAAAGTAGGATCACCGCTGACCGGGACCAGCGGCGACTGATTCACAAAGAGTTCACTTTTTCTTGTTGTTATCCATGGCCAATTGTTATGCTACGTATGTACTTTGAGTTACACAATTACAGTAATTATTGTTACAATAAGACATTTTGTTACAGGCTGCTGTTGCTGCTCAATTGTTTTCAATACATTAAGTATATGATATTCCATGGATGCTACCCAACATTCTGTCAGGTATTTAGATTCCTAAATGTGTTGTGGGGAACTTCGAACTGACTGTTATTTTCACGAAATACATTGGGTTAGAATTTGTCATGCAGTGTGGGGTTCATGATGGCTGAGGATCCGGGGAAACGATTTAGCTCTGAGATGAAGCTTGAAGCTTGAAGACTGGCTTGAGCACCTTGATAGCGCATTGGAGACTTCATAAACCTGATGATCGCCCTCGCTGGGCAAGGTTTACACAGTAGAGCTGTTGGGACTCGAACATAGTCCACCCACCACTTTCTATTGAATAATGGCGCGAACGGGTTAATATACTCTAGATTGACCATAATCAGCAATACAATAGCTAAAGTCAAGGGCAACACATCTACCCAAGTCGTCTCCATCCCCGTTCTTCAAAAATCATCCGTCAACCGAACCTTCATCCATGCATCATCATCAGCTATGATTTGAGCGACAGGCTGGGAGACTTGGTTTCCTCCCCCCTCATCGCGCGTGAACCGATAGTTCTTCTTCAGAAGTATCAGGACCCGTAATTCGAGTGTTGGCATATAGTTAACGATGTGTTGAGCCACTTCGAAGCGCTGGGCGTGTTGAAGAAGATCTGGGTAAGTCTTAGACCAGGATCACGGTGGCGAGTTTCGTGACTAGAGTTCGTAGGTGAGTGAGACACATTGGGGAGGGGAGAAAGAAGACTTGGTAGCCGTCTCGCTGGCGATGGCATTTGTGAATGAGAGAATTTTGGGAATGAACAGACGTACTAGGAATGTATAACCCATCATCCTGAGGAATTCAAGGTTCGGCATCTGCGCAGCTACGCAGGTGGCGATGATCGCCACGTCCATTCCTACTTGGGTCTATTCCTGCCATCACTTGATGCTTAGGCTTTTCAAGACCCAAACTTCTACAAACGTCGCTACTTCGCCTTCTTCCCTAAAAGTATTGGAGTGGTTTGATGGTTTTCCAGGACTCCATGTCCGCCTACGCTAGTTCTCTTACGATGGCTGCGCTGGTGTCTTAGGTGGTGAGGTTCGGTAAGATCTCTTTGTGGGGTAACCTCGTCCCGTCAATCACGTGCGTTGAGGATGGACGGTGAGAAAGGCTCTTTTGGTTCTCCAAGAAATCGTTTAGCATGTTGTGGTGAAATGGGTGTCGGTGAATTTTTGGAGGGTCTAAGTGGAACCTATGCTTGGACTGCGTTCCCGGAAAAGGGCGTCTAATATGGTCAAGTCACGGAGATTGATGCAGAGGGGTGGAGGGCGTGGGTGAGGAGGCTTGTTTAGGAGGGCATGGTGAGGGAAAGGGTTTGAATGCGGGCGGCGGGCGAGAAAGGTGTGCCATGAGTTAAGAGCGCGTCTGGAAGGGATTGGGAGGTTGATAGAGGTAGTTCGGCCTCGGTGTGGAAAGACCGGGAGATATGGCAGAGGACGAGGATGTCAGAGTGGGTGGCAGGGGAGAGGTACAGATCAATGAGAAAATTTCTGGTGGGAGAATCAAGGGGGTCATTTGAGTTGAGAAGAGGGAGAGTGAAAGAGCCGTCGTTCTCGATTTTTATCAAATCTTGAACATGTTTGTTCTGACGCCTCTTAGATTTCAATGCATTCTGCCAATGTTCTGCAGGCAAATCGCTCACTAAAAAATTTAGTAAAAATTGCGGAAATTTGGTAGTCGTCGAGCACTCACCTAACGTCCGTTGATGCAGAGTCTCCATGCTCTCATGCTTGTCTCTCGTCGATCTTTCTCGCTTGTGGACTGAAAGACAGTGTTATGCCCTGATGCAGGAAAAAAATTCAACGAAGATATTCTTACAATCAGCCAGGCAGGCCCACAAGGCCTTGACACCGGCCGATAGCTGCATGATGCTTTGCGAAAGTCTGATGAACAGAGCCAGATATTTTTGGAGGGCCATCGTCGCATTATGAGTCCGTTCTCGAAGCAAGGCGCTTGATTCCTCTGCATTTTAGGTATGCAACATTCAGAAGCGGGAACGGGGATGGTATCGTAAACAAAGTTATCACCAGGCATTCGATGGTATCAGAGGGAGAGAGATTATCATCTTCGCCTTCTCGTGAATCGTCCTGGTTTCTTTCAGGAGTTTGTCGAGAAATTTCACCTGTGCCCATAGGAGATAGGTGCAACAGGAGGCGGCGGTAGAGATAATTGTGGTGGAGGGTCCTAAAACGCCAGCCACAATGTTGAAATTACTTGAGGCGTTGTTGTCCATGTCATCGTTTCTCCGAGAAGAGAAGAAATAAGAGTGCGGCCAGTGAGGAAATGTGAGCCTACAAAACGCGTGTTTGATACGTCATCCAACCCTTTCATTGATGCGCAAACAATTTCATTCGCACGCCCACTCAACCCCCCTTAATAGCCAAATCAACCCGATTCTTATTATCTTTGTATTAAAGGCTGAGGACGTCTAGTGTAGGTGGGAGCAGACATTATGGCAAGTCTAAGATACTACATAGTCCAAGACTGAAAGCAAAATGCAATGTCCTTGCTAAGAGAGAGAGCCAGACTGCACGAAGCGCAAAGGATGGGCGAAAGCCAAAAGGCTTCCCGTCCTGGCAGGGAGGTCCACTCTGTGGGCAAAACAAGATGAGCTGTGATTCCCAAAGGTTAGGAGCCCTGCGACGCGTCGAGCGAGTCTCAGAGAAAACCACAAATCTAGGAGCAGGGGGGAAATGAACTCACCAGTGTGTGAAGAGCCGATGAGCACTACCTCCGGATGTGGGGCATGGTAAGTCTGATGAAGTTCTCATGTACTTCTGGGACTGCCTGCATGTATGGGGCGAGGATCTGAGCATGTTTCGTGAGGTAGACAAGGAATGCATCGCTCGCCCACCGCCCTTTCACCTTCATCACCTCAAAGGGCGTCCCCCTCAGCAGATACTCCAGCGTCGAGCCGATGCGGATACCATGCCCCTGACGTGGGTCTAAGCCTGCTGCCCTTGCTGCAGCCGTCACCGTCCGAATGAACTCCGTTTTCGTCAAGGGCCTGAAACAGCTGTTCTTGAGGTAGGAGAAAAGGTGGCCATCTGTGGGTGGCTTGTTAACTGCCATGTGGTGAGCGAGGGCCGCCTCGGGATCTGTGTCTCCTGACTGTTTGGACCAAGAGACGTCCTCGCCGTGCATGGAGGCTTTGGTCCTGGGGATGCGGAAAACAGTCGACTTGAGGCCGTTGCGGTCAGACTCAACTCTGACATCAGAAGGCTTGATGTGTGCCTCCCTGTCGAAGGCTGTGAGGTTCGGCACCGTGAACTTGCCCAAACGGGCAGTAGCGTAAAAGGTGGTTGTGAGGCAGCTGTAAACGGCAGCATCGCGTGGCTGGTCCAGTTTCAAGTGGCTTCGCACCGCGAGGATGAAGTCCGTGGTGTATGGCACCCTCTTCTTCCTCCTGGAAGTGGGCGGCGTGGACTTCTCCACTGCTCTGAGCAGTGCTTCCAGCTCTGCTGGGTCCATCTGCCACTTGACCCCATGGAGGATGTGCCAGGCCCAAATGCCGCACACATAGTTGTCGATTGTGCTGCCTGAATACGTGCCTGCTAGTGAGGAAATGAAGGCGTTAACGAGGATCGGGCTGGCAGGCGCACGTTCCTCTTCTGTGATGCCCTTTTGGTCGCAATATACATGGAAGTTTAATAGACCTGAGCCATAGGTGGCCAGAGTCGACTCCTCCCATGATTTTCCCATCACGATGGCAATCTGGCGTACATCCTGTGGGCCCAGGCTTGATGGTGTGTCTGTGGCGGACTCCCGCCCATGAAGCGGCATCCAACGCTGCAGACGCTCACTAGCGAGAACATGCAGGCGTCTGGAAGAGGGGATGGGACACAGGTCCTTTGTGTATTGTGCCGGCTTCGCAACCTTGGGCGTGTACTGGAGAGCCCGAGGAAAACGGTCACCCATCGAGCCAGCCTTGTGCCTGGGCGAACGCGGCCCTAGTGTGCTGCTCGAATGCATAGTCAACGGCTGTCCGCCCTTGTTGGAGGGACGTGCGGTCAGACCTTGGGAGAGGGACTGGGGCCTTTCCTTGCTGTATAAGGCATGACTCAGCCTGTGTGAGAGGCGCGTCGAAGTCGCATATGTGTTGTCTGAGTGTTGGTGGGATAACAACAGCAGGGAGGAGGGAGCCGTGGTAGTATTCGCCTCTAGAAGGCCCATCTGCTGGGTTCTCTTTGCTGGGAACGTATCTTGTGTGGAAATGGACGCCTTCCGTTTCCGTGATGGCATGAATATGCTTGAAGACTTCGTTTGTGGGTTTGTTCCGGCTTCTGCCCTTCCACCAACCTTCAACAACCCCTTTGTTGTCCCCAAAGACTTTGACGTGAGTCCCTCTGGGAGCGGATGGGGTGAGGGTGAGGATGAGGAGCTAGAAGCCGACTGCCTCTGCCCAGCCGATGTCCCTTCCATCAGCCTTCCAACCTGGGAGGAGCCTCCAAGCTCTCCACCTGCCTTTGACTGTGATCCCAATACCAGTTTCTGAGCTAGCATCCGAGTAAGCATTGGCATCGAAGATTGGGAGGGGTCCAGGGATGGGCCTGACAACGTCTGGGCGGGCAAGTCTCTCCTTCCACCAGGATAGATCGCTCGGAGTTCGGCGGGGTGGATAACGCAGGCAGAAAGGACTATCGTGACATACCCCCAGGAAGGCCTCCAGGTTGGTGAGGTAAGCGTGTCCTGCGGGAACAACGTGGCATGCATGTAATAGCTTTCCATAAAGCTTTTGCACTTCTTCCAGGGTGTGCTTGGGTTTCGACTCCCACTCCTGGATGGCCTGAAGGTATTTCTCCTTCTTGCTGGGCGGTAGGCTGACTGTGCGATTGGTGAGGTCCCAGGAGAAGCCGATGAATGGGGCCATGTCGCCAAAAGGAATGTCCTTCTCGGTTTCCCATGGAATTCCCAAAATGTCGGACAGAGCATCGATGTCTGCCATACAATACGTGAAGCGCCTGTCAGTTGGGGACCTGCACAGAAAGGGGGTCAGAGAAGGGAAGTTCAGGGGATAGGTGAGGCTGGGAGCTGGGGCAGGGAAGAAAACGAACCTTTCAGATGCCTGTGAGAGGTCACAGAAGGGGAAGGACGAATCTTCGTCAAACTCCTCGGGCTGGCCGTCTGGCATGACAGTGCCCTTAAACCAGAGGCGGCCTCCGTCGTGCAGCTCCCCCCCATTTTCAGCAATGTCTTGAGCCCACCGGCTTCGACTGCTGTTGTACCTGTCAAGGTGGTGACGCAGGATGCGGAAGAAAATGTGGTCGTCGACCCACTTGGAGACTGGACCAATACCACGGGAACGCATGATCTGGGTTCCTGCATCCCCCAGGAGACCATAGACGCCACCCCCTGAAGCCAACCCAAAACAATCACGCGTGTCGATTGCGAAGTTGTCTTCCTCATCAAGGCGGACGACCAAACCTGGCCACTGGTCAGGTCTGATGGGGATGCCTCTATAAGCCTCCTTGACGTCTCGTATGGCAGCCTGCGAGCCTGGGGGGAGGCGCCATATGAGGAGGGAGACCACAGAGAAAGTGCCCCATGTGCAGGGGTACTGAGTGGAGTGTTGATAGATGTGATGGAGTTGAGAGGGGAGTGCGGTGAGGATAAATTTTGAATGATCCGGAATTTTCCCGGACGCCCTGGTTTCGGTATGATGCTGAGTGGGGAAGTTTGGAAAGGGCCAAGGAGGATCTCCACCTCATCCTTGGTGACTGGGCCGACATAACATCCCTTTTGAAACTCAGCTTGTATAATGGAATTAAATTCGGTGCTATGATAGGTAATAGAAGGGTGATTAGGGGGGGCAAAGGTTTGAAAGATGGGCTGGATGCCTGCGTCGAAACCGAGACGGAGGCTGTCCGGAATGCTTGAATATTTGTCCTGTAAACCAGCCGCGTGGAGGTATTCACGCCAAGCCTCTGGCTTGTAGGGGGATGCAGCATCAAGCTTTCTGTGCTCGAGGGCAGTTCTGAGCCCCATGAGTCGGCTTCCCGCATCCTGAGCACTCGTGACGAGAGTCGTGAGCAGAGGAGGAGCAGCCATTTGGCCGCTGCCAGTCTGAACAGAGGATATTTCCTGCTGGATTGACAATGCGGCCCTGGGCGTTTTTCTGGCAGCGCGCGGGGGTTCCATCCCAGAGGGAGCATGACGCGCACTTGAAGACGTCGTGGGGGTGGCGACCCAAGCAAATGGTGCAGGCGGACAAGGCGCCATCTCCGGCTGCACCAGTCTGAAAAGACTGCTGGGCGTCAGAGGCGGACTTAGCGGTGCGACGACGCTTGGCGTCTTTGGGTGGCGGGCTCAGCCTGTTCTGACGCTGCGCCTCAGGGGAATGGTGTCTGCGCCTAGCAGAGCGGTTTGCACGGTGTCTGCTTGACTGCCCCCGAGGCTCTGGGGACGAGGAACGGGAGCGACCACGTTTTGTGCCCTGGGCGCGAGAAGTCCTGGGGCTGTCTGAAACCAGATTGGTCTTGGCCATCTGTTCTTCCAGTCTGATCGCGACCAGGAACAGGTGCACCAGAAGACAAGGGAGGAGACAGCAGGTGCAGGAAAGGACATTGGGAGCAGGTATATATATAGGTTTGTGTAAATACATATGTACAGGTTGGCAAAGGGGTAGCAGCAGGGCAACGTGTGTGCATGGGGAGCAAAGGCGCGTGTGTATGAACACAGGGGTGCATGGGTGCAAGGGCGCAGGGGATGGGATGCATCGTGGTACGCGGCAAGCCATGAAGGGCGCAAGGGGGGGGCACAAAAGGCGCGTGGGAGCAAGGGGAGCACAGACGAAGGCAAGGGTGCAAAGGAGTTGGGAAAGAGGGGAGAAAAGCAGGACAGTCAGCCTGTGTGTCCAATGGGGAAAAGACGAGAACTAACCTTAAAACCCCTGTGGTGCGCCTCGTGTTCCAAAGCACGGCTGCAATCTCTTCAACACGCTGCCTGTTGATGAAGCTGATGTCAAAGACATCGTCGTCGTCGGTGGCGCGAAGGGCCTCATGCCACTCCCGCCGAACCTGAGCCTGGTAATGCAGCAGTACCGTGTCACCGTCGACCTGCCTTCGCATGGGGTGGCCTTCGAGGTTGAGGTAAAACTCTGCGAGGGCGATGACGAGCTCCTCAGGCCAGCCTGCCTGTGACATGTGGTGGAGTAAACAGGTCTTGGCCATCGACATTTGACGCCACGTCAAATCCTCGTCCGGGATGACCTTGCTCGAAGGCTTGTGCGAAGCCATGGGCTTTAGAAGGAGGGTGTCGTCGGCTTTCGCGAAGGTGAAAGCGTCCTGGGCGATGGTTCGATCAAACCTCACCGCCTCCGAGCAGCCTTCATCCGTGAAGTAGTAGAGCTCCACGTAATCGCGCTCGTCCAGCTTGTGGATCGCGTAGCGCGAAGGGCGGAGGTCCGGGACGTTCCCCACGGGCTTGTTTGCGACGAAACCCTTCAACTTGGGCTTCTTCTTCTCCTTCTCCCTCTTCTCTGTCTCTTCTTCCTTCCTGAGCTCCTCGAGCTCCCGAAGCTCCTCTGCTTCCTGGGCGAGCCTGGCCTCAGCCGCACCTGCCTTGTCCTCCCTAACCTGTTCTGCCCAAGCCTCTTTCCTGGTGTTGTTGTCCACAACCCAGGCATCGGCTAAGCGGGCAGCGACAGCGGCCTTGTCTATGCCTTCCGCTGTGGCGAGGGCCGTGCAAAGGGGGTCAAAAGCCACAGACGTGAAGTCAGGCCTCACCTCCAGATCGGGGTCTTGAGTGATACGTGGCATTGGCGGCACGAGGAGTCCGACTCAGAATGCGGTGAAAAACTGATGATCTGAAAAGAGTGTGTATGCAAGCGTGGATGCGGAAAAACAGGGAAAGAAAAGAAAAGTGAGCACTGCGTCCTCAGACTCAGAGGGGCAGTGATAGTGGTAGGAAGAAAGAGAGAGTGATTACGTAGACTATCACATGCCCTGTACAAAGACAGCACCCTATCCTTACACTCGTGCCTCGTTGCACTCTAGGGCATAATCCACCCGCCCTCAATCGATTTGAGAGGATATGGCACGATCGATATCACTTTCTCCTTCAAAGGGGTTTTCAATTACGATCTCGTTACTGTGCAAAGGGGGCGTTCCGTTTATACGACCCCGTTCGTCCATAGAGTTTACCAGATATTTGTGCCCTCATTGGCGTTGCTCATCCGTCAGACCAAACATTGCTAAAAATCCCTTGGATTAATCCAAGGATTTCTTGCCGACCTTATCGGATTCATGATGACCACGACCCAGCCCAGCGCGGAGAGGGCGCTTTAGAAATGGCGCATAATCAAGACTGGGCTGAGAGGACTTCAACAGCTCGTTGGAGACTCCGGAAACCTGATGAATCTGTCGGGGAACGTAGTCCTCGATACGATCGCGGTCGTAAAACAGGAAATACAAAGTGTAACACATTTGTTTGACGACGACGTGAGTGCTGCTTTCTATCTTACAAACACGAATCAATTTTTTCTATAGTTGCGGTGTGCTACCGGCGCTCTTTCTCAAGTATACCCATTGGACTGATGCAGCGACCGGCGTGAAGAGTGGTATCTCTTCTGAGGCGCTGAGTGGCGCTCCTACTCTTGGGGAATAATTGTCTAGATTGACCGCTTCAAAAGTCTTGTCGTTCGATCGGAGAGCTGTACTTGCCTTGATGATGGCTATCTCCCGGTCCAACCAAAACATCCCTCACAGCGCTCTCAAGTTCTGCGGTGGGGCAGGAGGCGATTTGACCCTGACGGGGATCCGAGCTACCACCAAATTCTTGGTTACTTGGACAATGCACAGACTCGGGGTCGAAGGAGGGATCGATCGACATCAGCAATAGTACAGACGTATCATCTGCACCACCATTATCCAAAGGGGCCCTGGATCCATGTCTTCTTTTGCTCCGCTCTATCTCGCTGGTGGCCTATGAACAGAATTGTTATGTTCTTGAAGGGAGTCAATGATAAAAATCTAACATGCAAGCAAGCTCTGAGTTTCTTGACACGATACGACAGCTGTATGATGCGTAGTGAAAGTCCATTGAACAGAGCAAGAAATTCATGGATGACGGTCGTCGCGTTGTAGGTGCCTTTGCGAAGCGGGAGGCTGCGTTGTTCCATACTTTATGTTGCAAGTAAGTTTTAATCATTCAAATTTGAAACAAGAAACAGATGAACCTAGCAAGCATTGACTTGGATATCTTCCGAAATTTTTCAGATGGGAATAAATTCTCGGTCTCCGCCTGCTCATAAATCTGCTGGGTCTCCTTGAGCAAGTCATCCAGAAATTTCATCTGTATGCTAGGAAAATAGGCGCGGCACCAGGCGACCGCCATAACAAAACCGAGCACGCCAGCGATGAAGGTAAAGTGACTTGCGGAGGTGCTGTCCATGAGGTGGGCGAGTGACAAAGAGTGTAACCAGACATGGCTAGTGGTTAAGAACTTCAGATGGGGACGATGGCTCCTCCTTGAACCTTCTTTCGCGAAAGGTTTATATAGACCTCAGCCGTTGATCGTGACCAAACTTGGCATTAAGGTTACAGCGCGACACATTCCTGTGTAGTGCTGTGCAGACTCGTGCCATTAGCCTAGTACACTGCCCTACACCGCCATTTGTTTAAAATGTGAGAGGGGGGGATCGATGTGAAAAGAGGTAGAGGTAGAGGTATATTCTGGAGCGGTATGGGACACATAGGGACACATCGACCTGTCCACGGGTGTTTGGAAGAGCTGCAGCCAACCTGCAGACCAGCTAGCCTCGACATGCCCATTACATTTTTGTTACGTGGACACTTGAACCGCCTCCCTCAACTTCCATCCGATCGTCTTTGACTTTGTCATCGCCTCGTTATCGTCAATCCGCCTTCGCTTTCGACGACGGACAGGGACTGCCACTGCCACTGCCACTGCCACCTGCTGTACTACTGACTGCTTCATCTCCGGGATCGTCTGACGTGGAGAATTGGCTACAAGCCTTGGGGCTTTTACATAGCCTCAAAGCTTAAAGGCTAAAACGTTCGGAAGTACGTGCCGTATGTTAAATTGTTCCTGTGAAACTGCTGTAACATACCTAATCTTGATATTTCGTTTTGTTTCCGTGTACACAGCCATCTGCATTCATGTTATCGTCATTCGTCATATGGGTTTAATATAGACACGCAAAACAGTCATATGTCCAAAGGTTGTCGCGTGCGAGACTCTGTAAAACTGATGAGTTTGTTGGCGACTGACGTGATCGCCTGTTTATGCAGTATGACCCAGTTATTTGGACCTGAGCATGGTCCGTACCACTTTGTATTGAAGACGCGAACAGTTATGATACTGTAGGCTGACAATAATTAGCAATACAATAGCTAAAGTGAAAGGAAACATATCAGCCCAAGTCGTCTCCATCCTTTTTCAACTCCAAGTCATCCGTCAACCGAACCTTCATCCACGCATCATCATCCACCTCCACCTCAATCAAGTTCTGCACCAACCAAACCGCTCCCTCATCACGCGTGAACCGATAGTTCTTCTCCGGAAGTATCAAAATCAGTAATTCCAGCGTTGGCAAGTTATTCATAATCCGTTCAGCCACTTCTAAGCGCCTAACGTGTTGGAGTAGATCGGGGTAAGCGCTTGTTGGGGAGGAGGCGTCTGAGAGGGGGTTCACGACAGTGGCAGGTTTTATGACTAGGGTTCGGAGGCGGGTGAAACGCATTGGGAAGGGGAGGAAGGAGACTTGGTAGCCGGTTTGCTGGAGGTGACTTTTGTTAATAAGAAGTTTTGAGGAGGGGATAAAAAGACGTACTAGGCATGTATAATCCATGATCCTGAGGTATTTGAGGGTAGGCATTTGGGCAGCTGCGCACGCAGCGATGATCGCTACGTCCATCCCCACCTGGGTCTTCTCCTGCCATCGTTCGATGCTTAGGCTTTCCAAGGGCCCAAAGCTGGTCAGAGCTACGAACGTCGCTAGTTCGTCTTCTTCCTTTGGGTTTTCTAAAAAGTATTGCAGTCGTTTGATGCTTTTCCAGGGCTCCGAAGCCACCTTCGCTAGTTCTCTTATGATGGCTGCGCTGGTGTTTAGGGTGGTGAGGTTCGGTAAGGTCTCTCTGCGTGGAAACCTCGTCCCGAGAACGAGGTGCGTTGAGGATGAGGGACGGTGAGAGAGGGTGGTCAGACTCTTTTGGCCCTCCAGGAAATCTCGGAGCATAGTTGTGGTGAAATAGGTGTTTGTGAATTTTTGGAGGGCGAATGTGTGGCCCTCGAGGACCCATGCATGGACTGCGTTTCCGAGAAACGGGGGTTCACCGTCTAATATGGTCAAGTCGCGGAGGTTGATGCAGAGGTGGAGGGCGTGGGTGAGGCGGGTGAGGTCGTCTGCTTGGAGGCTTGTTTGGGAGGGCATGGTGAGGGAAAGGGAGTGGATGCGGGCGCCGAGATGTGGGCGGCGGACGAGGGAGGTGCACCATGAGTTGAGAGCGCGTCGGGAGGGGGTTGGGAGGTTGATGGAGGTGTACAAGATTCGTTCGGCCTCGGCGCGGAAGGACCGGGAGACATGGCAGAGGGCGAGGAGGTCAGAGTGGGATAGCAGGGGAGAGGTGCAGATTAGTGAGCAGATTTCTGGTGGCAGGATCAAGGGGGCCATTTGAGTTGGGAAGAGGGAGAGTGAAAGAGCCGCCATTCTCGATTTTTATCAAATCTTGAACATGTGACTTTCATTGTTCCGCCTCTGAGATTTCGACGCGTTCTGCCAACGCTCTGCGGGCAGATCGTTAGCTAAAAATCGCGGAAAGTTGGTAGTTGTGGAGCACTCACCTAACGTTCGTTGAAATTTTTGAAAAATTGAGAGCGTGGTACTGGCAGATTGGCACCGTTATTAGAGGTAAATGCGTGGATCTTGTTGTACAGTTGCGGACAAACAAAGTCATCAAATTTGATAACTTGAGAACCAGAATTTTTATCAAAATTCTGACTTCAGATTCAGATTCAGAGACCTCGAAACTGTTCAAAAAAGGTGTTCCCTTAATTTTCCCACGCATTTTTGGTTTGGCCAAATTTTTGGGTGTTTTCAACGCACCCAAAAGTCTTCTGAGTCGGCCATCTTTGGATCAATTCTGTGCAATTTATAACCCTGGTGCAGTAGATGCGTGAAAAAATGAACCAGGGTCCATTTATATCTTTTTCCGGGGCACCTTGACCGGAAAGGGTATGCCCACGTGACAGTTTTAGCAAAATTCCCACCATCGAAGACATCGATATTTCAGGGAGACTTTGATGAAATCAAAGAGAGGAAACAAAAAGGGATCAATCTAACCAGAAACCCCCTTTTCGCGTGGAACCCTGGGTTTCTTCTGCATTTGGTAGAAATCCCCCTTCCATCAGTCGATGGGTTATTTTGAGGAACCCCATGTCGGAGTTAAATTCCTAGATGCCGACGCGTGTCGCGCTCAAATTTAAATTGATCTTGGCTCCCCGGGTCATGATGAGAAGAGAGCGCGACGAGTTGAACTCCATCATGCACATCCCTTGTCGCACACGTATCGTCGCGCGATGCGACGCGCCCACTCGACAAGTGGTTACCACGGTAAATAATATTGGTTCATGGTCTACACGATGCTACAAGATGCAAACAAGATGAGGGTTTGGATGGGTAGCTATACTTACATAGATGTAGGAGAGCAGGAGTGGTTTAGGGATGCCACTGCTCCCTTCCATAGTCCCTTGCTACTTGAAAGGTTGATGACCCCCGCCGCCAACTTGAACTTATGCATGTGCATGTGGTGGACTTCAAATATTCTGAGCTCCGCTTCTTGTGGAAACAAGGTTTCTACGCAAGCACTTTGGAAACCCTGGGTTGTTCAGGGGAAACCAGGGTTTCTGGATAGTTTAATCCAACAAAAAGGAGTCGATTGGCATATTTTCCGTATTTTTAGCTATTTTTTCAGGCACTGGCCAAATTTTTGGGGTATAAAACCCTTATATCGTCATTTCTGGGAATTCTGCTCGTTGGAATTGATCAAGGAGATCAATAGGAACCCATTTATACCATTATCTACCAATTCCGATGTTTTTCGGAGTCCCAAAAAATAGGTCAATAAATTTGTTGACTTTGTTTGTCCGCAACTGTACTCACAACGCGTTTTTCGTATCTCGAGACTCAAGACCTCTAGGCACGTCCAAGGATCTTCTTGATCCCTGTAAACTGCATGGGGATTCGGTGGGAATCAATCAGCAAGGGCATAAACACGCCCACGTGACACACGCGTTATTTTGGTCAAGTTGTTGAATGTCCGAATTCGGACAGCGCTCTTCTACTCGCTGTGCCTTCCATCGTCTGCCACTCTCTTTTCTCTTTCCTCCGCGACACCAGAGAACAACAGCACGATGATGAAAAAACGAACAGCCAAAGGGTCTGTTCTTGACATCAGCATCCGTGGCGACGAGCAAGAGCAGCATCGTATTCAACTTGAACACAATCTACAGCACACAGACCTTTCCTTGCGGTTGTCCTCGGCTAGCGACGACGACGGAGACGAAGATCATCACAATCACAATTATACAAGACAAAATGCGAGCAGTGTGGAATATGGACGTCATAACTCTGCACCAGACCCCTTCCCAGAGTTTCCATCGTACGCTGCCCACCGCTCCGGAGACCTCTACGGGGATGAGGACACGCACAGTCAGGTGGCGGCGTGGTCCTATCGTACGGGAGACGATGAGGAGGGCATTAACCCGTATGGCGGGGAGAGCGTGTCTACGGCGGCTCACCATGCTAGCGCGTTAACCCTCAGTGCGGGGTTAGGTGGGGGCAGGCATGCTCGCCGTGATATTAGTATCAGCGGCGCAGAGTACGACCCCGAGAGACCGCTCCATGAAATGATTGCGGGCGTGGATAGTAAACTTAGCGTTTTTGATATGGAGCCTTCGAGGTCCAAGTACCCTGTAAGTCTTTTTTTCTTACTGTGTTGCTCCACTGCTGATGTTCATACTACTACTACAGGGAATGGGTAGTGTCACGTACGACCCGCTCGTAGTGGATAGCACTGCTGAGCTGGACAGAATCTTAAAATCAGGCTACGCAGCTCCTCCATCCCTGCGTTCCCGCCTTGGCTCTCCCTTATCCTCTGCCTCCTCAGTTGCCTCCGACTCTGATGGCGGTGGTAATGGCACTCAAGCTAGACCAAAATTATCAGACCACCTCCGACACGTCTCATTCTCGCCCAAACGACCCCGGAGTGCCCAATCAAACCGAACAGCTTCTCCGATTCCTATGATGTCCCCGCTAGGCGGGAGAGCCCAGAACGAGTCGATGAATGCACCCACGCCTAGGCCGAGTAGGAAGTCGAATATATTCCCTTCGTATGCCTCTTCTCCTGCGGCTCAGCAGCCCGATGTGAGGGTGCAGCCTCCTACACCGTCCACCACCGGGTCTAAACTTGGGAGGTCGACGAAGAGTGAGAGGCTTTCATCCTCTGTATCTAGATCCCAGCAGCAAGGGCGAAGCAGCAGTGGTACCAATCCAAGGCCCTCTGCTCCTCTATCTAGAGAAGAGCCCGAGAGAAACCCGTTCAGTAATATCGGAAACCAGACTGCGGAAGTCAGCTTTGCGCCGTCTGCGAGCGTGAGGCGGCCTACACCTAGGAGGTCATCTATGAGAGATACCCCGAGGGGAAAGGTTCAGTTACCTGATGTTACGGGTTTGACGAGCGCTGTTGAGAGTCCGGCCAAGTTTGGGATTGAGTATGTGGCTTATAGGGCTGATGATCGTCCTAGGGATTCGGAAGGTAATCCTTCTGTCGTTTTTTTATGGAAAGAAAAGACCTTGACGAGATTTTTTTTGTTTATATAGCTCGATTATTGCAGACCCTTTCTACAGTCCAGACCCAACTTCATCATCTGAACGAAGAGAATGGGATCTCAAGGAGACGCGTCAGGGAGCTAGAGTTGGAGTTGGAGGAGTGTAAACGCGAAGTTGCACGAGAGCGGACGAGGTTGATGGAGAGGGAGGAGGTTATTGTGCAACAGCAACGGGATATAAGCTTCTCAAGGAGGAAAGGGGCGAAAGGAAAGGGAAAGGCCAGGGAGGTCGATTTTGAGCAGAGTGAGGTGGGGGAGGCGAGTGTTCGGTATAAGGAGGCTGTCGAGGAGAAAAAAGGTCTGTCTTTGTCTCCTTCTATATGGGAGGGAGGCTGAATTGTTTTGATAGCTCTGGAAGCCCTGATCAACTCCCTTCGCACCCATTTGACGAGGTTGACTTCGGAGCTTGCGTCTCATCAAGAGCTTCTCATGGAACTCCGGAATCTGCGTGAATCGGATTCTAGGGCGCTCAGAGAGAAGGGGAGCGAGATTGTGCAGCTGAAAGAGGAGGTGGAGCGCGTTGCGGGGGAGGTGGAAGTTTTGAGGGGGGTGGTTGAGGAGGGGTTGAAGGAGAGGAGGATGGCAAGGGAGGTGTCGGGTATTCATGAGAGTTTGGCGGATGTTGCTATGTCTAGGGATGAGGAGGAGGTGGAGGTGGAAGAAGAAGAGGAGGGCCGTGAAGAAGAGGAAGAGCAGGAGGAGGAGGAGGGTTTGGAGTATCGATCACAGGAAGAGGAGGAAGATGAAGAGCCTGAGCCTTTCGATCCTTCTTCGCACGCGAATTTCAACATGGCGGATAAAACTATGCGAACTGATCATGCGACGATGGGGTCGAGTGCGAACCTTGGGGCGTCGACTATGACTACTGCCCCTGGAGAGCGGGATGAGCAATTGCTTGATATGGAGGACCTTGAGAGGATATCCGCCGAGGTGGAGGAGAGGAGGTCTGATGCGAGTTTGGTTTCTTTGGCTAGGTCCAGGACGTCAAGAAGTCCTTCACCTGTTAGGGACAGCAGTCCCTCGCCTACGCCAACTAGGTCGCGGAGGCGGGCGGCGGTTGTTGAAGAAGAGGAAGAGGAAGAGGGAACGGAAAGGGCCGTATCGCCTGCTTTGACTTCCTATCGCCATCAACAACGTTTAGGACACCAGCAGCAGCAGCAGGAGCAGCAGCGCCAGAAACCATCGTCGTCCTCGTCCAGGCCATCAGCTCCTACTCCCGGTCAAGCAGCGAGACATAGTAGACGAAGTCAACCCCCTCCTCAGCCGGAGGAACTGGAGACACCTTTTCCCCAGATTCGCGGCGAGCGATTGGAGAGGCTTTTCTTCTCTGCTCCGGAGCATAATGCGAAGACGTGTACGGTGTGTTATCGTCGGAGGCATAGGGATCGACCTTCTTCGCCTTCGTGGGTGAAGCATAGGCAGCACCGACATCCTCAGGCAGAAGAAGAAGAGGAGGAAGAGGAGGAGGAGGATGAAGGGTTTGCAGAGGGTTCGGATGACGTTCCTGTTCCTCCGGAATTCAAGGGCAAGCAGCGGGATGTTGGAGCAGGACAAGGACATGTTACGTTCTCTGAGAACCCGGCGTATTGGCGCCAGGCAGGCCAAAAGGAAGGACTACCCCCGCAGACGGTGGTCATGCGGGTTATCAGGGAGTTGGAGGATGATTTCACGCATTATAAAAGGTGTGTTTTTTTTTTACTATTTGAGGGGAAGGAAACTGATGGTTTTTTTTGTAGTATTTATGTTGAGCTCGCGGATCAGTATAAAGATATGGATGCTGTTTCGAATGTCCGCAAGCGGAATATTTTGGCGCAGCATCTTAGAGAGGTTGTTGATATTTTGGAACAGAAGGTAAGTAATTCGGATTGTTCTTTTGTTTGAGGGAACCAAGGACTGATGAATTGTGTCATTTGATTAGGGTGACCAGATTGCGTCTTTGAGTGATTTGTTGAGCTTTAAAGATAAACCTGTCGCGGAGAGTGTGGTTCCTGGGTATGCGAGGCCTCGTTCGGTTCCAGGTGGGCCGTCGTCGGTCTGGAGTTGGAAAGCGAGGAGACCTTCTTGAGTGCGAGAATCCCGAGTCTGAAGCGATGCCTCTGGATATGGACATCTTCTTTATCTTGTGTTTATGGTTTATGCATGTGCATTCGACAAAATATTATCGTACCCTCATGCCGCAGTATATACATTTTGAACAAAATGCCGTTTTTTCTACAAGTGCAGGCTCCCTTGAATACATGAATGTTGCTGTCGTCGACCCCGCGGAACGGATTGGAGCGGGAAGGTGGGATGTGGCGGGCCGCCCGACCCGGAAACCAGATGATAGTGGTTGATCCATCTACAAAATTGAAAGACATGGGTGATTTTGTCTTCGTTCCATTCCTTTACCGCCATCTTCCTCCTTCTCTGGACTGCAGTCCGTCTCTTCCCTGACGGAGATATCTGAGGTAAGTGAGGGAACCCACGTTCGACTGTTTTCACGGACTGATCGTTGTCAGGGCTAGTCTTCCGAGGTATGTGCGTCATCGAGGAGAACTTGTGTATTGTTGGCTGAACGCCCTCGGTGACTTCAAGATCTATTGAGGAGATAATATTAGACTGCTTGGTGCGTAGTTCATGCCAGGTTCTTGTCGTACGATGCTCATATTTTCTTTGCAGCCCCTCCATACCGTATGTCCAAAAGCGCCAACCGTAATGATTGCGTCAAGCTAATCTTCGATGCCCAGCCATCAAATAGACACCCATACATAATGGCTATCCTCCGCAGAATTTTCTCGAGGCGAACACTCGCGTACGCGACAGGAGGCACGGTGCTCAGCGCCGGCGCATGTTATTGGTACCTCAACTCAGGACCTGCCTATCCTCTGTCCACCAAGGAGCAGCGCAGGCCGCCACCGCCATGGACCCCACCTTCGCGGGCTGAGATGCTCAAACAGCTCAAGGCGTCTGGCGCGATCAAGACGCATGGCGAGCCTGGTGAGGAGTTTGACTTGCTCATTGTTGGCGGAGGCGCTACCGGTGCTGGGGTTGCCGTTGATGCTGCTAGTCGAGGGCTGAAGGTTGCTTTGGTGGAAAGAGACGATTTCAGTGCTGGTGCGTTTGTTTTACTCCCCTCTTCGCCATTGACTGATTTGTGATGGCAGGAACGTCATCTAAATCGACAAAACTTGTTCATGGCGGTGTGCGGTACCTCCAGAAAGCCGTTTTTGAACTGGACTACGATCAGTACAAACTCGTCCGCGAGGCTTTGCACGAACGCAAAATTTTCTTGCAGACTGCGCCTTATCTATCCAACATGCTGCCGATTATGTTGCCGATTTACAAGTACTGGCAAATCCCGTATTATTATGCAGGGTGCAAGATGTATGACGTTCTAGCTGGGAAGGAGAACATGGAGACGTCGTACCTCATGAGCAAAGGGAAGGCGTTGGAGACTTTTCCTATGCTTAAGAGTGAGGGTCTCGTTGGCGCTGTGGTTTACTATGATGGTGTGCTTTTTTTTGTAGTCTCTATCAGGTTGGTGACTAAAGATATGGCGCAGGACAACACAACGATTCTCGGATGAACATTGCCCTGATAATGAGTGCTGTCAAGCAGGGAGCTATCGTCGCGAACTACTGCGAGGTTACGAAACTGAATAAAGATGAGTCTGGGAAGCTCACCGGTGCACGGGTCAAGGATGCTCTCACTGGTGAAGAATGGGATGTTAAAGCCAAGGTTCGTTTTCCTCTCTGGTCCTACTCATCTATTCTGATTCGTCTATCTTCAGGGTGTCATTAACGCAACCGGCCCATTCTCTGATACCCTCCTCTCTCTTGATGACCCAAATCACCAGCCCATCGTGCAACCATCGTCCGGAGTTCACATTACCTTGCCCAACTACTACTCCCCTCGTAAGATGGGCTTGTTAGACCCCGCCACCTCAGACGGACGTGTGATCTTCTTTCTTCCCTGGCAGGGCAATACTATAGCTGGGACCACAGACACACCAGCTTCGGTGGAACGTGACCCAGTCGCATCAGAGGAAGACATCCGCTGGGTCTTGGAGGAAGTCCGTTCGTACTTGTCCCCTGATATCAAAGTCCGCCGTGGAGATGTCCTCAGCGCGTGGAGTGGGCTCCGGCCTCTCGTGCGCGATCCCAGGGCAGCCAGCACTGCGGGTCTTGTGAGGAATCATATGATTTATGTTAGTGACAGTGGACTCCTCACGATCGCTGGTGGAAAGTGGACCACGTACAGGGCCATGGCGCAGGAGACGGTGGATGAGGCTGTCAAGGTTTTCGGGCTTGAAGGGCGCGTGAAGAGTGGATGTGTGACGGAGAACTTAAGATTGGTGGGTAGCGATGGGTGGAGTAGGAATATGTTCATTGGGCTGATCCAGACTGTGAGTCTCTTTGTGCAGATTTGTAGGTTTATTTGCTGACGGTTGGCCAGTATGGTCTGGAGAGCGAAGTTGCTAGGCATCTCTCCGACAACTATGGTGATCGTGCATGGACTGTCTGCTCTCTTGCAGAACCCACTGGCGAGAGCTGGCCTCTGTACGGAAAGCGTCTTGCACCTCAATACCCGAGTATGTGTTTCCCAGCTTCTGGTCTTACTATCGCCTTAAGTTGGCTTCTTCATCCCCAGTCATCGACGCAGAAGTGCGATATGCCGTCCGTCACGAATATGCCCTTTCTGCCATTGATGTTCTCGCCCGCCGTACCCGTCTTTCCTTCCTCAATGCACACGCCGCCCTCGATGCCCTTCCTCGGGTCGTCGATATCATGGCAGACGAGCTCAACTGGTCCAAAGCAGAGCGCAAAAGGCAAACTAAGGATGCCGTCCAGTTCCTTCAAAGCATGGGCCTTTCACCCGCGTACATGGCGCACGTACCTGACCTTGAGCCGAGAGGTTTGTGGGAGAAGCTTTGGTCGGCTGCTGGACGTCTAATTGGCACTGGTGCTGCAGTGAAGGAGAACAAGCCGTATATGTATGGCCGCTCAAAGTTCGAGGCTGGAGAGTTGGCGACGCTGAGGCATGCATTCGTGGCTCATGTGAGGGAAGCGGAGAAGATGAACAAGGTGGACGTGAAGGAGGTCTTGAAGGATGTCCTGGGGTATGCTGGGATTTCGGACAAGGACTACGCATATGTCTTTTATGAGGCTGGGTTGAAGAACAGGGAGGAGTTGGACTTTGATGAGTTTGCTGAGGTCGGTTTTGATTTTTTTTCCTCCAGATCGTTTCGAGAACTGACTAGCTTGTCTCTTCTCTAGATTTGCGGGAACCTCAAGGAAGTTGCATTCGCACCTTCCCCAAAGAAACAGAAGAGGACGAAGATTCCTGTTGAGAAGAGTGGTGGAGGTGTTTAACTTTCTTGTTTTAAATTCTTGACAGAGGATCCGGAAGCTGAGCTGGTAGAGATGAGACCGACGAACCTACGTGGCTGGCAACATAGACGAGGCTAGCGACCTCCATTCTATATAGATAAAAATTAATGCTTATATCGTACACTCAACTCGAAATTGAATTCAAGATCCTCAACGTTCAACGTTCAACTTTGATTCCGTTTGAAGTCCAACCCTACCCAGTGACTCCATCATCTTAAGCTAAACGGTACCACTTACATCAGCGTATACTTCACATCCTCGAGATCTGTTACGGTTCCTAATGGCCATTTGGGCATGATTCTAATTTAAATGTTCTTCTTAGCTAAACACAAGTGAACATATGCGCGTAACCACTACATGGTGCAATTTGAACTGTAGCCGACGTGGCAAGCTTGCGAAAGATTTGTTTGGGGAAAAAGAAAACCAGTTACGGGGCTTTTATCGTACAAAGCTGAATTAACATGTGGTGGCAAAACGAGTAGCTAGGAAAACTGACTATGTCATCATCTAGTCTTTGGTAACGTGCATGAACCTGCCGGGGATCAATATCCTCTCCACTACTCGTCCATACCTCGCAATGTGTGCTAACAAGTCCTCTGTCGTGTATTTGACTCTGAAGTGCGTGGTTCTATCTTTATTCTGGTCCCTGCAGCCGAGGCAGAAGAACCCTCGGTCGACCTGCCGGCCACCATCGAGTAGAACTGGTGCGGAGATGATGGCCATGAATCGCTTAGGTTCCCAGGCTGCTTTGTCCGACTGGGGAAGACCTTTGCCCGTCAGACTGTGCACCAATGCCTGGCGATCGTAGAGTCGAAGTCGCTTCGACTGCCCTCTCACAGTCAAAGCACCGCAGTACCGCCCGGGCAGGCTGAGGATGCTCGGTGGTTTCGCCAATTCGAAGAGTTTGCGGAAGCTTTTAGCATTGCTCTGTGGCGTTGCATTGAGGGTGAAGAGCCTGTATGCTTCGCGACTTGTGAGAGGGAAGTATTCCGGCCGCTCGGTGAAACAGAAGTAGCAGACTCGGCGGCAGTCTATGAGATAGAGATAGTCGCCAAAGAGATTGCACGTGGAACATCGGCTTGTGCAAAGCGTATTGTATAGTGTAATACAGTCAAACGCGTCCGCCTGTATGCTGACAATGGCGCGGATGATGTTGGGGCAATGCTTAAGGATTGCGGTGTATTGGTGGATAGAGTTGACAAGCTCCATTGCGCGGCGGTTGAGGCCCCGGAAGCGAGTCAGTGAAGGAATGTCCACCTGCAGCAGAACCTCGATGAGAAGTTCTAGGGGGAGCCTGTCGAGCTGATTAGCAGGAAAACATGCGGAGATGGGCTTGCAATCGTGTCGCCCATTGTCGAGTGGACACCGTGTTTCCAGCTGCGCGTCGTCCAAGGTATTGTCGCGGTTATTACGCTTCCGGCACACGTGTAGAACTAAATCGAGTGAATTAGGCGGGTTTGTTTCCATCACAGGGCGGAGACCAATTGCAAGCTGCTCGACACCGTTGTTTATGAATGATGATAGGTTGAGAATCTGCCAGGCAGTTCTGGTACGTGCGTCGTGCAATACACGTTGACGGTCAAGGTCAACTTGAATAGATGTCACTTGTAGCGGTGGTGGGAGATAGATGGCAGGATTTTAAATTCCGGATCCGCCAGCTCTCGAAATCTCCTGTCCACGCGGCCCTTGAATATTGAATCTCTACACCAGTGCATACCTCATCGTCAGCTGTGGCAACCTCGCCCATGCCAATCCTCGCCCTCAGTCCAGCCAAGCAGAGGCCAAAACTTACATCGACCCGACTTCAGTAATTTTCACGACAGACAGAAGTACTTGGACGTCGTCCACGCATCGACCCAACACCGACCATGCCTCACGTTTGACGGAAACCTCCCGCAGCCTTCGCCACAGGTGGTTGGGAGTTGCAATCTCTTGGAATGGTAATTAGCTGTGGCGTTCCTGGCAGTGGTGCCTAGAGGCTAGCAGTGCCATGCTCTTGAGCGAAGTGCCCGAATTGGGGAGGCCACAAAGCTTACCAACTATTCCTCATCAGACCCGGCCGATAGATAGAGAGCGATAACTCAGACTTGCGATGGCCATGCCTGATCCGTCGCTGAAGACAGAAGCTGCCAGTCAGTCGTCGATAAGTGCCACATCCATATCGACGCCGGCACCCAGCGTGCGGTACGTACAGAACTTTTCATTTGTAACCTTACTGAGCGCTTAGATATAGTGAAGTGTCGACTGTGTCCCTTTTCACTGGCTCTACATCTACGGGAATTTCTGGTGGTCAATTCAACACCTCACAGGGTGTGACGATCATTATCAGTACGGACGTTGAACCGAGGTTTAATGAAATGAAATTGCTCACATTTTTTTAGATGAAAGCTCATCGCATCATGCAAGGGTTAGCTCAACGAGTGAACCATTGGGAGCGGCGCCCGGGCCACCAGAAACGTCGGAGCTGGCACGGACAACAAGCGAAAGTGCGTCCACTTTCTTTTCTATACCAACAATGGCTGATAAAGCCCACCGTACCTTCTTCCTTCGCAGATGTACGTTTCGAACATGCCCTTGCTAGGCTCTTCGACTAATTTTGTCCAGTCGTCTGTTGCAACTGATGACACCACGGTCGAGGAACAGAGCGCCAACGCCATCTACGAGCGACAACTCTTGCAGAAGAAGCATGGGTTCCCTCTCTGGATTCCTCAGCCCAATACGGAACTACCAGAATCATACCAGCAAACTGGTGCTAGCATCGGCGACGTCGGTTTGATTACATCTTACGGGGCCTTCGATTATCTTTTCAATATCTGTCTTGATGCCAATCACCCAAGTAACCCAGAAGTATTACCTGAGAACTTCTCCCCTCTGTCACTTTCCTCTGCAGATGTTCGGAAATATCCTGAGCATTCAAGAGGGAGTTATCTCGCCAGCATTTCAGTAAAAAAACAGAGGTTCTTTTTATCGCCATTATCAGTATTTGAGTGCTGATGAGATTCCAGGGGGCTAACTTTCCGTGGTTCAAAATCAGAAGGGGCGGTATTGGCGATGCCTGAGGGAGCTCATCATGAAGATTTGCGCAATCTCAAAGCATTCAGGGACTATGCTTCACTTCACGCAGCCAGCTGGTATCAATTCGTAAACGGGCCCCGTGGTTGCGAGCTTGAAAATGGAGAGTTGCACCTCGTGACAGGCTGCGATAAAACCACATCGTGGGGCATTGCGTCATATAACAACACCATGCAGTCTGATCGTACTCAAGATGGACCTGTCTTGACATTCCTTACGGTCCCTGGCGATCACAGATATCCGTTGCGCACCACTTACTCCTGGGAACATGATGGCATGGCTGAGTCAAAGACATGGCCAGAACCTGACCTCAACGGTGTTGAGGATGATTCAGGATCATCCTGGACAACATGGCCTCGCAACCAAACCACTTTTATCCGCTCGTTCACGATCACAGTTTCGGACACCATATGGAAAAACCTGCCCTTTAACCTCGCTTCGGAGGTGGAAACAGATACTGTCGAACTTAAATCGCCACCGAGTTCTTCAAGCTCTTCGCAAAGTATACTATCTAGTACGCGTCTCCTCCTCAGTACTCAAGCACAAAGTTCAATAGCCATTTAGGCGGCCGCAACAATGGACCTGTAGTGTTGAAGGATTGGCAGAGCCGTTCACCTGTGAGTATGTCCAAGTTATTTTCTAAAAGTTTCTCAATAGCCCAACAGACTATTCACCCTTCTACACTTATTCTCAAGATATTGATGCAAAAGGTGATCCCTGCCATGCATAAACCTCTCATAACTAATAATCGATTAGCATCCTGAAGCCAAGGTTGCTATTATCCATGATGATGACTGGTGTTCTGTCCTTGAGGAGGCATGTTTGAATAACACTTCCTTGTTATCCATTGACAATCTGACGCTTTGATCGGTTGCAGGATGCAACTCAACTTCCGGATGGTCCAGAGTTCTTCAATCGAATTCAAAGTAAATTCGATGTAGTCATAGATCAAAATGGTAAGATGCTTTGCTGTCGGGAGGTTACGCTCTGACTCAGAGAATTATCGTTCCTGGCTAGGCACGCTTTATTTAGAAGAAAAAGAAGTCTCCATGAGAAACAAGGAAGTCGGCGAACTGTCAAAAGTGGATGTTCCCAAGACCATTGGAGCTGAGGTAGAAGAGAAGTTTACGCTACCCTTACCTTCGTCAAGCACGCCTTTGCCGTCAAGTTCGCAAACTGGTTTGAATGAAGCTGCTTTCGTACCTCCCCTTACCTCGATTCTGCCAAATTTGTCTGTTCCGCCTTACACAGGCTCAGCTCAGGGCGACAACGTTGTAGGGAGCCAGCCTCTCCCGACGGTCCCAGCGGTACATCTTTCTGGTGACCAGAACAACAATATTCCTCCACCTATGGAAATGTCCGCTTTTGAGCGATTATTCAAGCCTTTTTGCATCAAGCTGAACATCGATTTACAGCAGCTAAAAATTGATAACAAGCCGATCGACCTCTATCAGCTTCACAGAAATGTCATGCTGGAATCAGGGTTTGCGATGGTAATTGATTCTACTCTCGTCATATCGCTACAGCTTATAGATCTTATGCAGGTGGAACAAAAGAAGCTTTGGGATGTTATTGGGGGACGTATGGGTTTTGTGCAAGTCTCCGGCACCGGAACAGAGCCCGCAAAGTCAGGACCTGACATCGCGCACCGCCTTGCTAACATTTACAAAGAGTACCTATTCATCTTCGAACGATACTACATTGCCTGGGCAGTCAATACGAGGCTTCGAGCGCAACCGGGACCTGCTGCTCAGGCGATGCATGTGCCACCTCCGCCTCCGTCGATGCAGGGGCTGTCTTCTGGACAGGGGTCACTTTCTACGGCTATGCAAAGGGTTGCTGCTCTCACTCACATCCCGATCCATGAACTCCGCCGACGCAATGTACCAGAGAGGGTTATCGCGTTTTTAGAAGCTAATAGAGCCGGTTTGCTGCGTGCTTATGCCGCACAGAGGGTCTCCCAAAATCCACCACAGCCTCCGGCTGCGAATCAGAATGTTGCTGGAAGCCATCCCCCACCATTAGATCACCCCCGCTTCCAGCAATCATATAGGATTTACTGCGCCAACAAGAATCGGAAGAACGATACTCCACCACAAATTGACGACAAACCGGTCGACCTCTATCAGCTCCATAGAAACGTGATGTTAGAATCCGGACCCATTCAGGTGTTTATTTTTCCCCATCTCGCGTGAAAACAATGATTCATGGCTTTCCTTTAGATACAACGGAAGGGACTTTGGAGCATTATTGGGGGGCGCATGGGATTCGCACAATCTCCCAGCACCGAATTGGGCCCAGCAAAGTGCAGTCCTGATGCTGCGCAGAAGCTTGCGCTCGTTTATAAAGAGCTTCTATACGACTTCGATGGACTTTATATCCAATCGCTTCTCAAGGTGAGGCTACAAGCCCAAGGGAAAACCCCTCTTGCAACGAAGGCTGCCGCTCCTGCCGCAAGGGGTGCACCTCCGCCGGTGTCCCAGCGTGTAAATGCACCTCCGCCGATGTCCCAGCGTGTACATGCACCTTCGCCGGCGTCCCAGCGTGTAAATGCACCATCTCCCTCGATGTTCCGGAGTGTCATCGTTCATGCTCATGTACCTGCGTCTGATCTCCATGAACGTGGAGTTTCGGAGAAAGTCATCGAGGTCATTGAGGCCAACCGTGGTGATTTGCAAAAGGCTCACGCCGAGCAGGCCTTGCAAAATCAATTGCGTTTGATGCAACAGAGTACTGGAAACCGGAGTGGGCCCTCCAACACAGTGCCTAACATGAAATTTCCATTTGGTGGGTCGGCTGCTCAGCAAAATACAGCTGCCGGGTCTGCGGCTGTATCTGGAATATTACAGCAACGCAATCTGCCAAACCCGCTTCAAGGCAATAATTTCCTTGGCAGTCGACAACCTCTTCCCCAACCACGAACGCAATGGGATCTGCCTACCCAACAAACGAAGGAGCATTTGGACAAGTCCAATCAACCCATGCAGGGTATCAACCAAACCGTGGCCCCGAGTAAGTCATTGCCAATTATGGCTGTCAGATTGTTAGTACTTACGACTACATATACAGCTAACTCGTCCGTGCGTCCTGCCAAGCGGAAGACTCCGACGCTTCTTGCTGAGGCCAAGCAACCGATCGCCAAAAGACTATCTTTCGAGGCAAGGGTCAAGCATGGGCAAGAATCTCAAGATACTGCGTCTGAGCAGGTCACTGAGGCCATGGATGTAGATGAAAATCCCAAAGTACAGGACACGTCAGAAGTCTCTAACATCGTGAATATGATCATGGAAGCCTATGATCTGCAAGAATCGCCACCTCTTCCGGAACCATCCGACCTTGACTTTGAGGAGTTTTTAGATTTTTCGGGAATGGTCAATGGTGGAAGTGGCTCCTCAAGGGCTGGGGCGTCAGAATTGCACAATGTTTCGCCTCCTTGGTCGTCTTGATCAGACTAGTCGCGGTTGAGGATGGACAGGAAGGTTGGGTCATAGGCGGTCAAAGGAAAGTGTGTGTTGGACATTCTTCTAGTGCCATTGGTGCAAATCGGTTCTCCTTATATCATTTGTAACAGGTATGCCTTATTCCGTATCCGTGTGTTCTACTCTTTTATTGTTGTACACTTGTACTATTATCATTTGCTCTGTGTAGTAGTAAAGTTGTTTTGTATCCGAACATGTTTTACTTAGACTCCTTATCAGAAATTGCACTCACTCACTCAAATCACGGAGAGAGTGCATTCCCTGAGGATCCATGATAGTATGTGTGCACTGGCAATCGAATATTTGGCATTTTGTCCACTGGAACATTGCACATTGATTGCACAACTGTCGAAAAATACGGAACCCAAATACGGAGACCACACACATGGGTGCCACCATGATGTCATAGCATTGTGCGCCCTGGGCGCTGCCCAACGTTACACAGATACTTTGGTCCTCCCCCCTTCGAACTGAGGTACGCAGAGTCTCCAGTCTTGCCTCGTCATGCACGAAGGATCATATACTTGCGCTAACTAGTACTCTGTAGTTTGCACTCCCTTCAAACTCCTGTCATCAGGTGCTCTAACAAAATGATCATTATTCCTGTCCAACCCAGTAAGACGTCAACCAGTCGATGAAAGGATCAAAAGACTAATTATATAATTGCATGGCCGTAGCACAAGTGTTCCGCCTGTTTGTCCATCTTGTGCTCCTGATCTCGTCAATCCAAGCCCAGTCTCTTTCCGATACTCCTTCCTTTCAGCTCCGGGATATTCCTTTTGAATGTTCCAATCCGACATATGGGAGTTGCACCTTCTATGCTGATTGTCTCGAGAGTCGTTACCATTGTGGTCAATCGGGCTACCCGATTGGATATGGCCAACACTACTGTGTAAGCCTTCACGGCGGCAGGGTCAAAGTTTGGCTTGCAGGGACAGGAGTGGTTGGCACACACCATGCATTGCCTACAGGCCGCACTGGTGCCTGAAGCGACAGGCGAAGGTGAGACAACATGCAACGCGCTAGCCGACAAGGCTTTCGCGACCCATGCAACTTGCTATGTCAACAATGGTTTGTGTGAACTGTTCCCAACGGATTGGGTAGAGATCGTGACCATTGTAGGGTGGACACTCTTCGAGAGCTGGGATGCGACTAGTAAGAGCAGTTTCCAGGCGGCGGGAGATTGTCCAGCCCTTACGGCGTGGATCCTACTCTGCACCACGCTAAATAACCGGAATTTATGCCCCAGTGTGGCTGGGCTGTAGCATTGCATGATTTGCCAAATTGCTTGGAGGCTTGAAACCAGGCTAATTGCAATATGAACTTATTGCTCTCGGAATTGGAAAGCACGTCGATGGACGTCAAATTTTGGTCGAGCTACTTAGTCGTTGAAGATGAACACGCCAAGAGTACCCCGTATTAGCTAAATTTGATTCTTTACGCACTTTTGTATCGATTGCCTTGCTCTGTGTTCCAACTGCATCACATGTACTTGAACTTCCCAGACTACCATGCAATCATCGTCACTCCGACGTTATTTTACTCTACACTCAGTTCAGGCAAATTTTCGTTAGAACTTGGTCTTCTGCTCGCCGAAAGTTAATGTTGACCACCAACTATTCTTAATCCGGCTCTCCACAAACGACTACGGATCGTCAAATTTGGCCCAGAGAAACGCAGCCCAGCCAAAGCCCAGCCGCGCTACTGAAATGTTAAGCGGTTACTTGCCCAGGGACCAACGGTGCGTTTTCTAACTTGTCTGCAATCATGTACTTCTCTGACGCCGTGCATTTCCACGTTAGGAATCCTTTTGCTATGCATTCTGAATCTGTATAACTGGGCGTTATGAACATTGGCGCAACGTGGGCTTACGTGGATCCTCCTCATTGAAGTCGCATTGCTCTATTTGAGGCCCCCGTTCCCTCGCCCCCCTTGTATTCGGTGCCCCACACAGACTATGACCTTCGATCGAGCTCGAAACTTTGTCGTTCAGGGCTGCTACTTCGTCGACAACTCTGGTGGACAGAAGCAGACACTCGATGAAGGCAAGTAGTAGAAGTCAAGATATGAAGTGGATTTTAAATTGAATCACTGTAACAGTACGTGCCAAGCTAAAAGACGCGGCCGCATCAGGGATCAGTTTCAATTCCATTGAAGAATTTGTCGGCAGGCCGATAGAATTGCCCACTGTCTCTTTCGACAACTTGGTGTCACCCAACAATCTGGGCGAAAAACACCTATTTCTGATGCATAGCAAGAACCCATATTCGGTTCGGTTGACTGGAGAAAGCGTAGCAAGGCACTTCCAGGCAAAGCATGTCTTGCTAGCAAGCATCTTCTTTCGCCGTTTCTTCTATTTCTGGCCCGCACAAGGGGATCGCGTAGTCCCCAGTCTAGCCTATCAGCTCGTTGTCTCTCCTCGGTGTCCAGAGGAAGTCAAAGTCGAAATACTGGGCGCTTTTCATGCGGAACCTGACATTCCCGAACAGTCACTGCAGAACCAATTTCAGAAACTGATCGTTCGTCCACTTCTCAACGCCTCCGAATTCCTTCCCCAAACTTTACCTATCGTCTTCCTCTTGGATTCGGTACATGACTGCCAAATTGTTGAAAACATCATTTATGTCCTCGCCAAGTCTCTTCATGAGCTTCGGGAAAATGGGGTCAGTGTCATCGCAGTCATCACGACAGTTTCCTACAGCAAGATCCTCGACAGCGTCCGATCACAGGAAACTATCGCATCCATTACTGAGATCTCCTCTACCCCCGTCACATGTCCCCACTCCATCATCTCTCGGGCGAGAGCGTTGGCTTTTCCGCTGCTTGACCTCAAGTATAAATTACCAAACTTCATCCAACGAATGGTTGAAATCTTGACCATTTTCTGTTCATTCGTGTCGATTCCCTTCGTCGTGTACTTCACGGTTTTCATATGCGGTCTTCTCGTAGGACTCGGTCCCTGGGCAGTCTTATTAGCGGGAGCTGCAACCTTAATTTCCATTCCGATAATGCTTTGTTTATCGATTGCTCTCATGTTCCATATACATAGGGAGGTTGCTCGGGTGATCTGGTCGAGGTCGGGGTAATTACTCACTGCATTCCCGCTTATTTACCTATCGTTGATCGATTGGCGTCGCGTTTTCTCGAATACCAAAGACCTCCAAAGACACATTTACATAATTGTTCCTGACTGGCAATTTCTGACTTGCACATATATACTGGAATTCGATCGAAAGTGCTAGTCTCGATACCAGCCGTTATGGATATGGGTAGAATATATATATGACTGGTGTGCGATAGACTACCAAGAAAGCATGTAGGCCTGTAGTTACTTTTTTCCTCCAGGTGGCAACGATATGTACTCCATAAGAACGATAAGGCGGCAAGCATTCCTTGACCAACCAAAAAAAGACGGTCATACGAAATGGGCCACATCAACAATTATGGACGGTGCCACTGCACTCGCCTCGTTCCCCTCACACCTGACCAAAATGAAATAGCGGTGTAATCTGGTTAGTATCTCCTTCCGCCACCTGCAGTGCGTCCAGTTCCTGGCCCTTGGTACGGACTGTAATCCGGGGGAGGTCGTCCACCTGACCATAAAAGATCAAAACTGAATGTCAATAAAGAGTCGAAAGAGAGAGAACTGACCACTTCGAGGTGGGGGATTGGGTGGTGGCGACTTCACCCTATTGCTGCTCGGGATGACTGCATTTCTGAACAAGTTCATCAAGTCGTCTGTCCTAAACACCGGGCCTAAGCATATCATCAGTCTCAACCGCATGGAGCAATCAATATATAATCGAAGCTCACCATCGAACGAGGCAGGCGTTGGCAACTCCCCAAAGAACCACAATAGCACAGGCGGCAACGAGCCGCTGCGTGGTTTCTCCTCTTCTCGGTCCATTTGGTGTGCACGTGGGGTAGGCAACGACGGTCGTCCCCTTTCCTCCCTCTCCCAGGCTGGAGGAAGAGCAGGGGGTGGTGGAGAGAATCGCCGTCGAGACGGCCCATCCCATCTTGATTCTCGGTCTCGTTCTGGAGGTGCACCACCTCCCCTCGCAGGTGACGCGGCCCGCATCCTTTTGTATCCTTGACTATACTCCCCACTACGACTGTCATCTCGTTTACGATAATCTGGGGATGACGGTCGTTTTGCTGATGGTGCTGGTGTAGTGCCCGATTGCAAGGAAGTTTGTGTTTCCGTTCGTCCGAGGGAAGATGTGTTTACTTTTCTGGCCATCGCGAATCCTAGGTCGCGAGCGGCAATGGCGTCCGTGCCGAGGTAGATATGGCGTTGAGCAAAGCGCTTGATTGGTGGATCTGGGAGAAAATCAACGGGGATGCTCAACTACAACAAGATGCAGATGAACAACATACCAGTCGGGTAAACCTCCGCAATCCGCTTCTCCAGCTTTAGCGCACCTTCAAGATCACCATACTGGTACTCATATCGAGCCCAGCGTTCCCATAGTGGTCGGGCTCGCTCTGGTGGGAAAGTACCGATAATCCGTTCAAATAAGGCTCTTGCATCTAACAAAGTTGTTAAAAGTTGAAAATGAAGAGAGAAAAACATGGAAGCCTCACTATTTTCGTCATTGATAGAAATTAGGAAACCTAGATAGCGTAGCACAAACTCGATCTCATCACCAAACGTGTCTAGGCCCTTCTCAAATATACGGCTTGCGACCGACTTGTCATCAGAACAGTGATACTCCATCAAAGCTATATCAAGTGAGATCAGACATCGGACAGATTAGATAGCCAGCAGAAACATACCAGCAGCTTCGTATACCTCCCAAGGAGCCCATCGATCTTTGCGAGATTTGCCAAACGCCATCCTCGACGACTTCACACCTTCTGCTCTTCGCGCAAAACGCATGTACATGATATAAGCCAACCCATACTCAGTCCTGCGTTCCTGGACCTCGGTTGATTTTGGTGGCTTCTCTTCAGAGGCTTGGGAGTTGAACGACGTGTTGTTGGAATGAATGCCAGCTTCCGCGATTGCTGAGGAAGTGCTGGCGATCAGTGCTGCTGCCGCTGTGTTTCCGTTGACGGTACCACTCCCATTTGATGAGAAGGATGCGTTTGCTGCTACTGAGGACTGTTCGAGTGCTTCGAGCTGACCACGTAGCGTTTCGAGGAACTTGTCGTAGAGGGTGTGAACCTCAGCAAAGTCTTTCTTGACCTCCAGAGCCTCAGCGTAGGCAAAGGTCAGTAGGTAGCTAAAACGTTGTTAGTTCAGTGGCGGAATGCATAGAAATACATGCTCACCTTGACGGATTGGCCTCAAGCCCAGCTTTCAGTATCGAGAGGGCCTCGTCATGCTTGCCCACGCTATTCGTCCACGTATACGCCATGAACCAGATTTCACTGTAATACCTCATACGAATGACGGCCTTGCGATAAACACCCTGGATCCGAGTGATCAGCGTTGCCTTCTCCTTCTCTTCAATCTCTAGAGGGTTACTCTCCTCCCACTTCAGATACGCTTTCCACTTGCCAACAAGCGTCCGTTCTGATGCGTCAAACCTGGGTAGCGGAGGCAAAAATATGTCATTGGACGATGGAGGGTACAGGGCATTTAGATGGTTCGTAAGCTGACGGAGGACGGTACGAGCTTGCATGTGGGCTGGTGAGAGGTCGGCCATGAATTTTTTGGCGGTGATCCTGTTGAGATTTACCTCGAATGCTTCGAGTTCTTGCCAGAGTCGCTCGACGTTGTCCAGGGGAATTTGGACGGCGCGATGGTAAACCTTGCGCAATGCGTCCATTTTCTGTTGTTCTTCCCATGTCGTTGTCGTCTACCCAGAATGAGTCAGCTGTAACTAGGATGCAGGAGATGAAGAGGCGCACCTCGCCAGCTTTGAGAAATTGTATGTAGTCATTCCAAATGTCTCCGCTTTCCTTATCTTGACCAACATGGTTCAAAGCAAACTCGTAAGACTTTCGGACGATATCACGCGTGGATGGCGAAACATTCAAACGTCTGTCAAGAGATCGGAATCACGGAGAAAGGGCATAGTCAATTACATACCTCACATAGACAAGATAAAACTTCCAAAGATCGGCACACGGCGATGTTCTCAAGAATTTCTTGAAGAGTTCTTCAGCAGCTCCAAAAGTTTCTTGATCATTCAAAAAGTGACTAATATATGCAATTTGTGCAGAAGACTGTGCGTTGTGGCCTGTCAGACGAGGGATGCGTGTTGGGTGTCACGCACAACTCACTGTGTTTGGATATTGCTTCAATAGGCTGTCAAATGTGGTCTTTATCTTTTCAATGTCACCGGTACTCTCAGCCACGTTGACGAGTCGTCTCCAATTTTCAGGGTTGTGAGGTTTCTCGAGCAATTGCGCCGTGAGCGCCTCATACTCAGTGGGTGGCGGTAGGTCTTTTTGGGGCTCAGATTTGATGATGTTGAGGGCGTTGAGGATTTCGGCAGTGGGCTGGGTTTGGTCGCCGGGATGTTCAAAATCGTCGCCTTGGCTCTGGGCTGGTTCAGACATGTCAGACGACGAGGACCAGAACAAATAGGTTGCAAAGCGGAGAGCAAGCTTCAACAAGACCCTGACAAGGGCTGTTTCCTGGTTGTTTCCCACGGCTACCAACACACGCCAGCAAAGGATGTCGATGAACTACAACTACAACCTCATTCACGTATATTTGAGTCCCGTCGTCGTCCGCTATTATTGCGAACATCCTCCTATCGCGAGATATATTTTCGTTCACCTTTGTTCCGACCTTGGCCTATTGCATACGGGACAAGTACTTTGAATCTTATCTACCCTGAGGAATATTCCTATTTCTTACGACGGGAATGCTCTGGTATGCTCGTCAAATTACCAACAACGTGCTCAAAATCTTGGCTTCATTCAAATTCGCCCACGACAATTACGATTTATTACGATGCACTGCCGAAGGATTCCGGGCCTTGTTCTCGCTCGTTTACTACCGTTTGAAGGCAAAGGGAGACTTCTTAGAGTATCATAAAATATTGTAAAAGTATTTTCCTTCGGCAAGGATGCGGAAATGTTGAGCCTGCCGTGCGATCATGTGGTCCGTGGATGATGGCAATAGCGTCAAGTCGGTTGAAGTGCGCCGAAGGGAACGGATGTGCCGAGACACGTGACACCCGTCATCAGGCGAAGGTGACAGCACCTCTTACTCTCCACCACCACAACCTTCGCCACCGTCGTCAGTGCCGACGTTGACACCTTAAAAGCGACACACCATGTTGTCCCGGAGACTACTACGGGGCTTGCCATCAACAAACCGCGCGTCGAGGCATCTTCAGTCAATTTTAGCCAACCGACAGCACCCCGTGCGTAGCTATGCCGCGGCTCCTTCCCCAAACGACGCCTTCGCTAATGGTAGCAACGCCTACTACGCCGATGAGATGTACCGTTTATGGAAAGAAGATTCAAAATCCGTGCACCCGTCATGGGACGTCTACTTCTCCGGCCTTGACAAGGGACTGCCCAGTTCCGTGGCATTTCAACCCCCTCCTTCCACACATTTACCACATCCCTCCGACGGAGCGCCCGCTCTTTATTCCAACGGAGGTGGCGATCTCGATGTTCACTTGAAAGTTCGTTATTTTTCACATTGGCATATCTGTTCAGTTACTCATCCAAACAACCCAGGTGCAACTTCTTGTCCGAGCCTACGAAGTGCGGGGGCACCATGTGGCTGAACTGGACCCTCTTGGCATTCTTGATGCTGATTTAGCCGATGTCAAGCCACCTGAGCTCGAACTCAGTCGTTACGGTTTCACTGAACGTGATCTCGACAGGGACATCACCTTGGGCCCCGGTATCCTTCCCCATTTCGCTACTGAAGGGCACAAAACCATGAAGCTCCGCGATATCATTAAGCTTTGCAAGCGCATATATTGTAAGTCCACGTTTACCTTTTCCGTCCAGCAGACATGTAAACACTCTATTCCATAGGCGGAGCCGTCGGTATACAATACATCCACATTCCTGACAAAGAACAATGTGACTGGATTCGGGAACGCGTCGAAACGCCTAAACCTTGGAACTACACCGTTGACGAGAAGCGTATGATCCTCGACCGCCTCATCTGGTCAGAGTCCTTCGAGAAATTCATGGCTAGCAAATATCCCAACGAGAAGCGTTTCGGATTGGAAGGATGCGAATCTCTCATCCCCGGTATGAAAGCCCTGATCGACCGTTCCGTCGATCACGGCGTCAAGCACATAACCATCGGCATGCCTCATCGAGGCCGTCTTAACGTCCTCGCCAATGTCATCCGAAAACCTATTGAAGCCATTTTGAATGAGTTCTCTGGTGACAACGCGGGTGACTGGCCCGCTGGTGATGTCAAATACCATCTTGGTGCCAATTATGTTCGCCCAACTCCCTCAGGAAAGAAGGTGTCCCTTTCCTTAGTTGCCAACCCTTCCCACTTGGAAGCTGAGGATCCAGTCGTCCTTGGAAAGACTCGTGCTATTCAGCATTTTGAGGGAGACGAGACTACTCATAATACCGCTATGGGTGTGTTGCTCCACGGAGATGCTGCTTTCGCTGGTCAGGGCATCGTTTATGAGACTATGGGGCTCCACAATCTTCCGTGGTATGGTACCGGAGGCACCATCCATCTTATCGTGAACAACCAGATTGGGTTCACCACTGACCCCCGGTTCTCCCGATCTACGTCTTACCCCTCCGATCTTGCAAAAACCATTGACGCTCCCATCCTCCACGTAAACGGCGACAACGTTGAGGCTGTCAACTTCGTCTGCCAACTTGCTGCGGACTACCGCGCCAAGTACAAGAAGGACGTCGTTATTGATATTGTCTGCTACCGCCGCTATGGGCACAATGAAACCGATCAGCCTAGCTTTACTCAGCCCAGGATGTACAAGGCCATTGAGAAGCAGCCCACCCCTCTCACTCAGTACACCAAGTTCTTGGTTGGCCGAGGAACATTCACCGAAAAAGACATTGAGGAGCACAAGACCTGGGTATTGGGTATGCTTGAGAAGGCTGCTGCTGGCGCCAAGGATTACGTTCCCTCAAGCAAGGAATGGCTCTCAGCTGCGTGGTCAGGATTCCCAGGCCCTAAACAGCTAGCTGAGCAGACCCTCCCTACCCGTGCTACTGGTTCTGACGCAGAGACGCTCCAACGCATCGGCAAAGCCATTTCCTCTTACCCAACCGGCTTCACCCCACATCGCAATCTCGCTCGTATTCTTGGGACTCGCGGTAAAACAGTTGAAGAAGGTGCTAACATCGACTGGTCGACCGCTGAGGCTCTTGCCTTCGGTTCTCTCGCTCTGGAAAAGATTCACGTTCGCGTTTCAGGTCAAGATGTGGAGCGTGGTACCTTCTCCCAACGTCATGCCGTCATCCACGACCAAATCAATGAGCAGCAGTACATTCCCCTGAACGACCTTGGGTCTAGCCAAGCACGATTCGTCATCTGCAACTCCTCGTTATCCGAATTCGGTACCCTTGGATTTGAACTTGGATACTCACTTGTCTCTCCAGATTCCTTGACCGTCTGGGAAGCGCAATTTGGTGACTTTGCCAACAACGCTCAATGTATCATTGACCAGTTCATTGCGGCTGGCGAAAGGAAATGGCTTCAGCGTACTGGTTTGGTTGTTAACCTCCCCCACGGTTATGATGGTCAGGGCCCTGAGCATTCCAGCGGCAGAATTGAGCGTTTCTTGCAATTGTGTGATGACCATCCCCACCACTTCCCCACCCAGGAAAAGGTTGAGCGTCAACATCAGGATTGCAACATGCAAGTTGTCTACCCCACGTGAGTCTTCACTGTGCCTTCGTTTCTGATGATATCCTTGCTGAAACGGGTTAACAGGACTCCAGCGAACTACGTATGCACAACATAGCCCTTTGAATGATAACCCCCTGACTTTTTGTTTTGTATAGTTCCACGTCCTTCGTCGCCAGATTCACCGTGACTTCCGCAAGCCTGTAAGCTGCCACTGGGTTCCCTCACACAACTACACCTAACGCTACTTTACCAGCTTATCCTCTTCTTCTCCAAGAGTCTCCTGCGCCACCCCAAAGCTCGCTCGAGTCTTGATGAGATGATTGGAGACACTCACTTCCAACGCTATATCCCAGAACCTCACGATTCAGGTTTGGTCGCTCCTGAGCAGATCACTCGACATATCCTTTGCTCTGGTCAGTCAGATCTTTCCGTCTGCTTTAAGGCCGCACTAACTCTTAAACAGGCCAGGTCTACCACACGTTGTTGCAAGCTCGTGAGGAGAGAGGCATCAAGGACATTGCCATCAGCCGTATTGAACAACTCTCTCCCTTCCCTTACGACTTGGTACGTCGGACGTGACTGTTAACAGGTGGTCAATGTTGATTTCTTTTAAGATCACTCCCCACCTTGACCTCTACCCCAATGCCAGCCTTCTCTGGTGCCAGGAGGAGCCTCTCAACAACGGTGCCTGGAGTTACGTCGGTCCTCGCATCTACACCGCTGCTGGAAAGACCCAACATCATAAAGGGAAATATCCGTTCTACGCAGGACGTGAACCCACCAGCTCTGTCGCTACTGGAAGCAAGGTTCGTCTTTTTCGTTGTGAGCTCTTGATCAACGTTGCTGAACTAGTGCAACAGCTCCAACACAAGAAAGAAATTGAAGCATTCCTTGACACTGCTTTCACCGCGCAGCCCGGTCATGCGGGACAATCATAGTTTTAGCCCACATATACATATGATAGTCCTTGTTCTTTGAATCTATAATACAAGCGCTATTATGCGCACGAGATTTGTTAGGGTTAGGGTCCACGCGTCCATGCCGAGAACGCGAACACTTTCAATCTCAAACCACGACTCTGTCTTCGTCGTCGTCTAATCAGTCATGGAGACCTCATTCGCAATCACCGGCAAGGGTTATGTGATAGTTGCGGCGGACACAACCTCTGCCCGCTCAATCGTGAAGATGAAAATCGACGAGGACAAAATCAAGACACTCAGCCCACACCTCCTCATGGCGTACTCTGGCGAACCAGGTACTTACATATTCACAGTAATCCTATCATCATACTCACCAAAAAACTCCCAAACAGGCGACACCGTCCAATTCGCCGAATACGTCGAGCGCAACATCCGTTTATACCAGATCCGCAACCTCTACCCTCTGCGACCCTCAGCAGCCGCTTCCTGGATCCGTCGTGCCCTTGCGGAGTCGCTGCGTTCACGTAAACCTTACTCCGTCAACCTCCTTCTTGGGGGATACGATACGGCGTCGCATGATCCCCACCTTTATTGGATTGATTACCTTGGTACGATGACGGAGGTGCCGTTCGCTGCGCATGGGTATGGATCGTATTTCGCGTTGAGTTTGTTGGATAGGTGTGTTGTGCTCTTTGTGTATCTTGTTGGATTGTGTGGACTGAAGATGCGGGCAGATATCATAATCCTGAAGCTACGATTGAGGAGGGACTGGCTACGCTTAAACGGTGTATTGATGAGGTTGCGAAGCGTCTTGTTGTCAGTCCTGGCAAGTACAAGGTTAAGATCGTTGATCAAGATGGGATAAGGGAGGTTGAACTTTGAATGGACGGTGGGGTAGAGATAACTGCGCTGTGCGAGAGCTACGTATGCCATCGAATACACTTCCTGTTTGCTTTGACGCCTCAGAAAGGTCATGTTTCGAGCCTTCAGAACCAATCTCGTATGCTAAGTACAGGACGTCGTGATCACCATGGCCGCTGTACTATACCAGCCTCGTCCATAAACGGAGCATTTGCCACAACCAGGTCAAGCACGACGTAAAAATAAAAAGGTCACTACAATTCCTTCAACCTCCGTCTTGGAGCCACTTCAGGATTTGCAACTCGTTCACACCAGTCCTGGCAGGGTGTGACGTGCACGCCAGCGCGTTCTACTGGTCGCTCTCTCTCATGAGACCCTCATCTAGTCTTCCTCTTTGAAACGCGAAAAATTGTAGAACTTGCCTCAATCGAACCTCCCGCTTTCTCATCTGCCCCTGCTGCATCATCATCAAGCCGATGGCATCCACCTGACAATCCGTCATCACCTACAGACGTCAAAGAGAATGCGTACCTTGCAGTTGTTGAGATCCGTTTGTCTGTTCGCCATTATAATACTCGCAGCGGTTTCCTTTGCATAGCCTTCTTTCTTCCGTCACTGCTGCTGGGGTTAGACAGGATCGCCCGCTTGTCTTTCCTGGGCGGGCGATATTAGTTCCGGAGACTCACACAAGGTCAACGTTCGTTTGAAAGGCCGGTCAAAGTGACTACACGGTGAGTGCCCAGGCCCATATTCCCTCAACTGATGCTTACCTTTTGCTTAAACGGCTCAAGATTACCGTTCTTCGGCGAAGTCAGTTTTTCAATGCCACCGAATATATATATGGTCGTGAACGGTGAAGGAAAGAGCTTGTATTGCGCAGAAGAAATATGTACTACAAGCTGCCACTACCCCAGGCAAGCACTTACGCCCCCCGACCTCCTGAATCTCATTACATCGCTTTCATGGATCACATCACTGTAAGTGGCAATGTTGTGTGTTAGGAATTTTTTCATGCCCTTTCGACTCTATCCTAAGGCAACGTAACCTTGGTTCTTATTTTAGATGTGCCATGGGTTGAGTATTCCGAACGCAAGTGACTCAGAAAATCAATTTCATTTCCTTGCCCCCAGCGTAAGTTGTTAGCGGCCAAATGATGCCGCCTGCCGATCTTCCCCCATACTGCAAGCATTCAAATACTGGTATACCGCGACCTCGCCAAATAAAGATACGCTCTTCACCTTCTCCACGGCGGAATTGGCGGTGTCCTCCATTTGATAATTATGGCGCTGGCTCAATATATAAGTCCAATCCTATTATTGCGTCTCCAGTGGGGGTGATTGTTGACTCTCTCAAGACCCGCGGGCGCTCCTTCTAGGATCTGTGCCTTATCAAATGGAGATTCTGTTATTTTCAGAAAGTGGGTGAACACGTCAATACATCGAACTTCTGACAAACTTCTGGTCTTTCCGATTGTTTTCCGAATCAGCACCGCCCGGTGCCCAGCACATACTACGGAAAATTCATCGCCGTTGTAACCCTCCTTTACACTTGATCCAACTTTTGGGGGGTGCGTACCGCTTCCCATCTTTTCGACCACTTTATTCTTTTATTTCAAGTTTCAAAAAGAACTGCACTTGTTTCTGGTATCAAGAGAAATAACTTGATCCTCCGGTAGATGTTTAAGAATATTCAACAACCTCGTTGGTACTCTGCGCTTTTATTGACGCAATGTTATATCCAGAACAGCTGTCAAATGAAGGCGTGCCGGTATTGCGCTGTCGGTGTCATATACTCCTACTTCAGGTAAGGGGTTTCTCATCTGTCCGAGCATTTTCTATTAATGTCACTTTTACCCTAGGCTGTCAACGAGAAGTCTAGCACGTACCGGGCGCCTCATAGGTCCGTTGAGGAATCTGACAGGTAACCTCACGTCAAACACCTTTCCACAGCTACCAGGGCAATTTTGCCGTAGCGTCTTTCACTAAAAAAAACACTTTACAACACCATGGAAAGTATTTAAGAACACTCTGCGAAAGCGAAACATCATCAGGTCAAATCCTTTCTCAACCATTGCCCACTGATAATTTTCCTGGCTCACAATGCTTGTGTTTTCTCTCCTCAGCTCTCTCATCCTCGTCTCCGCCGTTGGCTTCGCGTCGGCCAGCGATATCTGTACCTACACCTCCCGTAGTTGCATCGGGTCTTATGGTTGTTGTTACGGTATTGCACAGAATACCTGCTGCTATTGGCCGAGCAATTATGGCTGGTCGGTGAAGTTCCAGAATATGCCCACGACGTCAACTTGGCTTGGCAAGACGTTTGGCGATTCGGTCTGCTCCACGCAGACTGGCGGGATAGGCTCATCGTCCGGAGCTGCTTGTAAGTGCCGCGAATCCCTTCGTTTATTTTTTCTCTTGACGCAAACATATTTTCTGAAAGGTGCCAGCGTTTATAATGGCCCGACCTATCTTGCTTGGAAGTCGGCAAACTGGAATGCAGGCACTGGCGCAAGGCGCGATCTTGAAACCCGCGACAATTCCACCTGTGTCCAGCCTAACGCGATTGGGTTCACTACAGAGGATGGGAAAGAGCATCTTGTCAAGGTTCCCGAAGGGAAATTCGATGAAGTCAACGAGTGGGTCAAGACCGACGATTTTTCGAAGCTCCTTGAGCTAAAGGACTGACCAGCAACCATGTGAGGCAATCCGGGTATCTTCTATTTTTCCAAAAGAATGATGCTGTTTTAAGCTGCTGGTAGTGTCGTCCAGGACTCTGGGCACATCTAGTAGAACTTGCCAAGTAATGGTTACTTCAAGGTTACTTATTATCTGCTGTGGACATTCAAACATATATTTCTGTGGAAGTCGAACATTTACATACTTATGATTCTATTTTTTCGTGTTCATTGAAATTGGAACAGATGCTGTGGATAACTATTACAAGCGCTCAGCGCAAGCTCAACGTTGGGATGCATGGAGTTAAAGTCACGTGGCAGAGTCCTAAATATAAATAAAACAAATCTGTACAAATATCAAGTAACAAGCACTAACACTGACTTTCAACTCGTCATTCTCATCCGACATCGCTACCAAGCCGATAGGATGCGTTAACGCCGGCACCAAGCACCTCTTTCGATTCAAAAAAATCTGAGCCTCCACCCATTGCACAAAGTGGAGAATCATTTAACCATGGCCCACATATGATGACTTGAAGCAAACTTGAAAGGTATAACTTCTGGGCCATTTAAGTGGACCGCCGCATTACTGATCTATGGTTCGATTACGACAGTCCTGAGCTCATTGGTAAACGAAAGTCAGCCAATGTGCTTCTCATACCACGTGCTTGAAAGGTATTTAAGAGCACTCCACGTTGACCATGATTCGGGCTAACCTGCCGCTATACTTACTCACAATGCATAAGCCCTCTCTCTGCTCTGTCGTCCTGCTGTCAGCCGTCAGCTTCGTGTCGGCGAGCGATATCTGTGCCTACACCTCCCGCAATTGCCTTCCGACGACGTTTGGTTGTTGTTCAAACATTCCACAAACTACTTGCTGCTACTGGCCAAACAATTACGGCTGGTCTGTAAAGTTTCAAAATATGCCGTCGTCACCTTGGGCTGGCAGTATGTTCCCTAATACGGAATGCTTAAACCGCATCAATGGGGTAGGCGTCTCGCAAAATGACGTTTGTAAGCGCCCCACCAATTATTTCTGACGTTGACACAAAAAACCTTTATTGATAGGTACCAGTGTTTATAATGGGTCGACATATCTCAACTGGTTGTCTGCAAACTGGAATGCGGGTACTCTCATAAGCCGCGACGATGCCAACTGCGTCCGGCCGAATGTGATCGGATTTACAACAGAGGTTGGGGAAGAGCATCTCGTGAAGGTTCCAGAAGGGAAGTTTGATGAACTTAACGAGTGGGTGAAGACGGGCAGTTTTTCAAAGCTCCTAGTGCTCGACAGTATCTAGGACAACAACGTGAGGTGATTTATAAACTCTTCATAATCTTAAGAGGTAACGATGTGTGTCTAGAACTCCATGGCATAATTTTGAGATTTGAAACTTATGTACAACTCTAGCTTGACTCAGGCCCTTTGCAATTCAAGTTTTTGTTGAAAAAGAACTCTCCACTGCGACCCTGGCAGTGTGAACGTAACGCCATTGGGTGAGCTTTGACTCTAGGCTGTAGGCCCGGAGATGAAAAGAATTTCTATCAAGGCGTTATCCAGCCTCGGGCGAATCTTCTGGCCGTACATTCACTTGGAACGGGACTACGACAAGCCGGAAGGATATGATGCGTTCACCTCGGACTCAACTGAATCTTATTCAGTAACTTTCAGTACAATAGTTGCGTCCAGACGATCATGGGTTCCAACGTTAACTGAGTGTTCTAAAGCTTGGGTTCACCGGCTCATCCATATGGAGGGCTAGATTCCTGATCTACCGGATCATGATGTCGAGCTCGTTGCTGTTTGCGAAAGCTAAACCTTACGCGCTACTTGCACTTGTGGTGCGCTGCAAAATGTATATGAGAGTGGGACTCCGAAACCTCTCCTCAACCCCTCTTCTGAGTAAAAGATTTCTCCACTCACAATGCACATGCCCTCTGTCCTCAGCTTTGTCGTCGTCCTCCTAGCCACTAGCCTTGCGTTGGCGAGCGATATCTGTACATACGCCTCCACCAATTGCGGTGGGTCGTATGGTTGTTGTTCAAACATTCCGTCAAATGCTTGCTGCTCCTGGCCAAGCAATTATGGTCAGTCGGTGAGGTTCCAGAACATGCCGGGGTCTTGGTTTGGAAGGACGTACAGCGATTCTGCCTGCAAAGATCAGGCGGCTGGAATAGCTCCTGTGAGGAATGTGCCTGTCTGTAAGTGCCGCAAGCGCCTTCACTTTTGTCTGGCCGTTGAGCGATGCAATTATGTAACAGGTTCCAGCGTCACTTCAAGTTCAAAAGCCAATTGGTTGTCTGCGAGCTGGGGTCCGGGTGGTGGTGGGTTTCGGAGACGCGATACTGAAGGTCACGACGACGTTTTGAACTGTGTTCTGCCGAACGTGATTGGGTTCACCACGGAGGATGGGAAGGAGCACCTTGTCAAGGTCCCCGAAGGGACGGCCTTTGATGAGCTGAACGAGTGGGTTAAGACGGAAAATTTTGTAAAGCTTCTTGAGCTTGAAAGCGTCACCGGGGATGCTTGACTGTGAGAGGACAGTCTTATGCATTCGGTGATGTTCAAAGTAGTGAGCGTGTTGTCTGTAAGCCCGGGAAAGTCAGTGTCATCTCAATTTCAGTTAGACCCCCCATTCTTACTAGAATGCTCGGCGCGGACATCCAGTTGTTAGTATATCTTTTTTTTTCTAGCACAATTGAATACACACCTTTTTCATCTCCGTTGGAATAGAAATAGCTGGTGAAGGTCAAGTGAGTCTTTCCCACTAGGGGTCCTCCGAATGTTCGTAATGCTCCACGGAACGGAACTATGTCGCTTGTTGTTGTACGTTACATAGAGGTGCAAAACACTTCGGTAACTGAATGAAGCGTCCACATTCAGACACGTGACACTACATGGGATCAGCCAAATAGAGGCAAACCCTTCTGTGACCTCAGCGGCGAGCTCATTCCTGACCAATTCCTGACGTCGTCTCGACGAGATACGATAGATTACAGCGGTGATGCACCAATTTTGATAGACCAGAAGACACCCTCTGCCCAAGTGCGTAGGAGTTCAGGGTAGCCGGCTTAGGAGCTTGTTCAACTGATTATTTTTGGATGATTGACAACTTGAACTCCTGGCAATAGTACTAGCGGACACTCTAAGTAGGCATTAATGGGGTAGTGGTAACCTGGGTCGTTGCCAGAAACCCATTCTTCATTATCGACCCGCCGGGGGTTCGATTCCCTCTTAATGCACTTCTTGTTCTGACAGGCATGTATTTTGTAATTTTGGCGGGAAAAAGGCGTATTTTCTTGAATACTGTACCGTCCACCTTCAAGGCAACGTCTTCTTCTACAATACCCTCAGGGTCAACCAACCTCGAATCCTACCCAGCTGGCGCCTGTATCACTACAAACGGTACATCACTATTGCTTGCCCTCCACCAATTTCCAAGTCTACCACAGGCTCAAACACAACGCGACCCCATTCTCAATAATCCCCAAAAAAAAAAAATCTGGACGACCGCTTTCCCCCTCAAACCCACTCTTGGATCCCACCCAGGGGACACTGGACGCCGAAACGCTAGCTTTGCGTTATCGAGCTCGAGGACGTATGTGTGTAGTAGCCCTTGGAAATTATCAGAGCGCCCCTGCGAATTTACGGTAGACCTTTTAATTTGAAGAAGAAGAGGCGGAGGTGTGGTAAGTATCCCTGGGGAAAAAACATTTATTCCATCTCACTGGCATGAAAAAAAAAAAAAAAAAAAAAAAAAAAACATGCGACTAAGTATGAGCATGCGTGCGTCCCTCCGTTGGATGTAGGTGATTTTATTCCGATACAGAATTTTGGGTGATGCAGGAAGACTCACAGGAGTGGGTATGTAATTGCTGAGGTTCATTGAAGACTCGATGTTCATTTTTGGTGTGCAGAATTTGACGGTTTGGAATGCAACGTGTAATGTCTGTCCCTATGAGGTGATCCTCCGATCTGTGATTGGATTGCGTGGTTCCTGGGAGACGGTGAGTTCTTTTGGTATACAGCATTTGACTTTGAAACGTTGGTACAGTCACCTAATTGCTTCATTCTGCAAATAACTGTTGGACAACTAACTTGAGTGTGTGGGGGTGATGTATGAGGACTCGGAGGAGTAGGCCATTTCTGAGAGCCTATGATTGTTTCAATTGGAGGAGAGTGGGTGTAGATTTGAATAAACCTGAAATTTGAGTTAGTTGCCTTCACAAAAAAAAAAAAAAAAGTGACGATTGATAGGCTGGTGTGTGTTAGCACCAGCTGTGTTTTCAGACGGTTCAGAGCGCGCTGAAGGAGGAATTAAGACCTTTTTTTTCTGAAGAGAAAAACCGGATCCCTAAGCCCCATTCCACCTGGCGAAACACTCCATCGCCCCAAAAATTGTAGGCTCGTGCTGTGGTTCCAAGTTATGACGACTCCGCTTGATTAAAGCCACGATGTGAATTTCTCCGCGACTTGAAATGTTCATTTTGGTGTACGAGTTGTAGGTTCTGGTGGAATATGGCATTTCACTTTGAGACGTTTGGCCCGTGTTAGTACCGTTGTGTTTCCAAACAGTTCAGAGCGCACTGAACGCTCCAACCCCCCAAAAAAATTGTAGGCTCGTGTTGCAGTGGTTCCGTTTTATGACATCCCCACTTGATTAAAGCCACGATGGTAATCCCTCCGCGACTTGATTTGTTTGTTTTGGCGTGCAGAATTTAACGGTTTGAATGCGACGTGTATCTCTTGTACTGAGGTGATCCGACCCATCTGTGATTGTATTGCGTGTTCCTGAGATACGGCATGTTCTTTTGGTATACGGCATTTGACTTTGAAACGTTTATGGATGGCCATGAGAGTGGGCCAAGGATTATCAGTGGGTAAGTTGCCTTTACAAAAAAACCAAAAGGATTCTGAGGTGAAGACCGATGTCAGGCTGGCCCGTGTTAGTACCGTTGTGTTTCCAGACAGTTCAGAGCGCACTGAACGCTCCAACCCCCCCAGAAAATTGTAGGCTCGTGCTGTGATTCCGAGTAACGACAACTCCACTTGATTAAAGCCACGATGGAGATCCCTCAGCGACTTGAACTGTTCGTTTTGGTGTGCAGAATTTAACGGTTTCACGTGCCAGTGGTCTAGAGGTATCCTCCGATCTGTGATTGGATTCCGTATTCCTAAAATACCGTATGTTCTTCTGGTGATATCTTGCTTTGTTCCGCGATAGTTGTTGGGCGCTGCGATAATGACTCACTGTGTCAAAGATCTGGATGCGCATTGGGTGTTCCTGCGTTCGGTATGCAACGTTACAGACAGTTCAGACGGCGCCGAAGGAGGGAAGTAAGACCCTTTTTCATTCGAATCCCTAAGCCCCATTTCACCAGGCGAAACGCTCCAATCCCCCAAAAATTGCAGGCTCGTGCTTGATTAAAGACACGATGAAAATCCCTCCGCGACTTGAACTGTGCAGAATTTGATGGTTTAAAATGCCAGTGATTGTATCGCGTGTTCTACGTTCTTCTGGTATGCATCATTTGACTTGACAGTCACCTTCGTTCCGCGATAGTTGGTGCGATAATGATCAAAGATGCGCATTGTTCCTGTATTAATTTCTGGACTGCCTATCTGGTGAGTGTTCAGAGATTAAGTTTACCAGGTGGTAGGTGCGCGTAAAGTCCCAAGAGTGGTGATATCCGAAGGGTGATCGTACCGCGACGTCCGAGATCGAGGTTGAGATGGACTCGGAGACGTTGAAGGTGGCGCTGATCGTGGAGATAGGAAGGTGTGACGTAAAAGACGATGAACAACATACGGCAACAAAGGGAATCTTCTCATTTCTTGAACTGTCATGGGCAACACTGGGTCCAACGCCAATAATGGACATCGAACTGTGGCTTCGGACCAACAATCCCGTAGTCCAAGAATCCATTCACGCAACCACTCAAATTCCCCTTCTCCCGGTCTCCCACATCGCTCCATGCGCACAAAAAAGCGTTCACTCGAGCTACCAGATCTAGCTTCTCTCTCCCTCTCTCCAGCTACAACTCAACGCGGTAGACCCACAAAAACACAATCCATCCCCATCCCACTCCATCCAGGCGCACCCAACAACCTCGACAGACCCCGCCTCCTGCCCTCTACATCCGATCTCGTCAACCCACCATCCACACACCAACCTTTCCCTCCACCTTCACGCAACCAACCACCCCTCTTCCGCGGTGCACCAACGGCGAGACAACAGCCACCCATCTCTGCTCGTCAGCAGCAGGCCCAACAACGTATCCAGGAACTATACAATCAATCTCAGCACGTCCCTCCACCAGCCATTCTCCCACCCCTCTCCCCTGCGGGGGAGGACCCTACCTCGCCTGGGTTTGTGAAGGAGACGGTAAAGTCGAGTATCCCCATTGCCCTTGGCCATGTGGAGGGTGCCGTTGCCGTTGCAGATGAGCAGGGATCTGCGATGAGGGACGATCCTGTGTCAGTCCCGACAAAGATCACCTGGCGTGGTGGTGGAAAGACCGTTATACTCGCTAGGGCGGGTGATGATGATTGGAAAGGACGTACCATCATGGGACGCGAGTAAGTTTCTCTCCTTTTTTTTAATCGTTGTAGATAAGCTTATCGGACGTATAGATCACCAACATCGCTAACATTCCAAACCACCGTCGATTTGTTACCGGGTACACACCACATTCGTTTCCTGGTAGACGATCAATGGCGCGTAGCGGACGATCTACCAACAGCCGTAGACGACCAAGGAAGCCTAGCAAACTACGTCGCACTACCACTAGCCTACTCGTCCCCACCAGCACCCCAACCCACCATCGCAGCTCCCATCCCCACCTCCGTCTCTACATCCAAAGGCAAACCACCCATCCCAGGCCAAAGTTTCTGGTCCGCCGCATCGCAAGACGACGAAGACGACGACGCAGATCGTCATGCGCACCGTAACATAAGCATCAGAGCAGCACCCATCAGCACCCCAGTCGCACCAAACCCAAACCCAATAATCAACAACGCGCAATGGACCTCCGTACTACCCCCCGAGTTAATCGAAGCTGCAAAGGAGGAAGAAGTGTATTTAGCGGCGAATAGCGATACGTCGCGGACGCATGTACAGGGGTTCGTGCCTGCGCCGAATATTCCGCCTGCTCCTGGCCTGCCGAGACATTTGGATAAGCTGATTTTGAATGCGAGGGTTAGTCCGGGTGCGGGTGGTGCTACGGGGAATGGGAGGTCTGGGACGCCTGGAGCGGGGACACCTGTTGTTGGGAGTGGACAGGGACGTGGGGGACGGAGGGAACGGCGGGAGAGGGAACGGGAGGGGGATTTGAGGGAACGGGATAGGAGGGAACGGGAGAGGGGGAAGAGGGAGGGTGGAAGGAGGGCGGGGATGCCGCCTGCGCCTCCGCCTAGTGAAGCTGGTGGGGAAGAAGTGGTCGAGGAGGAAGCGGCGGCGGCGGGGGTGTCTTTGGAACCTGTTATTGCTGAAGAGGCGCCGCCGTCGGCAGTGACGACGCTCCAAGACGCAGTAGGACCAGACTCGACCGTATCCACCGCCATCGAACCTCCTTCCTTGGACCCAACCCCCCCTCCTCCTCCTCCTCCTACCGCATCCCCAACCCCCCCACCAACCTCAAGCAAACCAACACTCCCACACCACCCCTCGGGTTCAAGAGCCATCACGATCGACACGGCGAATATGCCGGGTATGACGGACGATGGGAGCGTGTTGCCTGTGCCTAGTCATGTTGTGCTGCATCATTTG